GAGGCAAGATGATGTCCATTTGGTGAGTAAAAAACAGGAACGATGGTACTTGTATGGCCCACCAAAGTGTGAACCACAACGTCTCTCCTTATATCCCACACAAGAACAGTACATGTGAAAAGCACGATAGCGATGTGTTGGCTGCCTGGCGAATACGTAAATCTGGCGGTGCATCCATCCCCATTGTAAGTCGAATGTACCTCCCATGTTGATGTGTTATAGACAACGATCGAGGCGCCACTGCGATAACTGCTGATGAAAGCAGCAGCCAATGTCTTGCCATTAGGCGAGTATGTTCCACTCCATGCCCGACCACTTCCTCTAAGAGACGGCCGCTATCCAAACTGTGCACCTGTCATCTTTGCACCACTCAGGTCAGTTTCACGAAGCCAACAGCTGCGAAGTTTGACCTTTCTCAAATCTGCTCCTTGTAGTTGGGCATATTCGAATACCCCATAGCTGAGATCAGCGCCTGGAATTTGAACGCCTCGCAAGTCTGCTTTGATGAACGATTCCCCTGCTAGGATTAAAATCGTTATTGCATTAGTTGCTGCTGTCCGCCACTTTCTATCACTCTTCGAGAGCTCAATATAGGTATGCAGCTGCTCTTTAAATACAGGCTCAAGGCGGGCACGCTCCTCCAGGAACTGTAGGATAGATGGCTCGTTTATAAAGCTTTTCCATGCTAGGGGAGAGTCCTCACTTGGCCTGGCTGCATCAACAACTTGCTGGTGCGTCGTTAGCTCCATGGTACCAAAAGTACACATTGGGCCGATGCTCCACCGATGGGAAGTTGATGCCGCTGCTGCTTCCTCATCGTTTGTGAAAGCATTTACCACTCCCAGTGGCTCATAGATCGCTCGGGTCAAACTGTACTCCAGAATAGAATGATGTACAAAGTGATACTGGCTGCCTGTACAAACGAGCGGAGAGACTTCTCGCAAAAGGCTTTTCCCATTCTCTCTACTAAAGAATCGCTCTTTCCATGTACTCTTATCTTTGATTGGAGTGTAGTCTACTACAGGGTTGCCGTTTTGATGTTTATAGATTGCTATAGCCAATTCTGTCAAGTATCTGATCTCATTCTGTGCAAAGCCCTCCTCCGATAGTTTCTGGAATATCCGCCTATCCTCCAGTCCTATTGTCTCACTTAGTTGTTTCTCACGCCTCTTTATCCACAATTTCATATGCTGGTCATACAGCGAGACGCGCTTGATTTCTGTTTTGGAGATATTTTTATACGAGGCAACCATCTCTGGCAGTATTTCCAGCGAGAGTGACAGCAAGAATGGATTCTTCACAATGTCCAGTAAACTGGAGGCCGCTTTGATTGCATGCTGGTAGTCCTCCGGTTGCCAAACCGGATCCATGTTAGCGATATATCGGTTGATATATTCGTTGACCTGGCCCTTCGAAAATGGAGCGATCACAGCCTCCTGAAATAATGTAGCGTTCGCTTGGTAATTATGGTCCATAGGACAGAAGAAGTCAAGATAACCTGGTCTAAGATACTCACTGCGGCAACTAATCACCAACTGAGCTACCCACCCCCCAGTCTGGTTTAGCTGGTTGCTAACATACAGGTTGCTAGTTAGTTTACTCTCGTCATATCCATCACAGATCAAGACAAATGAGCGGGTCAGCTTCAGTTCCATGATCTGTGCCTCTGTGAAACCATACTTTTGCAGCTGCTTTGCAACAAAATCCTCCTCTGGGATTTCAATAGCTGGTAGGTCGATGAATAACGGGATTCGACCATGTCTCTTTTGGTATGCTTTCCACAGAGTACTCTCCAGAGTGCGGTTGAAGGTTGACTTGCCTGCTCCTGCAATGCCTTGGACAAGCAGCACTTTCTGATCCCCGTCCAGGAACTCCTTTGACTTGCCCATCAACAGGAACAAATCGTCATGGCGCGCTTGAGCATTTGCTTTGGCATATTGTGGGATATAGAAGCTTTGGCCATCTAAGTTATTTATCCGCTGCTGTTTAAGATGGCCTACGCGTTTCTCGGTATCAAGCTTCTCCTGCACACGGCCAAGCAACGAAGAAGGTACAGATGGAGGTAGCGAAGCAGTGAAGGGATACTGAATATTAGGTTCTTGGAGACAACTTTTATATAACTCTTGCTTTTTGGCGCCTCCCTCCCTCTTTAGAGTATTCAACAAAGCGTTTGCAGCTGCGAAGAAAAAAATGAAAAGGATTTTAAAGTAATGAGGTTAATCATTTTACGCAAAATGTACGGACATGCAAGTGGATTCGTGTAGAAAAAAAAACATACCCCGTGGACTACCCACCGGCGATGAGGCTAGTTTCCTGAGGACGTGAAGGATCCATTGCTTGATTTGGAAGTAATCCCTATCATTTTTGTATATCTCTCCAAGAAAAGCAACAGCATCTCGGCGGGTGTCCATGGCCCATTGAGGATCAGATGCAATATGCCCTAGCCGCTGGCATAGTCCCCATTGAAATGCTAGATCCAGTCGACAAGATACTTTGCACGCAAGAATCTTAAACTTGGCGAGCTCTCCTCTCTGGAGAAGTATGTCAGCTCCTCGAAGCACTGGGTACCATGCTGTCTTGCGACTAAAGCTGAGAACCTTTTCCACACACTGCTTGAATGTAGCTCCAGTCTCATGTAGCGAGGCTGTGCCTCCATATCCTCGCAGGCTCATATCAATGGTATATATAATATAGAAGCTCTTTCTGAATATTGTTCAGCTCATCGATGAAGACGTCCATATTCAAGCTGCTGACTGCGCTTGTTGTTCCATGTACTCCTCGAGCCACAGGGAGTGTACGTCTTAGCATTGCCTGCGTCGGTGTTTCGTCATCATATATATACAGCAGTACACAAGATATGGATCTGAGCTGTCTTGCAGCCTTTTCAGGTAGGCTGTTAGCGGCATATAGGTCTTCTCTCGCTTCAGACCCTTGACTTGGTTATTGACCATAGTATCAAGGACATGTGAGACTGCGACAGCAAGGCGGTAGAGGTGATCGTCAGAGTATTCGTGGGCGTCATGTAGGTGTGGGCTAAGTGCGAGGATTCTGGTTAGATCATCCGAGTCAAGGTATCCAGGCGGGGCATGCTGAATTAACTGAGCCAATCCTTCCAACAAGTGAGTATCCAGTATGGTGTCTTGTCCGATCCCACTAATAAGAATCAAAAGAAGTGTCCTGAACTGACCAAGATTGAGAGTCGGAGCCAAAGTTAAGGCCTCAGTGATGGTAGCCTCTGTCTTGGCTCCATCGCTAATGAACACCGCGATCATATCTGATACCAGGTCACGAAGGCGCTCATGTTCATCCAGATTGCTCGACGTGGCTAACGACCATTCCTGCTCTTGGACTGTGAGGCCTGTTATTGGGATAGGCACAGAGGAAAGCAAGCCAAGACAATATACGAGGTGACGGTTACTGTCCAGATAAGCGCCTGGATAAGGTAAGTTGTATTTAACGGCCACCCGGGCTACACCGCGTTCAAATATTCCTAAAGGGAGAGTTACGCTGCTACGGCTTGTAGAGGCCCTTGAAGTTTTAATAGTCTTGTAGAATACGTTGCCTTCTTGTTTGGTGCTATCGTAAGCAAAGCTTTTACTAGCGTGATCATCATTTTTGTTTCGGAGATACTGCGTGCATGGGAAATGCTTGAGGCTGAATTGCTCCATTTAATTGCGCGTTCACAACTCCTTTGAGCATGGTCAGGGTGGCCGAGGCTGTCGAATAACTCGCCAACGTCATTCAGAGCGGCAGCAATTTTCTTGCATAATGCTTCGTCTGCGTCTGTTGAAGCAGGGCCCGACGCCCTTTGGTCGGGTTGTTGTACCCGTGAGAGAACAACCTCTGCATCGAAACACATCTCCAAAGCAAGCACAGGGTCCTTTGCCTTTCATGCTTGCTTCAAGTAAATACTGGCGAGGTCAAGGGCCTTTTGTGGCGGGAGTACCCTTTGTCTTGGTTGGCTTTCTAGCCATCCCTTTTTTTTTTTTTTTTTTTTTTTTTTTTTTTTTAAAAAAAAAGCCTGTTTTCCCCAAATTGATATGGTTTATTCGAATCACTCGTTAGGCTTGTGTCATCTGTTATGGAAGAAAAAACCATTTAGCAAAGTGAGTAAAGCTAAACATACTATGAGTACTTGAACCGAGAGAGATATACGAAAATATGGTGAAAGGATGGAAAGAAGAGGAAGGGAATAAAAAAAAAGGGCGAAGAGAATTGCAAATGGTCAGTGACAAGAAAAGCGAGCAGGAAGCGAAGCCATCATCAGCCGCTTAGTTCGCAAAATAAGAATAAAAAAGGGAAACAGATGAAACTTCATGCAAAAATGAAAATGTCAAAGCATACTTGAACTTGATAGTCTTCGTTTAATCTCTATCTTTATGGCGGTAATCGGCACCCAATGGCGCCTCTTTCCGTCAAAGCCTCTGTCTGTGAGAATATTTACACCACTAAGTCCTGACTATAGTGAATGTCCATTTGACTGAAGGATGCTATGAATTTGGATATCATTGAGCTACGCAAACATGTCATGGTGTGGCCAGTTCAAGAAATTTATTTCAAGAATGGCATTTATCGTTCAACCAGACATGGAAAAGTGCGATCGCGGGTTATTTCTTAATGATTTTCTCTGAGCAACATCACTTTATGATGGGAGAGAAGATTGATGACTACAAATCAAGGACAACAAGTTCTCTTTATATCAATGCAAAGGCCACATTGTAGTGTCTTATTTATAATTTTGACATGTCGATGGCTTTATTTGCAATGCAAGCTTTATGCGGATCTTTTTTTTTTTTTTTTTTTTTTTTTTTTTTTTTAATAACATGGTATAGAGGGTATCGTTTTCTTTCTCTCTTCTTTTGTATTGTTTCAAGAAAAGCTATAAGTATACAGGTTGGGAATAAAACATACGAACGAAGACAAACTGGTATACAAAAATAGGAAATGGGATGATGAATGTTTCGTTGTTTTTTTTTTTTTTTTTTTTTTTTTTTTTTTTTTGGCGGCAATGTGTTTGTTGCTTGGTTGTTGTTACATAGCAGTGATTGAATCCTTCCTCTGACCCAAAGGTCCAAATTCATCTTCAAAATTATATGTTGGAACGGTAAATGACAGAGCTGACAGGATGCTACCTGTATTCAAGTTCATGTTCATGCTCATCCATGATGATGCAGATGTCGTTCCCAATTTCTTCATCTGTTCTTTATGTTGTCGTTGTCGTTGCCGCTGACGGTACTCTTGTTGTTGCTTTTGCAGGTGTTGTTGGAATTTCGAAGACGAGAAATCGTCATCGTTGTTGCTGTTGCTGCTGTTGTTACCACTGTGGTTACTGAGTGAACTTGAACAATATCTCAGAGATGCCGATGACGATGACGACATGCTTGCCATCAATGCAGAATGAAGCGCAGCAGATGATCGAGCCGCTGTAAACGACGACCCGAACATGGGCTCATACGGTGAAGGTGATCGTCCTCCAATCGATGATGATAACGAGGAACCATAGTTATTGTTATTATTACCATTGTTGCTACTCGTGCGACCTCCGTCGTAAAGCGCAGAATAGATGGACGCCAATGACGATGTTGATGACGAACTATCTGTTGAGTCGACACTCGAGGTTGAGTCGTTATTCTGCATCATAAGTGGATTGTTGCTATTACTTCCACGGTGTTTCTCCGTTTCCACCCTTCTTGTGGCCGTTAGCACTGATGCTATGTCCCATAATTGTGCCTTCCTCTGACAAGGAAGATAGTGAGTGTCTGCGGCTGCCATTGTTATTAGTGCCATTGTTATGTTTTGAATCCCATGCACCGCTCGAGAGCTGCAGACTACTCCTATTTTTGTTGGAATTTGAGCCAATACCCTGGCCTTGAATAGTTCCTGCTGCAGCAGATACTGCTCTCTTCTGTCTGCTTGCTGGTGTATTACGGCCACGTGGGTTGATGGGCTTGATATTTGTGACCGAGGTTGAGCGTCGAAGCGTCTTGGCCCAGTCGATCGTATCTCCTGATGCTGTCAAGTAAGGGTTATTCTTATAATCACCTGTCACAGACAGTGAACGTGATGGAGGAGGTGGAGGAGGCTTATTGAAAGCTGTGTACCGACGGTTACCGCCTGGAGAGAATGGAGGTCGATTAAACTTGGGAGGAGGTGGGGGCTTTGGAGTAGGGGCACGAACAGGTGGTGGAGCTGGTGTTGCTATAAGTGCGCCGAAATTCTCTTCACTCTTGGAGGTAGTAACAATATAGTAACCCCAGGAAGACGTCTGCAATGGGAATCCAGGCATGCCAGGTGACTGTGGATTGGCAGAGGGGCACCATGGTCGGGGCTTGTCCCAGACAGGCTTATCAGACTTGACTAGCATGTACTTTCGGACCGCGGAAGAATCCATCGACATGGATGTCACTAATTTGCCACGCAAGAACCGATGGTGGCTTGGTTTCCAATTGGGTGAAATAGGTCTGGTGGGAAGAGTTTGTTGAGTACTCACTGTGTTGGATCGTCGCAGCCGAGGGGCAGAGCCCCAGTCGCTATTGCCACTACCAACAAGGGTCTTGTCCTCTGCAGCTTCTTCCTTCTTGATCAGAGCCACGTTGGCTTTTTCTTTCAATCGAATATGATGGGCATGGAGCTTAGTGCCGATGGTGTCAAGCGATGTCTTGAGATTGGACCATCGGTTCTTTAAATTTCTCTGACGCTCCAGCATAGCCAGACTAGGGTATAATGGGGAATGGTCCATAGTTGGAGGTGTGGGTGACGAGGCGGTTGAGTTTGAAGCAGGAGAGAGCTGTGGAGCATCCACAGGAGTTTCAGAAGTTGGCGTTGGTGTAGTAGATGGTACGGTTGCAGCTTTTGATCGGTGCTGGATCTCGCCTTCTTGAACCCAAAACATATTTTCAATAGCTGGTGCTGTCATGTTCTGCTTTTCGTCCAGTTCTTGGAGAACGGATGAAAGCATTTCCATGTCCACTGGTTCTTCGGGATCCATGAAAGATTTGTTATGGGTTGGTGCAGATGATGCAGATGATGCAGATGATGCAGACAGCTCAACATGCGCTTCTGCGATATCGAGCATATCAACGGTCAAAGACTTCCGTAACATGGTATCATCCATTTCGTCTTCTGCTGTTGCTTGAGCATCCAAGGTAGTAAGGATGTTGACACACATCTTGTGGAAAATCTCGACAGGCTCCAACATACTCTCAATTTGCTTAGCCATTTTCTCAATCCGTGTCCTCCATCGATCACATTCTTCGAGATCCCGCCAGAGCTGGTCTTTACGTGTCCGAAAAGCATGCCAGTCCTTGAGCAACTCTCTGTAGAGTTTATGCATTACATATTTCTTTTCCGCAATTGAACCCCCCTCTTGCTGCTTCAGGTTCCTGCCAGCTCTGCTCTTGAAGAGCTTGCTAGATCGTGTACATTCTGGGTAGGATTTCTGGAGGGTATCGATCTGAAGCGCTAATAATCCCATTCTCGAGTCTAGCTCCAGCATGTCATTGCTATCGACGCCGGACGTCGTGGCTCGTGCTCGTAATGAGCTAGCACTGTCTTGACTGTTCAAACTGGTGGAGCTTTCATTCCATGAATTAATATCTTGCAGAGCCAATTCGGCGGTCCGTTGCCTGTCTGCTGCAATGTCCCTCAGGCACTTTTCAAGGATCCCTGTCGCCATCTGAGTCTGTTCAGTCATGTTACGGACGCTTTGGATCCCATCACGAAGTCGTTGATGCTCTCGAATAGATCCACTGAGGTCATTGACGATCCCACGAAACCGAGACCATTCACTCAAAACTGTTTCGATCTCTGGACTGAGATGAGCCTGTGAACCATCATCATCCTTCGGTAATGGTGTTGATGACCGTTCAGAAATCGCCTCCTCCAACTGCAACAAAATCTCAATACTTGATTCTATGGTAGATTCATATTGTCCAAACCCTGAGACAACATCCTGAATTTCAGCTTCGAGTTCTTCATCCTCCTCTTCGTCTCTTTGAAATAATTGCTGCAGGGATTGTGGTTGTGATGATTTTTGCTGTTGTGAAGGCGGTTGATGAGATGCTGAAACAGTTTCAAGGAGAGACATGGCAGCCTTAATCCATGTCAAGAGTTGTTGTGACCCAGAGAGTTGACGCTCTTGTAAAAGATCAATTGGCATTTCATTCTTAAGGATCAATGTATGATAAAGGACCTTGTATGGCAAGGGTATTTGCTCCAGCTCTGTGACCTCCGCTAGGCCATCTAATCGTGATGATGACACGGGCGTCATGGGTTTTGGAAGAGTGCTTTGTATTTATAATAAAAGCTTTGATGCAAAAAAAAAAAAAAAAAAAAAAGAGTCGACTGTGCCAGTGTAGCTAGTCTCTCTATCACTCTTTCTTTTTTAAAAATGTAAAAGCAAGGTGGTTGATGTGATTTTTTTGAATTTCTGGAGCCGAGCTGTTGTGTTTGATAGTCTTGAAGGAAGAGCAGGAGTAGGGGCAAAGATATGTATTGGTGTGTCTGTGAATGGGTGTTAGTGTGAGGTATGAAAGAAGAAGGAAGTAAGAGAGAGAAAGAGAGGGAGGTGTAAGTTGGGAGAGCAATGCTGTCAATCCTAAAATAAAACGTTTAGAGCGCAAAAAGGAGAAGTAGGTTAGACTTTTTTTCTTGATGAGAGCATCAAATAATGCCAAAAAGACGACATGACAGGATGGGTAGCATGGAGTCGATGGAGGGTAGATATCAAGATAGAAAGAGTGAAACAAGGGACAGATTCCCTTGGAGTAATTCTATTGACCACAACGCATATCTTATTTGAAAATGTTTGAGACAGAAAGGGGGGGAAAGAGGAGACACCAAAGCCATGGTGGTCATGGCAATGATGATAATAGTGGGACAACGGGTGCAAAATAAAAACTTTCTGCCCTCACGATTGACTGAACGTTCACTTGATATTCCAATATATATTATTGGCATGTGCTATTACTTTTTTTTTTTTTTTTTTTTTTTTTGTCAGAAATACATTGGATCGCTCATTGGGCCAAAAGAGCACCGAAAAATAAATGCAATTAAGCCAAAACTACTTTCGGATAGATTTTGACAAGAGCAAGACAATTACAGTCCAAGGACAGCTCCGAGGATATGAGAGTGAAGCAGTCCTATTGATATATAAATACACACATAAAGGCCACGAGGGTAGCTTGTAACATTGCTCTTTTTTTTCACCTCTCCCAGGAATAGGATGCATGAAGAGCTCTCTTCTGATAGTGTAATGCATTTGTAAGATATTTCACTCTTCCTCCTCCTCCCTCACACCATTTCAAAGGAAATTAAAGAGGCGACAACAGTGGTCATTAAAAATAAATTCATGTGACCAATATTTCAAACAATAGGACAGATTTGGAAGACAAGAAAGGAACACAGGCTTCCCTTAACATTTTCTGTTGTTCTTGCTGTTGCTTGCTAAGTGATCAATGCACTGCATGTCCATACATTATGACATATTAGATGAGATCAATCTTCTTCTTTTTTTTTTTTTTTTTTTTTTTTTTTGGATACACAAACGCGCAAAGAAAAACTCGATGAGATGAAAAGCTGTGACTCGTCGCTAGTGAAAGAAACAAAGATTGGAAATTCGAATACGCGACCAATAAAAAAAAAAACGCGAGATCAGACCTTTTTTCTCTATACCTGCACTCCTTACTCGCAGTCTGAGTGAAAACGTAGGAAGATGAGCATAAAAAAGTGGAAAAAAGTAGTGGCCAAAGGAGCCTTCTCTTTGAGACATTGTGTCATTATCATCGTAAGAAAAAGTATAGATGATGTACGTGCGTTTGTAGGTGTGAGTGTGTGCATGAGTGTGAAATCGAGGTTAGAACCGCCAAAAAAAAAAAAAAAAAAAAAAAAAAAAGGAGAAGGGCAAGAGACTACTATGCCACTATGCTGTAACGCTGCTGTTTTGCTCTGCCCTTACAACTGAAAGAAGGCCCTATCTCTGAGTCCTCGAGGATTTTGGATTTCCTTCGACCCATGAGTACTCAATGGCTCTTTTAGGCCTGGTGGAGTTTTTTTTTTTTTTTTTTTAATACTTGTCATTTGTCTAACTCTCATTGCGAACTGTTCTCGTTTGTGCATGGGTAGAAGGGGGTACCATGCATAAATGTGTTTGTGTGTGTGTATATGAATATGTGCGTGTGCGTGAATGTGTACGCGTGAATAGTGTGCAGTGTGCTATTTTTATTGTTACTCACCAAGGTAGGGGGAGTGCAATGTGCAAGGTTCAATTGATAGAATACTAGTGGCAATGGCGATAGGAAAACGATAGAAATGGTCGCTTGATGTCTGCTATTGATTAGCCGAGTTGTTTGCTGAATGGAAAACAGAAAAAAAAAAAAAAAAAAAAAGAGGCTGGCTGTTCAAGTGGTAGGAATCAAATGAGGAATGAATGCGTGAACAAGTATTGGTGTATTGACAAGCATGAGGAAAGAAGAAGTTAAAGGAAGGAAAACGTTGTGTGAGGTGAGGGAGAGAAGAGGAAGGATTTGGAAGGACGTAGAAAATGAAGAGATAAAGAAAGAAAAGGAGGATATCATTGGGATGTTAGGGCCGAAGCATTGGTTATTATTTTGCAGGAATGAAAATGCCAGTGGGGGTGGTAAACATGGCATGGTAATGCATGACACATCGGTACTGCTCACTCTTTTTTTTCTGTTTTATTTAATGCATGCCCTACCCACTTTTCTTATTTTTTGTTCCTGTGGTTCTTTTTTTTACTTTATACTTTCAGAGCGTGTGAGTGTGCGTGTGAGAGGTAAATACGAGTGAGGGGTAGTCATGACAAAACATCTCGACAACAGACCCGATGTCATGATGCATTGGAGCCTAGTCTCTCATACACACCCTTTGGCACATGCGACAGAAACAGACATTCAGGGCAGACAGACAGGAAGGACAGACAGAGAGAAACTGTCTGTCCTCTATTGCAATGCAATGTTGGAGAGTGCGAATACATATAAAATTTGTTCTTTCAATAGATACGGGAGAGGCGAGATGGAAGGATGGGAGGTGTGGATAGGATTGCCATATGATAATTGAGAACCCATAGTAAACACAATCTAAGGGGAAATAGACGAAACACGAGCACGCGCTTGTCCTTTTTACCCTTTGCTCCCAACACAAAAAAAAAGACCCACGCCTACGCCACCTTTTGTCACTCCCCTTTTGCGCAGATGTGGGGGGGGGGGGTCTAATTGTCAATTTTGTCATTGCGTTGATTTGGTCTACTTGACTGAAATGCTTATCTCATTGGAAATTGGAGGCTGTAAAGAAGGTGCTCCCGTTTTTGAAGGTTTTTTAATATTTACCTGTGTGTGTGTGTGACAAAAAACAAAATGTTAAAAAGATGGGCACTGAAGTAGAATAAGGAGAAAAAGGAATGAGAGAGAGAAAAGAGAGAGGAAGTAGAAAAACGAGCAAGGGTAATGGAGAGAAAGAACAGGGTTGATAAATTAGAATGAATAGAATGAGAGGGAAGAAGGAAAGAAAGGCACAGGCTGCATACCCTGTTTGGAACACCCTTTGGTTCTTTCTTATTGTTACTCCTTAACCCCTTCCAGATCTGTTTGTTCTGTTTATATGGTGTGTTTCGTATGTAGTTGGATGCTCTCTCCGACGGAATATGGTGGTTAATATGCATTAACTCGATCGTTCAGCATCATTGTCATCTTCACCTTCATCTCTTTATGCAAAAAAAAGAATAAAAAAAAAACTCCTGCGTCTTCATGTGTGCAGTATGGATGGTTTGTTGAATTCACTGGTTCACTCAATATATAGTACGTATTTTGAATCATATATATATAATTGATTCATTCATTTCTTTCAAAAGGAAAATTCTTCATTATTGGGATCTTTATTCCCCCTGCCACCAATTATTTTGTTCCTGTTCTCCCCCGCCTTCCTCCACAAGGCTCAGTTAAATGTCAAACCATATCATGTCATGCCTCAATATTCAATAGACTGTGGACAACTCTATTCTCTTCTAATAAGAACATTAGCCTGCAGAGCCGAGTTGATCCATCTCTTCTGACCTGTATTCCCTCACTCCGTTGCACTCACTGTGATCGAAAAGGAACACATGTCCTAACGCGTGAACATTACACATTTCTATGCTTAGCGTCAATATTTTATGCCACTATGGGCGTTTTCTTTCGTATTAAACGCTTTGTGAGAAAGTCGGACCCTTTCTCTTGTGTTCCCTCATGCATTCATGAAGGATTTCTTTTCTTGAAAACTACATGCGCGTAGGACAGAACATGTGTTATAGTTTCTTGTAGCCCAACAACATTTTTAAAAAGGTACCCTTCTGCATGTTATACTTGCATGCATCCATATCTGTAAGTACCCACCATTTCCTCTTCCCAGCTATTTCTCTTTTTCCGTTTCTCCCAACACGATTTTACCGACAAGCGGGATCTAATCTTGATATATAAACTTACTACCAGCTCCATAGGCCATTAATGGCGTTTTTTTTTTTTTTTTTTTTTTTTTTTTTTTTTTTTTCACTAGCCATCCCACTGTAGCCCATACAAGGAAAGAGCTTTTCCCGCTTCCCCCATTTGAGATGTCCCGCTCTTTTTTATTCTTTGCTGCTATCACCATCCATTCGTCCCTTCTTTCCGTTATAGGAAAAAGCTTGAATAGAGTACGAACACTAGGCTCGACCCAGCCCTCTCTAGTTTGAAATGTGACAGGAAACATATCAGTTTCCTTTTTAGGTCATATATGACTAGAGGGGCTGGAAGAATTTTTGAGTGTTTTGGCTTGGATCCCAAAAAGGAAGTGTTATATTTTTGTTTTAGAATAGCAATTTAATTCAATCAGCACTCATTTCACTTCGAAGCATGCTTGAAAATTTTCGATTGAATTGAGCCACCTATTCTAAAAACTAAGCGATTTCCTTTTTGGGATCCAAGCCAAAACACTCAAAAATTCTTCCAGCCCCTCTAGACTGAGGTGACCTTAAAAGGAAACTGACATGTTTCCAGGTCACACTTCAAGATAGAGAGGGCTGGGACGAGCCTATACGAACACATTCAACGGAAAGAAAAGTAAGGGGAGAGACCAAGTTTAGGGAGAAAGGAGAAGAAGGAATGAGCACGTGTGTTGTGGCTCAAATAACACCGCGATTGACGCCCGAACGTTTCTGGTTGTCGTTATCAATTTATTTTAGACCTTTCTAGTTCTGGAGCGGCAAAGCGATCGCATGTGAAGTCTCATGTTAATATGGCGTAAGCAACAACAACAAACAATGTAATTAAGTAATTGCCCAATGCCCAAGAGAAAAACAAAAAGTCGAAAAAGAAGGAATAAGCCCAACACATCCCAAAGCCAAGAATGGGACCTCTCTTTTTCCTTTGAAACACATCATGTCTTTCTTCAATTTAAAGAACTAGTTCTGCAAAGTATGAGATACAAGCCTCTCTAGCTGCTTTGGTCCTTCTAACTGATCCAGCAATTGACTTGGCTTGACCAGCAGACCTGGCCCGATCTAACAATATGGTAGTTTACTCAAATAACGGACGTCCAAAATCAAACTTATCTGAACCCAAGATATTCCTGAAAGGCGGAGAACTGAATGCTGACTTGAATCCTCTTTGCAGTTGAATAGCTTCATGAGAGGGGAACTTCAATATCCACAGGCTGTATGGTAGGAAAGTCTTTGTACAATATGATAATACATGTCTCATCCCAAACCCCACTCAAGGGAAAAAGTGCCAGCTTGGTCCATTTGTGGCTGACAAATTCTTTTACACTATAGCAGTGTTTTTTTTTTTTTTTTTTTTTTTTTTTTTTCATTTTTCGTTGACCTTTCCCTCGATCTGCGCTGATAAATTGGAATTTAATTGTTTCCAAGAAGGTAAAAAGCGTTATTATCGCCTCCTCCTCTATCCTCTAAATTATGTCAATGCCATCTTGTAATTAGAGACTCGAGTTCATGCCGAAAATAACAAAGGGTCGTCGACTGCGGACTGCATGGATAAAGGACACGAAATGAATTATCAATCTTTTATTTATTTATTTTTTTTTGAAAAAAAACAGTATGTCATAATAAAATAAAAGTCTCGAGAACACAAGGCCGGAATCTAATCTACAAATATATCAACATTGACTTATCTCCTTATTTTCTGCCGGCATCGATGCAATATTTCAAGCTTAGAACACGTTGGCAAGGGGTGTAATTCGATTGAATCGCTCGCTCATTGTTATTTTCAAGACTTTCCTTTTCGACATAGCTCAGACTTGCTGCTTGTGTAAATAGTGTTGGACATAGAAAAAGAAAACTTTTGTTAGATACTTTGAACAAGAAAAGTTAATGAAACACGTGAAAGTTTTTATTGTCATTTCCGAGCCTTTAAGGGAGCCATGATTGGGAGTAAAAAGACTAACAACGCGATAGTCTGGACAGAAGGATGAAGAACTTTGATGTATAGCACGCCAGGACATAGGCTGATACAGCATCTGATATGTAGGGTGCATATCTACCGCATGGATAGCGATACCCATGGTAAATATCGATATATACTGACGTCTATGCAAGGCAAAGTTTGGTTTGCGATGCTTATTCCCGATTCCAACCTTTTAGTGTCAAGAGCAAAGGCGTAAACAGGAACCTCGACCACTAACAGCTTCAGCACGCTATTGGCACAGTTTTGAGGCAACGTGAGTTAAAATTTCCCAATGTGTTTTTGCACCTAAAGGCCAAATAGATATGAGCGGCACAGATGACAGACAGAGTAACAAGCAGTAGCAAATCGAATCTGTGCTGGTCGCCGCAACAGTCTCTTCGAAAACTCTTTTGTGGTGACTCTTAATATGGGATTTATGGGCAAATATCCTTTCTTTCTGACAATTACCATGCCCATGACCATGAAAAGCGTACTTTTACGCAGCAGAATTTGAATAGGAGGGGATCATCATCATGGAATATCCCTCAATGCACTCCTTTAATCTGGTTTAAGAATGGGGAGGGTCGCACAAGAGTTTAGAAATGCGACCAGAAATGGTCACTATAGAGATCTACAGTATACAGATCTCGATTAGGCTTGATCGCTATCCCTCCCGAACTGATGTGCGCTTTTTTGGCACATGCCTAAAACCTCTATGGCCTCTCCAGACGGATATGGCTTATCCTGGTAGAGAGAGAGGACCGTAGTTTCAGCCTGGTAGATGCATGTACTAACTACCAGAGGAATAAAATATGCAAGGTTCACAGTCTCTAATTGAATGCATTGCCTCAGACTCTGATCCAGCTGGGTTCGTTGCTAGAAACAATCTAGTGGTACTAGATGAGGATAGCACACAAACTTCTTACTAATGATATCCCTCTACGTAAAGCATGAGATGAATATTCAAGGCAAAGGTTCCATCGGATGCCATCGTATCGATTTTATAGCTTCAAGTGTGAACAACATGCTTTGATCGAGTATCCCAAATGGATAAAGTAGCTTCGCCTGTTTGGTAATATGATACATGAGTACACAGTCTTTCCGTCAACCATCTCACATATACGCATCACTGCAGCTTCATAGAACCAAATGTTGAGAAAATTTATATTTTTGTTATGGCAGCAAGATTTCTTTGATTGAGTGTCCCACAAATTCATTGCTTCGTCGATTTAATTCCCTGATCGCGTATCTCAAAAGCTTAATTCTACTATAAACTCACTTTCCCCACACGAATAAAGAAAAGGAACAGGAATGTATGCTTTTGTATAGCTTACCTGCGTGCCCCTATTCAATCATTTCTTAAAAAATAGTTAAAAGGCCATTGTAAGGGTGTTGTAGAATCTAATCTCCATTGAAAGAGCCTTTCAAATTGTTACTGCAACTGTTTTTTTTTTATATATATAATAGCAGGTCCTCTCTCACCTTTTTTCTCTTCTTTTCTTCACACACAATACAACACTCCAAACAAAAACAGCTCACCAGATCTCTACTACCTATCCAACATCATGAAGTTCTCCACCACTGCTGTCCTTTCCATGGCTGTTGCCGCCTTGGTTATGTTCGCTCCCAACTCAGTTGGTAAGATCCTTACAATTATCTATGTGCATGTCTGTTTTTGAGTTTGCGTGCTGCATTTATGCACTGTTCAAGTATATTAAACACTTCATCTCGTTATATCGCATCTATCTGTTTAATTGGCTGATCTAGATGCATCTTGTCGAGATGACTGCCTCATATCCTTAAATCTCTGTCTCGGGTCCCATCCTAAACCTTACTGCAATAGTTTACTCAACTTGTGCTTGCTCGGCTGCAAGTGATAGTAAAGATGTTGAAAGCAAAAATACGCATTATGAGCTACTCTTCTCATCATTAGGAAGTTCAATACTAAACGATGTGAGAGGTGTAAATAAATAAAAAGATATTTTGGCTTAACTTTGCAATATGACACATTCATTGAGCCTCTTATAAGAGGTACTGTACATAATAATGGGCGTAACCAACGCCAAAGTGCAAAGTAGCTGCTCGCCTATAGCATATTACAACCCTTTTAGAGACCCTATATGACCCTTTAGACGAATAGCTTAGTAAAATCATCGTTGCAGTAGATAGAAGTGAGAGTGAAAGTGAGGGAGTATTTGACAGGCACAGCATATTGAGACTGAAAGCAGCAGCGTTAGATTTGAGAATGCATTACTGCATGAAGCAGCTTGTTCTTGATGTTTTGGTCTCCACAAAGCTTGACTAAGAGTGTGATTTGGTTCGGCTTCTAACATAGTAGATCGAAGGTCCTGATCTGCTCTTGTTAGTGTCCTATATGCATCCTTCAAAGAAGGCGGACACAATGCAGTGGAAACAATAGGCTCTTGCCACTGAGCAGTGTCTGTGATATGCATGGTATAGACAACTGAAGTCAAAGCTTGACGAAGCCTTTACTTTACTTATTTCTCTTTAATAGAATGAAATGGCAAGCGCCACCAAGCTTGGAGTTTGGGTAGGGCTACATCTACGCTTCAACAGAGGATGTTCTCTTTGTTCCCTTGAAGCACCGTTAGGATGTATTCAACACAATGATTCAAGGATAGAAACACATTAGCGAGAACGCGCGAGCAGCGATGCCCTTGCAAATATGGGTGTGCAGTTGTAGCAATGATATGCACTACATCATATTATAACTGTCTGTTCTGTTGTAAAGCTGCTTTATTGTACTTTTGTGCATGCTACTTCCCTATTTCAAGTCCTACTCCACTTTTTTGTTCTTTTCTACAGCTTCGACGGAGGACTCAATGCTGGATCCAAATGTCATTAATATCAATGACAGCAGGTCAAACATTAAGCGCATTGGATTAGGGCAATTGTACACCAACAATGCATTCCTCGAAGAGTCATAAAAGGCTATTTCCCGACCTGATCGATAGCCTTTGCAAGGCCAACTACATAAAATGCATCGAACAGAGCAAATGGCAGGTAAAGAGTGCTTAGCATACTTGAACAGTATACAAATGCAACATACACAAACACAAGTATAAACATGCACATGGATGGGCGTGAAAGCCTTACCTGCTACCGTAGGAGTGAACATAGCCAAGAAGGCAACATGAAAAAGATAAAGATGCTTGAGAGCCTCATGATGTGGAATGGATGGTAGAATTCTGAGAAGTCTTTATAAAAGAACAGAAAATAAAGGAATATACAACCTGGAGATAAAAAGCGCCTTATACATATGTATTGATGCTTGCATCTCTGAGCTCTTTAGAGTGGAGGATTGCTTAACGGATCATCTCCCATGATTCATCATCCATACTCTTACAGATTATCCCAGTTGTGCCGGAGACTAGAGATACCCATCAAATATAGGGCAGGAAGCTCTTGTTCTGATGAGAATACAATAAGGTTTTGGTATGCGCTGCCGGAAATAGTCGTGGTGACTATCGCCTTATCCCTGAATTTGAAAATAAGATTTTTGCGACCAAAAATGGTCGCAATTTGGAAAAATTTAGGGTAGTTTTTTACATGTGTTTTGTACGCATAATAGAGACCTTGCGAAACATTTTTTGTTGTAGAAATAAAGGTTGCTCTTGTAGGCTGCAAAGACATTCTACAAAGGCAAAATGTAGAATTTTTACGTATAACATGGGTTTATACGTTAATTCATAAATTAGCCAACTTTTATTCTAACTTCGCTTCCAAATTGGAGAAATAGGCCATCAATGGCACCAATTCTCTTTTGTTCTACGTTTTTTGTCAAAAAATGTAGAATGTCTCTTCTACAAGCATAAATATTTTCAAAAAGTCATTATAGCCAAAATTAGGTTTGATTTTTCGAATAAGGTTCCGAAACCCTACATTTGTGAGTTTCGCAAGGCCTCTAATATTATAGCTTATTTTTCTCAATGCAATTCTGCTTTGCTTTCAAGCAAAGAGGAGCCCTACATGTAGCGCATATCCATTCTGATCGTGAGGTGGACTTCATGCCTTCCTTAATACCCATAACCCTGCAGTTTTTACATGCCATCCTACTCTTAACATCCTTCCTTCACTTTCTTTGGTTCTTATCGGGAAATGAAAGCCTGGTAGATGTCGACGAGGGCTTGGAAGAGAGTGCTTAGTAATATATGGGCCTTTTGATATCTTGAAAGTAGCCTCCAGAGACTCATTAGTTTCTACGTTTCTCTTTGAGTTCCTTTGCTCGATGACAACTTGAGACTTAGCGATAAAAGTTGGTTTACAAGATTTAAACGAAATTGGCGATGTCCATCTTTTTTTTTTTTTTTTTTTTTTTTTGATCCTTTCCTAGTATACCATAGTATGTATGAATTGACGATACTTATATCTAATAGCCACAAGAAGAGTGGCATCCAAGAACGAATGGGCCTCATCTGCACACTAGTGTTGGCGAAGTCACCCGAAGTGATATATTGTGAAAGCAAAGTCGAGTTTCCATCGTGATTGCGGGTGATACTAACATCCATTTCCTCATCAAACAATGTGAGTTCACCTTCAAAGTATGAGGGCCAGAAACCTTTGAAGTCATCAAGTTGGGATTGATAGTCTTCATCATTAACATTGTATTGCAGATCCATCGTGTACTAGATAGAAGTTGAAGGGAAATAGCATAAAAGCCTAGCGGTATGGAAGCGTAGAAAAGTAGGGCTTTTATTGTTATTCTCTCTCAGTATGTCACCAAATGCCTCTGAAAGACATGAAGGCATAGTTTCAATTGAAATAAAAATAGATTAACCATTCTCATTCTCAAATGAATGAAGGAAAAAATAAGCTCATGGTTTGGTCGTCGTATAAGAACGTGCATGCTGAATGAATCATCATAATGAAATGCATTTCTTAATGCGCTCCCGTAATACCAGAGATCAAGTTCTTTTAATTTAGCTTAAGAATGGGGGGGTCGCAATTAGTAGAATGTTGTTTAACTGAGCACTTAGTAAAAAAAAAAAAAAAAAAAAAAAAAAAAAAGAAAAAATTGCGACCATTTTTGGTCGCAATTAAGGATAAGGGATACAAGGCTGGGTCTCCTTTGATTTTGGATCGGGGACACTTCGCGTTTTAGGTTATGGAGTTCAGCTACCGTGGATATTGTACACGCCTCGATTCTGTGATATTCCACCTCAAGAGATCGAATGCGGAGTTGAATCGTCAAAAGCTACAGGCTGAGCCAATAGTTCTCTATTCGTTTCACTTGAGCCTTATGTTCACTCCTACGGTAGCAGGTAAGGCTTTCACGCCCATCCATGTGCATGTTTATACTTGTGTTTGTGTATGTTGCATTTGTATACTGTTCAAGTATGCTAAGCACTCTTTACCTGCCATTTGCTCTGTTCGATGCATTTTATGTAGTTGGCCTTGCAAAGGCTATCGATCAGGTCGGGAAATAGCCTTTTATGACTCTTCGAGGAATGCATTGTTGGTGTACAATTGCCCTAATCAATGCGCTTAATGTTTGACCTGCTGTCATTGATATTAATGCCATTTGGATCCAGCATTGAGTCCTTCGTGGAAGCTGTAGAAAAAAACAAAAAAGTGGAGTAGGACTTGAAGTAGGGAAGTAGCATGCACAAAAGTACAATAAAGCAGCTCTACAACAGAACAGACAGTTATAATATGATGTAGTGCATATCATTGCTACAACTGCACACCCATATTTGCAAGGGCATCGCTGCTCGCGCGTTCTCGCTAATGTGTTTCTATCCTTGAATCATTGTGTTGAATACATCCTAACGGTGCTTCAAGGGAACAAAGAGAACATCCTCTGTTGAAGCGTAGATGTAGCCCTACCCAAACTCCAAGCTTGGTGGCGCTTGCCATTTCATTCTATTAAAGAGAAATAAGTAAAGTAAAGGCTTCGTCAAGCTTTGACTTCAGTTGTCTATACCATGCATATCACAGACACTGCTCAGTGGCAAGAGCCTATTGTTTCCACTGCATTGTGTCCGCCTTCTTTGAAGGATGCATATAGGACACTAACAAGAGCAGATCAGGACCTTCGATCTACTATGTTAGAAGCCGAACCAAATCACACTCTTAGTCAAGCTTTGTGGAGACCAAAACATCAAGAACAAGCTGCTTCATGCAGTAATGCATTCTCAAATCTAACGCTGCTGCTTTCAGTCTCAATATGCTGTGCCTGTCAAATACTCCCTCACTTTCACTCTCACTTCTATCTACTGCAACGATGATTTTACTAAGCTATTCGTCTAAAGGGTCATATAGGGTCTCTAAAAGGGTTGTAATATGCTATAGGCGAGCAGCTACTTTGCACTTTGGCGTTGGTTACGCCCATTATTATGTACAGTACCTCTTATAAGAGGCTCAATGAATGTGTCATATTGCAAAGTTAAGCCAAAATATCTTTTTATTTATTTACACCTCTCACATCGTTTAGTATTGAACTTCCTAATGATGAGAAGAGTAGCTCATAATGCGTATTTTTGCTTTCAACATCTTTACTATCACTTGCAGCCGAGCAAGCACAAGTTGAGTAAATTATTGCAGTAAGGTTTAGGGTGGTTCTGGAGACAGAGATTTAAGGATAAGAAGCATTTATCTCGACAGGGATTGGCATCTAGATCAGCCAATTAAACAGATAGATGCAATATAACAAGATGAAGTGTTTAATATACTCGAGCAGTGCATAAATGCAGCACGCAAACACAAAAACAGACATGCACATAGATAATTGTAAGGATCTTACCAACTGAGTTGGGAGCGAACATAACCAAGGCGGCAACAGCCATGGAAAGGACAGCAGTGGTGGAGAACTTCATGATGTTGGATAGGTAGTAGAGATCTGGTGAGCTGTTTTTGTTTGGAGTGTTGTATTGTGTGTGAAGAAAAGAAGAGAAAAAAGGTGAGAGAGGACCTGCTATTATATATAAAAAAAAAAAAACAGTTGCAGTAAGGATTTGAAAGGCTCTTTCAATGGAGATTAGATTCTAGAACACCTTACAATGGCCTTTTAACTATTTTTTAAGAAATGATTGAATAGGGACACGCAGGTAAGCTATACAAAAGTATATATTCCTGTCCCTTTTCTTTATTCGTGTGGGAAAAGTGAGTTTATAGTCGGATTGAGCTTTTAAGGTACGCGATCAGGGAATTAAATCGACGAGGCAATGCGTTTGTGAGAGACCTAATCAAAAAAGCCTTGTCCTCGTAGGAAAGTAACCGTAGAAGCATGAAGTGTATGCTGTCTTAACTCAGCTGAGTCTGGGACAATCCACTCACGAGTGTTGCATATTTCAATATGCAAAATAATAATGACCCGGCTAAAAACTAGGAAAAATATAAAAAAACACAGTAGGAAATTTCCAAGCAGTACAATAACTCTAACGCGTCACATAAAGACGCGATAAAACACTGACATGAGGGTTCCTGAATAAGCCCATGTCGCTTTATAGATAGATATGTAGTTACTTGGTACAAGTCCCTCTACCAGGAAATGAATAAATACCCCATGGATGTGGTGTATGGACCGACATCTTATTCTCACTTACTTTAGTTCCCCATAACTACTTATCTATCCAAATATTTTTCAGATATCTTGCCGTTTTCCTTCGGGCACGATGTCTCGTAGATTGTCAGAATCTTGAATAGCATGAATGTATGCTAACATTGGTTCATTATGCACATCTAATGCTTGTTGTCTTAAAGTCATGCGTGCTGGGAATAGACGTGATAAAGCGTCAGGTAAAACATTGAGCACCCCTGGTCGGTAATGCACCGTAAATGAATATCGTAGTATTACGTCCTGCCAGTTAGGCATCATAGCATTCATATCAGGTTGGGAGTGAATAAACATTAATGCACCATGATCCGTGTACAGGTCAAAGCAGTTGCTCCTATTCGAACTGAAATTTTGTCAATTGATATTTATTTTTTTAATCTGAAACGTCATAAATGACAAAATTTCAGTTCGAATAGGAGCACTGCTTTGACCTGTACACGGATCATGGTGAAATTTGTTGAGTGCAAAAACGATGGCTAACAACTCTTTTTTCGTTGCGCTGTATTTTCGTTCGCTTTGATGGAGCGATCTGGCCATGAAAGAAATATAATTTATATTTTTTGGGTAAGACATGCCACGGGGCAGTTGGTATAATACCGCACCAATTCCGACATCAGACGCATCAGTTGCCACATAGAATGGTAGACTAAAGTCGGGAAAGGATAAGACAGGTGCATGAGTAAGCAGACGCTTTAAGGCATTGAAAGATTGTAATTGGTCGTCATTCAGTGTGGAAATATCTGTTCGACATCTCAGAGCATCCAAAGGTGCAGCAACTTCACTAATGAGTGGTATATATTCGCGGAAAAAGTCGAATGTGCCTAAGTACGATTGAATTTGCTTGGCAGTAGTTGGAGGCTCCCAATCATCGATATTTGCGAATTTAGAGGGGTCAACGCTTTTACCATGCAGGCCTATTATGAAGCCGAGCAATGAGATTTGCGTACTGTGGAAATTACATTTACCACTGTTGATGATTAACTTGGCATCGTTGAGGCGAGTAATCACAGTGCGTACATGTTCGGCGTGTTCTTCTCTGTTCTTTGAAAAAATAACAATATCATCAATGAAGTTGTAAACGAAAGGAAGATCACCAAGGATGCGAGACCTCGTTGAAATAGACTGGACAATGGTTTCAGGCCAAAAGGTGCCTTCTTAAACATATATTGTTTACCCTGGTGCATAAATGCTGTTAAGGGCTGATCTGCCTGATTAATAGGCATGCGATGATATGCTTGCGACAGATCAATGGTTGTGAAAATTGCATGCCCAGCAAGACGAATAATAATATCATTGATAAGGGGTAAAGGAAAACTATCATCTGGGAGGTGTTTATTCAGTGGTCGGGGATCAAGACAAACCCGCCATAATGTTTTATTGCCATGTTCATCCTTCTTCGCAGTGAGCGTAAGGGTATTGCTATGGACATTGCCCACAGGGGCTAGCGTAATGACATCATCCTGCAGCCATTTATCGATAGCTTCATTCAGGATGGACATTTGTCTTTCGGCAAAGGGACGTGAACGCCTATAGAGGACAGTACCCTCTGGGATAGGAAGAAATACTTTCATTTCAGGTACAGGGCATGGGCTTTGTTTAGGTATCCGAGCATGTGAAATCTTTTTCATAAAGACTTTTTTCTCAATAATAAATGTTTCGGTATGCTCTTCTTCCGGTACAGAGCCAGGAATGAGGGAAGGACGTTTGTCTTCCTCAGGTTCAGGTAGCTGATTAGCACCTTGCCCTGGATTATGGCAGCCTGAGAGTCCAAACCCAAGTTGATAAAATAGATCCATCCCTATGATAAAGGGGTATGATCGATTGATCACTTCTAACGTCGCAGACACGATCCGACTGCCGTATACGACTTCTATATTTTCAACCACACCTATACGGGGAATAGTTAAGCTTTCATCAGCCAGAGTGGTAACACTTGAAACAGGGGAGATCTCTTTGTTGTGTTTAAGAATAATATCTTTTCGGACACATGTAACACTTGCGCCTGTATCAACCAAAGCTTCGTATTTTTCCCCTTCGAAAGTAACAAGAACTATGATCCTTTTGTCAGCTTTCTCTTGATTGAGATGGAGCTTGGCTAAGGTATGGGCATCATCGTTAGGGATAACATTCGAGGAAGATAAAGATGAAACTTTTATATGAGAAGGTGAGTGTATAAATTCAGATTCAAGAGTAGCAGTAACACATTGATCATGCCATAATAATGTTTTAGGATTGATTGATTCCATAGAAATTCTAGGCTGGGTGCCAAAGATCATCAATGGTGGTTTCAAGAGAGATGGATTCCGATATGTTTGAGCATGATCAGATAGATCTAGTAGATTTTTGGGATGTATTGAAGTCTTTGCGTTTTTACTATCTTCTATTGAACGATCTTCAGTTAAGTTATCGATTAACCGAGGTAGACTTGTTGGAGCCTGTGTATTATCAGTAGAGTTTGACAGATTGTTATCAAAGACTGTTTGCTTATTCAGTGACACGATATTATTTGATTTAGGACGATTCTTACCAGATCTACTGTTATGTCTGGTACATTCGGACGCCAGATGTCCGCGTGCATTGCATTTTGCACATTGCTTGTGTCCATCCGTATTATGGGAGAAATTTTTGCCACAATGCTGGCAGTCATAGAGGGACTTTGATTTAGCCTCCTCATTGTGGGCTTTGCCCTTAGGATTATATCTTTCATCAGACGCTCGTGCGCGGCGCATTGGGCCTGTGTCACGGCGATGAGGTGCAGGATTATCACTGGGGACAATCTCTTGTGGGATGTGGGGGCCAGTAAGGCCTCCCGGAATCTTTGTGAACTCGGAGATCGACTTGAAGGCGAGCACCGGTTCTTGTTTCAGGACTTGTAGCCTGGTGATCATAAGATCGAGCATGAAGGTTTTTACTGTGGCCGTCAGGAGGGAGGTGACCATCTCGCTATCGTCGCTGATACCGTATACCCGTACGTCTCGGTCCACCCGCATGGCAAATTGATGATAAGTCTCGCGTGTGCCTCTGCCAGTTTCAAGTAATTTCTTAAACTGTGACATACGTTCTTGTTCCGTAAGAGCGATCTTCAGGAAGGTCGCTTCACACTTCTCCCAGGTTTTCTGATCTTCAGGAAGTTTTTCCAGTTCCTGTTCGAGGTACTGGCGATGGTACTCGCTGACCGTCAGGTAAAGCAAGTACCGACCACAGGACCGTTTGAACGACTCTCGACCTACGTACGTACAGACAACATGACGAACCTCATCTAAAAACTTGCGTGGATCGGAGGTACTATGGAACCGAGGCATAGCATCTGTGACATTAAGGTGGACCTGCGGGATACTGATCGGTACCACGAGGATGGAATCATTCCTTGGTTTTTTGAGCTGGAGAGGAGTGGAAAGTGATTCCAGGTCTTGTAAAGATTCTAGGGAATCCTCAGCTCTTTTCTCGAGCACCTTAATTTCATTGACAACTACAGCTAGGGTTTCCTCAATGTTTCCTTCAGACTTGTTCGCACCATTCTGTGCCAGCAGACGCGTGAGGTACGCCTTTCGGGTGATGAGTTCATTCCTCTTCTGATTGATATCCGTTAAGGATCTGGTCATCACACCTTCGATCAACCGAGACAGGCACAGATTCTTCGAGTGGAATATCCATATTCATATCCTCTCCGTGCAAGGAGTCTTGCGAGTGATCCATCCTCACGGGAGAAGCAGCGTAAGAGATGGACGTAGAGTCATTATCTTGGAGACGAGTGCTCTGCAAATTTGTAACCATTTCAGCGACTGCAACTTGCGGATCAAGGGAAGCATCATTGACAGAGGCAAGGACAGCACGCTCGGGGGTGTGAGGGGTAGTAGTAGGGTTCAGGTTGGAAGATGAGAGAGAGATTTTTTGATAATGGATGGGATGTGTATGCAAATCTTCACGTAAAAAAATGAAAAATATTTGGATAGATAAGTAGTAATGGGGAACTAAAGTAAGTGAGAATAAGATGTCGGTCCATACACCACATCCATGGGGTATTTATTCATTTCCTGGTAGAGGGACTTGTACCAAGTAACTACATATCTATCTATAAAGCGACATGGGCTTATTCAGGAACCCTCATGTCAGTGTTTTATCGCGTCTTTATGCGACGCGTTAGAGTTATTGTACTACTTGGAAATTTCCCTACTGTGTTTTTTTGTATTTTTCCTAGTTTTTAGCCGGGTCATTATTATTTTGCATATTGAAATATGCAACAACTTTCCCTTTATTGAGGAATGAGGCACACATTCCAGGCACCAAAGTAGGTTGAGACTGGACGCAAGGAATGATCGCGACTGCTCATTTTCTTTTGTGTAAACGCATAAATTTTTTTTTTTTTTTTTTTTTTTTTTTTTTCAGGGACAAAATATTTTGCTCAAATAGCCTAGCATCATGTTTCTTTCTATTTTTTTTTTTTTTTAACTTTAGATTCTTACACATGTATGAATCAAGATCAATGATTGGTTCACATCAGTGACGCTTTTGGACAGGATTGTAATTCACAATGTTGATTGGTTTGAAAGATCAGCCAGGATCAGATCATGCGGAAAGAGATTTGTAATGTCAGGAACGAATCAGACTGAAGGAGAGTTGTAATGAGAAAAGCAATGAGTAGACTCAATTGAAGTTCATTATGCTTTTCATTCCTTCATTCCTAAAACATTGTTAACACTCAAACTCTTCTCAACACAAGACAGGCTTTCAAACCTCAATTTATCACACTTTTCATTACGTGAATTATGTCTTTCTCCAACAATACTGCTTCTTCTTCCACCAGCAAAGTTGCTGGCAAAAAACGCGCTCGTGTGGAAATGGAAAATGCCAAGAGCGCAAGTCGTCAGACTTCACCTTCCCCCGACAGTCCACCCGCTGACCCAGTGTTCTCTTATGTTCCATGGGAGCGTCCTACCAGAGATGGGCGCACGATCAAGAAACTCTTTTTGGAGAGAGACATCTGTAATTTCAGGGCGCGGACAGAGAGTGCACTCTATCAGGATGGGGATGAAGTGCGACCTCGCAAATATCTCTACCTGGAGGGAGGACAAAAACTTGACTTATACAGGAGACCTATAAGCCGTGACAATTTTGACGTATTCTGGGTACATGAGCCATCGTTGTTCAAGCAACTGAGACGTCGTAACCTGAACCCTACTACTACCCCTCACACCCCCGAGCGTGCTGTCCTTGCCTCTGTCAATGATGCTTCCCTTGATCCGCAAGTTGCAGTCGCTGAAATGGTTACAAATTTGCAGAGCACTCGTCTCCAAGATAATGACTCTACGTCCATCTCTTACGCTGCTTCTCCCGTGAGGATGGATCACTCGCAAGACTCCTTGCACGGAGAGGATATGAATATGGATATTCCACTCGAAGAATCTGTGCCTGTCTCGGTTGATCGAAGGTGTGATGACCAGATCCTTAACGGATATCAATCAGAAGAGGAATGAACTCATCACCCGAAAGGCGTACCTCACGCGTCTGCTGGCACAGAATGGTGCGAACAAGTCTGAAGGAAACATTGAGGAAACCCTAGCTGTAGTTGTCAATGAAATTAAGGTGCTCGAGAAAAGAGCTGAGGATTCCCTAGAATCTTTACAAGACCTGGAATCACTTTCCACTCCTCTCCAGCTCAAAAAACCAAGGAATGATTCCATCCTCGTGGTACCGATCAGTATCCCGCAGGTCCACCTTAATGTCACAGATGCTATGCCTCGGTTCCATAGTACCTCCGATCCACGCAAGTTTTTAGATGAGGTTCGTCATGTTGTCTGTACGTACGTAGGTCGAGAGTCGTTCAAACGGTCCTGTGGTCGGTACTTGCTTTACCTGACGGTCAGCGAGTACCATCGCCAGTACCTCGAACAGGAACTGGAAAAACTTCCTGAAGATCAGAAAACCTGGGAGAAGTGTGAAGCGACCTTCCTGAAGATCGCTCTTACGGAACAAGAACGTATGTCACAGTTTAAGAAATTACTTGAAACTGGCAGAGGCACACGCGAGACTTATCATCAATTTGCCATGCGGGTGGACCGAGACGTACGGGTATACGGTATCAGCGACGATAGCGAGATGGTCACCTCCCTCCTGACGGCCACAGTAAAAACCTTCATGCTCGATCTTATGATCACCAGGCTACAAGTCCTGAAACAAGAACCGGTGCTCGCCTTCAAGTCGATCTCCGAGTTCACAAAGATTCCGGGAGGCCTTACTGGCCCCCACATCCCACAAGAGATTGTCCCCAGTGATAATCCTGCACCTCATCGCCGTGACACAGGCCCAATGCGCCGCGCACGAGCGTCTGATGAAAGATATAATCCTAAGGGCAAAGCCCACAATGAGGAGGCTAAATCAAAGTCCCTCTATGACTGCCAGCATTGTGGCAAAAATTTCTCCCATAATACGGATGGACACAAGCAATGTGCAAAATGCAATGCACGCGGACATCTGGCGTCCGAATGTACCAGACATAACAGTAGATCTGGTAAGAATCGTCCTAAATCAAATAATATCGTGTCACTGAATAAGCAAACAGTCTTTGATAACAATCTGTCAAACTCTACTGATAATACACAGGCTCCAACAAGTCTACCTCGGTTAATCGATAACTTAACTGAAGATCGTTCAATAGAAGATAGTAAAAACGCAAAGACTTCAATACATCCCAAAAATCTACTAGATCTATCTGATCATGCTCAAACATATCGGAATCCATCTCTCTTGAAACCACCATTGATGATCTTTGGCACCCAGCCTAGAATTTCTATGGAATCAATCAATCCTAAAACATTATTATGGCATGATCAATGTGTTACTGCTACTCTTGAATCTGAATTTATACACTCACCTTCTCATATAAAAGTTTCATCTTTATCTTCCTCGAATGTTATCCCTAACGATGATGCCCATACCTTAGCCAAGCTCCATCTCAATCAAGAGAAAGCTGACAAAAGGATCATAGTTCTTGTTACTTTCGAAGGGGAAAAATACGAAGCTTTGGTTGATACAGGCGCAAGTGTTACATGTGTCCGAAAAGATATTATTCTTAAACACAACAAAGAGATCTCCCCTGTTTCAAGTGTTACCACTCTGGCTGATGAAAGCTTAACTATTCCCCGTATAGGTGTGGTTGAAAATATAGAAGTCGTATACGGCAGTCGGATCGTGTCTGCGACGTTAGAAGTGATCAATCGATCATACCCCTTTATCATAGGGATGGATCTATTTTATCAACTTGGGTTTGGACTCTCAGGCTGCCATAATCCAGGGCAAGGTGCTAATCAGCTACCTGAACCTGAGGAAGACAAACGTCCTTCCCTCATTCCTGGCTCTGTACCGGAAGAAGAGCATACCGAAACATTTATTATTGAGAAAAAAGTCTTTATGAAAAAGATTTCACATGCTCGGATACCTAAACAAAGCCCATGCCCTGTACCTGAAATGAAAGTATTTCTTCCTATCCCAGAGGGTACTGTCCTCTATAGGCGTTCACGTCCCTTTGCCGAAAGACAAATGTCCATCCTGAATGAAGCTATCGATAAATGGCTGCAGGATGATGTCATTACGCTAGCCCCTGTGGGCAATGTCCATAGCAATACCCTTACGCTCACTGCGAAGAAGGATGAACATGGCAATAAAACATTATGGCGGGTTTGTCTTGATCCCCGACCACTGAATAAACACCTCCCAGATGATAGTTTTCCTTTACCCCTTATCAATGATATTATTATTCGTCTTGCTGGGCATGCAATTTTCACAACCATTGATCTGTCGCAAGCATATCATCGCATGCCTATTAATCAGGCAGATCAGCCCTTAACAGCATTTATGCACCAGGGTAAACAATATATGTTTAAGAAGGCACCTTTTGGCCTGAAACCATTGTCCAGTCTATTTCAACGAGGTCTCGCATCCTTGGTGATCTTCCTTTCGTTTACAACTTCATTGATGATATTGTTATTTTTTCAAAGAACAGAGAAGAACACGCCGAACATGTACGCACTGTGATTACTCGCCTCAACGATGCCAAGTTAATCATCAACAGTGGTAAATGTAATTTCCACAGTACGCAAATCTCATTGCTCGGCTTCATAATAGGCCTGCATGGTAAAAGCGTTGACCCCTCTAAATTCGCAAATATCGATGATTGGGAGCCTCCAACTACTGCCAAGCAAATTCAATCGTACTTAGGCACATTCGACTTTTTCCGCGAATATATACCACTCATTAGTGAAGTTGCTGCACCTTTGGATGCTCTGAGATGTCGAACAGATATTTCCACACTGAATGACGACCAATTACAATCTTTCAATGCCTTAAAGCGTCTGCTTACTCATGCACCTGTCTTATCCTTTCCCGACTTTAGTCTACCATTCTATGTGGCAACTGATGCGTCTGATGTCGGAATTGGTGCGGTATTATACCAACTGCCCCGTGGCATGTCTTACCCAAAAAATATAAATTATATTTCTTTCATGGCCAGATCGCTCCATCAAAGCGAACGAAAATACAGCGCAACGAAAAAAGAGTTGTTAGCCATCGTTTTTGCACTCAACAAATTTCACCATGATCCGTGTACAGGTCAAAGCAGTGCTCCTATTCGAACTGAAATTTTGTCATTTATGACGTTTCAGATTAAAAAAATAAATATCAATTGACAAAATTTCAGTTCGAATAGGAGCAACTGCTTTGACCTGTACACGGATCATGGTGCATTAATGTTTATTCACTCCCAACCTGATATGAATGCTATGATGCCTAACTGGCAGGACGTAATACTACGATATTCATTTACGGTGCATTACCGACCAGGGGTGCTCAATGTTTTACCTGACGCTTTATCACGTCTATTCCCAGCACGCATGACTTTAAGACAACAAGCATTAGATGTGCATAATGAACCAATGTTAGCATACATTCATGCTATTCAAGATTCTGACAATCTACGAGACATCGTGCCCGAAGGAAAACGGCAAGATATCTGAAAAATATTTGGATAGATAAGTAGTTATGGGGAACTAAAGTAAGTGAGAATAAGATGTCGGTCCATACACCACATCCATGGGGTATTTATTCATTTCCTGGTAGAGGGACTTGTACCAAGTAACTACATATCTATCTATAAAGCGACATGGGCTTATTCAGGAACCCTCATGTCAGTGTTTTATCGCGTCTTTATGTGACGCGTTAGAGTTATTGTACTGCTTGGAAATTTCCTACTGTGTTTTTTTATATTTTTCCTAGTTTTTAGCCGGGTCATTATTATTTTGCATATTGAAATATGCAACACTCGTGAGTGGATTGTCCCAGACTCAGCTGAGTTAAGACAGCATACACTTCATGCTTCTACGGTTACTTTCCTACGAGGACAAGGCTTTTTTGATTAGGTCTCTCACAAACGCATTGCCTCGTCGATTTAATTCCCTGATCGCGTACCTTAAAAGCTCAATCCGACTATAAACTCACTTTTCCCACACGAATAAAGAAAAGGGACAGGAATATATACTTTTGTATAGCTTACCTGCGTGTCCCTATTCAATCATTTCTTAAAAAATAGTTAAAAGGCCATTGTAAGGTGTTCTAGAATCTAATCTCCATTGAAAGAGCCTTTCAAATCCTTACTGCAACTGTTTTTTTTTTTTTATATATAATAGCAGGTCCTCTCTCACCTTTTTTCTCTTCTTTTCTTCACACACAATACAACACTCCAAACAAAAACAGCTCACCAGATCTCTACTACCTATCCAACATCATGAAGTTCTCCACCACTGCTGTCCTTTCCATGGCTGTTGCCGCCTTGGTTATGTTCGCTCCCAACTCAGTTGGTAAGATCCTTACAATTATCTATGTGCATGTCTGTTTTTGTGTTTGCGTGCTGCATTTATGCACTGCTCGAGTATATTAAACACTTCATCTTGTTATATTGCATCTATCTGTTTAATTGGCTGATCTAGATGCCAATCCCTGTCGAGATAAATGCTTCTTATCCTTAAATCTCTGTCTCCAGAACCACCCTAAACCTTACTGCAATAATTTACTCAACTTGTGCTTGCTCGGCTGCAAGTGATAGTAAAGATGTTGAAAGCAAAAATACGCATTATGAGCTACTCTTCTCATCATTAGGAAGTTCAATACTAAACGATGTGAGAGGTGTAAATAAATAAAAAGATATTTTGGCTTAACTTTGCAATATGACACATTCATTGAGCCTCTTATAAGAGGTACTGTACATAATAATGGGCGTAACCAACGCCAAAGTGCAAAGTAGCTGCTCGCCTATAGCATATTACAACCCTTTTAGAGACCCTATATGACCCTTTAGACGAATAGCTTAGTAAAATCATCGTTGCAGTAGATAGAAGTGAGAGTGAAAGTGAGGGAGTATTTGACAGGCACAGCATATTGAGACTGAAAGCAGCAGCGTTAGATTTGAGAATGCATTACTGCATGAAGCAGCTTGTTCTTGATGTTTTGGTCTCCACAAAGCTTGACTAAGAGTGTGATTTGGTTCGGCTTCTAACATAGTAGATCGAAGGTCCTGATCTGCTCTTGTTAGTGTCCTATATGCATCCTTCAAAGAAGGCGGACACAATGCAGTGGAAACAATAGGCTCTTGCCACTGAGCAGTGTCTGTGATATGCATGGTATAGACAACTGAAGTCAAAGCTTGACGAAGCCTTTACTTTACTTATTTCTCTTTAATAGAATGAAATGGCAAGCGCCACCAAGCTTGGAGTTTGGGTAGGGCTACATCTACGCTTCAACAGAGGATGTTCTCTTTGTTCCCTTGAAGCACCGTTAGGATGTATTCAACACAATGATTCAAGGATAGAAACACATTAGCGAGAACGCGCGAGCAGCGATGCCCTTGCAAATATGGGTGTGCAGTTGTAGCAATGATATGCACTACATCATATTATAACTGTCTGTTCTGTTGTAAAGCTGCTTTATTGTACTTTTGTGCATGCTACTTCCCTATTTCAAGTCCTACTCCACTTTTTTGTTCTTTTCTACAGCTTCGACGGAGGACTCAATGCTGGATCCAAATGTCATTAATATCAATGACAGCAGGTCAAACATTAAGCGCATTGGATTAGGGCAATTGTACACCAACAATGCATTCCTCGAAGAGTCATAAAAGGCTATTTCCCGACCTGATCGATAGCCTTTGCAAGGCCAACTACATAAAATGCATCGAACAGAGCAAATGGCAGGTAAAGAGTGCTTAGCATACTTGAACAGTATACAAATGCAACATACACAAACACAAGTATAAACATGCACATGGATGGGCGTGAAAGCCTTACCTGCTACCGTAGGAGTGAACATAGCCAAGAAGGCAACATGAAAAAGATAAAGATGCTTGAGAGCCTCATGATGTGGAATGGATGGTAGAATTCTGAGAAGTCTTTATAAAAGAACAGAAAATAAAGGAATATACAACCTGGAGATAAAAAGCGCCTTATACATATGTATTGATGCTTGCATCTCTGAGCTCTTTAGAGTGGAGGATTGCTTAACGGATCATCTCCCATGATTCATCATCCATACTCTTACAGATTATCCCAGTTGTGCCGGAGACTAGAGATACCCATCAAATATAGGGCAGGAAGCTCTTGTTCTGATGAGAATACAATAAGGTTTTGGTATGCGCTGCCGGAAATAGTCGTGGTGACTATCGCCTTATCCCTGAATTTGAAAATAAGATTTTTGCGACCAAAAATGGTCGCAATTTGGAAAAATTTAGGGTAGTTTTTTACATGTGTTTTGTACGCATAATAGAGACCTTGCGAAACATTTTTTGTTGTAGAAATAAAGGTTGCTCTTGTAGGCTGCAAAGACATTCTACAAAGGCAAAATGTAGAATTTTTACGTATAACATGGGTTTATACGTTAATTCATAAATTAGCCAACTTTTATTCTAACTTCGCTTCCAAATTGGAGAAATAGGCCATCAATGGCACCAATTCTCTTTTGTTCTACGTTTTTTGTCAAAAAATGTAGAATGTCTCTTCTACAAGCATAAATATTTTCAAAAAGTCATTATAGCCAAAATTAGGTTTGATTTTTCGAATAAGGTTCCGAAACCCTACATTTGTGAGTTTCGCAAGGCCTCTAATATTATAGCTTATTTTTCTCAATGCAATTCTGCTTTGCTTTCAAGCAAAGAGGAGCCCTACATGTAGCGCATATCCATTCTGATCGTGAGGTGGACTTCATGCCTTCCTTAATACCCATAACCCTGCAGTTTTTACATGCCATCCTACTCTTAACATCCTTCCTTCACTTTCTTTGGTTCTTATCGGGAAATGAAAGCCTGGTAGATGTCGACGAGGGCTTGGAAGAGAGTGCTTAGTAATATATGGGCCTTTTGATATCTTGAAAGTAGCCTCCAGAGACTCATTAGTTTCTACGTTTCTCTTTGAGTTCCTTTGCTCGATGACAACTTGAGACTTAGCGATAAAAGTTGGTTTACAAGATTTAAACGAAATTGGCGATGTCCATCTTTTTTTTTTTTTTTTTTTTTTTTTGATCCTTTCCTAGTATACCATAGTATGTATGAATTGACGATACTTATATCTAATAGCCACAAGAAGAGTGGCATCCAAGAACGAATGGGCCTCATCTGCACACTAGTGTTGGCGAAGTCACCCGAAGTGATATATTGTGAAAGCAAAGTCGAGTTTCCATCGTGATTGCGGGTGATACTAACATCCATTTCCTCATCAAACAATGTGAGTTCACCTTCAAAGTATGAGGGCCAGAAACCTTTGAAGTCATCAAGTTGGGATTGATAGTCTTCATCATTAACATTGTATTGCAGATCCATCGTGTACTAGATAGAAGTTGAAGGGAAATAGCATAAAAGCCTAGCGGTATGGAAGCGTAGAAAAGTAGGGCTTTTATTGTTATTCTCTCTCAGTATGTCACCAAATGCCTCTGAAAGACATGAAGGCATAGTTTCAATTGAAATAAAAATAGATTAACCATTCTCATTCTCAAATGAATGAAGGAAAAAATAAGCTCATGGTTTGGTCGTCGTATAAGAACGTGCATGCTGAATGAATCATCATAATGAAATGCATTTCTTAATGCGCTCCCGTAATACCAGAGATCAAGTTCTTTTAATTTAGCTTAAGAATGGGGGGGTCGCAATTAGTAGAATGTTGTTTAACTGAGCACTTAGTAAAAAAAAAAAAAAAAAAAAAAAAAAAAAAGAAAAAATTGCGACCATTTTTGGTCGCAATTAAGGATAAGGGATACAAGGCTGGGTCTCCTTTGATTTTGGATCGGGGACACTTCGCGTTTTAGGTTATGGAGTTCAGCTACCGTGGATATTGTACACGCCTCGATTCTGTGATATTCCACCTCAAGAGATCGAATGCGGAGTTGAATCGTCAAAAGCTACAGGCTGAGCCAATAGTTCTCTATTCGTTTCACTTGAGCCTTATGTTCACTCCTACGGTAGCAGGTAAGGCTTTCACGCCCATCCATGTGCATGTTTATACTTGTGTTTGTGTATGTTGCATTTGTATACTGTTCAAGTATGCTAAGCACTCTTTACCTGCCATTTGCTCTGTTCGATGCATTTTATGTAGTTGGCCTTGCAAAGGCTATCGATCAGGTCGGGAAATAGCCTTTTATGACTCTTCGAGGAATGCATTGTTGGTGTACAATTGCCCTAATCCAATGCGCTTAATGTTTGACCTGCTGTCATTGATATTAATGACATTTGGATCCAGCATTGAGTCCTCCGTCGAAGCTGTAGAAAAGAACAAAAAAGTGGAGTAGGACTTGAAATAGGGAAGTAGCATGCACAAAAGTACAATAAAGCAGCTTTACAACAGAACAGACAGTTATAATATGATGTAGTGCATATCATTGCTACAACTGCACACCCATATTTGCAAGGGCATCGCTGCTCGCGCGTTCTCGCTAATGTGTTTCTATCCTTGAATCATTGTGTTGAATACATCCTAACGGTGCTTCAAGGGAACAAAGAGAACATCCTCTGTTGAAGCGTAGATGTAGCCCTACCCAAACTCCAAGCTTGGTGGCGCTTGCCATTTCATTCTATTAAAGAGAAATAAGTAAAGTAAAGGCTTCGTCAAGCTTTGACTTCAGTTGTCTATACCATGCATATCACAGACACTGCTCAGTGGCAAGAGCCTATTGTTTCCACTGCATTGTGTCCGCCTTCTTTGAAGGATGCATATAGGACACTAACAAGAGCAGATCAGGACCTTCGATCTACTATGTTAGAAGCCGAACCAAATCACACTCTTAGTCAAGCTTTGTGGAGACCAAAACATCAAGAACAAGCTGCTTCATGCAGTAATGCATTCTCAAATCTAACGCTGCTGCTTTCAGTCTCAATATGCTGTGCCTGTCAAATACTCCCTCACTTTCACTCTCACTTCTATCTACTGCAACGATGATTTTACTAAGCTATTCGTCTAAAGGGTCATATAGGGTCTCTAAAAGGGTTGTAATATGCTATAGGCGAGCAGCTACTTTGCACTTTGGCGTTGGTTACGCCCATTATTATGTACAGTACCTCTTATAAGAGGCTCAATGAATGTGTCATATTGCAAAGTTAAGCCAAAATATCTTTTTATTTATTTACAACTCTTACATCGTTCAGTATTGAACTTCCTAATGATGAGAAGAGTAGCTCATAATGCGTATTTTTGCTTTCAACATCTTTACTATCACTGGCAGCCGAGCAAGCACAAGTTGAGTAAATTATTGCAGAAAGGTTTAGGGTGGGACCCGAGACAGAGATTTAAGGATATGAGGCAGTCATCTCGACAAGATGCATCTAGATCAGCCAATTAAACAGATAGATGCAATATAACAAGATGAAGTGTTTAATATACTTGAACAGTGCATAAATGCAGCACGCAAACTCAAAAACAGACATGCACATAGATAATTGTAAGGATCTTACCAACTGAGTTGGGAGCGAACATAACCAAGGCGGCAACAGCCATGGAAAGGACAGCAGTGGTGGAGAACTTCATGATGTTGGATAGGTAGTAGAGATCTGGTGAGCTGTTTTTGTTTGGAGTGTTGTATTGTGTGTGAAGAAAAGAAGAGAAAAAAGGTGAGAGAGGACCTGCTATTATATATATAAAAAAAAAACAGTTGCAGTAACAATTTGAAAGGCTCTTTCAATGGAGATTAGATTCTACAACACCCTTACAATGGCCTTTTAACTATTTTTTAAGAAATGATTGAATAGGGGCACGCAGGTAAGCTATACAAAAGCATACATTCCTGTTCCTTTTCTTTATTCGTGTGGGGAAAGTGAGTTTATAGTAGAATTAAGCTTTTGAGATACGCGATCAGGGAATTAAATCGACGAAGCAATGAATTTGTGGGACACTCAATCAAAGAAATCTTGCTGCCATAACAAAAATATAAATTTTCTCAACATTTGGTTCTATGAAGCTGCAGTGATGCGTATATGTGAGATGGTTGACGGAAAGACTGTGTACTCATGTATCATATTACCAAACAGGCGAAGCTACTTTATCCATTTGGGATACTCGATCAAAGCATGTTGTTCACACTTGAAGCTATAAAATCGATACGATGGCATCCGATGGAACCTTTGCCTTGAATATTCATCTCATGCTTTACGTAGAGGGATATCATTAGTAAGAAGTTTGTGTGCTATCCTCATCTAGTACCACTAGATTGTTTCTAGCAACGAACCCAGCTGGATCAGAGTCTGAGGCAATGCATTCAATTAGAGACTGTGAACCTTGCATATTTTATTCCTCTGGTAGTTAGTACATGCATCTACCAGGCTGAAACTACGGTCCTCTCTCTCTACCAGGATAAGCCATATCCGTCTGGAGAGGCCATAGAGGTTTTAGGCATGTGCCAAAAAAGCGCACATCAGTTCGGGAGGGATAGCGATCAAGCCTAATCGAGATCTTTATATCCTCCAACTCGTTTGGTCAGTGATTCATATATTTTCTTTTCAAAAAACGATGATTGAATTGATTTGGTGGCTGATTTTGACATTTCACCCTCCGTGACGAACTGGTGCCAAGGAAATAATTGGCTCCCAATTCAATCAAGATTATTCAAAAAATATATGAATCACTGACCAAATGGGACGGAGATATACTAATATTCAGATGAATAAACTATATAAATGTAAGACTCATACTATCATATACATGTACAGTCACCTGAAATAAAGTTTGGACAAAATGGATTTTCTTGATTTTTTTTTGAACAACCTGGACAAACAGCTCATATGCAACATACATAAAGACTTCATCAATACACATGAAATTTTACATGCTCACTAAAGAGGTCAATACTGTTATTTATTGGGGTTTTGAAGACGGCATTGTTAGAGTAGCAAAAGTGCCATGTAGGTTCAATAGTGAGTGTTCCTACCATCGACCCCATTCACTTCTTCCAGCCTTTCGGGCATGGTAGCGACAAGGCTGGCCAGCCTCTCTTGCGGTAAATTATTCCACTCTTCGATAAGAGCCCGTGTGAGAGTGGGAAGATCTCTTGGCCCTTTAGCGCGCCTATCGAGTGCATCCGCAAGAAGTGACCATACATGTTCAATAGGGTTCAAATCTGGGGAGCATGAAGGCCAGTCTGGAATCCTCGGGATGCTGTTTTTTTCGCGCCATTCTTTTGCAATCTTACAAGTATGAACTGGAGCATTATCCTCCATAAGTATGCCATCCTCTACCTCAGCCATAAATCTGGCTAGCTCGCCTTGATATACATCTTCCACGAAACACCGTCCATCTTTACGACCTCTTTCAAATACAACCAACCGAGACTTTCTGGTTGCTGTGAACGCCCCCCAGACCATCAGAGTTGTTCTACCACTTTTGAAAGTGGGTGCGAGGCAATCATGATCGTACTTTTCCTCTACTTTACGCCAAACTCTTATTTGACGAAAATGCTCACCAACTTCAAATGATTATTCGTCAGTCCAAACTACCCGATTCCAGTCTTCCATGGACCAACTCATATATTTTTTGACAAACTGCAGCCTCCTTTTTATATGTCCTTCTTTTAAGAATGGTTTTTTTACTGCAATCCGGCTGAAAATACCCAGTGAATGCAATGCCTTCGCAACTGTCCTCTCGCAAACTTTGTTCGGCAATTGGTTAGTGATATCATTAAGAGTACACCTTCTATTCTGCTTAGTATGGCGAACGATGCTCCTGAGGTCCCGTTCACTTAGTACTTTGGGCCGTCCTGGGATCGGAGTGCAAGCAGTGGTGCCTCTTTCTTGGTACACCCTGATAATATTAATAACAGAGGTTCGGGGTACACCGCGTTGCAATGCGATTTCCGCAGCCTTCATGCCCGCGAGGTGCATTCCAACGATGATACCTTTATTCTCAATGTCTAAGTGTCTCGCCATGGTGGTTTACTCAAGCTGTTTGTATGTGAAAAACAGAAAGGAAAGAGATTGAAGGAAACGCTTCCCTACGTAACTATTTCAATATTTTATTTTTTTGTCCAATCTTTGTTTTAGGTGACTGTACACTATCATTATTATTCAGATTGTGTATCACATAGTCTCAACATATTATCATCAGTAGAACCGTAGGGTCGATTATCTGTCCTTTCCATTCAGTAAATGTTTCAAGCATTTGATGCAATTGAGATGATCCTGTAAGAAGTATCGATGGTCAGTCATGGAAGATCGTCCAGAGTACTGCTGCATCAGTCGCTAAGCAATCCTCTACTTCAAAATCCAAAAAGAGAAGGGAGAAGAAACCTTTGACTTGTAGATAGCCATTGATTGCTCGATGATTCAAGTATAAGCGTACAGACAAGGTTTTTTTTTTCTTCTTCTATAAAACCAGGCCCTTTCTCGTCTTTTTTTCTCTTCATTTCTTTACACACAGTATGACACTTCAAAGAAAAGCTCACTAGATCTCTACTATCTATCCCTACATCATGAAGTTCTCTACCACTGCTGTCCTTTCCATGGCTGTTGCTGCCTTGATACATGATTCGAGTGTGCTACGCGCTTTGTCTCTGTCTGTTACCTATCTATTTGATTGGTTGATACAGATGGACACCGAAGCTGCACCATGACCTGCTATAATGCCTTTAATGAATACGTTGCTAACCCTTGGAAAGTTGGACGATACAAAGATGTTCTCGGGAGGCTTGTTTGTTTGGAACTGCAATATGGATTAGTGAGTGAAGAGAGAGAGTATTCTATGTTGAGTTGGATGAAGAGAAAGGAGAAAGGGGAGAGGGAAGGACAAGCCGGTGAGGTTGAATCGAGCTGGCCCTATCAGATAATATGTTGCTGGCTCTAATGAAAGCAAAATGATCAAAAAAACCACACAGGGGCCATATATATAAAAAGCTGCCATGAAATTGGATTACAAAATAAATTCCAACACCATTTTTCTATTCATTTCAAGTACTAATGTATATATATACTCAAAAGGATTGCAGTGGCATAATATCTTTTCTTTTTTCACTCTGAGGGAGAAGAGATGCTCAAAAAGCCTACGGCTCTGTTTTTTTTTTTCTTTTTTTTTTTGTCTCGACCTCTGAAATTTCTTTTCCTTGTCAATGCCTAATCATATTTCCATTCCTCTCCTACAGAAGAAGAGGAAAGAAATGTGGGGGGGGGGGTATGTATTAATAGCTTAAGGAAGAGAGGTTCTTTGCCTTTCATTCTTTTTTCATTTTTTTTTTTTAAAAAGAAAATTGCTCGTTTGTCAAATATTGGCAATGTTCCAGACTCATCTTGAGGAACCATGCATTTTATATTACGCTTGGTTGAATCATTTATGAGAGGAATGTCCTTTCCTTCAAATGATTGACCATAATGATAAAGTATATATCATACAATCAAAAAATTGAACAAAGAGAAAACGTTTTTGCTTTGTAGAAGAGTATATTTGTATAGATATGAAGGAGTATGAACAAATTTATTTTCGTGATCTTTTACACTCCCCCATGTGTTATGAATGTAATCGTAAGAAGTCAGATTCCTACGATCAATTGTCCATCGGAGTAATAAAAGAACGAAAAGTATACGTTTGTATAGATATACATGTATTAATACATGTAATTCATGTTGTACAGAAAATGATACTGGTCAATTTTTTATTTTTATAAAATCATCTTGCTGGTTTTTTCATGCCTGCAAAGTGGTTTACTATTATAAATGATTAGAAATGTAAAATGTAGATGTATACAATTGTAATATATTATTGTTATCTTTCCAGAAGATCTTTGCATCAAGAAAGCATGGCGAGTTATGGTGGTTCTTTTTTGGTCTGCGCCCATCTGAAACGTAAAACCAATTGGCAATATATTTTATGTATATATACATTATCTCACTCTCCAAACATTGGTGTAAATGCAATGCGATGTACTCTTGTATTTTTTTTTTTTTTTTTTTTTTTTGAGCCTTGTTTGATGGGAGAATGAACAGAAATGAAAGGTCGAGACAGACAGATAAAACGTGTTTTGAAATGATGGAAATAAAATTGTCAGCAATGATATATGAAATCGATCGTGAGTCTGGATTGCTCTTTTTTTTTTTTTTTTTCAAAGAATTCTTTAAGTTGCAATATTTGTTAATAAATGACATGCCAAGGGTGAGAGAGCGACGCCCATGATTTATACTGGTGCAAATAGCGATCATTCTGTTGTACATGTGCATGTATATGCAATTGCGAGCAGTTCGACGTATTGAAACATGGATAAAAAGATTAAAAAGACTGGGCTAGACATGGAAATTCATGGTTTGTCAAGGATCGAATGATCCAATCATTTAACCGTTTAATCAACAGTATCTTTTTTTATAAATGCAAACAAGGCTTCAAGTATAATAATTATACATAACATTTGCTGTTGGTGATGTTGTGTTCACCAATGACAACAACAAAAAAAATATGCTCCGTGGCAGTTTATTTTGTCTGAACAGATTATGTTGGAATGTTACCATGGGGAGTCCACATTGCATTGACACAAAGGAAAGAAAAATGTAACATGTTCATGTACAAAAGCTGCACCAAAAGGTTATTGCAGGGGCACGCTGTGTGGTTTACATGTTAGAGAGTTTTTCAGGCATATAGTATCCACATCATCTCTATCCAGATCAAGTGCAGCCGTTCCTTCTTTTGTCCTTTTTTTCATTCTGCTCCTATACTCAACTAGCAACTAGCAAACAAGAAAAATGTTGCAGAGCATAACATGACATGACATGGTATGGCATGGCATGGTAAAGCATATCGATCGTGGATCGATTTGATAGCCTGGACAGCAGTCTAGCCAAAGGAGGCAGACAAGACAAGATATGAGAAAGAGAGGAACGAGCCTTTCATAGGGAAAAGAAAAAAGAAAGAGAGATTGGGAGGGAGAAAGAGAGAGCAAACAAAAAGAGAGTTCCCGTCCAGAACAGTGAGTGATTCCGATTTCATTGGCGAATGATAAAAAAAATTCATTTCATTCGTTCAGACATCGGCTGCAACTGAGTTGAATGAATGAACATTTTTCAATTCAGTTCTAGAAAAACATAAAAAGAAATAAAGTTTTTTTTTTTTTTTTTTGCACACTTTCCCAACTCAGTTTGTCTCTCCAGTGACATTGGCATTTGCATTGTCTCCACCTTTTTCTCTCATTCGATTGCATCCTTTCATTCGCATTGCTCTTTTTTCCTTTTTTTTCCTTTTTCTCTTTATTTCTTTCTTCACCTCCTCTTTTTCTTTTCTTTTCTTTTCTTTTCTTTTTATCGTTCTTTGTTCTCGTCCTTGCCTTGCAGTCTATTTCACCCTTCAAATTATTTATACCCCCTCCCTTCGTTCTTTTTTAATTACAGGCACAACCCCCATTTCTCACTAGAACCTTAATCCATTTTTGCGCGTCCAGGTTGCTTCTTTCAACGCCAGCTCCTTCTTCCTTCCTTCTCAACCTCGACCTATATACTCGTTCCTTCCTCTCCTTCTCTCTTTTCTTCTCTTTCTTTCTCTTCAACTCTTTCTTTTATCATTTTTTACGGATATATATACAAACAAGCACCCTTTTTTTTTAACGACTCTATACTATTCCGCGTTATTTATTTCTCCGGACTCTATTTTTTCCCGGAAGCTCATCTCCTCTTGTCCTAACAACTGACCAAGCAACGAACGAGCCACTTTTTTAGTCTTTTAGTCTTTTATAGCCTGAATATTTTTGGCCGACGCTCGTCCTTTTTTTTTTATTTTTTTTTATTTTTTTATAAGCATACCTACCTACTTAAGCAGTCTAATCCTCAAAAGGATAGAAGAAAGAGAGAAAGAATCAGTAGAGCTTGAACAAGATCAGATTTGAACCTGATTTTTTTCTCTTTCATTTAACACCACCGTCCAGCATTCCACGCTTCAATTTATTTAATATACCCAGCAGCCAGGATCCAGCATTGGGCATTCAGCACTCGACTTTCTTTTTTCCTTTTTAAATTCAACCGTAGCAAAACTACAAACTGTACATTTCTTGAACACTTTTTTATTCTCCTTTCATTTTTGTATAATTTTCTTTCTCTTTTCCGTTCATTGTTTTATACACATTTTTTTTTTTTTTTTTTTTTTTTTTTAAAAAAAAAAGCTCTTTATAATAATGGGTGGTATCGTTTGGAACGAATGGGCACGATTGATGTGTCTTACGTCTTCCTTTGGTAAGGCTTAATCAATCAATCAAATAATCAATCGATTGACAACAATCGCAAAAAAGCAAAAAAATACCATTCAAGAATTTTCAACTTGAAGGACTATCGTTTGTCCGATCACTGTGTATACAAATACAAATACAAAATACAAATACAAATACAATATACAATATACAAAATAACAAATACAAATACAAATGAATTATGGACTAAAAACCAGTTTTTGTTTTATTTTATTTTGATAGTCATTTTTGTCGGAGGAATTATGGGTACATTCCAACCGTTGCCTGCATTTGATGCAATGAGGTAAAAAAAAAAAAAAAAAAAAAAAATCCACTAAAACACTAATTATATCAACCGAATCAGAAACAAAAATAAAAACATCGTTTTGGCGCGCATGAACAAAAAAAAAAAAACAGCTGAGAAGAGGAGAGAGAAGGAGAGAGAGAGAGAGAGAGAGAGACAGAGAGGGAAAGAAGCGGAGGTTTTTATTGTTTACAACGTTGATTTGCGTATCAAAGCAAGACAATGATAGTGGAGAAGGCAGAAAGCGGACTGAGCAAAACAAGAAATGATGAGCTGACGATCTTTTTTTTTTTTTTTTTTTTTACTTTTGCTGACATGATGGGAGGTTTTTTTTTTGTTTTTTTAAACACAAAAAATTGTTACACACCTCGTTGAGTTGTGTACCTTAATCTTTGTTGGTTACACCTTTCTAATTGCTTACCTGAAATTCTATTATGCTCTATTACTATTACTTAATGGATAATGGATTAGGTTGTTGCCAGGTCTCTACACACAACCAGTACCGATATTGCCACTGATCCTAATGTAAGTATCTTCAATTCATTTATCTTTCTTTCTTTCTTTCTTTCTTTCTTTCTTTCTTTCTTTTGTTGATGGGTAATGTATACTAATTTTTTGATTTATATATATATATTTTCGGAATAGTGTCCTTGGCATGATCCTTGCCGCAATTGAATACCCTGTCGTGGCTGTCGACTACTTCAACAGTCCCCGATCATTTATGCCCAAAGTCGCGTTCTTTATCCCCTTGACCGTCATGTCCTTGTTGGAGGCCCAAACCGTCAATGGCTCTATTTATCTTGGAATCGGTACCCTTGCTTATCTGATGGCTATCCGTGATGATTTCCGTAAACAACACCAACAAGCCATTAATGGCGGTCGCATGGCATAGAATTAAGTAGTAGTAGTAGTAGTAGTAGAAGAAGAAGAAGAAGAAGAAGAAGAAGAAGAAAATCTCCCATCATCATTGTATAATATAGAATATAGAAAGAGAGTCGTTCTTATCGTCTTCTCTCTGCAATCCCTTTGAAATAAAGTTGTTTTATTTTTAAAAAGCTTATTTTTAACATGGGTGCTCTCCTCTATAGCACACATACCATGCGCCCCTAAAGCATTTGCTGTCATTCGGATAAGGACATGGACAATCCACTGGCTTGCCAACACACACATTTGTATCACCACAGTAATATCCTCGACACGCTAAATAAAAAAGAAAAAAGAAAAAAAAAAGACGTCAACAATCGTGAGAAAAAAAAGAGAGAGCGTTTTTTTTTTCTTCTTCTTCTTCTTTTTCTTTACTCCCATGTTGAAAACGATCTCCTTCTCTCTAAACTCATGTTTTTTCGATATCGTACCTTCTCCATTGCTTGTCCATGTTGGATCATTAACATCAACACCGTCACCATCTCCTTGAACATCGTCATCCTCCTCATCCTCGTGACTTGTTCCAAAGAAATCGCTAAAAGGTGATCGTGATCGTTTTTGATGACGTCGTTGTCGTTGTTCTTGTTGAAGTTTTTGCTTTTCTTGTCGTTCACTTTGCTGTTTCCGAAGTGTATACAAAGGCGATGAGGGTGGATAGAGCTCAGAAAGAGGTATGCCAAACGGCGTTGTTTTCGGTTTTGTTTTTGACGCGTTTTTCTGACGGTTTCTACCATCGACATGACTATCACCTTTGCTATTACTATTACTTTTACTATGACTACCGCCATCCTTGCCATTGGGTTGATTGTTGGTATGACCTGAGGATGAAAACGTATCAAAGATTGGTTTAAAGGACCGGAGCAGTTGATCGATCGGTGACAGACCAGTAAAATATGATATGGACGATGAAGATGATGCTAATAATGATATTGAATAACCAGAAATGAGGAGTGCCAAAGCCGAAAGGAGTATGACACGTATGTATGCGCTTGAGGATGAAGATGATGAAGATGCAGTATCATTCTTTGTAGTGGGTTTGCTCCTGTCCTTTTCTTTGTCCTTTTCTTTGTCCTTATCGTTGTCTTTGGTAATTGTATGACTTAGTCTTGTATCGGTGTTTGTAGTAAGAGAAGCAGAGGAATTATGGGGATGACGGGACACTACCCTAGAGTGTGAAGAGGTTGTAGAAGAGTCCAAAGTCATGCTTTGTGAATCCTTTTGGGTAGACATGGTGGTGGTAATGAAATGAAGAGGAAAAAAAAAAAGTAACGAAGCCTTGGAAACACCATAAGAATAATTGATGTGACTGTTGCAGAGAAAGTGTAATAAAGGGATGAGTTACAAGCCACTGAAAGGTTCTCTTACTCAATTATTATGGTGGAACAGGGAAAGAGACAGGGAACGAAAGGGGGGTTTTTTTTTTATTCCTACCGTTACCCCCTCCCCTTTTTTTTTTTTTTTTTCTTTCTTTATTTTATTTTTTTCTTTCATTCCTTCCTTCTCTTTTCTTTTCTTTCCTTCTCTCTCCACTCTTTATCTCTTTTATTCTATTTATTTACATTTATTTTTATTCTTAGAAAGAGAAAGGAGGAAAAAAAAAAGAAAAAAAAAAGCTTTCAGGCATGGACTATCAAGACAAGATTGAGGATTCGTTTATTGTTGTGACAAACGACGAGATCATTTCATCTACTACCAGTATCAGCACTCTTCTCGAGACTCAATATCAATTTCAATCAAAGGATGGCAAACAGGAAACAGCAAAGACAGAGACAGAGACAGAGACAGAGACAGAGACAGAGACAGAGACAGAGACAGGGGCAGAAACAATGGTCCGAGTGTCTGTGTTGACACAACAGCTGCAGACTTTAGCCACACCTAAAAAGACTTTTGAGAATTGGGCAAGAACATTCCGATGTGTGCCTGAGCAGTACTATACCCCAACAACCGAGGAGGAGATCATCAAGGTAAAAAAAAAAAAAAAAAAAATTGGAAACAAATACGATGGTTTTTTTTTTTTTTTATTCCCTCCATGTGAATTCGAATCGTGATTGGTGAGATATTAGTTGGGTAAGGGACACTGGTTGGAATGGCTCGAGAAGCTTAAAAGACTGAGCGAATTATTTTACCACGGTCCTCTTCTCCCTCCCTCTCCCCTCTTCGCTCTCCCTATTAGAAATATCGCGTTTTACTTTAAAAAAGGCCAATGTGTAATATGTATTTGTGTCGTTATGAAATATATATTTATATATTTATATTCCTTTTCTTTGCTTATGCATGCATTGTAGATCGTCCATTTAGCTAGATTGACAGGAAAACGCGTCAAGGCAATTGGCACAGGCCATTCACCCTCAGATTTGGCTTGCACAGACGGATTTATGATCAACACTGACAAATTAAATCGGTTGATTCGTGTCGATCAACAACACAAGACTGTGACAGTTCAGGCGGGGATGAAGCTTCATCGACTCCATGATCATTTGCAGTTGCATGATTTAGCTCTCAACAATCTGGGTTCTATATCTGATCAGAGCGTTGCAGGCCTCATGTCGACTGCAAGCCATGGAACTGGAGCAGAGTATCCTACTCTTTGTGCATATGTAAGGAAAAGAAGAGACAAGGAGGGAAAAAAAAAAAAAAAAAAAAAAAAAAATCTTGTCGTTCTTTACGCTCTCCATTTCCATCATTACTCACTATTATTATTTTATTTTATTTTATTTATTTTATTTTTTTAAAAAAAAAAAGGTCTTGGACCTCACATTGGTTACAGCAAAGGGCGAATCCATATACTGCTCCAAAACTGAGAACGTGGACATTTTCAATGCGGCGGTGTGCTCTTTAGGATCATTAGGGATCATCACCAGCATGACATTGCAATGTGAACGAGCCTTTAGACTAGAGAGCCATCAAGAGCCTGCTAAATTGAATGATGTGCTCGACAATATGGACACGATCATTCATTCTGCAGAATATGTGCGTTTGTGGTGGTACCCTCATACGGATAAAGTTGTTATCTGGCGCGCCAACAAGACTGACAAGGTTTATATTAATATCGCAATTTTTTTTTTTTTTTTTTTTTTCTTTGTTCCATTCATGTGATTCATAAGACTTAATTTTTTATTAATTTATTTATTTATTAGGATTATTTGATGCCTATCAAAAGCTGGCGTTATTCTAATTGGTTTGGATATCATGTCTTCCAAGGACTTATTTACATCTGTCGATTCATCCCTCGATTGCTACCTCTTGTATCTCGATTCATGTTTTGGGCTCAACAATCTCGACCTTTGAAACGCGTGGATGATAGTGTTCAGATCTTTAATTTTGACTGCCTATTTTCTCAGTATACGAACGAATGGGCGATTCCTTGGTCCAGGACTTCAGAGGCTTTGAGAGCTTTGAATGAGTTTATTGAGACTGGTACTGTCAGGATTGAGCCTAGCAAACGTCATGAAAAGACTTCTTCTTCTTCTTCTTCTTCTTCTTCTGCTGCTGCTGTTGTTGTTGGTAATGGAAGACCCTTAAAGATTCATCCCCCAATCGAGATTCGGTTTGTGAAGAAGGATGATGTCTGGTTGAGCCCAGCCTATGGAGTTGACTCTTGTTATATCGGACTCATTATGTATCGGTAAGGAAGCATAATGAAATTTATGAATGCAAAAAGAAGAGGAAGAGACGGAGAGAGAGAGAGAGAGAGAGAGAGAGAGCGATAAAATGGTGTTCTGATTTTTTTTTTTTTTTTTTTTTTTTTAATTTTTAATTTTTTTCCTTTAGACCTTTTGGCAAGCCGGTATCCTATAGACGGTTTTGGAATGGATTTGAAAAGATCATGGGAGCACTCGAGGGTCGACCCCATTGGGCGAAGGCACATTCAGTTCCTTACAAGGATCTGTTGAGAGCATATCCGAAAATGAAAGAGTTTAGTGAGATCCGACAGAAACTGGATCCAGAGGGTATGTTCCTGAATGACTATCTCCAGCGACATTTTGTTCCTTCCTCATAAAATAGTAAAATAAATAAAAATAAAATAAAATAAAATAAAATAAAAATATATAATAACAGCAGCAATAAAAAAGATAAAAATTAAACTAAAAATTAAACAGTGAATAAAAATTATTCGCTAAAATAATGCATAGCACAAGCAAAACAAGAACAAAAACAAAAAAAAGATATTTAAATATAATATTAATGCTTGTATATAATAAAGAAATAAATAATACAGTTCAACGTAACACTGGATGAGTCTAGTCTTTTTTTTTTTTTAAAGTTGAAAAAAAAGTAACCCCATAACACATACACATCTATAGTCTTACATACACAGCAAAACTCGTCTGTAGTCTATCTATGCTAATACAATGCCGTTTTTCTTTTCCTTTTTTTTTTTTTTTTTTTTTTTTAGTTTTTTTTTTTTAGCTTATCATATTGTTTGATTCCATGACACATGCATGCAAAAAAAAAAAAACCAAAAAACAACAAAGTAAAAAAGAGCATTGAGACTTGGTCAATCGGCGCAAACGGGAGTTGGAGGAGAAAGAGGAAGAGCAAGAGGAAGAGGAAGGGAGTGGGGGGTGGGGGGTAGGGGTCGTGCAGGCTTGGATAGACAAAAGTCCATTATTATAAACAAATTTTGTTAATCACATAAACATTTACATGGAATGAATAAAAAAAACCATACGTTAATGGTTTTTTTTTTTTTTTTTTTTTTTGTGCTGCATAGCACGTCACGTATGACCATGGACTTTTGGCCTTGAAAGTGAAAGAGGGGATTAAAAAAAAAAAAAAAAAAAGAAAAGAAACATGCTTTTTTTTTTTTTTTTTTTAAGTTTTATTATGCATTCGCATTGATATCGCTATCGCTGTCGATTACTGTTGGCCTATTGTTACTGTCATTGCCACTGATAGTGTTTGCATTGACATTGACATAAGCATTGGTATTGGTATTGACGCTGGTGTTGGTGTTAGTGTTGGCGTTAGTGTTAGTGTTAGTATTGATGTTAGTGCTAGTGCTTGTGCTGGTGTCGGCGTTGCTGTTGCTGTTGCTGTTGCTGTTGCTGTTGCTGTTGCTGTTGCTGTTGGGATTAGCATTAGCATTAGCATTAGCATTAGCATTAATATTACTAGTATTCATGATTATGTTGTTGTTTTCAGGATGTGTCAAAAGCCAGTTCTCGACTTCTTCCTGAACGGTTTCAAATGTGGTAAAGACGCGATGTGCGATCTGATTGGCTCGACACAGCTTTTCCAAGGTCGTATCCTGACGCGCTAACACAATGTTGGCCATTAAGGCCACTGGGAAATCTGAACTGCCATCACCACACCATAGGATCTCGTCCTTTGGATTCCACAAGTTGTTCTCTTTCGCCTCACGAAGAGCTGAGAGCGAGGGAATGAGGGGAGCGAAGGAGGGGGGGGGAGAGAGAGAGAGAGGAGGCGAGAAAAAAAAAAAAAACAAGCGTGAGTAACAAATCAAAAAAGGATAAACAAATCAGGTAAGAAAAAAAAAAAGAGAGAGAGAGAGAGAACGAGAGCATTAACTGGATTTGACATGTGGAGGAAGAAGGGAGGAAGAAGCGTAGGAAGGGGAAGAGGGGGGGGAAAGAGGGAAACAAGAGTCAAAGCATCACGCAAAATATATATATATCATTTATGGTTACAACTGTAATCAAGAAATTTCGTGAGCTGAAAAATCAGAAAAAAAAAAACCTGGAATGGAGCTGATTGGAGCAAAGGGGAAGAAAGGAAGAAAGGAAGAAAGGAAAGGAGAGGAAAAAAAAAGTAAAAAAGGAAATAAAATAACGAACGAGAGAACGTAAAGACCTAAAAACTCCCGAGGAATTGTTGCTTACCTCTACTCTTGTCCATGCCATAAGGACTATAACAGTTGATTGTTTTGGAGGAGAGAAGGGACAATGAGAAGAGAGGGGGTTGAAGTTTAAAAGAAGGTTGGAATGATTCGTTACAAAAAGAAGAAAACAACGATAATGATAATGGTAATAAGGACAGGAGAAAGGAATTTGAAGAAACAAAAAAAAAAAAAAAAAAAAAAAAGTTAGTGTATGTTCTTAAACGAGGCTTTCCTTCTTTTGTCCATCTTGGATTTGCTTGGAAAAGCAAAGAGGGTCATCTGTTGCAAGTGACATTTAACATTGGACATGGCAATGGAGTGGGGGGGAGGAAGAGAAAGAGTCCAATTGTTTTTAGTTTACCTGCAATCGCGCCACTTTACTTTCCAGGCGCCATCAGTACCGATGTCAAGTTCATTCGCATATACCCCAATCCCATGTCCTTCGCCCAGGTACCGATTCAGTAATTCCTCGATCAATGGTTGAATGCCTCTATCATCAATTGAGAAAACAAGAATGTTAGATAATCAGATCAAATTCATACATTTCCCCTGCGTGACAATAGAGAAGAGGAAGCCAAAGATAATTTGGTCGACTCTGAGGTAAGCACTGACTTTTTCTTCCTCCTTTCCCATTGTCACTTTCTCTTTCTCTTTCTCTGCCACTGCCACTGCCACTGTCTTTTTTTTTTTTTTTTTTTTTTTTTTGTTTTTCCTTTCGTGTGCCTTACTGGCGCTTGAGTGATGTGCATATGTGCGTGTGCGTTGTGTTTATATTTTGTGTTTTGAGACTAGTGTATAGTCCTGCACTATGCGCATGAGTGCTGTCTTTTTTTTTTTTCTTTTTTTTTTTTTTTCCTTGTCTTTTCCATCCATTAGTGCCATGAATGATATCGTTTGTCATTGTATTTGTAATAGGTTGTTTGTTTATCCTGGTTGCTTGTTGTCTATGCCTTTGCCTTTATCTTTTTTTTTTTTTTTTTTTTTTTTTTTTCTTCTTACACGCTCAGGATTGTAATAGGGATGTTGTGCGCTTGACAAAATCGATGAAAATTCTTGAAGCCTGGATCCAATCGTACACGATATCGATCTGATTCATCACCGCTGAATGGAGTCTTCGTCCTTGTTCTTGTTCTTCTTGTTGTGGTTGCTGTTGTGGTTGCTGTGGTTGTACCAACTAAGCTCAAAGAACCTTGACCACCACCACCGCTGCTACTGCTACTACTCCTACTACTCCTACTACTAGTGCTAATACTATTAGTACTACTACTACTACTGACATTATTGATGTTGTTGATATCGTTGTTATTGTTGTTATCGTTGTTATCGTTGTTATCGTTATTATCGTTGTTATCGTTATTATCGTTGTTAAGAACACTATGATTGCCACCGTCCTCGTCACTATGTTGATTCCTCAGATCTGCATTTGGGTCGATCAGGATATCTGCAGCCTCCTGGACCGTCATCCTGACACGTTCCCATTTCATATCCTCTGCTTTCCTGACCGTGATTCTCGAAGACTCGGTCCTGGGCAATTTATCAATCCTGTCTAATTCTTCATGACCCATTTGATGTGTCAATAATGAACCCCTTGTATCTCCCAATACAACCGTGCTATCGAAATCGATATAAACATGAAGCGAAATATTTGTGTGGGTCATCCTTCTTTGTATGTATGTGTGTGTATGGTGTGATGTGGTGTGGTGTGGTGTGGTGTGGAGTGGAGTTGTGGCTGTGATTTATATATATATATATAATGAATGGTATGATTTTAATCATACCACGCGTATGATAATGAGGCGTGGGAGGAAAGAGTGGATGATTGAATGAACGATATGTTTTGAAGACACTTTTAAGAATATAAAAGAAAAAGAAAAAAAAGAAAAAAGAGGATGATAGGTATAAGCAGTTGCTGGAAATATGGACAAAGCGTGTGAAAGATAGGAAGAAGAAGAAGAAGAAGAAGAAGAAAAGTGAAAGGAAAGAAAGAGGGAAATAGAGAAATAGATGTTGGAAAGAGGAATTTGTGCCCAAAAAAAAAAAAAAAAAAAAAAAAAGAATTGAAAGGGGGATGGAGGGATGGGACACATGGTATTTATGTTGTTTTTTTATGTACCAAAAAGAAGAAGAAGAAAGAAAGTTCTCTTTTGTCGATTATGGAATGAGCACCCGCTAATACATCCAGCAATTGAATGTGGATTTTCCTTTTATCTCGCCTCTGTGTTTCTGTGTTTCTGCATGCACTGGCATGCACTGAACCCCCGAATCCAATAAATTCAGATTTGAATCTCTGTCAACATGCCAATACAAAGAATATAATGTAATAACTAAAGCAATTTTAAAAAAGGATAAAGTTATTGCTCAAAAGTACCATGTACTTTCTCTCTCCTTTTAAAGCATGTTGATAACGAATGCTTAAGCTAATACTGAGGCTAATACTGAAGCTAATGCTAATACATGATACTCATTGCTGAGAGAATCTGTTTTGGCAGATTGAGTAACTAATCACCCCTGAGTTCTTTTTTCTTTGTTTTTTTTCCTTTTGGTCCGCTTGCCTTTTGAAACGAAATGGATCTTGCCCTGTCAAGAGAAAGAAAGAAACTGGATGAATATATGCATTCCCCTTACAGTTAAAGTGTAACAGCCATGACTAACAACTCACTTTTTTTTTTTTTTTTTTTTTTTTTTTAAAATAAATAGAAAAGGGGACATAATAAGGAATGCAGAATAAGATAGAATTTTTAAAATAAGAAAGTAAAAGTAAGAATAAAATAACCTCGTACACAAAGCATATACAAATAGATTTTTATTTTTTGATGATCATTGTTCAGCGAACCAACGTGGCATTAAAAAAAAAAAAAAAAAAAAAAAAAGGCCAATGCAGAGCAACAACAACATGATCACTCAAACTTTTTGACATCTGCATCTGAAAATCAATAGACTCCCGATTCAAAAAGAAAAGCCCAATGGCTCTATTGAAAAAAGAGAAAAGGACGCTCACGCCTTTTTATTTTAGTTTAGTTTATTTTGCAATGGCGTCAATCCATCCTGGTCTAAGACGTACATACATGTAATTGAATAAAAGCAATTATATAGTTATCCTTATTAACCTCATGCATTTATATTTATATTTTATTTTTACTTTTACTTTTTGTTAATGCTTTGAACCCAGAAACTCGGGGACCGGGCAAAGTACATATCCAAAGAGAGAGAAAGACACGGGTCTTTTGGACCAAATGCTGGAAGACAAAAAAAAAAAAAGAAAAAGTGAGAACAGAGTATTGTAATAAACAAAAACGTCATTCTGTCCGGGTCCGGACATGGCTGGGCAGGCAAGGGCAGGTCTGGACAGAACAATAGGTTGAACTAACACTCTTGGTTTCAACAGAGGCAAAGCAAACTAACTCTTTTTCCTTTTGTGGCCGTTACCCCTTTTTTTTTTTTTTTTTTTTTTTTTTTTTCATCTCTCCTATTAGTCAATAGACCGTTGCACAACAGGAATAAAAATAAATATATATTTTTTTTATTTTATTTTATTTTTTTTTCAAACAAAATGCGTGATCGCGTTACGCCTGGTCCAATGATACAGATGTCTACAATCAGGCATATGGCTTCACTTAGTTATGTCGTCAATTATTTTACTTGCGCCGACTGATCCTGCCCGAACCCCTGCCTTTTCTTACATTCAAGTAGACATGCATATATTCTTTATTTATTTGTTTTCATCCTTTATGGAGATAACAGTTCCCATACCATTCTTATTAAATATATATATTATGAAGAGCTACACCCATTGTCGCAACGGTTTGTTTGTTTGTTTGTTTGTTTGTTTGGTTGATTGTTCTTCATGTAATGTTTGTTATACATGTATATCATTTCGTCTTGATGATGCGATAATATTGATTTGCGATGTGTGTTATACATATTTGTACAGTAATTTACATATACAATATATACATATACATATATATATATATATATATATATATATATATATGAGTCGCGTTTGTGGGGAGAAGAGCACAAGCGGTCGGTGCACATAAGTTGGCTATCCCAAAAAAAAAAAAAAAAAAACAAACGCGCAGCTTCCTTATTAGAGTTTCAAAAAAACTTACTCCAAAACGCAGGTTCGCACATTAATACGGTGGAAACACATGTCTTTTTTTTGTTTTTTAATCAAAAATAAGATCGTCTTTGAGAAGAGGGAAAGGACCGGAAAGACAGAGTAAGAGCAAAATGAGATAGCAGAAGAAGAACAGGATTAAGGGGAAAGGAAGATAAATTAAGGTAAAACTGCACATTCGGTTACATAAAGCCGAGCTATTCATCTGCCTTTTGGACTGGGTGTCTGACTTGATGCGTACCACCTTCATCTTACTTTTCCTCTTTTCCTTTATTGTTCTTATTTAATGTGGTATATGTGCCTTCACAGCCATTGGTCCCTGACATTATCTCTTTATCCACTTTTTGTTTTTATTTTTTTTGATCCTCCAGATCCCTTGTGTATTTTGATCACCCCTTACTTGATTCTTTTTTTTATTTTTTTTTTTATTTTTCTCTTTTACACCCATAGAACTGAACCCTGAGCCTTAGCATGGGCTTGAACCTTGGACCCAGTTATGGGATATGGAGATACAAAGGGAGATATAACAATAGACAGCAAGTGCAAAAGAACACTATTGGCTATGCTCTGATCTCTTTGGTCATAGTTCCCGATCTTTTTTTTTTTTTTTTTTTTTTTTTTTTTTTTTTCCCTCAATCTCGCTCTCTTTATGCTCTAACCCTTTTCCTCGCCCTTTTCCTCGCCCTTTTCCTCGCCCTTGTCCTTGTCCTTGTCCTTGTCCTTGTCCTTGTCCTTTTTCCTTGTTGGTGTTGATTTTTTATTTTTTTTTATTATTATTATTATTTTTTTTAATGCAAAGAGCACAGTAACACACTGCTATTTTTTTTTTTTTCTTTATGCTAACCAAATCCACAATTGATAAAGATCAAGCCTAACCCTCCTTTCTGATATGCACGGGCTGTATTGCTATTGTTTTTCAGAACATTCAATCCAAAAGAAAAGATATTTCTTTAATAGATCTGAGTAGACCAGAATGCAAACTAAGAATGCAATAAAATAAGGACGACATGAATATCTGTCTATATGACGACTTTTTTTTTGAACGTCTTGTCTTTCTTTTCTTTCCTTTTCCTTTTTTAAGTAGCATAATGATACATGCTCATATACGTGGACTTTCTTTTCTTTCTTCTTTCTTTTTTTTTAACTAAAAAAAAAAAAAAACGACGCTGCTCTTGTCTGCTGTTCTTATTTCTCCGCTCACGTGCAGTTTTAAATTCAAAAGAGGGCAAGCACAGACGCTAGAGCGCGCGCGGAGATCTCGCCTGTATTAACAGAAACAAAGAAAAAGCGAGTAAGAGTGAGGGTGGTGGGGGGGTAAGAATGAGAATATGCTTGGCGAATAGGCTCTCGCTCTCACTCTCTGATGCAGCTCGGACCTCGATCAATCGAGCATGAACAATTGAAAGAATGAAATAAATAAATAAATAAATAATATTAATAAATAAATAAATAAATAAATAAATTAGTAGTAAAAAGTCCTTAGGTTGACCAGAAGGAGGAAAAGGATCCAAAAAATCAAAAAAAAAAAAAAAAAAAAAAAAAAAAGAGCGTTTTCTAAACCAAAAGTCCGAGAAAAAAAAAATCAGGAACAAAAGAAGATGAAGAGAAGGAGGTGACATTTGATCTCTTATTACCGCCTATGCCAATGCAATTGTCCCCTATTTTTTTTTTTTTTTTTATTTTTTCCTTCTCTCTCCTCTCTCTCTCCTCAAGATTGAACAAAGCTGTGTATACGCATTTCGTCCGCTGTGCCGGAAGCATAAAACATAAAACAGAAAACCCCCTTTGATTCCACTTTGTACTTTTAAAACCATATATCGATGTATTTTTTTTTTTTTTTTACTCTTTGATTCAATCACTCCATGCCCGTCGTCTATATTGCTCAAAGACCACTACTGCTTTTTCGCTCTATTAATCCACAGGGCATGTACATGTAGCATGTTGCATGTAGATGAACATGTTATTCAAGATCCTGCAGCTGCAGCACACATCGTTCAAAGCCGGGCAAAATACTTTTTCCTCTTATTTTGCTCAAAAATAAACAGGACCGTTTCCTAAAATGATTATCTATTGTTATTCAGATTCTCTTAACCTCTCCCCTTAGAAATATCTAGGACCCCGGTTTATTAGCAGAACAGCATAGCTCCTATATGCTTTATCATTTTCGCAATTAATCACTACTTAATAACAGCTTAATCGCACAAGCGCGTATTCACCCAAGTATGGAGCCAACTAAGTCAGTCCAAGATCAAAGAACTTACTGATATTCTCGAATAAGAAAAAAAAAAAGAAAAAGAAAGCTTTTTTACCCTACAGGTAAGCGAAAAGATTCGGAAAAAATCATACTTCTTCCATTGAAATACCATACAGAAGACTGTAAGGCCGTCGTTTGGCCAGACGAGCCCAAGACCAGCCGCATTTGCTAGGATAGGATGTCTCTGGGTTTGAGGCAACCAAGGAGAAGCCCTCAATGATTGAACTATTTACGATGCAATGAAGTGTGATAGTAAAAAGGGGAGGGGGGGGGGCATGCTATGGGAGTTGCATATCATAGAGTTTGTAGAATTGAGAGGACCATGGTTATAGGAGAAGTGCATTAGTTTTCTGTGTAAAGGATCAAACAGTCGTCTTCGTACTTGGGGCGTTTGCAGGGGAAGAAGGACGGATTTTCATTCCAATGTCACACAGCAACAACCATAAACCACATTATGAAGACCCCTTGGGTGAATTTGCGAATATACGAATATGCGACTGTGCCTGTAGAGTCTGGAAGGCTCCCACACTACCCAACGCCAACGCCAACGCCAACACCAACGCCAACGCCAACGCCAACGCCGTACATGTGGAGCTGAACTCAAGGAGAGGCCAAGAAACCTATCACGATTGAACCACAGGCTTTGCTACAGCGTGGAATCACATCTATCACAAACTTTTCGAGCTATGTCAAGAAGGCTCTGAGACGGGTTACAACTCCAAAAAAATAAAAAAAAATAAAAAAAAAAAAATAACGCTAAATTTTATTAGATAAGGTAACCTGTTTATTATTTAGTAATCGCATTGAAATTAAGAGCGACCAACTAGGAAATAGGCTATACATGTACAGTCACCTGAAATAAAGTTTGGACAAAATGGATTTTCTTGATTTTTTTTTGAACAACCTGGACAAACAGCTCATATGCAACATACATAAAGACTTCATCAATACACATGAAATTTTACATGCTCACTAAAGAGGTCAATACTGTTATTTATTGGGGTTTTGAAGACGGCATTGTTAGAGTAGCAAAAGTGCCATGTAGGTTCAATAGTGAGTGTTCCTACCATCGACCCCATTCACTTCTTCCAGCCTTTCGGGCATGGTAGCGACAAGGCTGGCCAGCCTCTCTTGCGGTAAATTATTCCACTCTTCGATAAGAGCCCGTGTGAGAGTGGGAAGATCTCTTGGCCCTTTAGCGCGCCTATCGAGTGCATCCGCAAGAAGTGACCATACATGTTCAATAGGGTTCAAATCTGAGGAGCATGAAGGCCAGTCTGGAATCCTGGGGATGCTGTTTTTTTCGCGCCATTCTTTTGCAATCTTACAAGTATGAACTGGAGCATTATCCTCCATAAGTATGCCATCCTCTACCTCAGCCATAAATCTGGCTAGCTCGCCTTGATATACATCTTCCACGAAACACCGTCCATCTTTACGACCTCTTTCAAATACAACCAACCGAGACTTTCTGGTTGCTGTGAACGCCCCCCAGACCATCAGAGTTGTTCTACCACTTTTGAAAGTGGGTGCGAGGCAATCATGATCGTACTTTTCCTCTACTTTACGCCAAACTCTTATTTGACGAAAATGCTCACCAACTTCAAATGATGATTCGTCAGTCCAAACTACCCGATTCCAGTCTTCCATGGACCAACTCATATATTTTTTGACAAACTGCAGCCTCCTTTTTATATGTCCTTCTTTTAAGAATGGTTTTTTTACTGCAATCCGGCTGAAAATACCCAGTGAATGCAATGCCTTCGCAACTGTCCTCTCGCAAACTTTGTTCGGCAATTGGTTAGTGATATCATTAAGAGTACACCTTCTATTCTGCTTAGTATGGCGAACGATGCTCCTGAGGTCCCGTTCACTTAGTACTTTGGGCCGTCCTGGGATCGGAGTGCAAGCAGTGGTGCCTCTTTCTTGGTACACCCTGATAATATTAATAACAGAGGTTCGGGGTACACCGCGTTGCAATGCGATTTCCGCAGCCTTCATGCCCGCGAGGTGCATTCCAACGATGATACCTTTATTCTCAATGTCTAAGTGTCTCGCCATGGTGGTTTACTCAAGCTGTTTGTATGTGAAAAACAGGAAGGAAAGAGATTGAAGGAAACGCTTCCCTACGTAACTATTTCAATATTTTATTTTTTTGTCCAATCTTTGTTTCAGGTGACTGTACAAAAGTGTACAATTATCGAGATTCCACTGTACAGTCACCTGAAACAAAGATTGGACAAAAAAATAAAATATTGAAATAGTTACGTAGGGAAGCGTTTCCTTCAATCTCTTTCCTTCCTGTTTTTCACATACAAACAGCTTGAGTAAACCACCATGGCGAGACACTTAGACATTGAGAATAAAGGTATCATCGTTGGAATGCACCTCGCGGGCATGAAGGCTGCGGAAATCGCATTGCAACGCGGTGTACCCCGAACCTCTGTTATTAATATTATCAGGGTGTACCAAGAAAGAGGCACCACTGCTTGCACTCCGATCCCAGGACGGCCCAAAGTACTAAGTGAACGGGACCTCAGGAGCATCGTTCGCCATACTAAGCAGAATAGAAGGTGTACTCTTAATGATATCACTAACCAATTGCCGAACAAAGTTTGCGAGAGGACAGTTGCGAAGGCATTGCATTCACTGGGTATTTTCAGCCGGATTGCAGTAAAAAAACCATTCTTAAAAGAAGGACATATAAAAAGGAGGCTGCAGTTTGTCAAAAAATATATGAGTTGGTCCATGGAAGACTGGAATCGGGTAGTTTGGACTGACGAATCATCATTTGAAGTTGGTGAGCATTTTCGTCAAATAAGAGTTTGGCGTAAAGTAGAGGAAAAGTACGATCATGATTGCCTCGCACCCACTTTCAAAAGTGGTAGAACAACTCTGATGGTCTGGGGGGCGTTCACAGCAACCAGAAAGTCTCGGTTGGTTGTATTTGAAAGAGGTCGTAAAGATGGACGGTGTTTCGTGGAAGATGTATATCAAGGCGAGCTAGCCAGATTTATGGCTGAGGTAGAGGATGGCATACTTATGGAGGATAATGCTCCAGTTCATACTTGTAAGATTGCAAAAGAATGGCGCGAAAAAAACAGCATCCCCAGGATTCCAGACTGGCCTTCATGCTCCTCAGATTTGAACCCTATTGAACATGTATGGTCACTTCTTGCGGATGCACTCGATAGGCGCGCTAAAGGGCCAAGAGATCTTCCCACTCTCACACGGGCTCTTATCGAAGAGTGGAATAATTTACCGCAAGAGAGGCTGGCCAGCCTTGTCGCTACCATGCCCGAAAGGCTGGAAGAAGTGAATGGGGTCGATGGTAGGAACACTCACTATTGAACCTACATGGCACTTTTGCTACTCTAACAATGCCGTCTTCAAAACCCCAATAAATAACAGTATTGACCTCTTTAGTGAGCATGTAAAATTTCATGTGTATTGATGAAGTCTTTATGTATGTTGCATATGAGCTGTTTGTCCAGGTTGTTCAAAAAAAAATCAAGAAAATCCATTTTGTCCAAACTTTATTTCAGGTGACTGTACTTCTGGTTGAAGGCTGCCACGCTGTAAAGCCCTAAGGCGGACCGCCGGGCAAGAGAGCATTGCATTTTAACTAGACAGTGTCGGGATTTAGGAAAGTAAGTTAAATAAAGGTGTGGAGTCTACACACCGCGTTCAAGGAGCATTTGTTTATCCTTCGTCAATAAGAGAATAATAACTCATCTTCATGCTCGACTATAAAGCATCATATTGTAAGCTTATGTAGGAAGTACTGTTTGCTTCTTTGTGTCTCAGGCCACACTAATTTATCAATCTGTCAATCCATCGACCAAGATAGCGCCCTTCAAATATCAAAACAAAAATTTGCCATTTGCCATTTTTAGGCGAACGCAATAGTCGAAAAGTCATCACATTTTTTGTTTTGATATTTGAAGGGCACTAATATAGAACAAAGAGTTAATTAGATTTGTTTTTTTTTTTTTTTTTTTTTTTTTTTTTTTAAAGAAAAAGTTTGAAGCAGACGGAAATGTCAGTAATATTCCTTACAAGTTAAAGAAGGAATACTCTCTGGTATCTTGCTGGCATAATGAGCTTGCTTTGAGTTCTTTGTGGGGCGTTGACTTTGTGGCCCGTCGCAATACGGTCCGCAAGAGCGAACTGGGTATCGCCGTTGACGTTATGGACCTTGTTATTAACATTCTGAAGGACCTAGCATTTGTTTTTCGAGAACTCGGTTAATTACAGGACTCAGTAAACAAAGCCTTTTCCGAGTGTGAGTGTCAAAGGACATTACTTCTATCAACATAGACCAAGGCTGCGTACGGTCTCTGTCCGATGTATTTTTACTGGATGGATGGGCATTAATAGTGACAAGAGAATGAGGGCGCCCTGCACGTCAATAAAGCGCTATTAAACAATAATCTAGTGGAACATCAACTTACGGCATTCGAAGAGCCTTCAGAGATGAGGGAACGCTCGATGAGGTCGGAAAGCCAGTTTGCTAGCAGCCTAGGAAAGCAGGTGCATAAGAAGAACTGTAATTCCTAACAGTCAGTGGCTTTAATAAGTCGCGTCCCGGTTATTCGAGCTCATCAATGAATTTTTACCTGCTTTCGATAATGAAGCTTCTGAAAGAGCGCATTGTTACTAGTTTTAAGGCATCAATAGCTGATGAGGGGCGAGGGATGCTCTGCAGGGAGCAGCATACGTTGTGCATAATAAAGGATAAGAGGACTGTAGAGTGAGAGAATAGATGATAAGAGAAAGCAGAGGGCGAAGGAGAGGAAGAGAGCAGAAGTGGCTCCGGCTCTACGAGCCTTTATTTAGTTGCGCTCGCCCTCTATTGAGGCTATCCTACATGTCTATTGCTGATAGGTTGACCGTAGCATACCAACGATCAACGCAGTGATTGTACGTATCCGAAGCTGTGCGGTGTTGTACGGAATGCGTGATCATGATCATTTAGCACGCTCTTTTTTTTTTAAAGCCTTTCGGAGGCCTACTTGCAATGGTACGGACGCGCATGTACTCCTGGTTATGGACTGTCACGCTGCAATGCTTCAGGTAAGGCATCGGATAATGGAGTATTGAATTTTAACTGGGCAATATTGAAGGTGGAAAAGCAAGTGAGAAAAATATCTGGGGTTCACACACCATGCCTATGAATAATCTAGTCAAAACGCAGCTTCATGCCTGACAATGGAATACTGAATGTTGATTATTAATATCCATACTAGAGGCTCATTTAGTAAGCACCTATTGATCTTTAACGCAACAGATCACTCCACCAATCTGTCAATCCTTTAATTTGAATAATTTAATTTATTTTGCTTTGGATGATCGCTCATTTTCCTGAGCAGAGCGTGTATCTTTGTATTAATGACCGACAACAAACATCGAACTGTGAGTGTCCTGCACCTTATTTCTTTTGTTTTTCTCAAAAATTTATTAAGCCACGGCCTTCCTAAGCTCAATGGGCCTTGGACCATTGGTTTTTCATCGATTCTAACAAAAATCTCAACATCCTCCAGCATGAGCGCGTTCTCCTCATCTCGTCTGTCGGTGGTCCGTGCGAGTGAGAGAGAAATGAGAAATGAGGAAGACGGATTGTTTGATCTTATTGTTTCTCTTTGAGAACACAAAAATACTCGACGAGGAAGGCGAGAAGATGCTTATAGTAGAAGTTCGAAGGAAGAAGAGCATAGCCCACCACCGTTTGAGCCACGCTCAAGGCCAGAGAATACCGCTTATATCATCCTGCCTCCTGAATTAGCACACGGTTCTCACAACTGTTTTTATGAATTTCACAACCCTTCATATTCCAAAAATAAAAAAATCATTGTTCTGCCCAAAATAAAGAATGTGTTATAAATCTTACATTGGTCTACTACAGACTTTTGCCAAGACAAATATGTCCTCTAAACCTTACGGTCGAAGGGATAGAGGATCAAAAACAAAAGCCTTGAATCTGATATCCCTCCATACATTTTCCAGGGCTGTAGTTCACGCATTATGTAGCTACATACAATCCTCTGTGCCTGAAAGTATCCATTCTAGAACATATTGGTTATTTGTCAAAAAACTATTTTTTGATTTAAACCGTAGAACATTCATGTCTAAGAGAAGGCGAGAGGGACAGGAAGGGAGGGATCGGAATAGGTCGCACGAAGCAGTGTTTGGCGATATGCGCCCTCTTCAACATCAAGTTTCGGTGAAAATGTTTATAACATATAGAATGGATCCGACGAGCACCATATTGCTTATCCACCAGTTCCTTCTCAACGATTAACATCTTTTCAACTACTCATTTTTCTCCGCTTTAACTATGCTTCCGAAACTAAGCTTACCCAGCGTCATCATATTGGCACTCATTGCGGTCGTTACCTCCAGCAATGCGGCTCCAATGCTCAGAAAGGGCGCGTCTCCTGCATTCTTAATAAGGATCCCAAGCTCCTCAAGCCTGAGATCATGGCTGTTAGCCTTGCTGATCCTAGAACGTGCACCATCTTCTCGGCGTAGAATTTTGCAGGGTCTCCTCGAGAAGGTGCGCTCCTCCGGTGCCAGTCTTCAAGGTGGCTCCGTCACCTAAGGTACTGGATATACTATCTGGGCCTGTTTCGACCCTGATGCATGTCAACGATGCACGATGGACAATTCAAAGCTTGCTACCTACCAGTTGAGGAATACTCTTTATGGACGTGTCAACTCGAACTGCGGCTTGGTCAACTATGACCTTTCAAGATCATGCTGGGGACGGATTTAGTGGTGATAAAAAGGAGGATGAAAATAAGGATGACGAGGGTAGCGGCGATATAAAGAAGGGTGATAGTGAGGGTAAAGATGGGGATGATGACAGGATGAGGGCGATAATGAGGGCGAGGACGGGGACGATGAGGGCGAGGGTGATGAGGGCGATGGTGATGATGACACGAAGACAGCGACGGACAAGGGCTCGCTCGTGTGATTGTAGATGGCAGTCAGGAAATGAGGCACCGTCCACTCTGTAACGTATTAGAAGTAAAAGTATTAGAGAACAATAAAAAGTCTCATGCCTTCAAACAGCTTTTTCATGGAAATGGGTGCATACGATCTTAGAGAAAGGCAATCCCATTATGATGAACCGGTCGTTTTATTGTATTTGTTATATTATCACTCTATCAGAACACCGGCCAAAGCACAGACCAAGCTCAAGCTCTTTCAACAGGTTCATATTGTTTTCTGTAGATCACCCCTTAATCCGGAAATTCCACCTGAACTAGTTTTACATTTTATATATAAAGTTAATTTCATTTGTAATGCATAATTAATATAAGTTAATTCTCATCCCATCTCAGTTGGACCCCATGCAGACAACCTCCTTGGGCGGATTGAAAATTATAAATGAAGAAAAGAAAAGAAAAGAAAAAAAAAAGGGTGTTTTGGAACAAGGCCATTACTATAAATGAATAAGATAAACAGCCGAGTTGATAGAAAAGCGTTGATGATGGATCATCATTTTCCCCCTTTTTTCTTTTTTTTCTTTTTTCCTAATCATGACACTGCGTAGCACAAAAGTATAATTGGCATTAGCAATGGGAGAAAATCTATAAAATCAGTCAATTAAACCATAAAAAAAAAGGCGGGCAGAGATTCCTTTTCTTCTTCAATTGGCCTTTAATGCTTGCATGTGTAAACTTGAAGACGAAACACTAAAATAAACAGACGATGAAAGAAAAGAGGGAGGAGTGGGGCAAATCAGTACCCTTTCCTTCACTTTCTTCTTTTCCCCTCTTTGTTTACAACCATCTTCCCTTTACTTTCCCTACACACCCTCTCTCCTTTCCTTCCCTTCCCTTCATTCACACTCTTCTTTTTTTTTGGCCCATTTCCATCACTCATGTCTTTTCATTAGCAACGTGCTCGCAGAGTGGAAATTTAACACAACAAATTGCTGAAAACCAAAAGACATCAGAATGTCAACATTTGACCCTGTCATTTCATCATGGTTGGCTGCTGGCTCATGTATAGGTTTCACTTGCCTCTTTGTCGGATCCCTCTACTTATTTCCCCTCAGGACCAAGCAACAGGCACGCGAATATGCAGCTCGTTACAGCCTACTTTCATCCATCGCACAGTCCACTCCAGTTGCTGCCTCAGCTTCTGCGCTAGCTGTCGTCACAGCAGCAGCAGCAGCAGCATCTGGTGTCACTACAATTTCCATTGATAATGATAATAGTAATAATAATCATAATAATAATAATGATAATGCACCATCGCGACGATCATCATTATCTTCGAACGATGATGATAATGATACAACTCCGCCTGCTTCTCCAAGGATTTCTACCTCTTCCATTTCAACGACAACAACCTTGGACAGTATGCACACTGCAGTCAGTAGTATCAATAATATTGGATCTCCATCCCTTACACCCACAACAACCACTACAACAACAACAACAACAACAACAACACCAACAACGACAGCTACGATGATAAACCACAGCAATTCGGGAGTGAATACAGTCAGTACAATCAGTGCAGGCGCTCTGAGCGCCACTACAGGAAGCATGACCAAACCACAACCAAGTGGGGTTCCTGATAATAGAGCACATCGTACCAGTACACATCTACACCTTATGGAATCTGGTGCATATGGCATAGGCATAAACATGGGCAGCCCTTCATTGACCTCGACTACGACTATGATGACAAGTTCTAGTACCAGTAATACCAACAGCAATAATGACAATACTAGTTTCGCCAATTCTGCTAGAAATAGTTTTCCGGCTTTACCTAAACGATCTCCATCATCAGGAACAGCTGACAAACGAGCATATCGTACTAGTTCACATTTTCAATTTGTAGAGAGTGTCAATAACAACAGTAATAGCAATATATCATCACCCATGGCATCTCCTGCACTATCGACTATTTCTGCTGGCAGCACTAGTACTTTTATTGTATCGCCTTCTACGTTGTCATCCTCTACGTTAGGAGGTTCAGGACCTGCTGCACGACCAGAAGTTGTGACCCACTCATATTCATCTTCATATTTTTATGATCAACACCAATCTAATGCTCCATATTATCATCATCACCCACAACAACCATACCAACAGCATCCACACCAACAAGAACAACAAAGGGTATCTCAAATGTTACATTCACCTTCAGCAGCGGATAAAAAGTTGGATCGAAACCATCCTTTAGTAATTAAACAAAGATTCAAAGGAATTTTCTTGACTTGTTTTGTGGCTCCGATCTACCTTTGGTGGGTGTTTAAACTCACAGGAGCAATTCCCAACGATCTGGTAATTCAAATGAAAATGAAAATGAAAATAGGACAAACACGTGTTGTGTCGTACCTGGGTTTAACATCAATTCTAATTCACCCATGTGAATACATGCATATATATATTCTTTTTCCTCTTCATCTTCATTAGTCTTTCTGGTCGCGCCTAAGAACGTTTCTAGAACTATTAGGGATTTCGATTCCACAAAACATATTCAAGCTTTTCAATCATGTCGTGCTTCCTTTATTCTTAATGGGCGTCCTATTCATGGGTCCCGTCCTGATGATGTTTTTAAGCAAAGAACTTCCATTCCAACAAGCCTTTGATTGGGTAACTCATCGGCAATATTTCCGAAGTTTGATCGGCATGAGAAATTTTGTCGTGGTAAGCTTTAATATTATAAATGATAATATATGTAAAATGAATACATTGATGAATATATATCATTCAATCATAATAGTAACAATTCTTTTTTTTTTTTTTTTTTGTTTATTTTTTTTTTTTTTTTATTGTTATTATTAAAAAATAATAATAATAATAATTAGGGTCCTATTTCCGAAGAGTTCGTGTTTCGAGCATGCATGGTTGCAATTGTCGCACACACTGGCGCAAAATCTTATACTATGATCTTTGCATTGCCACTAGTGTTTGGTATAGGTAAATGATCTATTATTAATGTCCCTTGAATTTGCTCCGCTTAATTTTTTTCTTTCTCCTATCCAATCACTGATACTTTTTTTTTTTTTTTTTTAAAAAAAAAAAAAAAAAAAAAAAAAAAAAAAAAAATTGTAGCACATATTCACCATGGTTATGAATCCTTTGTGAGAAAGGGCCGGACACGACGTGCATTTTTAAATGCAACCCTTATGACTTGTTTTCAATTTCTCTACACAACCCTTTTTGGTTGGTTCGCCACTTACTTGTTCCTCAGAACGTCCAATTTGATCGCACCCTGTATCTGCCATGCCTTCTGTAATTTGATGGGCTTCCCCGATGTCACCAACATTCAGTACTTTGGTCGATGGAAACACTGGCTTTATTTGGCTTTTGCAACCGGCATCCTCTTGTTCGGCCTCCTGCTACAACCCTTGACCTCGCCTAGTCTTTATGGTGATGAATTCTCTTCTGCTTATTGGAGCATCACAATGAAGAGCACTTTAGCAGAAGCATCAATATCAGCATCAGCCGCAACAGTAGGTGTAGACACTGTCTTTAAGGCTGAGATCTAATACATAGCCTTTGTATTCAACTTCCATTAAAGTTAAAAAAAAAAAAAAAACATTTGTGTTGATAGCCAGTGTGAAATAGCTGATGGATAATAATGATAATGATAACGATAATGACAGTAATGGTAATGGTAATAATAATAGTTATATTATAATAATAATATTAATACATCTTGCACATCAAGATTTATCACCATTCTACCTCCTATCGCGACCTGGACCTTTCCCGATAGCCATCCCGATCCCGGTTGTTGTCACGACTCCTCGAATCCCTATATCTATCCTTGTTTCTTTCTTCCCGATCTTCTCTGCCTGATTTGTAATCACGGTCCTTATCATCCCGATTATCTCGACTAGACCTGTAGTCGCGATCACGACTACGATCACGACTACGATCACGGCCGTCTCGACTATCTCTAATCGATCTATAGTCTCGGACCCGATCGCGACCACTTCGACTGTCGTGGTTAGACCTATAGTCCTTATCTTTGTCTCTATGGCTCCTGTCGTCTCTGCTACTACGATCAGAGTATTCCCGCCTTCCCTCCTCATCCTTGGACTTTACATCTTTACTATTCGTTTCTTCCTCCAACCTATTTTTCTTGACCAAATCACGATCCATCATCTCTTCCATCGCAGATCGCTTCTTAAGTGGCTCTGTCGCCATCGTTGTTGTTGTGGTTGTGGATATGGATGCTGCTACTGGTGCTGCTGGTCCTATTGAAGTTGCCGATGATGATGGTGGTGTGGAAGCAGTGGAAGCAGTAGAACTCTTTGAAGAAAACACACTTGGCTTCTTTGCTAGAGCGCTCAAACTCTTTGGTTTCAGCAATCCAGTTCCACCACCGCCCAATTTTAATCCGCCCCCTGCCGCTGCTCCGCCAAGTCCTATAGGTTTGATTGAAATATCCAACTTGATTTTTTCTTCTTCATTTTTTCGTTTGAGTTCCGTTGCTGCTGTATTATTTTCTTCTTCTGCTGTTTCACCTGAAGAACCATTGCCATCTCCTTGTTGCTGTTGTTGCTGCTTTTTAAGGGCTGCGGCCCTTTCAATCTGCTGCTGGATCAATCTCTGCTCCCGCTGTTCATCATCCATTTCCATTCTTTCCTTTCGAGCGATGGCTTCCTGTCGAGCCAAAGTCTTGGGTGAATTATCAATCCACTGCATGAACCAGCCCTTGGGGGTCTCATCCACAATGGCTAAGCCTTCCTTTCCAAGATGCATTGTGAATTCTGATAAGGTTGCCCATTTAGTGGCATTCATGTGAAGATGTTGTCGATCTGAAATGAATTCTTGATAGACTAAATTGGCATGGACACGACGAGTTCCATATCTAGAGACGACAAAAAAAAAAAAAAAAAAAAAAAAGAAGGTAAATATATGAATAAATACAACTATACATGTAAAACAAGTGCCTAGATTAAATAAGTTCAGAATGAAGTTATGCTGTTAAGCTTTAGTATGGAAAGCAAGAAGAAAGAGAAAAGCAAAATATTTACCTTGTAGAGAGCAACTTCAAAAAATCGCGCTGAAACTCTGCGGAATAGTCATTAATATATTTATCAGGTGATTCTGCCACAAGCAAGATCTTACGCTGATGAGACTCGGAAGCACAATGGCACTATGCTCGGTAATAAGAAAGAGAGGAGTTAAAGCTAAATACTCATGTCTCTTCATCCAAAGTCGTTTACTACTTTTCTTTCTTTTTTTACCTTGAACCCGTTCTCATCTCGACATTGCTTCTCGCAAATCTGACAGTACCATCGAAGTTTCTGGAGACCCTTGGCTTTGATGCGATTTGCAATCTAGAAAGGAAAAAAAATGTTTAAAACAAGTAATAAAAAGATCAGTAATGATCCTGTGTGGGCGCAGTCTATAATGTATTTTTTGAATCGAAATGGCCCAAGAATTATTTATAATGAAGGACAGATAGCTTTTTTCAGTGAAAGAAGTTTAAAGGACAGTAATGAAACATACAGCTTTAGGAGTAAGAAATCCGTCCTTGCCCATTGATGTTGAATGGTTGATGTCAAAAAATGTATAAATATTGCGATGCAAATTAGGCACAAGAGAATGAATATCTCTTACAGTGGCTTAGTAATATATATGAATAAAGATGGATTTCCACAAATTTATTATTATTGAACATATTTGTTCATGAATTTTCTATGGAAATCTGATCGCAGGGTATCGTTGATAAACCGTTTCTTGGGTTTATCGTCAATACCTCTGGCTTGGTTTTTGAAGATCACATCATCATCCCATCGCCGTTTGACAGAGAAATCCTTGACTGCAGTATTATTGTTCATGTTTAACAATGGGTTTCCTGCTGCTGCCTGAGCTTGCCTTTCTTTTTCTTCTTCTTCACGTTGAAGTCTTTCCTGACGTTCCTTCTCTTCCGCACGCTCACGTTTAATCTTTTCTAATTCTCGTAATAATTCCGCAGTGTCATCCTCATCATCATCGCTGTGAACCGTAAAAAAAAAAAAAAAGATATTATCATCTTAGTTTTTCAAATTTTGATACTTTTTTTTTTCATCTCGCTCTAATTGACAATTGTACTTAAAGAAAAAAAAAAAAAAAAAAAAAAAAAAAAAAGAACAGCTCCGCCTATTCCCTCCCTCTTTCTTACCTGTCACTCTCGTCACTATCACTTTCATCGCTTCCCTTATCAGAATCATCGCTATCACTATCGTCCTTATCTAGACGTTCAGCCTCCTTCAACAATCTCCGTTTCCGTTCTAAAGGTGTTTCCGCTGGTTCCTCTGAAGAGCGTGTTGCTGATGATCCAATCTTTTTTGTAGTATCTTTATTGTCATCAACATCGTCGTCGTCGTCGTCCTTGAAAGAGTTCGAAAGACCTTCGGCCAGTTTTGTAGTCCTCTTGACTTTTTCAAAATGATTCTGTTCTGCTTTCAGAAGCTGAGCCTTCAAATCCAAACGGTTGAGTTCATCTTGTGCAGTTTGACCAGACTTTCTGTTAATGAAAATAATATAAATAAAACAAAAAAAAAAAAAAAAAAAAAAAAAGGCTTTTTTTAGTAACTTTATGAAGAAGTATTTTTGAATCATTTTGACTTGAATGTAATAACTTACCTATACTTAAGTTTGGTATGTGATGCGAGATCACGCGAACTATAGATGCGTGTAGGTGCCTGACTGCCCTTTCCACGAGCTGGATCAAATGTCGGTCTTGTAGCATTTTGACACAATTAATTAAGAAAAAAAAAAAACGATAATTGTAAGCGTAAGCAAAGTGTTGTTGTTGCTTCTTGCTGATGGAGTCTATTTGACAGGGGAGCAGTAGTATATACCTGGCAGCGGTGGTCATGATTGAGTGTGTGTGTGTTTGAGTTGGAGAGAGAAATGGAGAATAGAGTGACTACAATTCCAAGATGAATACTTTTTTGAAAGTAGATATCACGTGCCTCAAGACCATCAAGATCCGAAGATCCCTTGATCCTTTGATCCATTGATCAGGAAAAAATTACATCGAGTTATTGCTGCAAATCGAATAACATGCTAGTACAATTATTATGATTAACATTTTTTTTTTATACATATATGTTTATTGCCATTCATGATTGCTATATATTATTGTATGCAAAATATTAGTTGATCCTTTGATGATACCTATATGATCTTATTGATATCAATGGATAAAGAAAGAACTTCGTTAGAATAACTTGATGCTTTTCTCTTTCTTTCTCTCTCCCGTCTTCTGCATCTCATCATATTAAAGGGAGTTTCAGTAGGGCGCAATAATTATCAACACTGTTGTTCAGGCGGTAATTCCAGCTTTGATTGCTTATGTCTCATCATGTTGCCCATCAATATGTTTGTATCGTCTATAATCATTAGACAAGTTCACTTACAAATGAAGGGAGAACTATGAAGGTGAGAGACAATGGAAAAAGGAAAAATATGAGAAAGGAAGGGGAAAGAAAGTAAAAAATAAATAAACAAACAACTTTCTCTTTTTTATTGTTGGCACCTTAATGATGGAAGCCACATCTTGGAGCCAAAGAAAGTAAAATCACGTCGCGTTTCAGATGCATATCCGTGTGAGTATCAAAAATCTGCGAACAGAGTCATTGAGACAATGTACATGTATACATTTACAATGTAGTCCATGTCTTTTTAAAATGCTCAAATGTTCCCATGGCCATATGGCATATGACAAATGGCGCTGTAAGCACAGAGCAAAGCTTGTCTCGGCTGTTAAATATCCCATGCGTGTTTAATCGTGTGTGGATTGATTAATGCATGGGTGTGCGCCCAGTTGTCCTTCCATCCAATCCAATCGATCAAATTCAGGGAGTCTAGACATGTGTTACGAACCTGTTGCAAGGACCATGCAACCCTCCTTTCCCTCACACATTAGCGGCTTTTTTTTTCCCCAATCTTTCTCTCCCTTTTGCTTTGCTTGCTCATTCTTTTCTTTTCCCTCCATTACTTGCCTTCTTCAATTATCTTCATTCCCACATTCCTTCATTCCTTCATTCCTTCATTTTATCAAAGTGATGCAATGTCCTCAAGCAAAGCCATAGCAGCAGCCGCAGCCTTCCGAGGCAACACCCTCTTTGTTCACTACTCCACTATCGCTAATAACCTTGGCTCTCTTTATGCACTATATCCTTCTTCTTCCAATCCTACCTCCGTCGCCCCTTCCCCTCCTTCACCTCATCCTAATTCTCCACCTTCGCCTGCTTCCAACGCAGTCGTCATCAACGACATCAACAACGGAACTATTACCACTCCTGATTCCTTGCTTATACAGCCTCAAAACCTTGTCGTCAATGGTCCCAACTTTTTGAACCCATCCACTCGCACAGCCCCTGGCTCAGCTAGCATAGTCTCAACCGCCACTCGAGATCCAACCACAGGGGCTGCTCGCTATGACCTTTTACTAGCTCTCAACTTCCCTCAAGCACCTAACCCATACGTTTTCCGCATATCACCACAATTTCCCAACATGGGCAGTGGAACTCCACCTGATGGAACGTCCAGTAGTAATAGTAACAGTAACGGTAACAGTGGCGATAGCAGTGATAGTAGTGCTAGCGATACAACTAGTCCTTCTTTTTCTTCCTTTGCTTCATCACTCAATTCTTGGACCGCCATGGATCAGAGCCAGATGCTAGGTGTCCTTCCCACAACCTCTCGACTATGGCTTGCCTCAGGAACTGCTCACCCGACGGGCTCACCAGAAGGGTCTGGGCTATATGAGTTATTCACAGAAAGAAGAAATATAATGACTATTCAAAAACTGGATGTTTCGGGACCGAATCCAATGCCAGCATCGTCTTTGTTGCCATTGGAGATGAACCTTTTAGACACACAAGCAGAACCGAGGATTTTGAGGTTGACTGAAAAAGGAGGCATCTTTGATGTGGCCATCGTCGGTAGCTGCATCCAAACTCCGTTTAACCCTCCAGGGGCCTGTATAATATTGATCAACGAAGTCAACCATGAAATTGTAAGTCAAATAAGCTGCAAACAAGGATTCAAATAATGCTGTTATCTTGAACAAAAATAGACTGATCTTTTTTTTTTTTTTTTTTTTTTTTTTTTCCTGATTAGATCTATACGACCATGCCATATAATCCTTCAAGTTGTATTACCGCAGGTACGTAAAGCGCCCATTATTTGCTTTGGCTTATTAAAAATCTTTGGTCCAAAAGACATGCATGCTTACGTCTTATTTTGTTTTGTTTTGTAGCAAATGGCTTGATTATTATGGCATCTTCGGAAGGGATTTGGTCATTTGATTATAGTTCAAGATTATCAAGTAGCTGGAATAGTCGTCAAGCTCCAGGCATTAGGCCCAACCTGCCAACTCCTATTTTAGCATGTGCTACGTCCAACTCTAAGCTGTATGCCGTACTCGAAGGTAAAAAGTCAACCGGATACATGAATCTTATATCAGTGTTTTGTTTTGTTTTGTTTTGTTTTGTTTGTGTTGTTTTCTCACGGAATGCCTTGTACGTATTAATGTATTTCACCAGGAGACACAGGGATGCCCTCGATTCGATCCATCGACTTGACAAGCCCAAATTGGGACTGGAAGACAGTTCCATTAACAAAGACTTCAAGTGGTGATGGACCTTACACACATCCAAGAGATCCCCAAACAGGTACGCCAGCCAATGGAGAATCAGTCTCTTCGAAAAGAGGTTTATCGTCAGGAGCCATAGCAGCGATCATTATAGCGGCTGTGGTTATACTTGCACTTCTGGGACTTGGATTCTTTTTGCGCAGTCGGAAGAGTCGAGCAAAACCTGATATGTTATCGCGTGAAGCAGAGAAAGCGATTGTGTCACCAGCAGCGCTACCAGCACAAGCACCAGTGTTGCCACCTGTCGCTATGTCAGCACCTCCAGGATATATTACACCCTATGGATCTGCATCGACTACTCCTGCAATGGCTGCATATGTTCCACCGGTTCATCCAAACGCTGCTCCTGCACGTGGAGGATCCTTTGGAAGTATGTCAACCAGCAAACAAGAATTTTCAGAGTACAGCCAATCATCACTGCAGCCATTACAGCAACATCATACTCCACAACCTACATCATACAATCAAGCCGTCCCTATCGCAACAACATCAGCAGCAGCCATCCCTGGAGCACTTTACACCTATTCACCTTCAATAACACCTATGTACTCGAATGCGACTGTGATGGTAGGCGGCAAGCAAGAGTTGGCTGACGAGAGCCAAATTGAATCAACACAATCACGAGCACAGACACCATTATCACCTGGGGCTCAACACAGCTATCTACAACCTGAGAGTGCTGTGCCAACAAACACCTCCAGTAATAATAATGGTTCACAGTCGCAAGGGATGCTCTCACCGGCCCTTGCAAATGCTCAGTTGATCCTTCAGAATTCACAGACATCACAACCACAGCCGCAGCCACAACCACAACATCAATATTATCATCCACAAAATGGGCATTATTAAATAATAAGTACATAAACATCTATAATATTTCTCAACAATAACAAGAAGAAGAAAAAAGGACCTAACACCCTCCTTGCATGGTTATCCATTTATTTCATTTGTACAATTGAACCATTAACTTAATAAAAAGCAATCATTCAGGAAAAGAAACTTAATAAAAGGCGTGTCAATCTACGCATTATAACACTCAAAGGGATGACGTATAAGAGTGTAGACATATAAGTTTCCACTATCCGGCCTATGATTTACACTTTAATGGGGGGTTTTTTTCCTAACTCCCTTTTCATTTCCCCCTTCCAAGGTACAACAGCGCTCTTAAACCTTGCCACTGTCCAATAAATTAGGTGTTTCCCTTCGATACCTAATTCGTTCAGACCTCTAATTATAATCTTAGAGGGGAGGGGGGAATCTAGCAAAAACTAACAATTTAGAGTTAGTGTAAGTGTAAGTGGAGGTAGAGAAGAGATGAGGCGAAGTGAGGTGAGGCAAAGCAAAGTTAAGAGAGGGCTAAAAAAAAAATAAAAAATAAAAAATAAAAAAAAACCAAACAGCCCACATGTGTGCAGCATAATAGCCCCCGTAAATGTGGCTCTGTTGGACAAACCTTGTCGCACGTTTTCCATTATACACACTCCTCTTTCCTTTACAATCTTTATTCTCCTATGTACCTGAAATATGAATACTCGAGAACAAAAGCTTGTATGCGAATACTCTTGAGAGACATGAGAGCCATTTATTTCATCATAAACAAAGGGCGACAAACGTTCATCTGATACTGGGCTTCCTTCCATTGAAATAAATAGACCAGACACAATCAAAAGAACAAGAACATCAGTCATGTTCGGCAATAAGCACGCCTCACCACAAAACTTTCTCTTCCCAACCAAGGCTCTAAAGCTCTTCAACATTTATATGGAATGCATCCGCATAGTAACCGTAGATGACGACATCATCATGGAGTTGCGTATCGATGCAGATACTACACTGTCTCGTATCCAGCGGAATGAGAAGAGATGGTTTACCTTGTCAGCCCCCATCGACCTCGAATCATTGCGCCAGAGGATCGCTTTAGCCTACCATGAACTTGCTTGTTTACATGAGTGCCTGGATCACGCAGGTGATGCTAAAAAAATTGGTATAAAAGCTGAAAAGTGGACATCCATCCAAGGAAGCATTATCCGTGATGAGCCCTCAACTCTTGATGCAACTGCCGGCAAAAAGCGAGAAGAAAAAGGAACCAGTAGTAACAACTTTAAAACTGAAGCTATTGTCGCTAAAGCTGTGTCAGGCTCTAGTTCTCAATTGGGGTCAGTTTAGGACACTACTTTTGCCTCTCTCTTGCCGATGGGGCTCGCAACAACATCATGCTAGGCACACATTTACTCGGAGGCCTGGCTTAATTGGTGCAGTATGCTCCAGCCGGATACCTCGGGCCAGACGATTTAGCCAATACCCTCGCTGCTCTCAGCTCACACCTACAAAGCGCTCATGCTCACTCTGACGATCACCTCTATCATCTAGCTGCCGGAGCCTCACATGTACTCGATGTCATGGTCAACAACCAAGTCAAGGTTCTGAGGCAAGAGCAGCCCAATGGGCCTACTTGAAGGGACTGCGAGGCAGTTCAGATCCTCATCTGGTGTATCATGCAGCCTATGCCGCCCAAGCTTCGCTATATACTCCAAATGACAAAACACTAATGCAAGCTATACTTCAACGCACATCAATAGTGACCCAAGAAGTGCTTGAGATAGTGAGTGCGGCCGTAGGCTTGAATATGAATGCATTCATGGATGAGTTAAGAAACACTAAAAGGGACCGCTTAGTGAACTAAATCTAATATAAATTAATGATGGACTTCAAATGCAACGAGGTAAGAATGAGGGCTTTTGTTTACATAGTAGGAAAGGGTACTTATGGCTCCTTCCTATTACTATAAGTCGTGGGTATATTATTTGTGTAATTTAACTATTTAGATAAAGGACTTGGGTAATATGGCACACTGCCATCAAACGCAAACATTACTAAGCGGGGCCCGCGTGTGGTCGAAGGTATGGAATACAAAGCGAGCAAACGGTACTTTACGCTGGTAATGCTTGTACTCCAGATCTTTCTAGATTAAATGGAGTCATAAGGAAGCCTCTAGTGCAACGTAGAACTGTAGGTGGACTGACTTCTGGAGTAGGTATACACCGGGCATGTCAGCAAACTGTAGGGGCACCACCAATGGCATCCAAACTCAGGATGCTCCCCAACCCGCAGAACCATCACCAAGCCTCATTAGCGAAGACACGCTCAAGAGCAGAAGTCATAAGAGGAGGGAAATCATTGACAACGTTAATGCCACCAGGTAAATCAATCAAAGGCTGTCAGTTTAAATATGGCGTCTGCAAATAATGTAACTTTGTACATGCCATATCATGCAGCCTCCGTGCAACAGAAGATCAGTAAGCAGTATGTATTTAAAATATTGAGGACACGGCATATACAATATAGGCGAAAAGCACCTCATAGTAAAATTAAACCACATTATGCTCTTTGTGTAGGTCGATCGACCGTCTGCCTTGTTGAGGAGGCTTACTATTTCACATTCAAAGCAGTCTCCATCGCTACTGTCCTTTAAGATTGCGGACCAAATGGCTGTATATGCCACATATAGTATAGAGCGGCTATGATTATCTCCCATATGACGCTGTTTTCTTTGATATCTAGGGCGCTAGTACCCCGATAGGCTTCTTTCGACTTGACTTAATGGGAATAATGACAAAATGCCGTCGCTGGTGTCTCAAAGAGGCTATACTGTATAACGTAGCAAAGGTAAAGAAGGTACGAGTAGACGGATTTAGGTTTGCCAATTTTACTCAATAGTCCTGCCCCCAATACCATAGATTGCACAGGGAGAACAGGACGGTGTAAGCGCGCAGCATTTGAGTATGAATGGGAAGCTAAAATGATGCTTCATAAGGGGGGGAGCAATTGTCCAAACTATGCATAAACCATATTCTGAAGATGGCGTGCGCGCTCATATTACGCATACATACTGCACTTCAGCACAACAAACAAACAAACAAATAAACAAACAAATAAAATAGAGAGAGAGCTAAGGGGAGAGGTGTGTAGCAAAAGAACATTTACTTTATAAATCACATTGCCCACTCACGGCTCTCCAGATAGTTTGAAGTGGTATGGAGTAAGAGTTTTCAATGCAGCTTTTTTGCGAAGGGAACACATGGAGAAGGCCCCATTCGGCATAGGCCTGTTGATATGAGCTCCTAGGCCATACAGTTACCCGATATTTTTTTGAATGTTAAAAATTGGCTAAGTCGTTAGGCTTCTAACGGCTTTCTCAGTTGGCGTAAAGGGAAGGGCTGAGGACGGGGGAAAGTCATGTTAATTGCTTGGATCACTGTTTTTTTTTTTTTTTTTTTTTTTTTCTAAAAAAAAAAAAAAAAAAAAAAAAAAAAAAAAATCTGGAAGAGAACTAATACCAGGAGATCTCAGACAAGAAAAAACGTCATGCCTTGGCAACTGTAGATCAACAAACTCCATGGAAGCACCCTGACTTTGAAACCAACACAATATATATTTAGTTCCCTATCATATACCTTAGTGGCTGATCTGGGATGCTTATGCACCTTTTGTCATATCCAAAATAATGCCCTTTTGGAGATTTGTATTATTTGTTTATTGAGCTGTGGAAAAAAAAAAAAAAAAAAAAAAAGCATAATAATCAGTTGTCCTTGCGTAATCTTTTTCAGAACCGTTAAATCGCCAATAAACGTCAAGAACGCGCTCTCTACAATTAAGGTAAACGCCAAAGCTTGGCTGGAATCTCTTTAACAACATCAACAATATCATCAACGGCAAGCATAAAAGGGATTGAGATGAGATCTCGCATTGATGATTGATACACATCGTTTTACCCTGTCTACCATCAATAGTGATTACTGGGCCAGAGGTCGCGAAGATTAAAGCCAAATCAAGGGCTCTGGTCATGCACTTCAAACAACCATAACCACAACCAAAAACCACAACCAAAAAACCACAACCAAACAACAAAAAAAAGAAAAAAAAAAAAAAAAAAAAGAAGCAAAATACGAAAAGAAACGAAAAGAAGCATGTCAGTAGGCATCCAGAACTATTTTTTTTATTTTGAGATCATAGAGCCATGTTTGGGGTTAATCTGATGTTATTGTTTATGTTGTTTTTGTTTTTACATGAGTTGACTAGAACTATAATATTGAGAGGAAACACGCGCGTAGTATATTTCTATACATTTGTTCTCCCTAAATACAAATCATTACAGCTTATGAATCATTTCTTATAGCTTTATCACGTTTAGCCGGCATCAACCGCGAACCGCTGAAGTGAATTACTACACATGTACCCCTGTCCGGACTACTTTTTTTTTTTGTTTGGTTTTTTTGTTTTTGTTTTTGTTTTTGTTTTTGCATAATCATGGGAAAAATAAAGAATAGACCTGTTACTCAATACTAAAGTCCTAAGTATACATGTATATATATTGATGCTGAATGTTTATCCTCACCCATCATGCGAACGTTGATGGTTTGCATCTTTTTAAGACTGCATTCGTATCGATTGGCAAACAGGGTTTTGCATAGGTTGGAATAAGCTCTCATGCCAGAAATCTTGGAAAAAGTGTCACAATCCCCCGCCATTCATGTCAAACAGCACTGCACGCCAAATATCAAAAGCGAAAATCAGTCGTACAGGTTTGTCTAAAGGAACATCTTTTTTAAAAAGAAAAATGCTTTTCTATAGCATTTAATAGTAGAGAGTCAATAGAGCCCATTATCTTTGGGGTAAGTATATCCGGGGGAATAAAAAAGAGGTGTTTGTAATACAAATGCTATTACACAGTTCATCATGAGATTTAAAGAGATAACCAATAGGTCGGATGATAGATCATTGATGGGCGATAGTAAAAGAGCATAAACTGTGGAATATACATAAATCTTATAATATTGATGAGGAGACATTGCCCCAGTCCCAGGCCAAGGGCGGAAATGGGCACTTTGTGAAAGGACACGATCGTTTGCTTCTAATGCGAAGCCAATCAAGGTGAAAGAGATCCAACCCACGTGTAGTGTTTTATATGTCTTTAATTCAGTGCTGTGTGAATTATTCATGTACCTTCCTGTGCTCAATGTGTTCACATTTATTGGACTTGCTTACTTGTGTAATACAGAAATCTACACACACCCCCTCGTTTGGTCAGGACTAATTCATTTTTATACATGTATATTATTCTTTAATCAAAAGAAGGTGATTGAATTGGTTTAGTGGCTTTTACGTTTCAGTCAATTATATAATTGGCCCCTAGTGCATTTAAAGAAAGTAAATAAATAAATTAGAATATGCATAAAGTGCCTATTTGACTGTGTAAAAATATCAGTGTCCCCTCCCAATAGAATTGACACGAAAGGACGACTTAGCCTAGTGTGCCTGTGCAGCCAACCAGATTGTGAGAATCGAAGGATTGGACAGCAGCATGCCCAAACGACTGGACACAGACGCGCGAAAGTCAATCTCAAAATATAAAAGTGTGATTTATTTAGCAAGGTCATTATAAATGGTGAAGGAGCAAAGAAAGAGCCAATAGATTCAACGATGGACAGATGCTGTTTTGATTTGTTACACCTCTTTCGCTCATGCTCATTTGTTGTTTACTTGCTGTTGCTCATTTATTCATTAGAGCAAGGACAGAGGCGGAAAAAGATTATCTTTCTTCAATTCAATCCCCTCTTGACGACATCACACACACTGATCGACCTCATAGAACTCAAAGAAGCATAAAAAAAAAAAAAAAAAAGTCAGCGCATTTTCCCGACTCGTTTTGTCAGTGATCCACTTACTCTCTTGAATAAATTGGCATTGGAAGCCAATTATTTTGCTTGTTGGCTAAATTAGCCACCAAATCAATTCAATCTTTGTTTTTTTGATTAAAATGTATGAGTTGCTAACCAAACGAAATAGACCTGATTGCGCTTCGCTTCAAAAAAGAAGAGCAAAGAACATTAAGGCTAGTGCATCATTACTTTTTTTTTTTTTTTTTTTTTTGGTCTTGTGCGTCCGGGTCTCCAATTAAAATATACAATCAAGTATTATATATATATATATATATATATATAAGAGTATGATTATAATAGATATAAAGTCTGTTTGATCATTTCAAATGACACGACAAGTTAGTCAGCAATGAGGACATTTCTCAGGCACTTCGGATCGAATCCCTATTCAGGTCTAGGTTCTAATGTTTATTTTTTTACTCATTCAAATGCAATCACTCATCATCAATATATAGTTGCTTCTCTTTTTTTCCCTTTTTTACAATAGTACTTTTTAGTACTGAGTTCATCAAGGTCAGATGGGGGCGATGCAACAAGCAAAGGATTAAAATTATAAATTTTTAGATGTATGTATACATCTGCTTGCTTGTTTGTTATGTGAAAAGAGCTGGATGTTTTTCAGTTTCGGCCATCTCGCCAACCATCCATGTCCTCATTTTTTTCCCTTTTAATTCACCTATTCCCCCAGCAAACATTTTTTTCACCCTTTCAGCTTCTTTCTCTTTCACCATCGCTACCTTTTGCTCCAAACATATTATTTCTTCTTTCCCCTCATAAATCCTCTCCATCTGCAGTCTTTTAGTAATAGAAAGAAGATTACCTTGGTGATCCATATCGTCGCATGTTAGTATATCTATCCAAAATAACCATCCTCCTCCTACTTTATACAGCCAGTTTCTTCTTTACTATCCAGCATTCGTACTTTTGCTATTCATAAGGATAGACAGTCAACCATCATATATTCCTTACTGTTCCCTCTTCAATCCTCCCTCTCCATTGAAACTGATCACTCCTCTCACTTCTTTCTGTCTATCCATCTGTTTGTCCCGACTTTCCCTGTCTGTTTGTCTGTCGCCTCTGTTTTTACTTTCTTCCTTCCTCCGCCTTCTTATTCTGTTCCTGTCCTTTGTCGACTGTCCAACAAAATCTTCCAGATTGCTCCCAACCAATCAAATTTTGATTTTTTCGACCGTGATCATTTAGTGGACAGAATTTTTTCAGGGCACTCTGTTGACAGGAATTCAAGGAAGAGACAATTTGGACTATTTGACAGATAAAAAAAAAAAAAAAAGCGCAAGGAGGCAACGGCTCCAGCAGAAGCACACAGACGACATTGAAGAGGGACTCATTTAACCAGAAGTACGATTTGTGCTCACAGGCTTTTGCCAAGTGCCTATGCCAAATAACTCCCCCACGTTGAATGTCACCCCAATATATCTCACTCGCCTTGCTCTCTTTTCGTTTCTTGACGCTTCTTTGTTTTCTTTTCCCCACCTTCCATCTCTCTCCCATACCCTGACCTTCACACTCTGATACTCATATTTCCTCTCGTTCTTTCTCTTTTCATTTCATTCTAGACTGTGCAGATTGTTGTTGTAGTTATAGTTTATTGTTGTTCTTCTATAATATTCCTTCGTTTATTTCATCTTTTTAGTATTCCAAGTATTGTATTTTATATCACACCATGTCCACATACAACCATAATAACGAAACAACATTAGAGTACCCTCAGGGTGCTGGACCCACGCGCGCATACCTTCCTCCTTCTAAATCAACACCTTTGTCCTCTGGACTCTCAGCTGCATTAACAGAAAAACTCGCCGTCACCTTAGGATCTAAAAAAGCATATATGAACCTTCCCTCAATCCAAAAAGTGATTGCCAGCCATTCTAACATAAAGACCGAAGAAACCGACGCTCCAGGTTATGATGAAACCATCGCCAATATACCCGACCTCGACCTCCTCCCCCCACCACCTGTTTATGACATTGTCAATTGTCCCACATCTCAGACGTTACTCTTAGTATCTTCCCTCATTAACACTATCCTCGCCGTCAACGACCGGCTAGCCTGTCCAAAGATCACATTGTTCCACTCGCGAGCTATCCCCAATATTTCAATAGAGGCATATCTTTCTCGTATCCTCAAATATGCTACCTTCCAAAACGAAGTCCTCCTAATTATTCTTCTATACTTTGATCGCATTGGCGGTGGATGCAAACCCACGCAAGTGTTGACCAACAGCTTTCCCAAAAGTCTGTTGCGGCAGGCGTCTATGACTAAAGAAGATATCAACCAATTAATGTCACCAGGAGGAGGTCATGAAGGGAATATGGACCAAGCACGAGATGAAAAAGCAGCCCTCTCGCGCCAGGGCAACGATACCACAGGCACAGATGCTGATGCTGACTCTGATACGACGGATGAAGAAGAGGCAATTGCAGACGAGATATATACTTCATCTTCAGATTCGCCCGTTGGGTCAAAGCTGATTATCAACAGCTTCAATATTCACCGTCTTCTTATCACCAGTATCGTTGTGGCGTCAAAATTCTCATCAGACCGATTCTGTCCAAATGGTCAATATGCCAAGGTGAGTTCAAATAGCATTCGAGAACATCCACCTACTCATCCAATCTATATCCAAACATTCTGGCAATCAACCCATCCATCTAACAATTCATCTATCTATTCACGCATCCATCATGTATCCATTTATATTCTCCATTAAACTAACCACACCTTCATGACTTGTATAGGTGGGTGGACTTCCACTGAAGGAGCTCAACCAACTTGAGCTAGAGTTCTTGTTCTTATCCCAGTTTGAGCTCAATACAACTGAGGCTGAATTGCAGTCGTATGGCAACAAGCTACTTATGTACCATCAGCGACTTAACGGGATGGAACGTGCAGCAATTGATGCTATAACTCCGGCGAAAGGGGAGTACATCCGTCTAAACGAAAAAAAACACATAGTGCATGAAAAACCGATCCCATCTAGGATCCAGACGTCCATCCATCCACATCCACAGCATCGTCCTCCGTCCGAAATGGACCATAGACCTTTTATCTCACCAGGTCCGTATCGCGACAGTAAGGAGATCATTGATGACGATGAGGTCATGTCCGAAAAAGCGGATGACCAGATCGGATCTCCCACGGATTGGAAAAGTGGCGCAAGCACACCAGTAGTAGCAGAAGCACCCATCGCAAAATATCCAACTCAACGGTCAAATAAGATGAACCTTGATCATATGATCTGGCCTACGAACGACGTGGACATCAAGTACACGCCCGGCTCTTACTACGGTGCCATGGAAAAAGATGAGGATGCTGCCAGGATTGAAGAAGAGTTTAAGAAGGCTTCGCCTCCACCAGAATCTGATGAGCCGAACCCCAAACGGAAGTTGCAGCGGTTATCATCAGGGACAATGGAGTCCATACCAGCCAAGCGTGTCAACACGCCCGGCAAGGGGACGAATTCCGAAAAGTCAAGCAGCCAACCAGGGTCCAACAAGAATATATTAAAACCTTTTTTTCGTAAGATCGCATCGCTCGCCAACAGGTCGGACGCTGCGCCAACGCCAGAACCTGAACCATCACCTCAGCCACCATCCTTAAGATCGCATCCTTATTTGGTCCGCTATCGCGTCTCCCCTGCGTCATCCAGCACCAACCTGGCTGAGTCTGAAATGATTACTCCTACAACCCCGACATCGTCAAGGACCATGAACTGGCAACCAGATGATTACCCGAGTCAACAAACAAGAGTATCATCGGCATTTCAGATGAAACCGCCGCCACCCCCATACAGCGGCCAAGACCAGGAAGCAGACCTTGAGAGGCAACCTCGTCCTATGGCTACGGGTCCCTCGCGACGCCGACAGCATCGATCTCGTGAGCCATCATTGTCTCTACTTGCATCTGAGCTTTCGTTTGAGCCTCGGTCGAGTCTATCCCCTATGCACGAAGAGACTAAACCTGATGCTGAAATGACTCACCCTGCAACATTGGCACCATTATATTTCCCTCCCAGGCCTCAGACAGTCCAAAGTGGTCCCCAAACCATGCAACAACCCTTGTATGCACATCCGCATGCATACTCATCTGAGCCCATTCAAGGCTATTCGACACCACCGACCACTCCCATGCGGAAGGAACGGTCTGCTAGTGATGCTCGCGGCATGAAGGAGTATCCGTTTGAGCACCAGCCAACGTCAACTGCAGCTTCATCACATAGCATACCAATGGTCGCTTCTCCCTCGTCAGAAGTAGATGATAATGCGATGCAATGTGATGAAGAATCCATGGCTAGTGTGTCGCCTACCTCTGTGGCCACAGCTACAACTAAGCGGTTCCACTCTGCACCGGTAGTGTCTGTCTCTGACCCTCCACAAGAAAAATATAAAATGAGCGCTCCAGAGAGGATAGAGACAGGGAAGCCGAATGCAGACATGTCTTCGTCAGCATCAGCAGCATCACCATCGCCTTCCTCGGCTCATAGCAGCCACAGCCAAAGAGAGTCAGTCGAAAATGAAGCAATAGCTGGTAGGCATTGGATACCGAGACATGCGCCTGCACCACCTCATCCCTCTGTTCAATATCCTCACTCTCATTACGTTGCCTCCTACTACCCTGCCTCTAATGTGCAGCTGCTCCAAAACCCAGCAGCAGCAACAGCAGTAGGGCCCCGACCCGTCATGATGATCCCTCGAAACCCACAAACTCTTCCCGGGTTGAGCTCGAACTCCAACTCAAGCCCCAACAAGATACCACAAACATCCGTGGCAGCTCGTCCGGCCCGTCAGTTTGCTCCAATCCGGCCCAGGACTCCTACAACGAACGACGAAGACTCAAAAGGCCGCGTAGTCCCTGCGGCTACTGAGACTGTGCCATCACCAAGCACTACTACGGCTTCATCAGCCACTGCAGCCTCAGCTTCAAGCCAAAAGAAGAAAAAGAATTCAGTATCGTCCGAGTCCAAGTCCAAGGCTCAGTATCCCCCACCACCATTGCGCCCATTAGTGCCAACAGTGATGGCGACGGCGGCACCACCTCCATACCGTCCCCCCCAGTTCATTGCTTATCCTGCCCCATATGGCCCTCAACTTCGAGCGCCTGATGGAACACCGATTCGTTCCCCAGCCCCTATAATGATGGCGGTAGACTATCCTCCCGGTGCTCTTGCAGGACATGGGCACCAATTTATTGCAGCAGCTCCTCAAACGCCAGGGGGTGGCCCTGCACCCACAAGGCTCTATATACCTGTAATCCCTGTCATGTACAACAAAGCACCAGTAGCGGCTGCTCCAATCATAGGGTCATCATCATCTGGAAAAGCACCCGGGAAGCCAAACACGCCAGCCAAAATCGCACCCAGAATACACCGTCCTTAAAAAAAAAAGTGATATGGTTTGCAAATATTTAATGATTAAAATGATGTAATAAAAATAATGATTTGCATATTGATCTACTTTGACGCGTATCTGTAACATAATCATGTTGTAGTGTAGTGGTGGACGAATGCTGTAAAGAACGCGACAAGTTAAAAAGAAGCCTCGTAATGCCCCGTAAGACCTTTTTTTTTTTTTTTTTTTTTTTTTTTCGATCCAAGTGAACTGAAGGACCTAGAAATGATGCTTCGAGTTACAGGTTATAGCTCAGTGGAGATAGTGCGACAAAAAAGGAATGTCGCTTAAACATTATCTTTTTTTTTTTTTTTTTTTTTGCCATAGAAATAGAAGCGATGATAACTTGTATCCGTGATTGAGTATTGTGTAAAAAATAAGAAATACATAACGTGGGTGCATGTAAAAAGAAAAAATTTCAAGCGGGCCCTCATTTTTTATTTTATTTTATTTTTTTTATTTTTTATTTTTTTTACGTTAAACACATTAACCACGTATTTTCATTGCTACATCACACCACACCATAACCAAACTATATACCATACTGCACCGTACCACACACCACACTATCTATGGGTCAGGTTCAGAGTAGAGAGATAGACGAAAGTCATTTCAAGCTGACTGTTAGTGACAAGGATGCGCTGATTAGCAAGTACATCGGTGAGTATTTTTTTTTTTTTTTTTTTTTTTTTTTTTTTCGGATTGTATTGTGTTGGTGACAGAAGCAAACAGCGGTGACGACAACTACCACGGCGACAACAATAGCAACATAAAGTTTAAGAAACAATAGAACGATACAAGTAGCAATGAGTTGACAACCAACAACGTGTTGGAAAAGATTAAAAAGAAAATCAGTCGGTAAATGAATCAACTCTATAGTGCAAAAAAAAAAAAAAAAAAAAAAAACAGTGGAGTGGCGGCGCTGTCAGACAAACGCAAAAAAGAAAAAAGAAAAGAAAAGAAAGAAAAACGCGAGAAATCTTTTTGTAACATTACGAGCAAGCGCATCAATACATTTATGAATGTGCTTGTGTTGAACTGGGGATGGAAAGTCCTGGGTATTCTTTGTGTTTGTTATAAGAGTTATCGGAGACGCGCTTGTCGATTGAGTGACCATGGGGGGCAATTTTCAATCAAGCAATCAAGCAATCAAGCAATCAAGCAATCAGTCAATCTTTTTTTTTTTTTTTTTTAAATCAATGGTCCATTACAACCGAAAAACTAATCATTTAATCAATCAGAACTGGCCTCATCCGCGAGAGGTGGAAAGGTCCTTGAGACTTCGGACGAACTCTTTGGCGAGGGTTTCCACTTGATCAAAGAGGGTCCTGCTATCGAGGACAAGGACCGCGAAACCCCCAACGGTTTCTGGAAAGTATGTACAATACCAATACAATTTTACAATGGATGATGTCACCCTTCAAGGTGTGGTGCTTTATCCACACGTTATGAATATTAATGGTTTTTTTGCTTCTCTATCGACTTTTTATTATCGATAGGATGGCTGGGAGACAAGGTAAATAACCTGGCTAGAATAAGCTGAGGTTGCTAAAAAAAAAAAAAAAAAAAAAAAAGTCTTGTTTCAAGCCATGATACAAATATTTTTTCTCTATCTCATATTTATAGGAGACATAACAAAAAGACCCACCACACCGCTATTATTCAACTTGCCAGTGCTGGAACAATTGCTGGCTTTGATATCGATACTTCGTTCTTTGATGGAAGTCATCCCTCTTATGCCTCTGTCGAGGCTTGCCTTAAAGTTGATGGAGTTCAGGACAAATATGAGGTGCGTCCGTTGAAGATGAAGAAAGGGGTCTTTATCAGCGGTTACTAGTTGGGATGATCAATGATCAGGTATGATTTTCTTTCGTTATCTTCTGATACCTCTTTTCTTTTTAATAAATTAGTGGAAGGAGGTTTTGCCCAAGGTCCCTTTGAGTGGAAACTCACATCATTATTATGGAATCAGAGCATCAGATGATGTCTATACTCATGTCAAGCTCAATATGTTCCCAGACGGAGGAATTGTAAGATGCACAGACAAAACAAAGACAATCATTTACTCGTTCATTTTCAATCCGTTGTTATTAGCCTTTGTCGTGGCAGAAATGAGTTTCCTCACCCGTATTATTATATTATTGGTTACCATTCCTTGTTTATTATCCTAGGCTCGTCTTCGTGTTTATGGAAATGTGTCCCCCATCTTCCCAGATGAAAAAACGGTCTTGAATCTGGCCTCACTTTCAAGTGGTGCCCGCGTAGTCAAGTCGAGCGATGAACGTTACGGAAAGTCTTCTAATCTTATTCTCCCTACCGAGGGCACCAACACCCGTGATGGCTGGCAGACTCGTCGTTCTCGTGTGGAAGGACATTACGACTGGGTTGAAATTAAATTGGGTGCTATGGGTCTTTTGGAATCACTGGTTGTTGACACCACCCACTTCCGTGGAAATCACCCTGACTTTGTCAGCTTAGATGCCTGCAACAGTGAATATGTAAGTAGAGGGATCAAGAAGATCAAGACGTTTATGACGTCGATTTTCCTCCATCCTGTGTAGACAGGGATGACTGGAACCTGACGAATTAACGAATCTTTTTCCTTATCTGTAGAATGATGTCCAGTATGATCCCGATGTCACTTGGGTCTGCCTTTTGAAGAAGTCTCCAGTCCTGGGTGACGAAAAGAACATCTACATCCTCGAACCTACTGAGGATGCTTACACGCATGTCCGTCTTAACATCTTCCCAGGTAAAAAAAAAAAAATCTCTAAGCAAGATCATATTAAATGTTCTCGTAATAGAGAAGCCAAAAAAAAAAAAAAAAAAAAAAAAAAAAAAAAAAAACTAACAGCTTTTCTTTTTCTTTTTTCTTTTTTTTTATCTTGCAAAAAAATACAAATAGATGGCGGTGTTTCGCGCGTTCGTGTTTATGGAGCGCGTGTTCCCGAACCGGTAGCACCTGCGGTGGAAGTTGAAGTTATAGAGGAGAAACTAGTTGACGCTGTAAACGATCTCAAGGTCAACGGATTGTTGAAAGCCGCAGCTGCTATTTCTCCAAAGGACCCATTAGTCGCAGTTTCTAGCACGTCCAACATTACAGAAACCACAGAAACCACAAAAATTACAGAGATCACAACGATTGTTGAGACGACCGAGAAAGTTGTTGAAACAACTGAGGAAGTTGTTGAGGAAGGACCAAATGGCATTGCTACTGATGGTCTTCCAGTCTTGACCGCAGAGGCCTCATCCGTAACCTTGGTTGATGAGGAAACAGCTGAACCAGCAAAGAAGAGTCCAGCCAAGCGTGGACGCGTCAAGGCTGCGGCAAATGCTGCAGTAGCTGCCTCCAAGCTGGCATCGCCCAAGAAGAAGGCCAAGGGTCGCTCCTCTAGTGTGTTGGACGAGGAGGATGAGGCATCGGAGTCATCGTCGGTTTCAGGAACTCCCCGCGCTAAGAAGGCACGCGAGTAAAAAAGAAAAATATAATAGTTGTAGTGTAACAGTGTATCCCAAAAAGAAAATTATTTTGTAGTAATCTTTCATTTGGAGAAAAAGCAGGTGACCCTTGACTGTCATTGTGAGGGCGTGGAGTTGCATGTCGGGGACATCCTTATTCTCATTTATTTCTTTTCATTCGTTCCAACAACTCTATAAATCTATAAATCTATAAATCTATATCCTTCATTCCTTCGTTTCCTTCATTTCCTTCTTTGACACGCAGGCAATAAGCCATTCCAAGGAAAAGAAAGTCTTCAAACAATAAGAGTCTAATCGCCCCAACAAAAAGAATAAAGACAGTGTGCTATGACGTCCCCTACAGGCTCAGTCTCTGACCTTTTAGCAACTTCAGGCACAGAAGGGAATAGAGAGAGTACACTGGATGCCTCTGTCTTCGTGGATCCTTATTCAGAATCTAATCCTTTCGCAGAGGATTTATTGGAGCCTGTTTTGAGGACTTCGACACCCCTCAATTTTGGCGAATATTATCCGCGACCGACGGACATGTCTGCTGCTACTGCCAGTGCAAATGTTAACGACACTGATGATGACAACGATGGCGATAATGATGGTAGCGGTAACAGTAATGATAGCAATAAACCTGAGTCGACTTTGCTCTCAAAATCACTTTCTGGTCTGAACCTTAGTGGAAGTCATCAACAAGAACACCGCGATCCGGAACGGATTTTATCAAGCGGTGATGGTGGAGGAGGGCATCAACGATGGAATAGCGTCGATTCAAATAACCGCTATGATAGTGATGAAGGTCTACAACAATCATCAAATGAACATGATACCATCAGCACTGCTGCAACGACGACACGGCGAAAGGAAAGCGTAGGGCAGTACCGCCCTGAATCAACACGATCCCTTGGATCACAGGTAATGGAGAGTAAATGTAAAAAGATTCTTCCATCCAATTGGCTCAAGACGTACAAAAGTCAACTGCGCAAAACCATTACTAACTGTCTCTTTCTCTTTGTTTCATAAAAAAAACCATATAGATGTCCTTTAGACTTCCTGAGAACGGCGTGCTTCCTTGGTTTGAGATCACGGTGGGTGAACCCCAAAAGGTTGGGGATGTGATCAATCCTCATATTGTTTATAAGGTTCATGTCAAGGTAAAAAAGTGAGAGACAAAATTTCATTTTTTCTGTGCTCGAATTGGTGGTGCGTCTTACCTTGCTCTTTTTTTTTTTATTTATTTTTTTTTTTTTTATCAAAAAGCTAATCTCTTAGTTCTTTATCTTTCTAAGACAAATTCAACAGCATTCAAATCAAACGACTTCACAGTGCAAAGGAGATATAAAGACTTTTTATGGCTCTACAACCAATTAACGACTCATAATCCTGGAGTGATTGTACCGCCAGTCTCAGAGAAACATGCCATTGGACGATTTCAGAACGAGTTTGTAGAAAGCCGTAGAATTGCATTAGAAAGGTGTTTACGGAAGATGACGGCACATCCCATGCTTTATGGCGATCCAGACTTGAAGCTCTTCTTGGAGAGTGATAGTCTCTTTGCGGAGGTAAAGGAGCTAGCCTGACAAGGATGCCTCTATCATTGCTGTTTTAAAAGCCACCGTTCCATATGACAAACATTTTTATTATTATTTTCTATTGATGAATTAGATCAAAGAAAAGCGCCAAGATAGCTCAAAGGGATTCATGACAAAGTTTGGGGAGACTCTTTCAAGTGCCACTACATTCACAAAAGTGCATGAAACAGATGAGGTGTGTTCACGGTCGCTGGTCTAGGGCTGGAATGGTCAATGGCTAACGTGCTGTTGTTTTGATGATACATTTCCTTATTACTAATGCAAACCATCATCTCCCTGATTCTAGTGGTTTGAGTCACGCCGTAATCAGCTAGAAGTACTTGATAGCCAGCTCAAGTCGTTATTAAAGGCGATTGAAGCCATCATCAAGCAGCGCAAGGATCTTGGAGCTTCATCTGCAGAGTTCGGTGAGAGTATTGTGTCATTAGCTAGTACCGAACTAAACAAGCCGCTGGCTAACTCGCTTCTCGTCCTTGGTAACCTCAAGATTCGAATCAAGGAGCTTCATGAGAAGCAAGCTAATATGGACGTGTTAACTTTGGAACATACAGTGGATGAATATATTCGTACGATCGGGTCTATCAAGATTGCATTCATGGCTCGTGCCAAATTCAATCAAAATATGGTGCAGGCCCAGAATGACCTTTCGAAAAGGAAGGCTAATTTCGAGAAAATGAGCCAACCTAGCCGCAAGACCAAGCCTGAACGTCTCCAGCAGCTGCAACAAGAGATTGCAGAGGCAGAGCAACGTGTGGATTCAACCAAAAAGGAGTTTGAAGAGATCTCTAGTTTGATCCGACAAGAGTTTGATCGGTTTGATCGTGAGAAAGTTGAGGATTTCAAACAGAGTGTGGAAGCATTTCTGGCAAGCATGGTCAAGCATCAGCGCGAGATTGTGGGGCTGTGGGAAAACTATTTCAAAGCGCTCAACGGAGCTACTGAAGAACACAACCAAGCACAACAGCAAAGCCAGAATCTTGGCGCATCAAAAGCACAGACCTCATCGCAGGGCGATCTATCACCTGCCACAGGAGCAGCGGTGGATACCGCACCTCAGTCTGCCGTTGACAATTCGTACACTCGGGAAGACCATGGCATCCGGACAAATCAGCCGAATGATGTTCTTTCAGCAAATGCATGGAGCAGCTAGAAATTAGAGTTTTTTAGTCTATACTGAAATACATGTATTAAAAATACAGTGAGGAATAGTTTGCGATGTTTAGTAAGAAAATGTCAGTTCCGCGCACCATACCCATCTCATCGACTGCAAACGACTACTTGGTTCTGCTATTTCTTTTTTCTTTGCATCTATTCATTGTCTTCTCTACTTACATTTCCATGTCTAAAGGAATTGAGACCATTATTGAGTTTCTCCTTCTAATAGTCTAGTGACCAGTGAGCCAATATGTGAAGTATATTTGGGATGTCTTCTCTCGTCTCTCTTCTTACATTAGTTCTTCGCCAATTCGTCTTTCTTCCATTCTTCTGATTTCTTTCTAAACCGAGGCTGAGGGCGGAGCATCCACCACTCTTAGACATCCATTAGATTCTAAAAAAAAAAAAAAAAAAAAAAAAAAAAAAATAAAGCTACAAAGATTTTTGGAAAAAGGTCTTCTTGGACTTCTTTTCAGACTTGCCACATTGAGACTTCCTTAGACTCTTGTCCAATGGGGGAGACTAACTCATCCTCTACAGTAAGCCGCAACGCGCCCAACTGTTCCGAACGCTTCAAAGTTTGTCTGTAGTCGATTAAGTTGATATTATGATATGTATTGAGTCACAGGATTCAAGAGAGTTGCGCAGCTGAGAATCTTGGAGTCATTCTTATTGCAGTTATGAGCGACAAAACGGTTTTCAAGCTCAACAAGAATAGTAACAAAAAAAAAAAAAGTGGCTCTTTTCTCGAAGTTTGACTTGTTTAAATTTGTTGACGCGTTTAGTCAATTCTGTAGAGTGCATAATCATTCCTCTTTTTTCCTAGTCTGCTACGCATTCTTCCGTATTATTAATTTTTTTTTTTTTTTTTTTTTTCTTTTTCAGTTTTATTATATAAAGTTTGTGGCTTCGCCTGCCCATATCCCCATATTTTACCAAATGCGTCCTTTTTTTGTTCTTGCTTATTTATCCGAAAAGAGAAGGATGTGGGTGTTACACGCATAAAAAAGATGTCTACTTTTCTCACGTTTTTTTTTCCTGCCGTTTCTCACGTTCTATGTTCAGCTTTATTCTTTTCATCTCTTCCTCTGTCTCCATCTCTATCTCTCTCTATCTCTGCCTCTTCGATAACCACAACAAGAGCAACGACACGATAAAAAGAAAGTAAAAGAAATGGCTCAAGATTCTCAGGATATCAAGATTGGATGGATTGGGCTTGGAGAGATGGGGCTTGGGATGGCTACCAACCTTCAGAAATACCTCTCTTCAAAATCCTCTCCTTCTTCTTCACCATCACAACAATATAATCTCACGGTTTGGAATCGGTCACCTGGCAAGACTGAAATAGTTGAGGCCCTGGGAGCTAAAAAGGCTTCTTCCCTTCAAGAGCTAGTGTTGGAATCCAATGTCATCTTTACATCCCTTGCAAACGATGCAGCGGTGCTATCTGTCTATCAAGAACTATTCTCTTCCCTCACTAAGCTTCGAATCAAGACACCACTCATCTTTGTAGAAACCTCTACGATTCATCCGAGAACGGCTCAACAGCTCTCAGATCGATTGAAATCACTTGCTCCTCAGCATTCTTATCTACAATGTCCAGTCTTTGGCCGACCTCCTGCAGCTCAAGCTGGGGAATTGGTCTGGGTGGCCACTGGACCTCCTGAACCGATCTCAAGACTTAGACCTTATTTCGAATCCATGTCCAAATCTATTATCGATCTCAAGACCCCAGATGTGAAAGTCGCCAGTTCGTTCAAGTTGATTGGTAATTTCTTTGTTGCCGGTACTATTGAGTTATTAGCAGAGGGGCTGTCGTTAGCCGAGAAGACCGGAGTGGATCAGGAAGCGGTCTTAAAATTCATTCAGTTGTTTTTCCCGGCTCCTTCTTGGACTGGGTATAGTCAAAAGATGGTGGAGGGGTCAATTATGAGCAAAGAAGGTGGTTTCTCTGTAGACTTGGGGATGAAAGATGTGGGTCATATAAGGGATTTAGCCAAGGATAATGGAGCCCATGTACCAACAGCGGATTTGATGTATCAACATTTAACCACTTTGAAGGATCAAGGGAAAGGGAGCCAGGATTGGGGCAGCGTGATTCAAGTCTTGAGAAAAGGCCCGCCTTCATCTTAAACCATATATATAGCCTTTCCCACTTCCCTGTTCCCACTTACCACATCTCCCGTTATCCCATTCATAGTATTTTACTTTCCTTCCTTATGAATGTGAATATGAAGTTGAACCGATGTATATTTGCATCAACTTAATGCAAGAATAAAAGCGGTCCTTGTTTGGTAATATGCTGCACATTATTATACAGTATCAACCTATCTTTAAGAACAACAACCAGCATGTGCCTAAATTCATGCGGGACTTCAAGGTTGCAAGGGCTAAACAAGATCAATATAAGGACAGTCTAGGCGACTACATTGACATGGGCGTACATAGCAAGAGTAGGAGGATCCGGTGTCTGGAAAGCTGCAAACGCAATGACACGACCAGGCGTTTCATCCGTGCCCCATGGCGCCAGGTATCTATGCATGTATTGGATGCAGAATTTATCACCAATGTTCAGCCCAATAGTATCAAAGTCGACAAAGCCTCAGGTGTCGACAGGATCTCAAGGCGCTAGCGTAACCACATACGGCCAATTTCAGCAGCACTTGGATATACATATAGAGACATGACATTACCACACCAGTTGCCCATGCCTGTCATTTCCAATGCTGTACATAGAATACTTACGCAGTACAAGCATGCGAGTTAGTACAGAATACACTATGATGGCCAAGGTGGGACCTATAAGCTGCAACGAGCTCAATCTGGTCAATGCGATATACGCAAGAGATTAGGAGGCTTTTATTCAAGTGAAGCTAATTAGAGCTAACAGTGTGGAAATGAGGCTCTATACCATATACTATCTATATACCACTGAAGCAACCTCAGAGCTCGGCCAAGCTGAGGAGCGGCTATCGCAGCAGCTTCCGTGCTTCCATTTTTTTTTTTCTTTTTCCTGCCTATCGCCTTTGCCTTGGAAGCTACAACATTTATATATATCGCCGCTTAACAAAACAGGAATGGATGAAACTAAGGATGCAAAGTGCGGTTCAATTCAGAGTATAGTATATATATACATACATGTATATAAATTCTAAAGTCCAACCAACCTCTAAATCTCACTGAGATTGGGCTGAGCAACTTCAGAAGTCCGTTCGGCCCCTCCTAAGTATAAGAAGCCCATGCTACTACACTTATCATCAGCGTAGTGAATCTCGGCTCATTACTATTCATGTGGGCTATACACCTATCATACAAGCTATATACCTAATAGAAATAGACAATCAATCAGTCTCTCAGCTGACTGCAATAGATACTACTTGATCTGTCTACATCATAAATCTTCATCTCAGAACTTAGTGAAATACCCCAGGACCATAGTGTGCAGCAAGAACGAAAGAAAGATGTGTTTACTATAATCCAGCGATCTTCGTTAAATAAAAAGAGTAAAAAACTTAACTATAGTAAAATCTCACAAATGACTGCTAATCACGACACTTGATAGTACAGTAAAAGGGCGGTTGAAAATCATCAGAATGATGTGAATTGAAATGCCCACTGTCTCGATAATTCATAAGAACTTGAAAAAGCATCCATTGGAATGACAACTTGCTGAATAAATACTGAGGTTTAAAGTATGAAATCAAGTGATCATGAATATATTTTAGAATTTATTCGTCCCCAAGGTGCTGTGAGTGCATGAGAAGCTAGAGCACCTTGACATTCGTTCAAGCCCAACCATCATAGCCTGGAGTACAAACGCAAAGTGAGAGAGTTTGATTGATTTTCCGTGCAAGTTTATTAATGGTAATAAACACAAAGGTATTTTTCGTGCTGGGGTTGTAACAAGGAACCCAGGGTAATAGGAGACTTTTTCTATTCCCTGCACGTGTATTTTGCTGAAGGTACAGATGTATACTCTAATAAAGGAAGCCTAGAGGAACAGGTGCCAACCAGCCAATTTCAGTGGCCGCAATTGTCAGTCAGTAGGACAGGATAGGGTTCTGTTTTCCATATAGTAGGCTTTTCATATGGATCTCAATGAGGTTTTCCTTCATACTTCGAATATCCTAAACCCAGTCTCGATATCACTTTAATTCCATTTTTTTTTTTCTTTTTAGCAGTTTCTCTGGTACTTTTGGCGTTATGGAGGAGACTTCTACTAGCAATTAGCAGAAAGAGATAGCCTTGCATCTCAATCTCAAAAATAGCAAGGTTAAAACACAGCGGTGCGTTTATAAAAACCAAAGCTATTGGAAGCAATGACGATGCCATCTATTATGGGAAGGTGGGGAGGTGGAAAGTATCTTGCTTATGAAATAACCGCACAGCACAGGGCGAGGGTTGGTAACAGTGGTTCTGAATGCTGAAATAAAATATTCCGTTTTCCTTATGTGAAACCTTAGTTCTGGCAGGGAGTCAAAGAGCCTTTTTTTCATTTTTTTTTTTTTTTTTTGGAGTTTACAGGGATCTCAGCGCAACAAAGGATCATCTTTTTAGAGTTCTCCGTTGGGCAGGAAATTGTATAAAAAGCCCATAATCGCCCTACTACTTCTCTCAAAACTCATCAAAGTCTTCGCCACCTCCTTTTAAACCAAACATTTCCCTACTCACCTCTATTCAAGTTCGGCTAACAATGTCTTGCGCCACTGGTCCAGTTTTGCCTGATGGTCTTTACAGAATCTGGCAACAGGAACCTACTTCTACCCTTTCCTGCTACTTTCCAGAAGCAGAGTCCCCTGTAGTCCTATTGCCTCAAGAAGAAGGAGAAGAGGCACCAAAGACACAGAAATGGGAACTTAAGAACAATCCAGATAATGGCACCGTCACTTTCTGTCATTGCGACACAGGTCTCTTTCTTTCTTCAAAGGGTGCTGACCAACATGCGCCCGTTATTCTAGGCAATGAAGAACAGGAATGGGTTTTAGAGGAAGGCAGTAAGAGCGGTCAATTTTTTATTCATCACCCAAGTGGCTCTGATAAGACGAATCTCGATCTGTCCATGCTGCTTATTTACCCACCTCGCGTTGTTGTGATGCAGCGAAGGCCTGAATCAGAGTGGAGTTTTGAGCCAGCCAACTAGACTTATTCGCCAGCTGCTTTAGCGTCTTATGGTCATTGATGGATTTCAACGTGAGGCGCTTTAATAACATCTTTACTTGTGAAAATCAAATAAATTTTTTTGTATAAAGAACGTGATTTCATAGCTTTAGTTGCTGTACATGTACATATTGATTTTGTAGTCTTATTCCATCCTGTACCTGACGGTAGGAAAAAAAGCTGCATGATTGATTTGAATCTATCCATCTGGACACAACCCTAGTCCAGCATACTTAGATTCCTTTCTGTGTTACATTCGTGGACTGTACCAACATCATCTGACTTGAATAGTCGTTGTCGTTGCTCGTCAGGATGTCGGCCACGCTCTTACTGTGCCCCTCTGCCACTAAGTGCCTGGATCGCATCCTCCCTTTGCATGTGCCGTGGGGTGAAGGAGTATGTTTTGGGTTGTGGCTGTTAAAGGGGGGGGGGGGGGGGGGGGGGGGGAGAGAATGGGAAGAATAAAGTATGCTAGATTGTTCTTTCGCAAACTATCAATGGATGCTCTGTTCTATGCCATGAGTAATCAAGGATTCTGAAGCGTATTAACAAAGGGGATGCAGGAATTAAAACCAGTGTCGACATCAGGGAAACCTTCGGTCGAGCCGTAAAGAATAGATTACTATATAGTAAAGACTTGATATTGGAGTACAATGAGCCTGTTCCAGTCGAGGCTTCGTTTGCTCGAATTGTTGTTAATCAAAAGAAGAAGGAGTTTACAATTATCGTTGAGCCGATTGCATTTATAGCAGCAATTAACTTGTTTAAAATGTATGACCAAGTTAATCTCGCTTTTTTTTGTTTCCAAAAGAGAACCCGTCTGGACCAGATAACGTCTTTGTACTGGAATCGGAGGGTAAATATTATCCTGTTTCCGTACAGCCAAAAATCGGCGATAAGGTCAAGAATTAAGGATGCCCATAATACAACTTGCCATAATTGCATCAAAGAACACCTCTCATCACCGTCTTCTCTCGGCTTTTGCTCGAATGACATATCCTTGTTGCTGTTGTTTAGGCCTTACTTATCATGTTGTCTTATCACGAACAGGGTGACTATTCAGTAGCTAAAGTCAAAGAAGTCCCTGTCATCAAAGACAAACGAATAGAAACGACGTGCTCAATATTAGCTTGTTGAACTTCCTTGAAAGTGCAAGGGAGACCCTCAAGAAGTCAGAATTGACTCGAGTTGTGGAGGATGAGGAAGAAGGAAGCAAGCCCAAAGAACCACAGGCAAGGAGGACATCAAAGAGAATTGTCGATAAAGCTCAAGCTATGGAAAATAAGGAAGAGTTGAGCAAAGCCAGCGGATCAAATAAAAGAAAAAGTGAGTCGACTCAAGCGGAAGACGACAAGTCCAATAGGTCAAGCAGGGATAAGAAACCATGGAAAAAGTAGCGATCGTTTCTTTTACTTCTTTTTACTCGCCATTGTTTATGACAATGGCACAGACACAATTTTATAATATAGCACTAATAGATAAATTAAAATATCACTATTCAGTAAACCTGAGCAAGGAGAAGTGAGCACACCAAGCGAATTGCCGCAGCTGCATCATCGGAATTTTCTCAAGCAAGTGGCAAGTTGTTTCTATTGTCTATTCCTATCTTTCCACCCATAAGTTTTGTGTTGGGACCCGACAAGCCATTCCAGGTCACATCAGAGGAGCATCCGATCAAGCAAGCATCATTCAAGGAGATGATTGATAATATTTACTGGATCCTGCTTGAAGAGAAACCGATCAAACCTCGGAGAAAAGTGACAATATCACATTCCTCTGTTTCATGGCCGCAGGCGACATACACGTCAAGCTTAAGATTCAGAAGCTCGTTATCAACAATGATCAGAATGTTAAGGCAACACCTAGATATTTAAAACATGCGAGACAGTGTGTCATAAAAACTCACATCAATACCGCATATGCAGGAGGATCGCCGAGGTTCAAGCATGAAGAAAAGAGTCGAATGTCAATCAAGTGAAAGGAATTTTGTCTTGTAATGAAAATACCATATCTATTGAGTATTCTTTACAATCGTTCATCCTTTATGAACGAAGCCATCACTATCCACTTACCCTTTAGACAAACGGGATGGCGCTTTTTAATCGGCCCTACACACACACCCAAATCACTAGCCTCATTTTTACCAATCATCTCTTGTTTCCATCACCTGCATTGACATCTATTATTCTAACATTTTATTATTCTAACATTTGAATCTACTCCACAATTCTCGCCTTTCTCCCGATAGCAAGAGATCGTTTTATGAGTTTACAAACCTCTCTCATACCGCCTGTCGAGAATCGAGAAAAGATCCTACAGCTTGAGCAGCGAGTTTTCGAGGAATTCCTTCAGCAACGTATCCAATATGCATCCGAATGCCCAGTGTCGGAGGATCAATGACGAGTCCTAAGTTCATCACCCAAGTCTAAGGCGTCACTACACATTGTTATACAATATCAACCTATCTTTAAGAACAACAACCAGCATGTGCCTAAATTTATGTGGGACTTCAAGGTTGCAAGGGTTAATCAAGATCAATATAAGGACAGTCTAGGCGACTACATTGACATGGGCGTACATAGCAAGAGTAGGAGGATCCGGTGTCTGGGAAGCTGCAAACGCAATGACACGATCAGGCGTTTCATCCGTGCCCCATGGCACCAATATGAATGCAGAGTTTTTCATCACCGATGTTCAGCCCAAAGTGGACAAAGCCTCAGATACCAACAGGATCTCAAGGCGCTAGCGTAACCACATACGGTTGATTTCATCAGCACTTGGATATGCATCTAAAGTCATGATATTACCTTGCCAGTTGCCCATGCCTATCATTTTCATTGTTGTACATAGAATGTTTACGCAGTACAAGCATACGAATCTGTACAGAATACACTATGATGGCCAGTGTGGGACCTACAAGCTGCGACGAGCTCAATCTGGGCAATGCGATATATGCAAGAGAAGGCATAACGAGAATGGCTAACTTCAAGTGAGTCGAAATGGAACAGCAACACTACAGAGCTATAGCCGAGAGTTTAACTCGCAATATCCTCGTCAGGGAATTGGATTTCAACGAAAAGATTCTCCTAAGACAACATCTTGCTATGGCGACTGTTCGGACTCCATTTGATACTGTATAAACACCTGAACACTACCACATGCCATTGACTATTCCACGTCCCTTGTACAATACTCTTAGCACACACCAGAGCTTTCGCAAGGGATGAGCCAATACTTCGACAAACATATAACATTCAGTGGATACATCACAGCTCTTGGTTTGTGGAAGCGCTGAAAGTATGCGGAAAACGGGAACCATTTGTGTTTTTTAGCAACAAGCGTGGTTTCAAAAAAGTGTGCCTCCAAGCAGTGATCTAAGCTGGAAGCGAAGCAGCAGCGATTTTTGAGAACAAGCACGTGCTGGTTAATTTTTTCAGCATGCTGGTTCGTTTTTCCAGCATGCTGGTTTATTTTTCCAGCATGCTGGTTCGATATTTCAGCATACTTGTTAAAATTTATTAAAATTTTTAACTTGTATAACCAAGTGCTCCTCCATGCACTGCTACCTCAGACATCATTCGCATTTATTTTAGAATCTCGAGCATCAATAAAAGCTTGATTACTCACAGCTACAGAATGGATAATCCTCATTCAAACATTTGTCAGTTTTGTATATGCACATGCCTAAAAAAAGATGTCAGCCGTAGTCACCCTTCATTGCCTCTTCACAAAAAAACAAAAATGGCGTGCTAACTGCAGCTGGTGGAACAGAAAGGTTTTCATGCTACACAAAACCAAACACCAATTGAATGCTACAACGTTGCCTTTATCTTCTTTATCTTCTTTATCTTCTTTCCATTGTTACCCGTTTTACTTTCACACAAAATCTTTAAGAAATAATGGCAAATCATACACATGATCCTCTTCACCAGGATGAGAATGGAGAACAGGGGTATGAGGATGAGGATGAAGATGAGGATGAGTATGAGGATGGACACGAGGAGGGGAATGAGTATCAGGAGGAGTACACCAGTGACGAGGACGAGGACGAGGAAGAGACCCTTATACCTCGCCGAAATCAAATCGAACGAAGAATGCAACTCCAGAAAAGTCTTCCAGCAAATAGAATCGATTCTCCCCAAACTAGTGATGCAGCCTACAATGGCGAATCGTTCGAGACGCAAGATATGCCGTGTGATGAGCTTGAGGTACTAGACTCCTATCTTGGTGCGAACCCAATCTCGTCTTCATCCCAGACGATGAGACCCATGGTAAGCATTGGTCGCGAAAAGAGGAGGTTCATCAAAACTTCTTCTCCTCCCGGTGGATTTGCGCAATCGGTTCATCATGCCAGACCAAGGACGTTTGGACGTTCTCAATCATCAACAGCTTTGCCTACATCACGTTATAATCATACGCTACTTGCTGCACAGCAAGCCCCACTGTCATCTCTCCGTTCATCCAACAGCTTCTCCCAATATCGGGAGTCAAAACCAGGCCCATCTTCAGTCTCCTCGATTTCTACATTGAGCTCCACGCAACAGCGCAATATTTACGCGTTCAAGATCTATTAATCTTCCCTCTTTTGACTTTACACGTGCCATTGATGCTGAAGCATTGGCCAACCGGCGGAGAGAGCTGAGGGATAGTCATTTTGCATCAAACGGATGGTATGATTTGTACGAGTTACTGGATTTTGGTACCATTCCTACGCCAGAACAATGCTCTGACGCCCCTCCCTCTTAAAAAGCATTAGCCCTGATTCCAAATCAAAAATCCTTTCGCAAAAACAGCGTGATTGGTCATTTTTTCAAATCAAGCAAGGAAGAATTCCAGTGTCTGGTCCTGAAAGATGGAGTAATCTGTGGTACTACATACAAGAAAACTGGGAGTGGATATTCAAGATCTGTTCACTTAACTCAGTGCCATGGCGATTTATATAGTGCCCTCCAAGAATTTCGCAATTGTCAGAGCAGGGTTAAAGGTATCATGCTGCCACCTGATCCGGAAGAAGTTGACGTGGCTCCACCAAGAAAGGCAAAATTCGACATCGCACGAGATGAGATTGTTAATGAGAGCCTCAAGAAGCCGCTCCCTCATGAACAAGAAGCATTCGAGGATACGCTTTTACTGCAGTTAATTCGACGATCTTCAGATCAATCATTGAAATGACCAATCCTTATTTCAATATCCCTACCACAATGGCTATGCAAGACAGGATGGATCGACGAGTTCGAGAGATGAGACGCGAAATCAAAGAGTACATTACCTATTATAAGCTTTACGCTGCCGTCACGACAGATTGCTGGACAAGCGTCGATCACAGGAAGTTCTTGGGGACTACAATGCATTTTTTCACGCCAAATTTCGAGCCAGTATCTATTGCAATAGGGATGGAACAAGTCTATGGGGTGCAAACATCCCAAAATATTCACCGGAAGTTTGGTAAGTGAAATGCTGATACATCTGCCCCTTATCTTTATATTTTCATAAGTATTGCAACGTTCTTAACGTTTTTTTTTTTTTTTTTTTTTTTTTTTTGTGGTCTTTTGATTCATTTACCAGCTGAGGCTATTGATAGCATGGATATGAGCGAAAGACTCATTTGCGTAACAACAGACCAAGGTGCTAATATAAAAAAAGCGATAGCTCTCTACCAAGAAGATCACAAGGGGGTGCACTGGTTGGCATGCGCCTCACATAAGATCCAGCTTTGCATCAATAAGTCTTTGGAGCTATGCGAGCCCGCTAAGAAATTATTGGACAAGTGCCAAGATATTTCAGTTTTTTTCAGAGGCAATGCCGCGGCGATGTCTATCTTAGTGGAAGAACAGGAAGGCAAGGGTGCCAAGTTGCTGTCGAGGAACATTACAAGATGGAACTCCCAGTACAAGATGGCAAATAGAGTGCTACTTTACTCTCAAGCAATTTCTCGCACCTACCATCGCATGGAATCCTCCGAAAAAAGGGAGATAAGGTTGAAAGCAAAGGAATTAGAGCCAAACCTACTCGATCGTGATGAGGTCAAAGCTCTCCGTGAAATCATTCATATGATGACAGATGCAGTCAAATTCACTGAATGGGTGGGCAGTACCGACCATCCAAAACTGTCACAAATGTATGTGAAGTTGAAAGAGTTGCTACCGGACTCTCGCACATACGACACCGAGACGGCACAGGAGCTCTGGAGAAACCTTAACAGGCTTATCAATACGATGTGGGCCGTGGATGACATTCCCGATGTTATGCTCATATCGCTATTCCTGAACCCGGTGACCTTGAGTATCATTAAAGACATAATGACAACCAATGGTGACTCTCTCAGGAAGAAAGCTCTAGAGGTGACCAGAGATGCAGCAAAAAAGTTTGCCGCCACCCAAGATGGAGCATGTTGGGATCAACTTCCTCTTTTGGAACAAGAATATTACCATTCGATAGTTAGTGTCGATATGGTATATTATGATGCGTCTATTTCAAGAACGCCGATGATGGACATCGCGCGTTTTGCTTTTACTCCTGAGCTTTACTGGAAGGAGCAAAAGGACAAGGGATTAAGAGGAATGGATTATATTGCTCCATTTGCACGAGCATACCTTTCTGTCCAGGCTACTTCCAATGATTCTGAAAGGTTATTCAGCAGAGCCGGATGGATCCTGTCTGCACGCAGAAACCGAATGACCAATCAAAACTTCCGTAACATCATATTTTATCATAGCTTTGTCTCTGCCCTGAAAAAATTACAGAGTTGTAGCAGTAGCAGCTAACTTTTTTATTAAAATAAAGGACTTCTATGGCAACGCTTAATTTCTAAAACAGATGCCAAACTATGGCTGACATCTTTTTTTAGGCATGTGCATATACAAAACTGACAAATGTTTGAATGAGGATTATCCATTCTGTAGCTGTGAGTAATCAAGCTTTTATTGATGCTCGAGATTCTAAAATAAATGCGAATGATGTCTGCAGGTAGCAGTGCATGGAGGAGCACTTGGTTAAGCAAGTTAAAAATTTTAATAAATTTTAACAAGTATGCTGAAATATCGAACCAGCATGCTGGAAAAACGAACCAGCATGCTGAAAAAATTAACCAGCACGTGCTTGTTCTCAAAAATCGCTGCTGCTTCGCTTCCAGCTTAGATCACTGCTGTCAAGGAAGACTAGCCCCTTAAAAAGTCTTCAGGGCGAAATCATTTCATTTAAAGCGCGTTGACTGTGTTACATCCGAACTTAAAAACCAGAAGCTGTCCTTCATCTACTTCTGGAAGCATTCTGCCTCACATCACACTCACCACTTTTTCACTCCCTGACCCACTAACTTACTCACTCACTCACTCACTCACTCACTCACTCACTCACTCATTCACTCACTCTATCATTCCCAATTTTATCTTTACTCATTCTCTTCCCACACACATATACATCTTTGCTTTTACACTTATTGCTTTCTCCATTGCTCAATATAAAAGAAAAAAATATACATTTTAGATGGCACCCCAACATGTCACAACGATCCTTTTAGCAGAGTTCGACATTGACCAAGGTTCAGTCTTGACTCATCAATATCCAAACGACATCACCTCGGATAACCAGTGCGTACTTTCTCTCCTTATAGCATTTCAAATGACAGAAAGAAAAAAATCCACTATACTAAAGCGTGGTTTTCTTGACTTGACTCAGTGTTTTAGCAGAGCTGATGTTGCCCGATGGTGCACATTTGAGACCCGCTGACTGGACCATTTTTTTTCTAAACCGAGCAAAACCTGCTCCTTGGAATGGCAACAAAACTCTAACTGATGATGATACGGTTGAAAACCCTCTCCTCTATGTTCTGAATTTAGTCCGCACCAACCATGATGCCTCTATTCGAAGGTGAGATTTTATTCTGCGACCTTTTTTTTTTTTTTTTTTTTTTTTTTGATACTGTAAATCCGCAAGGCATGCCATAAATACCAACTACTTTTTATGTTTGTTTAAAATTTACAGAGGTGCTGCTGTCAAAGCCATGGCGATTTGTACAACTCATCAATACTTGCATGTGTACAAGGCAAGTTCTTATTCTTCGAGAGAAAATATTTAGGCCTCTTAGGTATATACATTAACTAATTTTTGAAATAATTTCTCATGCCCCATAAATTACCCTCTAATAGCCTGTACTATTACTTGCACTCGAGAACTACTTCAAGGACCCATCAATTGAGGTTTTGAAGGCCCTTTACGAGTCAGTTAATTCAATGGAACTTTCGCCCCCTGACCTCTCTCCATATGAACGCATGATCCTTCGGTCATCAGATAACAAAGAGCTATTTATTGAAAAATTCGAGGCCGCACATTCTGTAAGCGCAGGAGGCGAGGAGGCATCTACCAATAGAGCCGATATGGCGAATGGTCTTGGAATAGTTGTTGGACAAACGCCTTTGAAGGGTAACAGAGACGGAGTTGTAACTTCAACTTCAGTGCCTGCAGCACCAGCTCCTGGGATGACAAGAAATCGCGACTGTCAGTTTTATGAAACAAAAGTAGTTTACGATGGAATCAAAATCCCTATTCGAGTGCCGCTCAGTATCAACTCAGAGGAAGTTGGAGAGGTAAAGTAAGATTGCTTGAATATCGTTCATTATGCTTCCTGAAAGGCAGAGCTCATCATTGACAGCGTTTATTTTTCATAATTAAATAGTTTTCGCTGATTAAGCTCATAACAACATTCAGTCCAGCCAATCCATCGCCTAACCCACATCCCTTTCATGCACATCTGGACTCGAATGGCCCTAATACACACCCGATCATGCTACTCATGAATGCGCTCTTGACTGAGAAGAGAATCATTTTTTTGGGAAATGGACACCCGGCGGGAGATGTAGCCAACTTTGTACTAGCGGCATGTGCCCTTGGTAGTGGATCAGGCGGAGTCCTTAGAGGATTCCCAGAACGCGCATATCCGTATACGAACTTGGCAGGCATTGACCATCTGTTGACATGGTAAATACTAGATCCTGAATAATATTTTCAAAGCACATCAGTACTAGCCTCGCATACTCAGCTTCTTCTTCTTCTTTTTTTGCTTGTTTGTTTGGCTGGTGTGGTAATTGCAGCAAGGGGTTCATTGCTGGTGTGACAAACCAGCTTTTCGAGGATAGAACTGCCTGGTGGGATGTACTCTGCAACATCGATACAGGCAAGATCACAGTAAGCAAAGATATTACACCGATGCCATCATCACATGGAGGGCATTACGATGATGTACGAAGCATTCCGCTATTTACTGGCACCCCTGGGAGTCAATTCAACAGCAAATATGACAACGGAGATAACGATTTTATGAACGATGTAAGTGATGCAAAGAAGGCTTTTTTTTTTTTTTTTTATTTTTTTTATTTGATTTAAAAGTTATTAACAAGATTGAGCTTCCGTTCTTTTAAGATATTGAATTCCATTCAAGCACATTACGGAGAGATGGTTATCCGAGCGAAATTTCAGGATTATGTTGCGCGGTTCGTTCAACTTGCCTCACAATACGAAGAGGCCACCTATGGCCAAACAACTATTGGGCTCAACCGTACCAACACACCTGAGTCTATTAAGTATCTGGGCACAGGTCTTGTATTTATAGATGAAGCCTCGCGTGCACGAGAAATAGCTGCAAATTCGAGCAGAATTGAGGGCTGGCGGTCAACTACAAGCTACAAGTACTTACAGGAAGATCACAAGACTTGGTTGGCTTCACGATCGATTCGATGCATGGACGTGAAGCGTATCATCTCCTTGCTGAAGTTGCCGAAGACGTTATCGCCCCAGGATGTCTCTACTCTCTTCAAGGGATTTTTACAAAATATTTCGACTGATGAACAGATCATTGAGGTGAGGTTTGTTGTTGTTCAGTCTTCTATCGAAATATCGTTGCAAGATATTAGTGTTTATACCTCATTCTTATCATAATTATTGGCTAGTTCCTATCAAGTCTTCCATTGTCGCAGGGCGGATTATTTTGCATTGCTTATGGGCTCTTCCATCCCTTGGCTAGTGTTCGCAATGATACGGTCGCCTTCTTGAACAGACTGAATCAGCATCCCGTAAGTGTACCTGCTATTCTACGCTTGGAAGACTTCCAAAAGTACGTTTAGTGTTAACGGCGCTGATTTTTTTTTATTTTTATTTTTATTTTTTTATTTTTCATTGGTCTCACTGAACCAAAAGACCGGACGTGTCTATATCAAATCGCTTAATCGATTTGAGCGTAATACATATGAGCGACTGGCGCGAGAACATGCGCTTCAAGAAGAGAACTCTATTAAGCAACATCATTATGCTCGATTTTCAGCCTCTGCAGGATCCATCAGTTCTGCATAATTATTATTAGTGATATTGTTTTTCCATGTGGCCTTGGTGAGATGTGAAATTTTAATAGCATGTAATGTATTACTTTAAATCTAATTCATAACATCGAATTGAATTTCTACAGTCTGGTCCATGCCCAGATAGCCATCACTGTAAAGGTGAATTTTCCACGCATGTCTTCCTGCTCTTTTTGGTGCAACGAATTCTAGTTTCGTCGTGACCTTATTAATAAATTCTCCTTGGGGTCCTGTGCGCATATTAACGCGCTTCAATGCCACGAGCTCCTGGGTATCTGGATCTTCCAGGACCACCCACCATGACTCCCATTGTGGTTTAGGGAATTTAGGGCAATATACACGACCATCATATGTGACGCCAGGGCGTTTTACTCTGTTGAGCTCCAAATTGACCTTGTAGGTGAGATCTCCAACTAAGAAGGACTTGATGCCTGTATCAATGCTGGATGTGACTTTCAGTAGCGGGAGTTTCTGAACAACCTTCCAAATGTCTTGTAATTGGCCTACATTAAGCGAATGAATTCTGGAGAAGAAAGATTTGATTTCTTGCTCAGACATTGAGGTCAAATCAAAGAGCCGTTCGACTGTCTTGTTGGAAGCCTTGACAGAGTGACCCTTGTTGTTGTGCCCATGACGAGATGCACCTGTCAGTATAGAGAGCATGTGCTTCTCAATATGAGGCAAAGTCAAAAGAGACTCGTCTCTCCATCGAGCTTGCTTGACGGATTGTAAGATATTCATAGTGGATAAACAAGGCTGCAACATGCCCTTCTCAGCTGTTATATCAATCATTGCCTACTCAGCCAAATTATCCATGATTAAAAAGATGATGAAGGCAACAATAGCTTATAAGTTAAAGGAAGGATAGCAGCATATTCGCATCAGCAATCTCATTTGTGCATTTTGTATAGTTTGTTCATAAAGAATAAACAGATACAAACCTGTAAAACACGGACAGATTGATCAAGGACCGATACAGTGTCAGTAATGTAATCTGCAACTGGCAATCTCATTCGCTCAAAATAAGCCTGCAGCAACAAAAATGATTTGGCGTGTGGGCTATCGTATGACATAGAAGAGTCGATCAACAGTGGTAGTCCTTGCTCTAACTCCTTGTTGACGATTTCCTCATTATGGCGCACTGGTAGCTCCGAGTACTCTATCGCACCGCATAGAATCATTAATAGATCCTCATACGTAGAATCGGGCTTCAAGTATTCTTGTAAATGTTGGATGGTTGGATGCATCAGATAATAAAACGAGCAAATCTTTCCAAGCGATGTGGACTCGATCTCAAAATCGTCTATGACCTCCACACAACTAGATTTCTCCAGGTTTGATATCGACTTCTCAATCAAGTCTGATAAGAACGTATTAACACCTAGTGGCGTCAAATCTTGGACTCCGTAGTAACTGGGATTCATCTGAAGACGGCGATAAAAGTATGTCCAAGTCAAATAGTCCATAGCGTCCTGTTTTGTCTTGATGGTTCCCCCAACAATCTCCGCATTCAAATGGTCATCTAAATGTAGATGCAGGCTTGATTCGACTGGGAAAGGCTCATGCAAAAACTTCTTGTAAAAGTTTTTCTTGATATCGTGAACAAAAATCCTAGCAATACCTTCCTGATCAAATTGAGGTCGGCCTGCTCGCCCCATCATCTGCAGAACATCCGTGATTGGGAAGTCAACATACGTACGTGTTTTAGCATCATAATACTCTGTACCTTTGATAACCACCAGATGCGCAGGGAAGTTCACGCCCCAGGCCAGTGTACTGGTGGCAATCAGGATTTGGATTTTGGTGCTTACAAAGAGTTCCTCTACGAGTTTGCGGTCGCTCTCTGTAAGACCGGCATGATGTAAACCGATGCCGAATCCAAGTGAAAGGCGAAGACTCGAGTCTTGGACTTTAGTCAAAAGCACCTCAAGTTCCTCCTCCGGCATGTGCAAGAATCGTCTGGGATTGTCTTCCATGGCACAATACGCAATCAAATCTTGAGCAGTGAGGCGTGTCTGACGACGCGATGAAACAAAGACAATGACAGGTTGGCTAGGGGAGTGAGTCTTGATCGCAGCATATGTAGGCTTATTCATTGTTGCCATGCGTGGACAGTAGTGCTTTCCCGGGAAGCCATCGATATAGATCTCGAGAGGTACAGGACGAACTGAGTGCCTAAAGTTGAACAAGCCAACTTCTTGAATGCCAAGCCAGTCTGCCAGATCATGAGCGTTAGCTAAGGCGGTCGAGAGCCCTACAAGTCGAATCCTCTTGCTTAGCTGTGCACCAATGTAGTTCATACGTGAAACAATGACCTCCAAAATCGGGCCGCGGTCACCGCCGAGCAGATGGATCTCATCAATGATTACTAACGACACTTTCCGAACGTATGGCCTTGTTTGCCAGTTACGACTGATTCCATCCCATTTCTCGGGGGTTGTTATAATGATATCGGCGCTCTCGATAGACTTGATGTCAGGCGTGACATCTCCAGTCAACTCAACTAACTTCCTGTTCATGGGGCCTACTAATCGCGTAGTCCAATCAGTGACACGCTCGCGAACCAAGGCCTTCATGGGTGCAATATAAACAACCTTACTATCTGGCTGATCCTTGAATGCCCACCACATAGCTAGCTCGGCAGCAACGGTCTTTCCAGAACCTGTAGGAGCACCGATCAAAGCATTGTGGCCAGTGTTATAGAGGGTATGGAAGATCTGCGTTTGCACTGGATTAAAGTGAGAGAATCTCTTGAGGCAGATCTCCTCCAGGACGTCGTTATGTAGTGCAGACACTGGAAGTGGTTGCAGGTCTAAAAGGTCTGTGTGAGGTGGATAAAGTTCTGGGAGAATCAAGTGCTTGAATGATATAGGATGCACAGACTCGGCTCCAATCCACCTGTCAGAAATAGCGCGAACAAAGATCTGTGGTGGCAGTGGCTCAATGACAGGGATAGTAAAGGTAATAACTTGAGGTTGACCTAGCTGTTTCCGTGACAACAAAAAGTACTCAGAATGGAGAATTTCTGTATTGTTCGAATCCTCAACCCAAATCCACCAGGGCTCATTGAATCCATGAATGCGATCATTCCACATAAAGTCTGGTGTTATTGTGAGAGCGACTCGGAGGACGTTTCGGGTGATAGGTGCGACCTGAGCATCCATTTGCAGAACAGGGAATTGGTCTAAACACTTGGAGATAGTCTGACCCATCCTGTGAAACCGAACAAGCTCTCCCAGTTCATTCACAGTCATTTCTCTCATCTCCTCAATGGTAGGCGGATGCGTGCGTGCCTCCAGTTTAGTGATAATATCGCGTGGTAGACCAAATTGTGCAAGCGGATGTTCAAATGACCACATCTTCTTGTCAACCGATTTGCCAAGCGATAAAAGCACATTTGCCACAGGACCCCAGCTGCGATTCAAGGCGATCTCAAACATAGCACGGATGATACGCGAGGCATTCTGTGCAACATAAGCGCTGTCCGAGACTAATGCAAAGTCTTCCAATGGTGCTTGCGTAATGGCTGCTTGAAGTAAGATATTGACCTTAGATGGTGAAGCATCCAATCCGCCTTTAACATCACAAGGACATGCTTGTTCCAATAGCTTCTTTAGTTCAGATTGCTCATTATCTCTGGACTTCACGTTTTCGAACTCGGTACTCCTGCTGACCATTGCGAGGACGTCGGCTTCTGTCATTCGAGGCTTCATCAGACTATTGTAAGTATTGACACTGTTATATGAGACGTAATAGTTTGAGGCAATGCGTCCCAAATCCTTAGGTGTAAGGTATCCTGTATTTTCATCGTAAATGATCATTTGAGCTTTATGCAGAGATTTTGCTGCAGCGACAATAATATCGCGGCGTTTCTTGCCGAGCAATGGATCCTCCGTAGGCTCTGTATGACTCATGCCGTAGACCAATGGGTTCTTGCGCATACGTACGTACAAGTAGGTGTAGCTGAGCCAAGTGACAGCCTCATCCACGTTAGTAATTGTTCCAAGAGATAGCTCAGCATTCAAATTATCGACCACGCTTTCGATAAACCTATTTCGTAAGGCACAAATATGTCAGTGGTAAACTATGGCGAGTGTCCAACTGTTCGAATAGCCAGCATTTACAGCTTCTTCACACTAATTACCTCGATTCAATAGGAAGCTGTTGCGTGATAAGGGCGACATAATGGTTCAGCTTGTCTTGAGTTGTCAAAATGTAGCCCACACCGTGTGATTCATACTGTGGACGACCAGCACGACCAAAAATTTGCATCACATCCAGAATTGATAAGTCAACAAAAGCACCTTTCTGAGTATTATAAACCTGAGTGCCCTTGATGACTACAGCATATGCTGGCAGATTGACACCCCATGCGAGCGTTGCTGTACAGCAGAGAACCTATTTAAGGTTTAAGTTGCGCATAGATGGAAAGTTAAAATATTACATAGAGTTAATGTATCTTATACTAAAATAAATTTAAAGCACGTACTCTGATAAGACCGTCGGCAAACAACTTTTCTGTAAGTGCTCGATCTGCGCGAAGCATTCCGGCGTGATGGATACCGAATCCATAGTTGAAGAGTTCTTTCATTTCCCGATTCCTGGATTTTGCGAGCTCCCTCTTCTTGATCTCATGTTGTGGGTGGCTTGAAGTGTCAAAGAAGATAGCTTCATCTTCATCATTGGCTTTCTGTTTTAACATCTGAGCTGTCTTAACAGTGTCCTTACGAGAATGCACAAAGACCATGACTTGATGTCCTTGTTTGACGAGATCGACAACCTAAGTAAAATTGGATAAAAAATATTAGAGTTCGATATCCATCATTGATTCCATGCATATGCATACAAAACTTTCGCCGCATCGATGTGCACCTTGTCATAACATGTCTGGTCCAAACCGCGATTATATTGGGATGAACCATACTTGCCACGGACACCGCAAAAATGCTGCTCTAAAGGTACAGGGCGGAAACCAGCGTCAAAGTAAAATAAGCCCTGATATGGATTGACACGCAAAAATGCGGCCACATCTACATAATTTGGAAGTGTGGCAGAAAGACCGACAATGCGAATCATGGATTGGGATGTTTCGACTTGGCGCAGCGTACGTGCTACAATGCTCTCCAACACCGCGCCACGCTCGTCATGCAGCAAGTGGACCTCATCAATAATCAATAAGCGAACCTTTTGGGCCAATTCAACATCACCTGTGCTCTTACGAGTAACGACATCCCATTTCTCGGGTGTTGTCACAATAATTTGCGTACTAGCAATCTCAGCTTTGGTCAGCTGCATATCTCCGGTCAACTCACGGACCTCAATCCCGAGCCACTTGAGACGCGAGCTAAACTTGCGCACAATTTCTGCTGCAAGAGCCTTCATTGGAGCCACAAATACAATCTTAAAATCGTTCTTTGCTACGACATACTCTTTGGGATCGATACCTTTACGAGGCGTAGGAGCACAGTGTTGATAAAGTGTCCTTAAAATTGTCAGAAGTGAAACGTCGGTTTTACCCTAAAAGTCAAAATAGAAATAAGTGATGAGTACAATATGGCGCTATGGTGAGTTAGGGGCCGAAGTTATGGCAAGATTGAAAAATCAGTCAACATACTGCTCCTGTAGGGGCGCACATGAGGATATTTTCGTTCGTTTCATACGCCACGGGATACACGATAGATTGAATGCGATTGAGAGAAGTGTAAGCTTTGAAAGTAGTACTGCAGAGCGTATCCATATCTTCAAGGTTTATGAGTTTCTCCGTTGCACGACGCGGCGCCTGCTTGGTAATAGGAATAGCAACTTCCTCGTAATCCTATAAGATTTGGGACACGCTAAATTAGAAGCTGGATAAAAAAGACATATGTGCCTTACGTAGCACAAAGATAAAATATATTACCTTCTCATCTATACGGGTAGTTCCAGGAGGTAATGCAAAACCCTTACCAATTGACGATAGCATGTTGCCACCCTTGGCGGACTGATAGACATGGGGGTAATCTGGTGTGCTAAAGTTTGTTTTCTGTAGAAAGAAAAAGTCTTTCGCTCAATCCTGCAGTACACTTTTTCTTATAATTACCACTTTCTTCATTACAACAATTAACCCCCTCTCCCTCTCCAAAATAAATATATATATATATATATGTTTACCTGCTGAGAACTGGCGAGAGGCATGGCCGCGTTATTTCGTAGCTGCTCCTCGCGTGCCTTGCGCAGATCTTCTTTGTCAAATCCCAAAATAGCAGATGACAATGCCGCCTCATCTTCTTCGTCGCGCGCGCCATACTTTTTACGCTCCTTTCGTGCCAGCTTAGCTGCCCACTTCTCATCTTCGGTCTGGACAGTAAAGTTGCCTCCCAAAGGTGCTCTATAATTGCTGTCATGGTGCTCGGCTTTGTAGCTTTTTGGAAGCTTTGAATCGAAGTCATATGTAGTCTAAAGTTAATAATAATCAAGAAAAGAGTTGGTAATGCATACCTATGATGAATATAGTGGCCCATGAAGCTTACTCCACAGACACGTTCATTTTCTAATGTTCACTGCCTACCTGGGACATGACATTTTCCACAATAGTACGTCGATTGGTCAACAACGCCGTAATAAACTCGAAATTTTCGAAACCCAACAAATCCACCAAGTTAATCTGGATGTCATCATCTATAAGATCAAGTCGTGCCAAGTTAGGAAACTCTGTACATGGATACTATTTAGTTAGTCTAAATACGACGGTCATACATACCCAGCTTATCGGACCGAAGGATTGTAAAAATGTCAATGGAGAGTCGCCTCGATGTCATTTCTGTAGTTGGATCACCATAATGCTCTAAATGAGCGATACATTGGTTTACCAACCAATCGCGATCATACACAGGGCTCGTCAGAGAGGAAGATTGAATATCTGGTAAATGGCTCTTCTGCTCGTTGGGGCGCGGAGGGAGTGTGGGCGGCACCACGTCGCCGTAATCCGGGAGCATATCACCGCGCTGGCCGAACTCTGGATCACGATGGCGGTTAATCAATGAATCAGTGTCGGACAAGGTTTCTGTGTCGTCACTGTCATCTAAGACGGGCCAGATCGGGGCCTTGTAAAAGATATCGACGTCCTCCATGCCATATTCAACTTCTTCCAACGGTGGGAAATCTGCGTTAGATAGAAGCTGCTGTTGCTCCTTTCGACTTGCGAGCTTGGCCTTAAAGTCAAGGATATTTCTCTTCAATTCTTCACGCACTTTATCTAAGGCGCGCACAATAAGCTCTTCTTCACTTTCTTCGTCATTGTCATCGTTATCACTACTATTATACTCTTCATGGCTTTTTGTATCAGTTGTGCTGGTTGAAATTGAGTGAGCATGATCTTTGTAAGCTATGTGGTGGGTCATCCGCAAGATGTTGGCCAAGTGAAAGTCCACGAGTTCTGACATGATGAGAATAAATTGCCCTGTCTAATAATGATGTCTTGTGAAAGATCCACCTGATCTTGTTAGTTTTTATTTAACGGTGTCTATCGAGAAAACTGCTCCAATCTGCTCCAAAGGCCCTTTTTTCTTTTTTTGGTAACCCATATGACTGCCTTTGTTGTAGCGTGTGCTGCGGCATATCCCTATGCTGCGGTTTGTTTGAAAAGAGTAAAAACGGTTTGACATGGGCCAAAGTTCTCTAGACTCAAGCTCAATGACCACAACGCACCATGCACCATTGAACAATACTATCCGCAGCAACGTACTTTATTCACTCAGGGCAAATGGAACATCAAATACCATGAATGACGACGTCAATCGCAAAGACTCGTTCGGGATCTCAACTTTGCACCGTGCTGTTGCAAACAACAATCTTGACTTAGTCAAGCAATTGCTAGGACATCCCAAGCTCGATGTAAATGATAAAGATCTTGAATCAGGATGGACAGCACTGCATAGGTAAGCCTTTGAAATATGTTATCCATAAATGTTTGTCGAATGTAACATTAACCTTCTCTTGATACTAATGGGATCTTCATCACTCTAGGGCTCTCTATCTCGGACATCTGAGAATTGCTCTCTTACTGATTCAACACAAGAACATTAATATGACTATAGAGGTAAGTTTGTACGCTGCTCTGTGTGGCTGTGCCGATATCCACATCTAAATGTATTTGTATATTTGTGTATACAATTTGCTACAACAATATTTTCAATATCATTTACGTACTCGACTCATGAATTTTGTTAACATGTCGTCAACTTTAGGACAAAGATAGGAACACAGCTATAGACTTATGTCAGGCAACTCTACCTGTGTCTCTTAAAGTTGGGCCTTGTCCAGGAGATGCTCTATATACTTGGGGATCGAATTCCAATTTTACACTCGGACATAATGATGGTGACGACAGAAAGCAGCCAGAGCTCGTCAAATTCCCCTACCAAACAAATACTATAACGTTCCCCCGAGTGAAGTCTGCTAAGCCTATTCTATACCAAATGTCGATGAGTAAATTCCATACAGCGATCGCAACCTCCGAGCCAGGTTTCACGGCTAAAATATGGGGATTTGGTACCAATGGAAGACTTGGGTCTGACAGAAAAATGCAGCTCAGTCCGGCGCCAGTTTCAGGGATCCCTGGAAATGTCGTTTCCACAGCTCTGGGTAGAGACCATACAATTTTCGTCACAGCCAAAGGAGAAGTCTATACATTAGGGAGCAACAAGTATGGACAGCTTGGCTATGCACTTGAAGCTCCGAAAAACGGTCAGGATCCCATTCAGTATTCACCCAAACGTGTCGTCCTCACTATTACCAGGCTTAAAATAGTTGGCGCCGCTGCATCGAGATGGCATTCTGCTGTGCACACAGACTCTGAGCTATTTACTTTCGGATTTAACTTTGGTCAGCTTGGATATGAAAGAAAAGGCGATATTCAATTAGGCCCACGAAAAGTGGCCTCTATTCCACCAGGAAATATTATCCAGGTGGTAGCATCGGATTCAGCAACGGCCTGCCTTATGTCTTCGAATGAAGTTGTCGTTTTCCACAAGTATGCATACCATAAAGTGGCCTTCTCGCTCAATCCATTTCCTGATTGGTTTACAAGCCAAGTCATGTATTCAATGTCGACCAATAACCACCCTCAAAAAATCGCATGTTCCGAAAATAAGTTTGGAATGATGACAGTATGGGGGGATATCCACGTTTGGAGCTATCCTGAGGTCGATCCAGGAATCACCTTAGGATCTCTACCTCCGAATCAGTTTGCTTCATCTATCGCTCAGCCAGAAAAGCCAAGAAGAGTTTGGACTTGTGGCGGCGAACGAACCCATGCTATAGATTTTGCCCTGGGTCAAAATGGCTCAGTGATCATGCTCACAAAAGGGGGACATGTGTACATTGGTACCAATAAGGGAAGCTCTTTAGGGCGGAATGTTAAGTGGCAAAGGTATGATGTATTACTACGCACAAAAGTCCTACAAACTAAGGCCTGAAAAGTGCACTAACGAAATCCAAATATTTGATGTCATAGGATACCTCATCTCGACCGTGTGGTCCGAGTTTACGCAAATCCTAGCGGCGCTTGGGCTGCATTACGGTCCGAGTCAGCGCTGACTCCAGTCATAATTCGACCAGGACGCCTTGATTCTGACCTGGAGCAATCACTTTCACAATTCCATTTGTATAACAACAACGAAAAGAACTGTGGAACAAGTACTGAGCCTATAGTGTATGATGATGATGATGGTGACGAAGCTAGTGAAGCAGAAGCAAATCCATGGAAAATCGACAGCCGCGGCTGGCTAGATATTGAGAGGAGCTGGGATTATGATGTTGTGCCTCTTTTGGACTCAACTGCAGAATCATGCAACATTGGCGGTACAACTGTCTCAGGGAGTCATTTATTTGATGTGGAGCTAGAGGCAGGAAAGCGGACCTTGGGAGCCCATAGAATTGTTTTGGCAGCTAGGAGTCCAGCTCTTTGTCGAGTGTTCGTTGAAACCCCTCGTATTGCGACAACAATTGGATCTCTCGTGTCAATAGAACCCACTAAAATCGACTATAATCAAAGAATCCTATACACAATCATGCTCAAAGTCGAATTCGCTACAGCCGTACTTCTTCTTCAGTTTTTGTATAGCGACCGATTTGATCCATTCTGGGATGCTCTCGACTTGCCAAAATCTATCAAGCAATATGCGCTCAAAGTACGGCAAGAGCTGTACCATCTCGCCTTGGAGCTCTCCTTACCTACTCTTCAAGCTGCTCTTCAATATTCATTTACGCACACCTGCAGTCCTAGTCTCTCAAAAAATATGGCGCAGGTCATTTTGAATCCGATCAAATATCAAGGATTAGCGGATGTGAGACTACTGCTAAAACATGGAGAATCAATGGACTTACATCAGATGATACTTGGCCACCGATCGCCATTTTTCAATGCTATGTTTGTTAGAACAAACGAATGGATTCGTGCGAGGCAAGGCCCTAGGCGGCTGCCAGAAGGCAGCTCAACACAAAACGATCAACTTCTTGAAGTGAATATGACCCACATGGGTTTGGAAGCCATGACAATTGTTGTCAATTATATCTATACGGATTGCGGCCCGGAGTTATTTGATAACACTGGTACAAGACAAATTTCGATACATCGCATCTTGATATAATGGCGACTTCAGATTGTACAGTTTTAATAACATGTCAATCGGCTTCTGTATATTGACTGTTTCATAGAAAAAGACGATATTAGTGAGTTACTCCAGCTGGTAATCGACGTTCTTCAAATTGCGGACGAGCTACTTATGGATCGTCTTAAGGAGATCTGTGAGAACGTACTCGGCGAACAAGGTGAGGAACATTTTTTTCCTGATATTTGTCTTTAACTGTATCCACGATGGAATAATGAGTTTGACCTAATCTTCATCTATCAAGTTCGTGCAAAGACTGTAGTCGCCTTTTTGGAAATCGCGTTAATGTATTCAGCTGAGTCGCTACAAACGACATGCCTAAACTATTTATGCCATAACATTGAAATGGTTCTCGATCAGAGGTAAGAGCACTAGTTTTGGTAGCTCGATAGCATCATCACAGAGGACTATCCTTAACTTTTTATTGTTGCTGTTTGTATTTGTAGATGGTTGGAGGACGTTGATGGCGATGTTTTGGAGCTTGTGGAAAAAACTCTCAAAGGAAAGCAAGATTCTTTTATGCCATTCATCCGATCTGGAGGCCATTTACCAGACCCAGAAAAAGTAGAGAGAGTTCGCCAGCAAGTCAAATTAGACGGCTATAACCATTTCTTACCGCGAGGTACATACAAACCGGATGTACATCATTCTCGGCAAAACCACGACAGAGAATCAGAACAGGCTCGTATAGCATCACAGGTTGTGGCACATGAATTTGCTGCACTGCTTCCGTCACAATCAACACCAATTCCGTCACAAATCCGTTCCACAACATCCTCACAAGTTCTGGAAGATCTTCACACTCGGAATATGGCTCAAAGACAGCAACAGCCATATGCATTGCCATATGGTGGAGGCGTCACAGGGTGGCCGACCTTAACGGATAGTGCCACACTGGACCTGAAAGATATTCCACAATTAGCCAGAAGAAAAACCAACTGGGATCACGTACCCACTATGGAAGGCACGAGGCTATCTGAAGATGGCACTGAAACTGTCTTATCAGAGGGACTATCCGTTAAGCCATCTTTCCGAGAAATTCAAGATCAAGAACAACGCCAGGGGCAAAATAGCTCGATCAGGGTAATTTCCGCATCCAGTCCAGTAGCCAATCCCAAAGCTAGTAAAATGTCGCAAAAGGAGCGAAGAAAACTATTGCAGCAACAGCAGCCATTGCCTGTGTTAGAGCAGCCCCAGTCTTCTCAAACAGCTTCCATAACGCCTGTTTGGGGTAAAGTAGCGTCGACAAATGTGACAGATTCAGTAGTTGGTGGAGCTGGTGGATCAAGTATGGTACAGCGACATGGCATATCCAATGGACCCAATAGCGGCCTAATAACCAATACTCCAAGCCTATTAGACATTCAACAAAACGAGCTCTCTATTTTCCGAGCCCAGTCCAAAGAGATTCCTCGAGTAGCTGTTGCCACATCTAAACCTCTCAAGGAAACAATGTGAGTATTGTATCCACTATATTATTATTATTATTTTTCCTTTATTTTATTTGGAGGTATACATTGCTAGTATGACAGGGCATTAACGTTCCATACGACGATTATTCTAGGCGAGTAAATGGGACAGAAAAATCATTTTCTGAAGCGCCTTGGCGATTGGATGCCATCCCTGAACCTCTACGAGCTGTGACACGACATCAAAACCAGATGTATCCTAAACTGGAATCCAGTACCAGTCATAGCCACGGCCACAGCCACAGTCATGCACCTTCACTTGGATCATTGGGATCCCTATCTTTTAGCGCTGCCCGACCCAACGGATCTTTAGGCAGCCTCTCAGAAGGATCATTGATAGGACATGCAAGCGGACGTCCAACAAGCAACGCTGCACCGACACCAACCGCTCTCTCTCCGTCCGCAATGTCACCAATGTCGCCGTTTACGTCTTCGAATGGCATTGGGCCCTCATTATCATCATTTGCTCTCATCCAGAACCAGCAATTGCGTGATCGCAACTTGTTGTTGCGAGCACGACATCACAAGAAAAGTCTTTATCAGATTCAGATTGAAGAGCAGGCGCTGCGGCGCTTACGTGCCATGAACATGGATCGTATACGGGCCAAGGTTATCGAAGGCACTGGTGAATGGTTCACTTGTGAGATCTTGGAGAGAATGGTATAGACGTATATTATTTATGTTTTGCTCCGAATGGAGAACGGATTAATATTAGAAGGATAGACAATAAAACCCAGTGTCGAAAATGAGAAAGAAAATGGGGATTGTGGATTTCTGCAAGGGTCTTTGTAGACACTCGATCCCGGGCGAAGCGTAAGCCGAGACGATATTAGGTGCCCTCGCCAGGGCCTGGTCCTCAGTTGAGGAGCGAGTTCAAGCCACTGTGGTTGGTGTCTTGCTGTACACTAGCACTACCTTGCTACGGATAAACAAACAAAAGAGTGACTCTGTGTGAGCGTAATGACATGATGAGGAAATTTTTTGTGCTTGAATCTTTATTTGGGAGGACTGCTATTGGGACATGATCATAAACTGCTGAATAAGCTTATGGGATCCTCCATTTTCTACTTATTTTTTCACCTCAATCAATTCAAAAACAAGTGACAACCAATCATAAAAAGAAAAATCAATCATTTTCACGGGCTAGTATCAATGTCAAGGCCATTTGGTGTTGTGGGATCAGATTCTGCTGACGAAGCATGAATCTAGGTGTATGCGCTGATGATCTCATTGAGAGCGATGGAGAGCGTCCTTCGGAAGAAACCGTGGAGGATTCCTGTGATGTCGGTGTTAAAGAAGATGTCACTTTGGACCCATGACAACCATTGAATCTTTTATCTTCAGCCCTCCTCAACTGTGTGAGTCTTAGATCCTGCCGTTTACTTGTCTGTGGTTCAGCTGCTGAAAGAGTACACGTCTGATTGATCGTAGTGTACGACAAAGCTTTTGTAGATCCTGAATTAAGATTTACTAGTTGGTCCAAGGTAGACTCGCCATCACCACTATTCAAGGGTTCGAATGCTAAGCCTAATAGATTCTCGTCTGCTTGCTGTAGGCTTAAAATGTTCATCTCCAAGCTATTTTCAGAGTTCAAGGTCGCCATGTTGAAGTAATCAATATCCTCATCAGACTCTTCGTTGGCATTGACGGTCCTCTGCTCATTGTGGGAAACTGAAATACCAATCATAGGTGTAGATGGGGCTGTGATAGGATCAGCGTGGACGTATTGCTGCAGAATCCCTTCAAAGTTGTCGGTCAGCCAAGGGTCAGGGCTCTCAAACTGTGGGTGCTCATATCCGAGGAATACCTCTGTTCCAAAATTAGGCCCAGATTTCTTGTGAAGAGACTTGTCAGGCACGACTAAGTTCTTGTTATCATTTGGACAAGACCTCTGACTACTTCCTCCCCTTTCTTTATCATCTTCACCTTCATCTCTCTCTTTTGTTTGTCCTTTGGATAGACTATTTGGTGATTGATCTACATGATTTTCTACTTGCTGTATGAAAGATTCTTGCACAATAGATTCATCTCGTTTAAGTTTAGCACGCCGGTTTTGGAACCACACTTGAATGGTCCGCTGATCAAGTTTAAGGTGATCTGCAATCTTTTGACGGTCTTTGGTCGTAGGTTTTTCGTTAAGATAGAACTGATCAAGCAAGTATTCTGTCTCATCTATAGTCAGACGTCGACGACGACTATGGTCACGATTCGTCAATATCGACTCTGATGAAATCGAAGAAGACGTACAGCTTGAAGGAGAAGATAATGCTCGTGATGTTTTTGTGGGTACTGTCACCGTTTCTGCCGTAAAGAGTTGATGAGAAGAGCCAGTCGCTATAGGATCATTTCGACAACGTCCTTTGGATGACTTGAGAATTTGCTGGTCGTAAATAGTAGCAGCATTCAGTTGAGGCAATAAAGACTTATCTGAACGAATTGCATCACTTTTGACAAGTTCTGTAGAACAGTCAATGCTATTGGGATTCGGTATATAAGCTACTGAGACTGAGAAACTATCAGGTGGATGTGACAGAGATTGCTCCTGTCCGTACAAGGATTGGGACCGTTGAATGGCTGAAGGACTAAGCTGTGCTTCTCTGTATTTGTCGTGCCTAAATGTTGGGATGCATTCATGCAATTCTGGGCCTGAAAACACGTCTTCTTGGAGCTGCCATTGCTTTTCCCAGAGCATTTGACGTTTTGTATGAAGCATTCCATGCTGATTTTGACAATATTGATCTTGTTGACTTATTTCAAAGCGAATATCATTCAAATCAAGCGGAGTGGCCAGTGTGAGCCATGGTTGCAATTGCTGTAATTGCTGTAATTGCTGTGGTTGAGATAATTGCCAATGGTGAATGGGATTTTCTAACGTGTCTTGCGAGGAGACCTGAAAAGCTGTAACAGGAAATTCTTGAGATGTCGCTTTTATGTCCATGAAGTTTAAAGCAGGCTGTAGGACGGGTATGTACAGTGGTATAGCCGAGTCAACAGTGGTTGACATGGAGCTGTTCTGGGTCAGGAGAGAAGCAAGACCAAATGGTGTGATATTTTCTTCGCCTTGCAACATCTGCTAAAGGTATCCTGAGAGTTTTTTTAAAAAAAAAAAAAAAAAAAAAAAAAAAAAAATTGAAAGGATAGATCGTTCTCTGAGGATTTTTTTTATTCGTAAATCTACTTTCTATTAACCTAGATTACAGGAAAAACATAAATTTAATAACAATGGGTTTATAGTTTTGAAAAGGCAAGTGTTGTTGTGATGAGAAACTGAACGAAAATCCTCCGAAACTATCATCAAATGAAAAATAAAATGATGGAAATCTTTTAGGGAAGACAGCATATTGGAACCATGCACGTGTTAGTGCAAAGTTCACGAACAAGATTAAGACAGGAACAGTTCTTCTGTCTCTCCTCAGCATATTTCTTTGAAATTGCTTTGTCGCATGTAAAATACTTTTCACACGTTCCTTTTCATCTTGGCGACCTTCATCTACAAAATTCAATGGCTACACCTCAGTTAATAGACACTCAGCCTGCACACTCACCACGCCAGCTCCAACAGCGAGATCCCGAGCATTCAGCACAGCAGCCTGGTCAATCCATACAATCTGTTTTCCCTTCTGACTTTGTCTTTCAGCTGATTCTGGAGCAGTTTTGGGGCGATGGCGTGTCCAAACGCGAGATCCGCTCAGTCTACACAACCGCCGCCGATGCTAATGCAGCATGCTGTGACTACCTCCTCCGGACATGGCCTCGCGATCAGTTCACACTCTATGAAATCGGGGCCTCACCTCAACGATCCGAACTTAGTAAAGTCTCCGCTCTGATCAACGGCGATCGATTCCATGTTTGGGTCGAGCGACATCCTTGGAAAGGCACTCTTGACTTTTCTTCAAAGGCGATTGCAAAAAGAGCAGGCAAGGGACCAAATGCTTATATCCTTCAGCGGACAATTAAAGATGCCTCTGGTGGTAAGCGACGGTCGACCACTCGAGGTATTTTCGCCACCCGTCAGTTAGCAAAGGAGGCCTTAGTAAATGATCAGCCTCCGTCAGAATGGTCATCAAATCAAGGCTATGTCCTCGAACCGGGTGGAGAATACGCTCATGCACTTTCACCGACAGGGAAAACAGCCTGGCTGTTCATCGAGGTTCGGCCACTATACATGTGTTACATACCGCTAGAACAAGAATTGCAGGACACAAGGGGGGGTTCTTCGTCATTACATCTCGGAACTTCGCCTTTCAACCCTATTAGTCTTGACCACGCTGATGACGGCATACTATCCATTCCCTCATCGCCATCCAACCTCTTGCATCCCTCCATTCACCAACCTCGTGCCATTTTTGACAGCCCTTTTTCTCCTATCCCTTCTAATCCAGACGAGGCAGGTGCATTTGTTTACCTGGTTCTTCAGCTTAAAACCATTCCCTATACTCCACCCATTTTGACGGTCGAGGCAGTTGCATATGAAATGGACGTAGCTAACAGATTCGGCATCAGGCTCTTGGAAGAATTTGGTGGGCCTGGGGCATTGTTTGAACCAATATTTCGAGAGGATGGTTGTTTTCAAGGTGTCTTGGAGCAACGTACTCGTGACGAAGGACTAACCGTCTGGGTGGAGAAGAGAGCTGTAGTAATAGGGGATGAGAGCCTGGATTTCGATTTGGTTTCTGACCATGGATCAGTTCAGCTGAATAGAATGCATCAGGATATAGAGCATCGAAGTCCTACATCATCGTCATTTGCTTCTCCTTCTGCTGTGACGGTAGAACGCAAACGAGGGGAACCTCAAGATGGATTTAATTCAACAGGACGACTCACTGCTACAACAAAAGCACAGGACCAAGCAAAGGTCATGCGTTTAAACTTGGATGACGAAGATCATGCAGTAAACTTATTATCTGATAAGGCAGCTGATTTAGCTGTTAGGTACAAGGTCATTAAGAATATTGACTACAATCCTAAAAGCGTAACTGGATCGGAGAAGCTTAAAACTCGCACTATCATCGACACTTCTGAGGATCTTTCAATAGCACTAGTCAGTGCTCGAGTAGAATTTTACGGCTTATTAGCAAACCTAGACAAAAAAGCAGTCGAGATCAAAGATAATCTTGATGCCGCGTCAAAGGAGACGAAAAAAGAAAGAACCATTGAGGCGTGTTCTCGATCTAATCCAGCATTAGTCCTGCTGCGGATCCAGGTTGAGGATAGTCAAGAGTAATAATATAGATTGTAATAACAATAATATATAGTGGAATCACACACCTAAACCCTCCGCCACCGCATCTCGCCCTCAAACATCTCTCTGTTACATCATGAGCACTGCGTCCGGAACAACTGCCATAACCCTGTGAGTCATTATTATCAAAAAAAAAAAAAAAAAAAAAAAAAAAAAAAAGAAGCACTTGGGCTGACATCAAACTACAAACAACCGAGCAAAGAACTTCAACGCATATTCAGCTGTCGGTAATGAGGGTGAAGACTTCCGTCAGTCACTCTTGCACGATATTACATTGACGCAGAGAAAGTCTGATAGCTTGACCAAAGAGAACATTCAGAAACACGCTCACTTGATCCTCATGCGATCCTATACCTCTGCTAAATGATTAGTTCATATTCCCATCCTGTTATAATGCACTCAATTTGAATATGTGTCCACTTCTCTCTAGAAAACGTCCATTGTCCACCATGCCTCTCTGTGGCAATACTCCGTTCATAAGGCTTGATCGAGGTATCATGCTCTTATTTTGGCATTTGTGAGCAAGATGATAGATTTGATAATGTGATCCCAACCTGGCAGGTCAATAGAAGCTCCCTCATCTACTCTGTGCTTGTCCAGTCGCGTTCATCAGCTATAGGCATTGCCTTAGGAAATGTCGTAATTGACAGCTAAAGTTCTTTGTTGGAGTATAGCTCGTAACTTGAAGCACCCTTCTTACTATAACCATCGACTATAGCAGTGGTGTTGACGAAGGTTTAAAAAAAGTTGTATCTGCGTCATCCACCATCACATCCCCACCCCGAACGATGCCAACACATGCGATTATAGTATTAATCTTGAATATTAGCATATATACAGCCTACCCATCACATTCTCAAACTTATCTTTTCTGCTACATCTGTTAGCGCCAAGTGCTCCAAAGTCTATAACCTTGTCATTATGAGCTTTCAAGGCTTTGTTCTGTGAGACAAACAAGGCCATACCCTTCACTCAAGAGATCATGTAAAGCGAAAACAGTGATGAGCCATCAGGTCGTACTATAACGCAGGGTGAGCTCCACCATACCATCAATGGTCACCTGGCTTCGCTACAGTCGCCAATGTTTGTTTGCTTGAGAAGGATCTTTCGCGATGAGGAGTACAATAGAGAGACAGTTATGGACGTTAAAGACTAAATCGAAGCAGCTAGGTGACAATCCATGTGACAGAATTGATCGTGAAAATTTGATTGGAATAAATAGAATGGTTTAAACAACACTAACCACATTTGAGGTTGTTTAGAGACTGGATGAGGCGGAATCAGCCCTTGGTTCCGGCGTCCAAGTGTTTTAAATTAACAATAATAAACAACAATTGCCTAAAAGAGGGCAACAAAACTTGCTTGCTGCTTTATTATTACCAATTTATTTATTTAATTAATGAATGGGTTAGAGATGTCTTTGACCTAGAAGCATGTTCAATATATTCTCTATAATATATAAATATTAATATTAGGGCTTAACAATGTGCAATTTACATCCTTTCTCAATTTCTTTCCCGCCAATTTTTCAGTTGCTTATTTGCTTATGCATTTTGTTACAAATGGTGTATTGTGCTCACTTCATTTTTTTTTTAAATAAAAGTATGGATGAAGAGAACGTTGAGTAGATTCAGCATTACGTTGTCGCTGAGGCTTGCTTTACATATGTAATAGACTTCAAGCTGCAGACCGCAATGAAATATGATCTAATATAATATAATATATATATTTATATTTATATTAGAAGATCACTAGCCAATAGCCAATGAGTGGACAGCAGATGTAGTAAGCGAAGGCTTAGTCAAGCAAGGCACTTGATTTGTGCATGTTTTCAAAGGAGTGTTTGAAATAAATTCAGGCACGGACAGAGAAGTGTCAGGGTAAAATATCAAATGTTACACAAAGGAAAACTAAAATATGGACTGGACTATTGGAGGGCCGATCACTTGGCCACGGGAATATTTTATTTATTTTTATTGCAGTATAGTTCGATCGGGTCTTTTCTCTGTTTGTGTGCAACAGAAATGGAACACTTTGTAACTGGCATGCATAAATGCATGCAGGACAAGTCTCCCCTCCAATACTTACTGCTCCCTTTGAGTAATCAAACGTGCGCTGTGATCAAACACAAACTTTAACAGCACTTTTTACTCGGTTGCTGTTTCATGAAAGGGAATGTCTATATAACCTCTTCCTTCCCCACCTCTGAATTAAGCATTTTTTCCCTTCACTACTCCATCTTCGGCTATCATTTGTCAGGCTTCTCCTTCTTCAAGGACAATACTCTTTCCTCCTCTTCCTTCCTCTCTCCATCTCCTTCCTCCTTTTCCTCGTCTGGTAACTCAGGATCATTCGTTGATTCTAACCACCAGATATTCCTGCCTTCGCCACCCGCCCGTTTCTTCTTGAAAACACCATCTGAATGCTATTGTACTGAACGTCAGTTACCTCTCAGCCACGCCCATTTTACATCTTGCACAGTACATTTGTGCCTAATTCTTTTTTTTTTTTTTTTTTTTTTTTTTCCTCCACTTGCACATCTTACATTCAACAATTCATTTGCTCAGTCCTCCAGTTCCCCAGCCCTATTAATTTACCCCTATTCTCCTTACTCTGGCACTCCCCCTCCGCCATATAAAGTATCATCATCAACACAATGGTTTCAAAGATGCAGATCCATCGACAAGTCTATCTTGTCGTCATCTGGCTTGCTTGTATTACGATTCTCAATCAGTTCGTGCTCGCAGGTGCGCCTGAAATTCAGCCCGGCGTGCCTATGAAATCTGCTCCTGTGCACCTGGTGCGCCGTTCGGACGCTGGTCGTCAACGAACAACGATGAAGTTCAAGCCCATGAACAGTATCCAGCTCCGGTTCATCGAGGCAGATAAGAGCGAATACTATGATGCGTGCCATCACGTTGACATGAATGTTGAACTCAAGTCTGACGATGGCAGTCGTACAATCGAAGCCTTGAACCCATTTGCATTCCAGCATGCTGTCAAATCAATCTCATGTGCCAATGCATCTTCTCAGTTGGACATTGAATTGGATCCTGTATATGCAAAACAAGTGCGTCGCTGGAACTTCTCACCTCGAAATGTGTTCGGCATTGTGATCCCACACGACTTTGTGGATCTCAAAAAAAACAAAGCTTGCTACACAGGCTTGGATTCTACAGCAAAGAAATGGATTGAAGAAAATCCTATGGAAACTGTCGTTAAGTTGGTCAAGGATCCAAGGTTCCTGGATGCTAAGAGCCCCAATACTGTCAGTTTTACCATCGTCAAGACTGATATCTGGTCTCAGATGAACCGTGTTCAATCAGTCCATATAAATCACCGACCTCTTGACACAATGCTCTCTAAGGTTCTCTCCAAGCGCTCTACTGCTTATGAGCAGGGCCCCATGTGGGATTTTGAACATGATTTGTCTTCAGGTACCAAGGCCGTTGATGAACATGTCACTGCTGAAAACGTTCATGCTGACTTGGATCGAAGCTCTGTAAAAGGATATGGTATGTAAAATGTGACAACTTATCTACGTTGACTATATTTTGTCATGATTATGATTACTGTTATAATTGCTATTTCGCATGCGCAATCAAAGCAAATTCATGTCTTTTATAGCATAGCATCAACCCCACCTTACTCATAAGCAATGCTCTTGCCATCATAACTTGAATAGCTCAGGCGGATATGGCTTGGAAGCAGACATGCATCAAGGGCATCTTCACAGGCAAGATGCGCTGTGCTAACTGGGGTATCTCAAATTCGAAAATCTCAGGCGTAACGGAAATCAAGCATCAGACACAGATCACGGTCAAGAACAAACAGGAAGGAGTCATGGCTGCTAGCGCTGATGGCCCACCTCTATTAACTCTTACCAACATTAGCATCACCACTCCTTCATTTGACTTGATGGCCCCTATCCCTCTCCTTGGCTTTAGCGTTCCTGGCGTCTTCGATATGGGAGCCAATGTTGGCCTTGGTGGAACTGTCTCCCTTGCTGTCATTGTACAGGCTACTGAGGACCTTTTGGTTAACACTGGAAGTAGCACAAGTTGTCCATGGATCATTGACTGGAATGGCAGTTTCACAAAGATCCCTACGATCCAATTTGGCACCTGCAGTAAACCAGATACCCCCAAGTCTCTTAACAGACGCTCAATTGACAATCGTGCCTCTATTAACGACGCTTTTTATTTTGGCTCCGACCCGGCAACCGCATCCAAGAGCAATACAAGATTGAAGCTGGCAGCAACAGAGGGCGGGTCCCGTGAGACAGCTGAAGTCAGAATTGGCATGACAGTCTCACCCTCATTGACTATGGGCCTCAAGGTCTTTGGTATTTCTACACTCTCTGCCGGTATTAATGCACCCATCAGGCTAGGAATCCACACTTACTGGGATACTGACAGCACTTCTACATGTCCTGCTGACCATGTTGCACTCTCTGCTGAAGGTGGAGCCTCTCTAAACCTTGTTGGAGGTTTCTTTGGGTTCAGCAAGTCCATTCCTGTCGTACAAAGCCCAGCGCTAGAGACGCCTGCTGTCTGTATCCCTCACTAAATGATAATAATAATAATGACAACCACGATAATGGCCACAATAGCATAAATCCTCTCCCCAGTTTGGCACTCATGCTGTGCATGATTTCTAAAGGAAGCTGGACGCATCATATCTACGTGTACAGGAAAAACATTTTACTTTTCGCCTCAATCGCATCATGCCACAATATACCAAAGTATAATAAATGAAAAATGTGATATAACATACTATATTATATTATTTACATCACTAACGTTATGAATTATTAATATTAAATAAGGCATTAGAGTCCAATGTACATAAAGAATAAGATACAGGCTTAAGAAGGGTTCGATCTCTCACTCTACTTCTGCTTAGAACGATCCTTCAGCTTCAAGCTAAAAAAGGCCAATACATGCCATCCCAACAGGATTGCAATCATGGACTGGAAACACCACCAGAACTGATCAAGTTGGTACGTGTGTGATAGAGGCTCGTTCCTGATCTCCTGCCAAGGTCGTGCCTGGATCTCGCGGAGATAAATGGCTTCAATAGCATATCGGGGTGCTGAGATGACCCATATCCAAGATGTGGCTTTGTATCCGCCCGCTGCATCGTCGCTCATGACCTCCGCCAGATCTGGTGCATCGCCAGAAAAGACAATAGCCCATGCCAAAGTGAACCCTGTACCGACTAATGAGACTCTGTTTTGGGGCACAAGAGCGGAGAGGAAGTAGCCCATCGCGAATGCAACAGCGTATAACATCACAATGATGCAGAGTAGGTAAAAGTAATTGGACCTTTGGTTGAAGAAAATAATGAGCGAGATCGAAAACATGATGCCTGCAAGGACAATACGAGGGATGTCTGCAATAACCTTGGCAATGTAGTAAGGTAAAGTAAGCAGACCCGAGGACTTCTCTCGCCAGTAAACGATCTTTTCGTTGCCAAACGTCATGGAGCCCACTGAGATGCCAGCGAAGCAGACGCCGAGCGCAATAAAAACACCAACTTCAGTCAAGTGGTCTGTAGGGTTGGCACAGTTACTTTTGAGCTGGAATGGTGTCATGGCGCAGACCAGGTCGGGCTGTCGTCCTAGATAGTCGAAGCGAGAGGCTGCGATCGAGATAAAGAGGCCACATCCAAGATGCAACAACTGATCATAAAGGAATTGCCGCTGGTTCCTGTAGATCTGTAGCCGTGCACGGTTCAGACACAACCAAAACATCATGAAGGGGTTTGCAGTGTTGCGGACAGGGTCCTTTCGTCGTAGGAAGATACCCTGTACGGTTTCGACTGTCTCGGCAATAACGCCCTTCCACCACATCCTAGATTCAATGTAGGATATGCGGATGGACCTCTGAAGCGTTTCCCAGAAAGTCAAGCGCTCAGGTGGAGGGGGAGTCGAATACATTGAAGTAAGGTCACTCAGCGCCATAGAAGGCCGTGGAGAAGATGGGGCTGACCTTTGGTAAGCTGGATCCTCAGACATAGTCACAGATTTGACCTGGCTGTTGCGCTTCTGCTGAGTTTGAGATGATGGATACAAAGTGGTTGAAGAGGCGGATGACATGAATCCATGATTAGCTGAATCCGAAGAATATGGCATTGCTGGGGATGGCATGTTGTCGATGTCGGTGAGTGTTAGTGATTCAATAATTCCATGACCATTGCTCTGTTGGACTGAAATGGCAGATTGATTCAAGCTCGGGTATGTCAGCAAAGCCGAGGTTTTTGGATAAAGGCGAGGCGACCCAGGCTTGTGAGAAGGGTGTCGGTACTCAACCCCCAAAGCCGGATCAGCATAAAAGCTTTGGGCGCGCTTGTTATAGGACTCCCAGTACCTTGAGAGGTAGAATGGCTTGAATTTCTTTGTGAGCTTGGATTTAATATTGTTTGAGATAACATCCATATAAAAATCAGAGGGACTAGAGTCTACGGGAACTGGAAATCCGATCGCGGCAAAGTAGGCGGGTGCTTCAGTCCGTGGCCCATGAAAGACAACACGACCATTTTGTCCAAGGAGTAGTAAATCGTCGAATTGATTGAATGCGACAGGGCTTGGTGAATGAATTACTGCAGCCACAGTCAGTCCTTTGCGGCGAGCAACAGACCTGAGCAACTTGCAGACATCGCCGCTGGTGCTGGAATCGAGTCCCGATGTTGGCTCGTCCAATAGTAAGATACTAGGATCTGTGACTAGTTCCATACCGATGTTGACACGCTTGCGCTGCCCGCCAGAGATACCTCTACGCTCTGCATCGCCAACGACTGAGTCCATGACCGAATTCAAGCCTAAGAAATCGATAATCTCGAGTACTTTTTCTGTCATTTCATTTTTTTTGAGATCTGATGGAAGGCGCATATAAGCTGAATAAAGGAGTACATCATGAACAGTTAACTCGCGCATCATAATATCCTCTTGGGGAACAAATCCAATTAGCTTGCGGTAGTAGCTCAGATCTCCCTCTTGCCCATTGATGAGAATACGGCCTTCATCCTTGGGGATCTTTGAGGTGAGCATGGAAATGAGCGTGGTCTTTCCAGATCCAGATGGCCCCATTATCGCACATGTCCTACCACTACGGAGGATACCAGACACATTCTAAGAGAGTGTATCAGTGAAGGCGTTAGAGTGCAATTACAAGCGTAGCAATGCTAGAAATAACTACAAGTAAAAGAAAGCAACGCCTTGAAGTTTCGTTACCTAAACTTACCTGTAAGATAGAAGTCCCATTTGGAAGTGTTAATCCCAGCTTTTGAAATTCAATGTCAAACGTGCGGGTGACTTTACTGACTGCTCTTTTCCTTCTTTTAGCAGGTGTCGGCATTGCGCCTGCTGTACCTGCTGCAGTGCCTTCCTTTTCGTCCTCAGTAACCTGAATAGTCAATTCCATACTTGTAAGCTCTGACGTTGATGTGTCATCAGGGCTTGTAACGTGTACATCTGGATTACTCGTGTCCCTAGAAAGCCTGGAAAGGCGTCCACTTCCTTCTTTAGTATCCTCCAGGCCCTGCTTTTGCTTCTGCTCATCGTCATCGGCTGCTAGAAGGCTGTCATAGTTTCCATTGTGGTTATGGATCCATTGGAGGCGCTTCTCGAGATGGTGTGTCCTGACGGCTTCAAAGCGCTTATGGATGTAAAATACAATGCAAATAACGACCATGAAGACGATTACGAAGAGAATCAGGCCGAACTTTGAAGCTGAAGAGCTGCCAGCAGGGCATGATGCTAACCAAAGACACGATGTCTATAGGAGTAGAAGTTTTTTTTTTTTTTTTTTTTTAATTTTTAGTGATGGTCAGATACAGAGCATTGTTAATAAAATGCAGGCAGAACATCACATTGAATATAATATAGTCGAACACTTACTCCCCTGCCCACGGATCCTGCAGGGCAATATTGATTTTGTGGACAGAGTGTGATAGTCTTGGTATCTTCTGAGCAATAGTATCCTGCGCAGCAATACATGGGTTGCGCTGTATTGGGCGGACAGTAGAACCCCTATTAATATAAAAGCAGGAAAAAAATGTAGAGCGAACTAATTGAGTCATCATGTCCATTTCCTTGAAGCTTTCTTGAAAGAATGAATCAGAGATGCAACTTACAGGTGGGCATGGAGCAGAGTGCTTTGGTGACAGACAAAAGTTGCTATGTGCACAAAAAAAAAAAGTTTGAGCTGATGGACAATCAATGTGTTGCAGGCGAAGAATTACATTCATAAAGGAAAGAATATGTCATACCCAGCCGGACATCCCCAGGAAGGCGTCGATGTATTTGTGAACGAATTGATTGGGGTTTGGACATACTGACATTTTGGTCCAGACTATTCGGCGAATGAACAAATGTAATAGCAATAAAAAATATATGAGTATCAAACCCTACTAAAGAAGAAAACAAGAGAACGATGCTTAAGCGTTTACTAGAAGTGAGAGAGAGAGTACAAGAGTGCCTGGAGCATCAGCCAGCTTTAGTAATGCGTAGTAGTCCAGGGGATCCATTGACGGTTGTGATGTGATTGAATGGGTGTGTCACACAAAAAAATTATGTTTAGACCAACAATTGATTCAAGTCAAAGCGCGGGAAAATTGGTGCCAAAATAAACTGATAGAATGAGGAATGGAATGAGAAATAGGGGATGCAGTGGAATGGAATTAAAAAAAAAAAAAAAAAAAAAAAAAAAAAAAAGAAAAGGATGGTAGTGATGAGATGCAGGTTGTATAGATAGAAAACTTTTGTTGGAAGAAAAGTTGGAGGAATAAAGACGGTAGAAATGTGATGAAGATGTAACGTTGGAGGTATGTAAATCTGCAAAGCAAAGATCAACGACGAGATCAAGGGTGAGATCAAGGGTGAGATCAAGGGTGAGATCAAGCAAAAAAGAGGGATGTGGTCTTTGTTCAATTGATCGGTTGTATTTATACCGCTACATGCAAACATTTTCATGTTTGTTGTTTATTATGAGCATTAGTGAACGAATGCTTTTCAATGGTCAAGGCACAGTCGTCTTAAACTTTTAAACTCATTGTGACATGAACTTGCATGAGCATTTTTTTATAACTCTCTCATCCATTTTAAATAAAAATAAATTTTAATATATAATATATGTATATATACTTTACCATGACGAAGGGACCAGAGGGCATCCGATCCAACATCTCCGAATGCTTGTAGTTGAACTGCGTGAATGACAATCCACTCTGCTGTGTATGGTGTATGATGTATAGAATATGAAGTAATATAGGAATGTCTTGAGCATAGACATGTGCGGGATGTGCAAAGCGAGATAATTGCTATTCAATATGATGTTATACTATGCTATGCTATGCTATGCCATGCCAAGATAAACCATGAGATTTTTAAAGTTGACACTTTGATGTCTTCACATGCAAAAAGTATTTTTTATAGCCACGTTCGTTTTATTTATTTATTTGCTGTTCTCAGACCCTGTCCAGGTACGCGTAACGTTCTCATTCCTAGTCAAGTCGGTAATCAGATGTCTGTAGTTACACATCTACATCACAACGCTCAGGATGGTTTTTATACCTTTAGGATTAACCGCTGCTTCCATTTTTTTTTTTTTTTTTTTTTTTTTCGGAGAAGTAGAGAAAAAGACTTGTGCAAATGGCATCTAACATGCTTAGTAAAAGCACCCCGAGCATTAATCTCTATGTGTTCCCTAAAAGGTTCACCCGATCCTGGTCCATGCTTATGATAACTGTGTTTTGGTTCTAATAAGTACGTATATATTCAGCCCCATAGTGATCAATCTATCAACCATTCAGTTACGCGCACCGGTCCAGTTGTTCTTTAATTCCCCATAAAGATATTGAGAAAAATGCTTTTGCGTATTGTGCGCAACACGACCCCGACCATGCTAATCATACACGTTTCAAAAAGCGGAAAAAAAAAGCGACTAGAATGTATTGTCCGACATGGAGGTGTCGTCATAGGAATACGATATGTTCACTTCAGTTTGAGTGTATAGACCGCTCAATTGCTGCTTCATTATGGATGAAATTCTATGTGGTATTCTAGACAAATCCCTAGAACATCTCGAAACCATGGATGCCATGCAAGGGAAACATACTGTAGCGAAAGGTTGGATTTATGAAAGAGGGGAAGGAGTGCCAAGAAGGCAGAGGTATGATGTGCATGTTTTGCATACATTGAAGTACAGAAAATATGTATGTAAATTCAATATACAAGATTATTGGGCGGTAAATGAAAAAATTTTAGCGAGCGAGAGAGCCAGATATCAGGGACACGACTTGAGAAAAGCACCCCAACCGGCCCGATACAATTCGGTCGGTTGATGTTTATCAACCGCGTCTACTACACGCCATCTATGGCCGGCCCAGTGTCTATGCTGTCTTGCACAAAACGAAAGAGATCTTGATCTTTCTAGATGAACCAAGCAAAAGGTTCGTGTCACCTATTTCTGCAATATTGTGCCGCAACGCACAGGCTCCATACAAAAGTCGCCGAAAGATTAAGCTTTTAATAGGCATAGTCCATCTTGCTAAATTCCATTCATTGACGCGCTCATTCATCTCGAGTGATTTTATACTTTGAATTCTCCACCATCATCTTTACTACCAAACTAAGTGTCATCATTTGCTTTATTACTGCTGCCATGGCTACAGGGAATCCCTTGGACTTACCTGAGATAAGACAGAAAATTGCCACATATCTGAACAAGTGCGAAAAGGCCTGCTGTCTTACTGTCTGCAAGGCTTGGTATGCTTCCTTCCTACCATTTATCTGGAAGGATATCAATGTTGTGCATGGTGTTCATTCTCAAGGCCCTACACCAGATGTCCTTCAATATCATCGTACAATGGTTCACACGCTCGCAATCTCGAGTAACGCGCCAGGATTATATGCATTCAACTATCCGAACCTAAATACCCTCCTTTTAAGAACAACAGATCGGAAGAGGGACTATTCAATCGGGGCAGAACCAACGGCGCTGATTCTCCTCAATCCTTCATTGACCTGTCTTGAACTTTTTAATATGGAGGGTTACTTGTATGGACCATTCTGGAGAGCCGTGTCAAATCTACCACATCTAAGAACCTTGCGGCTCTATGGGCCGATTGCAGGAAGTGAAGAGCTGTACACATTTTGGAGTCCTCGCAGACTACGCATAGACAATACTGTTGGGTCAAATGGACTGAGTAGAGATATCCTGATTGACATGACATTTCCACAGATCCGCTGCCTGGGACTTGATGGTTTGAAAGGACCTAATGCCCAAGACCAGCTCCAGTTACTAATCCAATGTCCTGGCTTGGAGAGCCTTTCTTGGACTTCTTCATGGGCAGGAATGGGCACTGTAGGGAGTAAGTTTTCAGAATATGTAAGGCGGGGAGCATGGCCACATCTGAAAATATTATATTTACACTTTATTCTTCAGGATGGAGAAATCGGACAAATCCTTGGTGGGCTACAAAAGGCAGCTAAGCTTGGGTTCATGAACACGGGCTTTGGAAACCATGCATATTGGTGTCTCCAGCACCACTTCAGCACATTAAAAGAACTGGACCTTAGGTCCTGCAAGGACGTAACTAGCATTATGATTAAGGAAATCTTGTGCTCCTGTTCGTTACTCGAGGTATTCAAGAGTGGAAGTGTTCTCGCAAAAGTTACCTTGGAGGGTCGACCATGGGTTTGCATGTTGATGAAAAGTCTGACCATTAATTTTTTATTTGAGCCAGACGAAGAGGAGCTTCAGCAACTAATATTTGGGCGTCTGGCACATCTGATGCATCTGGAGATTTTAAATGCAGGATATGAAATCGGCATGGAGAATGAGGGGACCGCAGTTGAAACGCAATCATTGAACTTTCGACTTGAGAATGGACTTGACACTCTTGCAAATTTGACTCAGATTAAATTGCTTACTTTTATCGGGACAAGACAGTCTCTTGAGGAGAAGGAGATCGCCTGGATGGCGGAGCATTGGGCCAGTCTTTTATATCTAGGTGGCCGACTCTGTCCTGATGCAGAGAAGAATCGGATTTTAAGAGACTTGGCCCAACTTCATGGGATCTTTGAAATACCTTCCATCAACGGTTTACTGATGGACGTCCTTGAGGCCAGGGTTTTATCCATAGCCTTATGAATGTACATCGATGCTATATCATCCTAATACTAAATCTTCTAGTGAACGAAAATGTTAATTTTTGATTTTTGAAATAAAGTAATAAAGTGTGGAGAGAGTGGCGTTTCATCAATAAAGTCAAAGTCCTTGGATCTAGCTGAAAAGTGTGACTTGCATGGGCCGCAGCGGCAAAAGCTTTTGAGGTTTTACTTCGACCAAGTGGCCAATTACCTCTCTCAATCATCTCCATCCACACATCATCATCATTACCATAGACCCAATGGAGGAGCCCTTGTCTACGGTTCGTTATTTTATTTTTACTTTTATTTTTTTTTGCTCTGGAAACGTCTACACCTAGTGGTCCTTATTGAATAGATGTATAATATATTAAAGTCTGTGCGAAGGGTTTGTCAAAAGTCAAACTTACACTTTAAATTTCTTTACAACCTAGATCTTGACGGATCAGTCCGTCTCCTCAGCTTCGACCCCATCCTTCGCTTCCCGTCCTGCTAGGCGAACGCTGTTTGTCCACTTGGTTTTCGATACCATCCTTCTGGAAAAGGCTAGTAATCATCGCACCAACCAATCAGCTGCAGCCCCTACTGGATCAGACTACGTCTTTGTTTCGCTTAAGGAGCTTGAGAAGGCCTTTAAAATTGTTCAAAAGAAATGTTCAGAGAACAGCAAGGGCAACCCAAAGCACTATCAGAGCGTAACCATGACAGCTCAACTAGAGAGATTCGGACTGAGTGAGGAAGCTAATCTGAGGACATATATTCAAGGGCACGCTGGTGCCAGCGGAATCTTCTTACCCTCCCCTTCTCAACAAAATGAAGATCTGCAAAATGAAAACAAACAACAACCAAGGAAGCGCTTGCCATACTTGCGGATTGTAGCAAAAGAGGGCTTATCTGGTGTCGAGGTCCCAAAGGTAGATGCAGCAGGGATTAAAAAATTTGAGGATGTATACGCAACTATACCAACATCATGGCAGGAAACGATCTCAAAGATTGTTTACAAGCTCCGGGAAGAGCTTTGGGATCGTCCTGTTCAAATCACGGAGCTGGGGTCAATTCCATATTCTGTTGCTTTATATGGAGCATATAGCTTCAAGAGTAAACAAGAAAAATCTAGATCGAACCCAACGGAATTAGATGGAAGTGCACATCTAGCTGCAATAAAAAGTCAACTGGAAGGCCTGCAGATTAAAGCAGAAAAAACTAAGGCCACATATGGACTCCAAGGCCCTATGGCCCTTCCGATCATCGAACCCACGGGTGACGCATACCAAACGCTTAGCATCGCTATGAATTCGCTCTATCAGGTAAAGAGAGATTTAATACACTAGTAAACGGTTGCAGGTTCCGATAAAGAGTTGTTCCTTTTTATTATTATTATTATTATTATTATTATTATTATTTATTATTATTATTATTATTTTTATAATAGCTAACAGAAATAGCCGTAAATATACTTTCTCTCTTTTCCACATGTATTTGTCTTCCTCAGCGTCTACAACCGAGTCAGGAATATCTCAGGAAGCGTTCGCGCCTGATTAAAAAATTGCAAAGCATTTTGGATGCAGCGTTCCCAACTGATAGTCTTCGTCTTGAAGTCTTTGGGCAAGTGTTAATATTATTTGATTGCTCAATGGCATTTTTTATTTCCAATCGGACTCATAAAATCATGCGTTCATACATACTAAGTGTAACGTCCTAACGGCTGTTATTCAATAGATCGTGCGCCAGTGGCCTTGGATCAGAAACAAGCGATGCGGATCTTTGTATAACTTCGGATTTTTTTCAGAAGTCGCGACCCTATAATGACATGGGTAATTTGGCGACAGTACTAAGACGAGGCGGCATGATTAAAGTCAAGCCGATTACGGGTGCCCGAGTGCCCATCGTCAAATTTGTTGATCCAGATTCGAGAATCAATTGCGATATCAACACAAACCGTGTTTTAGGCGTCTACAATAGCGAACTCATACGGTGTTACACCATGATCGATGACCGTGTGAAACCACTTCTGTACACTATTAAGGACCTTGTGAAAAGGCATCGTATTAACGACTCTAGCCAATCTTGGCTGAGTAGTTATGCCTATGTAATGATGGCAATAGGGTTTCTGCAAGCACAGGTAAAAAGATCACAATTTCTATGCCTCCATTTTTTAGTCACGGCAGCGCGATAAATGTTTTGCCATCCAGGCGCTTGATAGTATGTCTCTTTTGATATCCAATATCTGGCAGGAACATTTATTGACCGACAGTTTCGTTTTGCAAAATCAAAAATAGGACCCACCTATTCTACCGTCACTGCAAGCTCAACCAGCGGAATGTATGATGCCATTACATGTTATAGAGGAAGATCGGAGAGGCAAAGCGGTGTATGATTGCACATTCGACCATGAATTTAGTCGGCATCAGAACTTTGGTGCTAAAAATACCAAACCTGTCGGACAGCTCTTAATTGAGTTTTTTGAATTCTACACGCGGTATTTCGATTATCAAACCATGGAAGTCAATGTACGATTAGGCGGGGTCAGAGTACGAGATGAAATTACGCGACGGAAAATGATGCCCCTGCCTGGCAAGGGTGAGAAGAGACTGATAGTCATGGATCCATTTATTCGAGACCGTAATGTCGCTAAAACATGTACGGGACGTCATTTAATTAGGGTATGGACGGTTTTTGAGAGAATCTATTTGATTCTTTGCCGGGGTGAGTTCCAAAAAGCATTCCAGTATATCCCAGAGTCTTCCCAAGGCGAAGAAACGTATGCTACTTCCGGACGTCGAGTTAAAATCGCTGAAGTTACCACGGTCACTACCAGTGTATCAAATCGGCCTCGTGACAAGAGGATAGAGTCGAAATATGGGAAGGTGTTTCAAAGATCTATTACGAAGAATAACGATATACCAGCAGCTCCTTTGGCCTCTCAGTCACAACAGGGACGACCTATTCAAGCTAACGGAGCAGTTAACAATCGAGCTTCTGCGATTTCCCCCGCCCTCCATGGCCCGCTGCCAACAGCCCACAATAGCACTATACATGAAAGTCAGAACAGTAATGCGAACAATAATGGAAGTGAGAACCTTATGTCTGATAATCAAACCAAGTCAATGAAACGTCGTAATCGAAAGGCTGTTGCTGCCAAAGCCCACCAACATGATGATGAGAAAAGTGGGCTAAGAGCTGTTACCAACCCAGCTTCATTGGGCCATCAGGGTCAACACCAAAAAAATGCTCCAGGCGCGGCCCCACCCTCCTGGAGGTCGTATAAACAACAGCAACAACAGAAGCAATAGCAACAACGATTGCATGGGTTGCTTACCTTAGTAAAGGCACAAAATAGGAAGACAAACAGCGCAGATCCCTTAGCATCAGGTGCAGCACCAAAGGATGATATAAGTGGTGGATTCGGCTCAAGTATAAAGAGTAACTCAAAAAGGAAATGAAAAAAAAAAAAAAAAAAAAAAAAAAATTCCGAGTATAAAAACTTCCATTTTATTACATATTACAAATACTTTTTCTTTTTCCACTTCACCTGCCTGTTGTATATAGACTCATTGCCTATGAGTGAAGATGCAGAAATGTATTTTTTTTTTTTTCTTTAGTCGATGTATTTATTAGTGACTTATTATGCACCTACGGGTGCAGCTGTTGGCGTGGTAATTGCTGCAGATAAAGCTGATGAAGCGATCCCTTCTCTAATCTCTGCTTGTGTCTCTGCATCTGTACTTGTATCAGTCACGCTGAATTTAAAAAGATCTTTTCTATCCATAGGTAGCGAGCCGTGAACTGTGTAATGGAGACCACAGAAGTTGCAGAGGGTTTTCTCGCCTGTAGGGCCAGAACGAATCATGAAGGTTGAATGAGCCCCTAATCCACATTGTTGACACTGCCATTTCTCATATTGTTCCGCGTCAATCAAGCTGCACTGTAGTGGTATCAGGCGTCCACGTTTTGTGATCTTGCTTGAATACCCTGGCACATTATATGACATGGCAATAGTACCACCACGACGTTTTGATTGACTCGTTGTGGCTCGTCGATTCCGCCTAATGAAGTAGATGGCAGGAGATTGTAAAAGGGAAAAAAAAATGAGCTGATTACTCTTTCAACACGGACACAAAATATCTATAGTACGGATACACGAAAGAAATGCTCCAAATGCCCCCTTACCGAATGCTTCTGTCCTTATCCTCCAAAATCCTTTCGTATTCCTCTGCAGTCAGGGTCTCAAGTGCAGGACTCCAGTTTTTACCGTCATCAACAGTTCGAAATCCTGAATATAGGGGCTCTGGCTCAAATCCACGGCCCAATAAACGCTCTTGTTTAAACCGATAAAGTTGCTCATGGATCTCATGTGAAATCATTGACACAAACTCGCCTCCAATACCAAGATCTGCTGCTAATTGCTTCGCAAACTCTTCTGGTGTCATATCGGAGCCTACATCCCATTCAAAACGGTCACGAAGATTAATACTTCCTACATGCAAATCTAACTATATGTCGGATTTTTTTTAAAAAAAAGAAAGAAAGTTGGAAGTGTGAGTCTTAATAAACAATCTTTTTTTTTTTTTTTTTTTTTTTTTTTTTTTTAAAAAAAAAATCCTATAATATATACCTGGATGACAACTCTTGATCCTTCATCTGGGACTTGGACTTCAGCAACTGGCTCAAACTCTGCAATCTGATCCCTGATAGATTGAGCAATTTCTGGGATAAATTTGGCTGCATTCAGATCGAGATCGTCACAAAGGATTTCTGCAAACTTTTCGGGCGTTAATAGTTGTTCATTTACATTCCATGTAAATGTATCTCGAAGACGATAGTCATCTGTGTCAATGTCTAAGCGGATAGGAACTAAAATTGCATCCTGATCTGCCACATCTTCCAATTCTTTTTGGGAACTATTAACATATTAAAAATGTCAATAATGATTTTTTTTTTTTTAAATAGGAAAAAAAAAAAAAAAAGAAATAAAAAGAATAAAAACTAGAAGATTCATAAGGGCTAGATGGGTATCCTTAGGCAAAGCTTTGATTTACCTAAAGGTATGGCGAGTTTTTCTTGGTCGAGGTGCCCATCCTTTCTTCCCCTTGTCCGAGCGCTCTTTCCCCATGTATGCTGCTTGTCTATATTGATGTCTCGTAGGTGTGCTTCTTAACGAGTCCTCGAAATCCCAATCATCTTCGTCGCTCTCTGCCATCGACATTACTGCTCTTTTGGCACGTCTTCCGAGCGCGGGTGGCAAGATCAGAGCGCTGTTGGCGTCCCGTATCCTGGATGCATAAGTGCTAAATGTTCCTTGCGCATTAACCATCTTGGAGATCGAGTTTGGCTGTGCATTAAATGCGAGTAGAGGCGTGGAGGTCCTAGCATGCTGTGCTGGAGCAGGAGGGCGTGGCTGCATATGAATTGGTGCTAGAGGAGTATGCTGTTGTGCTGGGTAGTGTTGTTGCGGAGATACTTGGCTATGGCGAAGATGTGACGGTGTTTGCTGTTGTTGAAGATAATGTTGGTGATGCAGATGTTGTTGCTGTAGTGGTTGGTATTGCTTGAACTGAAATTGTTGCTGCTGTTGCTGTTGTTGTTGGGGAGAGTATGATGGGTAGGTGGTTGTCGACTGAGGCTGGATAGATTGTTGTTGGTGATTGAAAGGCGCGATTGATCCATTAACATTAGATTGAACATTACGTCTTACACCAGATTGATTCTGCATTGTAGCTGAAGTGTGATTAACCCATGAGGCCATTTGGAGATTATTGCTGTGTCAATGGACGTGTAGCACATGTCCTTGCTATTGGGTTGAATGTAATCGGTCTTCAGATCTGCACGAGCTCTGAAACAGAAAACAGATCGTTAAGTGCAGCGGCACGTGCATAATATAGCATCATTTGCATCTGCGATAATAAATACGGAATGTGACCTGATAAACTTTAATTAAGAAATACGCGCAGCGCGTATCATTGGAGAAGTGATAAAACAGATACAATAAGGTTGAGGCATTCTTCCTCATTTATAAAAAGAGTAGCTTTGCACCTTTTTTTTTACAATTCATTCTCTTTCCCCCCTGATTACTCTAATTGGTATTTCCTCATCTTACCACTAACTCTTTCCTTTTAGTGCTATCTGAATGCACACCAACACAGACATTTCTCCACCGCAGAATTCGGATGTAACCATGGTCGATGCTACTCAGCCTCAAACACAGCCACAGCCACAGGTCAGGGTCGGACAACGTATCGAGTCTGAACATTTTCGAGGCACCATTCGTTATCTGGGTGAGGTGCCTCCAACCGCAGGAGAGTGGATCGGCGTTGAATGGGACGACAAGGAACGCGGCAAACACTCGGGTGAACACAATGGAACCAAATACTTCGAATGCCTGTAGGAAACCTTTTAGTGCTTTTTTTTTTTTTTTTTTTTTTTTTTTTTCGATTTCTCATACTTGAATATACCAATGCATCGAGACTCATCTCCCTGTACCTTCTGTTACACCGATTGATGTGTATGTGCTCTAATAGGTTTCCTGGAACTGGGAGCTTTACACGACTGACTCCAAAGATCCATACTGGAAAGACCTTTCTCCAAATTTTGAAAGAAAGATATGTTGATGACGATAAGGGTGCTCAGAAAGATTTGTATCTTGGATCTTCAAATGTCAAAGTGGATCTATATGATTTTGAGAGAATCAAACATAAACAGAAGTAAGCTTTTTTTATTTTATTTTATTTGTTTATTTTATTTAAAAAGGCTAACACACAGCATTCATTATATTTGGCAATAATTTTTTATTTGCATCAGGAAATTACACTTGATGGAGACCGTAGGCCTTGCCAACACAAATGTAGAAACTGCTGCAGGCTTTGAAGAGACTCAGAAGGCATGCCCAAGTATGTAAACCGATTCTTTGTTAGGACTAGCAAGGACTGAACTGGACTGAACTCCTGACACTAATGACCTAATGTCTTCTATTTTTATTATTATTGTTACTGGTTGATTGTAAACCCTCTTAATACTTAGATATCCAGGACTTGGATCTCACAGCAACGCTCGTTTCGACATGGCAGGATGTAGCTGATATTTGCGCACCTCTTTCCAGATTGGAAGTCCTAAGATTGAAGTAATTAAATCAGCTTATAGAATGTCCCTTTGTCCTTTTCCGTTTCTTCACTTTAGTGACAAGTCGATAAATGATTGTTTTAACATCCACTTTTTTTTTATTTGTCTCTCAAACAGTCGTAATCGGTTCCAGCCGCTTACTGAGTCACCTTCATTCTTATATGCGTTCAAAAACCTTCGCTGCTTGGCGATCAACCGTATCTATGCGCCTTGGGATCAGGTATGTTACGCCCTTACAGTGGGACTCTTCGCCTTCAGCACAAATCGCTTTATTCCCCATTGTGAATATAAGCTTACTAATGATTTGTATCGGCTTATCGACTTTTGGCTTTTTGACTATAGATCGAACTTTTGGAGCCATCAATGCCTAACCTTCAAGTACTTCAGATCGGCTTCAATATGTATTCGGAGCTTGGGAAGACGGATAGCACCATGCCTGTTCTGGCTCAAAAGGTTAAGGGATTCGTCAATCTCGAGGACCTGCATCTAGAAGGCAACATGCTTGCTGACTGGAACCAGATCCTTCGCCTCTCCCACTTACCAAAGTAGGTCGCTTTTGCCTTTGCATTTCCAGCTTGTTTCGTTAGCACTTGTTCCACTTGTTGCGCGATTATGCAGTTTTAACCTTCTGACTTTCTAATTGTCCTATCTTTAATTAAAACAAAGACTCAAGTCACTGGATCTTTCTGAAAATAAAATTGACAACATTACCGGTCCACAGGACGAAAATGATTTCAAGGTACTAGAATCGCTACGCTTAGCGGATAACTTGCTCAAAAACTGGTCCAGCATTGACCAGTTAAGGCTCTATAGTGCATTGAAGAATTTTTGGGTTGAAAACAATCCAATTATGGCCGAATCTGCTCAAGAGTATGCAGCTGGGGCTACCCCTAGCAAATTTGAGCCGCGGATTGAAACGATTGCAAGAATGGTAAATATCCAGCAACTGAATGGAACTGAGGTAAAGTCATGGATAAACATAGAAGGCAAAGTTACTGAGTTGCATGCCGACTACATTTTGTCTGACAATTGAGCGTTATATTACGGATGATTTATAGATCAGCAAGAAGAACAGACTGGATGCAGAGATTTACTATTTGATGCATGTTGGGCTTGCAACCAGAGATATGGACCCCGCTGCAGTCCTGGCAATCCACCCTCGATTTGAGGAGCTTTGTCAAGGTGCGTATATGGCTCACTAAAAGGAAGAAAAAAATTTGTGAGGAAATAAGAAAATATTTTGATAACTTACCTTACATACAAATATCCGATGATTTTTATAGTCCACGGACGTCCCGATACTAGTGATGAGTTCCTTAAGGCTACAAGTGATATGCTAAGGGATCGACTGATCGGTAGGCATATGACAACCACAATATGCAAGAATATTTTTTTTACGCACTGATCCACTAATTTTTTTTTTTTTTTTTTTTTTTTGCATTTTTCCAGCCGTTACGCTTGTATCGAAAGATAGCCTCGAAGGCCCTGTGAAGGCATCGGTTCAGAAAAAGATTTTGGGAACAATGAAAGTTAAGAACTTGAAGAATTTGGCACAAAAGCTCTTGCGTGTCCCAGCTTTACGTCAAGAGTTAGTTTTCTTGACAGATGATCCTGATTATGAAGGCGTCAAGGTGAGTACAAAAAAAAAAAAAAAAAAAAAAAAAAAAGATTTGTTTGGAATATGTGATTAATTTCCACTCATTAAAATCCGTACTTTTGTGGGCCTAGGTCAATGTCAACATGAAGGATGATATGCGCCAGATCTCGTACTACGATATCAAAGACGGTGAAGAGATAATTGTCTTGGATAAAACCAAAATAAGCGTGTAAATTTTTTACCCCTAATCACAAGACAGCTGTAGTTGTATTGATAAGATTTCGCTAGATAAAGATTCGCTAAACATTTTTTAACCCTCCAAAGTGGCTGTGCAAATGTTGAATCCTTGGATCAATGAGCTATTTTAGATTTCTGTCTTACACTTTCTTCCACAGGTTGTCACCACAAAACAGTGTCATGCTTGGCTTGAAAAACTGGGCATGGTAAATCAGCTCACCGTATTCGACATTTTTTTACAAGAGCCTGAAACAACTTGTTGAGCCACATTCATGACTGCCCAGAAGCGGCGCACTTTCAAAAATCCTTATGCACTGCGCACTTCCCATGTCAGATAAAAATATTGACTAATTGCATTCTTCTCTTCTTTTATTTCTCTTAGAAAGCGTTTCTCCAGTTGCCATTATCCATTGATCGGTATCGCTTCTCTCTTGCTTCTTGAGATATTTGGTGTTTTTTCTCCCTACTGTGCACGCTGCAGCAAAAACATAAAATAAAAACAAAATAAAAAAAAAATTATTGCAATTCTAAAGACCTTATGCAGGCCACTTTCCAAGTCCATACTTCTCCAGATGATGCTCATCTCGGGCTAGAGGGAGGCTCTATAGTGATCTTTTGCGGTTATGGTGAAGACTGGGTAATTGTTATTATTAGCATTAAGATCTAGGTCTTCCATCACTATTAAGGTCGTTTTATACTTCAATTATTTCGCCTTTCTAATTTGGAAACGGCCACAACACTTTATATATATATATCTGAAGGGGCCAGTAAGTCCTGATCGACTCGATTTCACTCCTTGTTTCAAGTTCAGGTAACATTGTTTGGTCAAGATAGTGACAGCATACGTTAATAGTTTTTAATTAATTAACCATCTCCCATTGACCTTCCCTTATCGACCGTATATTCTACTAAAAAAAAAAAAAAAAAAAAAAAAAAGTGTCCTCTACGGCGCTTTCTCTATCCTGGCTACCATCGCTTTTATTTCCCGGATCCTTTATTTGAGGAAACGGTGCACTCTTCATCATCTTGGAAGAACAGCTTGGATCTACTGGCCAACTCAGATTGCCATGGGTACCGCTGCCGTTCTATCCTTCGTGAATGCAACCAGCAGACTACTACACGGGGACGGATATCCTGCAGCTGTCTTCGGCTACTTTTCCTTGGGGCTTGCATGGGTAAATGCAGCGTTCATTATCATAAAAAAATAAAAATAAAATAAAAAAAAAGCATTAAGCACCTATGAACACAATGGCAGTGGAACGAATTAACCATTAGTTGCAATATTTATCCATTGGCAGGTCCTCGCAGTTGTCCTGAACTACAATGAGCACCGATACAAAATCCGATCCTCAGATCCAATTTTATCATTCTACATCTTAAGCATCACCTCGTCATTGAGCGTTCTTTATCATGGAGCAGAATCAGGCTTAGAAGCCAATGTGACTCTTGGGATGACCCTTTGTTTGGTCGTTGGTTTAATTATCGAAGCGTGGCCAAGAGGCAGGACCCTTGTGCAGCAACGCTGTGAAGCCAGTGCATATGATAAAGCTAACCTTCTCTCGCGTTGTACCTTTCATTTTTTTCAGCCGGTCATCTCACTTTCAACCACGAGAACGCTTACTGCCGAGGATATCCAGGGCCAGCTTCCGGGGTCTATGAAATCCTCTACGAGTCACGATAATATTGACAGGCAATGGCGCAAGAATATGAAGAGTAACCGATCCGGAAGACAAACTTCATTATTCAGAACTGTCCTTCAAGTGCAAGCCCATGCAATGGTTCCGATTATTTTCCTAAGAATAGCCCAACCACTATTCACATTCTCTATTCCAGGGCTCCTGGATTTCTTTCTTAATTATCTACAGGATGTTGGGACAGATCAGGAGAAAAGTCCTGCATATGGTTTCCTCTTGGCAGGGGCCATCTTCTCCGTCACGTTTATTGGAACTATTCTCCAAGCAGCGAGCAAACAATACTCTATTCAGCTCAGCTTGCAGGTCAAGTCAGCGCTGATATCAATGGTCTATCGTAAATCACTACGCCTGAGCCCTGAATCCAGGAACAAGTCAACAACGGGTGAAATTACCAATCACATGTCCGTTGATGCCGATGTATGGTCGGAGGCTCTCTTGTTTCTGAGTATGTGGATCTCTTTGCCCGTTGAGATCTTCACAGCGATGTGGCTACGTAAGTCTGTACTGAATAGTAATAATAATATTAAAAAAAAAAAACATTAAGTGTAGTTGAAGTGCTGATTTTTTTTTTTTTTTTTTTTTTTTTTGAACTAGTATACCGGCTTCTTGGATGGAGTTTCTTGGTAGGAATTTTAGCGATTGCTGCAATGGCACCCCTTCAAGTCTGGCGAGCTCGTATATACAATCGCATGCAGAAGAACAGGCTTTCCATCATGGACGAGCGTGTTCGACTTACAACTGAGTGCCTTTCTGCAATCAAAGTTATCAAACTATACTGTTGGCAATCCGCGTTCAAGAGAAGGATCCTTGCTGTCCGGGACCGTGAATTGGCTGCTATGGAGCGCTTAGGTGTGGTTTACTCCATCATGTCTATTCTCTTTACATCCTCAACCCTCATCATCTCCCTCTTTACCTTATCCGTGTACGCAACCTGGGGCGGAGAAGGGCTCACAGAGGGTAAACTTACATCACAGACAGTTTTTGTAAGCATGACATTATTTGCGATGCTTAGAGCCCCTATTGCGAATCTTGCAGAAACAACTTCAGAGACAATTAGGACCTTGGTCGGAACTAGAAGGATTGAAGAGTTCTTACTGCTGGAGGAGTTGGAGGAATCGAATGTTGTACGCTTTAGTGGCGTTTCAACAGACCCCAGTGTCCCGGTGGTCATTGTTCGCGATGGTAGTTTCTCATGGGAAAAGAAAGAAGAAGGTGAACAAAATGCGTCAGGTCGTCCAACACAACAGCAATATACAGAGGACATTCGGCCACTACTTGCTGAAGAGGCGGATACCGACTCCAGTTCCCCTCCGGAATCATTCAAGTACTCACTTCAAAACATTAATCTTTTGCTCAACAAGGGATCACTCAACGCTGTTGTCGGTCGGGTTGGTCAGGGCAAGTCATCGCTTTTGTCTGCCATCATCGGAGAGATGTACAAGCTCCATGGACTAGTCGAAATGAGAGGGCGCATTGCATATGTACCTCAGCAAACCTGGATCCTTTGCTGCTCTCTTCGGGACAATGTTCTCTTCGGGATGCCTTTTGATCCTATCCGCTACTACCAAGTCATTCATGCATGTGGGCTGGAGCCGGATATTGCTATGCTTCCTGGCGGGGACTTGACTGAGATTGGTGAGCGTGGCATCAACCTGTCTGGTGGCCAAAAGCAGCGAGTCTCACTTGCACGAGCTGCTTATGCCGATGCTGACATTTACCTACTGGACGATCCTCTTAGTGCTGTGGACGCACATGTGGATCGGCATCTATGGCAGAATTTGATTGGCTCCAGGGGCTTACTCAAAGGAAAAACAAGGATCTTGGTAACCCATGGTATCCATCATTTGAGCGAAGTTGATAAAATTATCATGATGAAAGATGGCATGATCGCATCTCAGGGCTCATACAACGATCTGATGGCGGAAAAAGCCATGTTCTACATGCTTTTCAAGGAGTATGCCCTCCAGAAGCGCCGAAACTCTGAGGATGGCGAAAACAGTAAGGCGGCCATCACTGAGTCATCCACATCTACCTCTTCATTCACACATCTTAAGGTTCGCTCATCGAGCCCATACGACGCAGGGATTGAGAATGACGAGATCTCAAGTAACGGGACTTTAGACCAAGGGATAGACACTCCGACGGCTGAGCCTCCTGAAGCGAGAGTCTCGGCAGCCGAGGCTGGATTGGAAAGCGGTGCACAAGCAGCTACGATGCTAGACGGAAAAACCATTGTGGATGAAGACATCAAGGAAGGCAACGTTAGCTTTGAAATCTTTTTAGCCTATGTGCGGGCAATGTAAGTTTACTGCTTGTCAAATACGTGAGAAGATAAAGATGGGACTTCATATGTTCAATGTGCTGACTGCTTATTGGTTTATGTTTTTATTATGGTATTTATCTTCTAAATAGATCTTACAAGTATTCGATCATAGTCATCCTTCTGTATGTTCTCCAGCAAGCTTCGTTGATGGGGACCAGCCTTTGGCTCAAGCACTGGATCAAGCGTAGTGAGAAGGCCTTACGTAGCGGTTATGAGGATGAAAACAGCCCCCCGCCATCCTTAAAGGCGTTCCTGTCAGTCTTTGCGCTACTGACATCAGCTTACGTTCTTTTGTGTATGGCTACAATTTATGCCTCCTTCGTTGTCGCTCGTATCCGAGCTTCGTCGCTATTGCATTCGGATCTCTTGTCCAGGCTATTTCGCCTACCTTCCTCCTTTTTCGACACAACGCCGCTTGGGAGGATTATTAACCGCATCTCAGGCGACATGGAAGCAATTGATGACAGACTTCCCTGGAGGGTTTCCGATACTTTGATGTTTTCAACGTCTGTCGTATCTAGCATTATCATTGTGTCAATTTCAGCCCCGCTGTTCTTGGTGAGCCTACCTTTTTTTATGGTGGCTGTCTTAATGATTCAGCGTAAGTATCTCCACGCTTCAAGGGCGGTCAAGCGTATTTTCCATGTCTCCAAGTCGCCGATCTATCAGCATTTTAACGAGACGCTCAATGGAGTGCTTTCGATCCGCGCCATGCGATATCAGGCTCAATTTATTGAAGAAAATTTGACTAGGGTGGATACTCACACGAATGCTCATGTAGCCTACACCTACTGTATTCGATGGGTTGAGGTTCGTCTTCAGTGTTTGTCTGCATTTGCTATTGTGGTGGTCGCGATAGCATTTGTGGTGTCTCACGATAAAGTTGATCCAGCCACTGCCGGTTTAGCTATGAGTTTCGTTTTGACCACCACACAGGATATCAGCTATTTAGTCAGGAGCTACTGTGAACTACAGAACCTGTTGGTGGCCGTCGAGCGTGTGTGTGAATATACTGATCTGCCAACAGAGGCACCCGAGAACCTGCCTTTACCGTTACCTCTAATAGGATCTGAGGAAGTATGGCCTCCCAAAAAGGGCTCAATCGTGTTTGATCACTACTCGACTCGATACCGTGAGAGGCTGGGCCTTGTTCTGGACAATGTGTCGTTTGATATTAAGGCAGGCGAGCGTGTGGGTATTGTAGGTCGCACGGGTGCAGGCAAGTCATCTTTGGCTCTAGCGCTGTTTAGGATGATTGAAGCTGCAGATAGCCACCTAGCTAATGGTAGCGCAAGCTCGGATATAGTAACTGAAGCTCACAGGAGCTGCAGAGGCAAGATTGAAATTGATGGAGTAGACATCTCAACGCTGGGCCTGGTAGACCTTCGCCAGGCACTAGCAATCATCCCTCAGGACCCTGTTCTCTTCGCGGGCTCTGTCCGTGAGAACCTTGATCCGTTCTCGGAACATGTAGACCAGTCTCTTTGGGAAGCGTTAGAGCGAGCATATTTGAAATCGTACATCCAGCAACTGCAAGGGGGCTTATCCTTCCAAGTGTCACAAAACGGCGAGAATTTCTCAGTGGGCCAACGGTCATTAATTTGTTTAGCTCGAGCATTGCTTCGGAAAACTAAGATCCTGGTCTTGGATGAAGCAACTTCTGCGGTAGATGTGGAAACGGATGAGCTTATTCAACAAACAATTCGGCGAGAGTTTCAAAACCGAACCATTTTGACGATTGCACATAGGATAAAGACCGTCATGGATTACGACAAGATATTGGTGATGGAACAAGGTAGAGTTGTAGAGTTTGGTCAGCCAGAGATTCTGTTACAGCGTAAGGAGGGCTCATTATTCTACAAACTGGCAAAGCAAGCGGGCGAAGTGTAGAAACGGTGGAAATGAGAATTGTTTTTTATTTATTTATTTTTGGCCTGTTGCTTGCTTATAGAGATAAAAAAAAAAAACAATATAAAAGAAGACTATACAGCTCTACAATGACAACACAATGTACCAAACTCCATTCTCATATCCCTCGATGCATCTTTGGAAGAGGGGTTTCTCTTTTTTTTTATAGACATTTAAACCATTTAAACACTTGGTACGAATACTCCGTGGAAGTTGTGTGGTGGGATCTTGCCTGCTGGCATCTCTGCCCTTGCAATCTCTTCCATGGTCTGAGCATTAAGGACCAACATGAATCCCGAGCGGCGGCCACCGTCCAAGACAATCGATAATAGCACACCATCATCTTCCTCTGTAGCATTTGGGGTAGGCACAAAGACGGGCTCCGAGGGCGTACACTTGTCTTCCATCCAGAACTTGGCAGCATTAGTTTGGTCACCATTCTTGATCTTGTCTAGATCTACTTTGATGAGGCGATCATAGATTAGGGTCCGGTTCAAGCCTGAGCGGTTGACACCATACGTATAGCGATAGTTGCGGAGATATCGGCTGGGATTGATAGAGGGTAATTCAAAGTTGATGGCTTCGTCCAGTTCAAAGTCTATAAGCGCAGGAACGGGTGTTGGCTGCTCACGAGGTGAAGCTGCAGAGAGTGACGCTTGCTTGGTCACATCTTTGAGACGGTAGCGACGCAACTTGGCCTGCTGTGTGGGCTTGCCATGGGTCTCATTACGGAGGTTTTCAATGTAGTAATCGCCAATAACAGTATGATCCTTATTGATTGTGAAAGAAAAGAAAAAGAATAAAGACGGAGAAGTAAGTAATAGGAACTGGAGAAACCGGCTATTTTTTTTTTTTTTTTTTTTTTACCTTGTATGCAGCAATATCGAGGACAATGTCATCCCCATCATCAAATCCATTGATACTATGGAAGGCGTAAAAAGGATCACATTCAAATGTGGCCACATGTCGTCCCCGAAGGCGATCCACAACATAAAAGGAAGACTTGAGAGTGGGGTCATGAGCCTTGAAGGATTCCCAGGCATTACCATACCATAGAACGCTCATTCCCCATGCGGCGAAATCACACTGCCAATGTGCTACAACAACATAACGCTTGGTCATACAGAAGCTGTGTAGGTATGAAGGGCGAGGTGATTTAATTTCAGCTAGGATATCCAAATCAGGTTCGTGGGCCCTTCCTTTCATAGACTCTCGGATCTGGACGACTTTGTAGACAGAGGTTGGGCCAAAAGTTAACAAGACTGTATAATGCTCGTTCGTATCGGGGTCCACGCATGGATGAGCTGGCGCCAAATTGCTGGCTTTGAGTGAATCATCGATGTCTCCGTAGGTGAATAGGCGGATGGGCTCTAATGTGACTGGATCAAGTTCCTGCAAGACATTACCATCCGTGTTCATGACGAAGTTACGGACATTTGAGTCGGTTTTGCCGTCATTGCTTTTGTGCCTCTTGGCTGGATCTTCTTTGAAGCCCGGGAAATTGATTGTAGGGATAACGGCGACGTTAGTGTCGGTGCCTGAGATTGGAGCTCCACCCAGGGTTGCAGTCTTGAATGTTGTGAAAAACTTTTGAAAGATGGTCTTGCAAGGATCACGTTGACAGAAGGTTACACCTGTCACTCTCTCGGCTTTTTTATATCGCTCTCGAAGATCATCCGAAGTGTTACGGGATCTATACGAGACTCGGCCACCTTTCTGAATCTCATATCTATGAACTGCAATGCAGACAAGCAAAAAATATTAATTTCAAAACCATCCTCCAAATAGACATGTATTTGGATTAGGACCTTTTGTCGAGAAATTTATTCTGCACATCGTTCAATGATCCGTGTAGATCCAAACACAGTTTGTCACAAAAAAGCTTACTTTGAGCAAGCCCATCAAACCAGTGCTGAATTTTGACATCTTTTCCAGACTCCGACTTAAGATCGTAAGAACTGGTTTTTTTTTTTTTTTTTTTTTTTGCAAAAGAGTATATTTATCAGCAATTCTGAATCTCTCTTTTACGTTTTGCGAAAGGCATCTCATTTGAATGATAAAATTATTTAAAATTACCCAGGTCCGGACCGATACAATGCACCCTCAAGCCAAGGTGGGATGGTTCCTTTGACGGTCAAGGAGACTGGTTCAAGGACTTCGGGAGCATTATCGTAGCCCATAGAATATGGCCAAGGATTTCCAGGTAATGCGGTTTTTTCGGATGTAGACATTTTGAAGAGGATAACGGCGTGTGAAATAAACGGTGTGAGAATAATTACAATAAAAAAAAAAAAAAAGGAAAGATGGAAAAAGATGGTAAGGAAAGGAAAAAGGAAAACGGAGAAAAGGGAGAGGAAGAGAGTCGAATGCAAAAGGAAGGAAGGAGAGCAATGGTAAGTGGAATAAGGGTTGTCTAATGAGTTGTTTCTATAAACATGTTCTGTGTACAGTGTATAAATATAAATGCGTGTATAATGTTTTTTTGCGCGTCTTTAACATCTTTAACAAAAGTGATTTGAGTAACCACACAAGCTGAGTAAACAAACAACAATGAACAAAGCTTGTCTTCAGTAAGCCAGAATGCATAAGGTTTACAAACTAGGGGAGATGCTCTGTTTTTTTCCTCCTTGTCTCCTCGGTATTTTCCTCAGCCAATGGGGAGGCACAGGACTTCGGCTCCGGCGGATGCTAAAAAAAAAAGGCAATAATACGCATCGACTTGATGATTTGCTAATACATTGTCTGATATGGTTGAACACTAGATTGGGTTACTTAATAGTTGTCTATAGGCTAATTGAGTTTACGATACAAGTAGCAATCGGAAAATATGTAAAAAAAAAAAAAAAAAAAAAGGGTAAATGTCACCAAAAGTCGCAAGCATTTCATCCGTATCATTCCTTTGGCATGACACCCTATTGAGGAATCATGCTCATAAGCGCCTCTCTCTTTTGCCTTTGTCTCAAGAGAAAAAGAGAGTTGGCGCATAAGAATGCACTCATGATGAGTTGAAGACTGTGTCCTTTTGATCCTCCTATTGTCTTTCTTTTCATCTTTCTTTGGACGTGCGCATGTTTGTGTAAAGATCCGTCCTTTCTTTTCTTTCTTTCTTACTTTTTGAACACATGTTGTGTGATACTGTCAGCTTGATTGCATGAAGAAAGTTTTCCCCCATGCGAGATGGCGTGTGGAAAAATAAAAAAATAAATAAAGTCAATACACATGCATGCATTATATATATATATATATATAAATATGTTTTCAATAGCATAACTCAATTTGCATCCCAAAGATCTGTTAAAAAAAAAAAAAAAAAAAAAAAAAATTCACCACTACCACCATGTAAAGATTGAAGCATTCTTTAAGGAGGTGTTCACACTCTACGTACCGTTAATCTTAATGAGATGGGTATGTGGTGTGTATGAGTGAAAGGGTACTGAATTGGTCAGGGGTCCATTAGTACGAAACGTAAAGAGGTCATGGCGAGGCTATTTGCTGTTTGTCGTGACTGGCTCACTATCTTTATCCCTCCAGTAACTCTATCTTGTTTCGTTACACTTCGCGCATGCATTGAACTTTTTTTTTTCTTGATTCAATATTACTTGTATATCTATACTGCACTACACAAAGATGGTGGGTATTCAAAACAAGTCAATCCAACTCTTCTCCTTCTCCTCGGACTTGTTTTAGTTGATCCCAGGATATATAAAGGCTTCTCCGTTTCTCACCTCTGCTTCCTTGTCTTTTCAATCGCTCTCCCTACTTTCTCCTTCTGCTTTTCTTTTCTCACCATGGAGACAGCACAGCTTCCTCACTTCAAGCATGTCAATTGGGATGATCCTGAGCAAGCCTATCGCATGTACATTGCTTATATCTCGCTGTTTTTCGACATTGCAGTGTTGGCATATCATTTCAGTACTCCGTACCATCCCAAGGTAAGTCATACCTCTGATTAATCCCAAACACTTTTTCGCGTATGAAACGACGTCTTTACTTACTGACGTTTCTTTTATTGGTCGATCTTCAAATCAAATCTAGTTCTATGTAAAGACAACGCGACGACGCATGTTACGCCTTCACATTGTCAGCGGATGTCTTGAAAGTAAGTACCTCTTGGGCTTTATTTATTTATTTTTTTTTGGTTGAATAAGAGCACTAAATCAATTCATGTTGGGACACTGTCAATTCTTACGTTCACTTGTTCTAGTTATGGCCTGTATTGCTGGATTCTATGCAGAAGACCCAACCATGTATTCATACGCGGCTGCTATCCTTTCTGTCATCTCACATGTACCTTCAACATTCTATCAGATCCCCACAGTCCTTGGCATCAAAGCCTTCTTGGTGCCATCTTTGTTCATGGTCACAGCCTTGCACGGATATTATGCTTTCAACTTGGCTCTGAATCCCACATCGTTCTATTACCTATTATCAACCTATTTGACTGTGCATATCTACGCTTGGTCCCGTGTCTTCTTCGCATTGTATTACCGCTTCAAGTTGTTTGAGAACCATCGCTTCTCTGCCTCTATGCTCACCAGTGGATTGTTGCTTGTGCCTTCTGTCATGGGTCTCTATGGTAACATGATGTTAGTCTGTGGTGTCCTCTTGACCGATATCGTACTTCGAATGACTACTAGCAGTGATTTTTGGGCTTCCTGGACCACCGAGCACCCACGCGAGTTTGCCTCAGCTCCTGAAAAGAAGGTAGTCCTCGAGGCCCTCATTGCAGCGGCTGAAGTCGCCAATGTAGTCGATAGCCTTTCCATTCAGGACACCAAGACTCGTTATGCTCAGATCTGCTCCAAGGTCATGTCTGCCAACGTCCGTAATGCTACCCCACGCTCCAAGGCCGAGACTGTCTTCCGTGCTATTGATGTTGATAAAAATAACGAGCTCAGCCTTCAAGAAGTCCGCGATTTCTTGTTGGCCTGCGGTATCTCCTCCCAAGCCCTGGAGTCCAGGCTGATGCTCGAGTCCTTGTTTGGGGACCGAAAGGTGGCTACATTGGACGACTTTTGCAGCTGGTTCACCAAATACTGGATTCACTCCAACAGCGTTTCAGTGCATCGCATGCCTAGTACCCCTCGTGGTCAGGCAAAGTTAGTCTTTGACATTTTGGACTCGGATGGTTCCGGATATCTTGATGTCCAAGAATTGGAGCACCTCTTGATCTCCTGGGGGTTGCCAGCTAACGAAGCTGCATCATACTTGGTTGTAAGTGACAATTCCTTTTTATATTTTAAAAGAATAACAAAAAGATCCTTTGTCTGAATCACTAAGACTGATTTTTTTTTTTTTTTTTTTAATATGGGAAATCTTAGGAACACGACAAGGACAGTTCCAATGGAATCGACTTTCAAGAGTTTTATGGACAAATGAGTACTATCTGGCGGTTCGCCATTCAGTCCTTCATCGATGAAGGCAAGATTATTGTTGAGAACTAGGGAAACATCTTTGTCTCCATCCCCATCACTCCACCTTTCCCAACCTCCTACATGTATAGAACTATCCATTGTCCAGACAGGAAAAGGGCGTTTTGGCCATTGAGCTTGGCTCCCATTGTTCATTTTCTATCATATATTTGTATCCATAATAAAATATACGCATTACAGTTCGTATCTTGTGAAACCATAAGACATCCAGATCAACGAACTTTAGACGTCTTAATTTTAGCACGTGACAGCCTTATACCTTCATTTGACAATCTTTTTTTAACATCCAATTGTGCTTATTCTTACATTCAAGACTCTTTTCTTTTCTCTTCTCTCTCTTTTTTTTTTTTAGCGTTTCTAAATTCGTACAGCTAACAATAAAATACACATTCAGTATTGCACCGTGGGCTCCTTGTCATGACACAGGGCGAAGATGGAGGTGTTAGCACAGGAGGAGGGGGAGAAGTAAGTGGTGGAGGAAATGGAGGTAGCATTAATACTACTGGCGGGGAAGGAGTATCACGCAGAGCAAGTGCCACCAGTAACAGCAATGGCAGCTTGATGAATCTCATTCGGGAACGCCAAAGTGCTGCTGGCAGCACTCAAATTCTGGACCTTTCATATTCTAATCTGGAAGCATTCCCATCAGAAATTGAATTCCTAAGAGATGTTCTTGAAAAGTATGTTCATTCTTTTTCTTATTCCTCTTATTCTCGTTCTCATCTTCACTCTCACTCTCACTCTCACCCTCACTTTAATAATGGGTTTCAACCAAGTTTTAATTTGTTGTTTGAATCCAAAGAACTGACAAACGAAATGTAGTTGTCGATTGTGAAAATGGGACATGGTGTACGCTGGAATGTTTCATGGTGTTCAGTGAGGTCATCATTGACATATACACCTCTGATATGGAGCATGAACAGGTGAAAGAGCAAGGAAACAAACAAACAAACAAGCATACAAAAACCATCAATAATGGAATCAGAATAGAGACCAATTCTTTCGCTGTTACGCTATGAGGAGACACGAGAACATTAGAGGCAAGACTGAAAGAAAGAGAAGTTGAGGTACAATCGCCCATCGGCACAGCCATTTCATATGCCTGGTTTGCTCCCAAGTTTAGACTTTATTTCTCTCAGTATCAGCCAGGGCCGAATATCTTATAGCTTTCCTCATCAAGTCTCCTCTGCAGTTTTAACTCTTATTATCAACGGATTCTAAGCGGATCGCTATTTAATCAACTTACAATGATCACTTCTTTGTCTCCTTAAAAAAATGCACACGTTGTGTCGACTGTACTAGGCTGACGATGAGCCATAATTCGATCAGGACACTACCCCTGCAGCTCAATATGTTCAAGAGTCTTCGCTACCTCAATATTCGTGCCAACTCCATCAGGATTTTTCCAGCAGTGGTAAGCTTTCAGGAGACATCAGAGGCATCAGGAGACTAAAAATGCAGTGTCGTTCAACCTATCGTCTTTGTACTAAATCTTGTAATATTCTAATTACACGATGTATTGGTACTAGCTCTGTCAGATGATGAGTCTTGAGATATTGGATATGAGCCGCAACAAGATTACGAGATTTCCAGACACGTTCGGAAATCTGATGAACCTTCGAGTAAGCAGGTGTATCGCTTTTTTTTTTTTTTTTTTTTTTTTTTTTTTAAAAAAAAAAAAGAAAAAAGATTGCATAGGTGCTCATTATTTATATATTGCTTGCTTGGTGCGTGACATAATCCTAGGTGCTGAGCATTTCCAAGAATCGAATTGAAACTATACCAACATATATTGGAGAAATGGAACAGCTACAGTATTTGAAAATAGAACAGAACCCTATTGTTTTCCCCCCGCCAGAGATCGTCGAACTTCCTGATCAGGACATGAAAGGATGGCTCAATCAACTCAAGTCATATCTCATTTCTTATAAGAGTGCGTGTAATATCTTATTTTTAGTTTATTTATTACTACACTTCACTTTAGTATACCTAGAAATCTAAATTTCTTCTATTATGTCTTTCATCTAAACTAGTGGGGCATGAAAATCAATCAAGTCGCATCCCAATTGAAGAAGCAACCATTGCTACAGTACGAGAGAATAAGGTCACTGTACAGCAACGTGGCAGTAGGTCAGCTTCCTTGGATAGTCTAGCAATACCACCGGCTCGACGCCAGAGCGCGAATGAGGCAGCTCTGCGACTTAGTCTTCCAAGCAGCGCTGGACAGCACATTCCCGCTCCTCCAACAGACACTCTTTCACATAGACATGTACGGACCAATAGCCAGCATGCAGCTCATGGGGAAGATCATTATCGTTTTATCAGTCATTCAAGAGGGGTCTCTGGAGACTCGACTAGCTCATTTAACAGTAATGCATCGAATGATTGTGAGAGATATAGCGAAATTTATTTTCAGAGGCTGGCGTCATATCCTCAACCATCTCAGCCGTTATCAAATGAGCGATTGCGCTTAGTCGAGGCTGCTCGAGGGATATTATTTGCTCTTTCACAAATTTACAAGGCTGTCAAGCAGGTTGTAGGGTGCTTCACAGATGAAAAATTCAGTTTAATGTTCACACGTCTCCTTCAAGGCGCCAGCAGTGCTATGGCACAACTTATCCAGTCACTTGACCGTTTCGATAGTATGGCTCAAGTCGATGTACCTGATCAGACTATTTGCGCGGAGGTCATGCGGTGTTGCGAGTCTAATGTGGTGGCGTTCAGGAGACTTGTACATATGATTCAGATACAGCTCCGAAATATTGGTATAATGGCGGATATTAGGCTGGTCAGAAACTTGGTTTTGGTGCTCCATGGCGCACTTACCGAAATCCGCGTAGCTTGGGACTCGCTGTTTCCCCTCCTACAAAACCCTGGTGAGCTCAACGGAGAAATTATCGAATCAAATTATCAGGTGGTTAAAGAGCAGAACACACAATTTCCACCTCACCAAATACCTCTGAGTAGTGGTCGTAACCAACTACAACAACAGCAGAACCATCAAGGCCAACGTCATTTCTCTAATAGTTTATCAGCAGTCCATCAGAATCACTCGTTTCAGGCCTCGCCAACTATACCCACTTCTTCAACATGGCTTCCTGTCCAAATCCCTCAGCGCAGTCAAAACATGTCGCGAGCTAGCAGCCACAACGGTCAATCGACCAATAACTTGCATCAAGAGGAAGAAGAAGATATTCAGTTTTTACAGACTGTTGAACACGCAATTGAGGCTGCTCGACGAGTAATCCAATGTTTGACAGAAACATGCATGACACGTGCTGATAACTTGGTGGTTAGTCCCCAGCAAAAGCCAACACGAAGAGCGCGGTCCGTCTCCGCATCACCTCCTAGAAGCGTTGGAAGCAGCGGAGATAGTAATAGTTCGAATGGCAAAGGCAGTTCGCAAGATCAGCAGGGCCAGGATTTACCTATGAGTCCATTACAACTTGCAGCAAACACAACCTCATCCAATTCTACATCTTCGGCACCAGCAGCAGGATCGTTAGCAAGCCAAAGTAACGCAGCCAATGGCAAGCCCGATACCAGTCTGATTAGATTACCGCTGTTTTCTGATTCGGATGCTGTTCCTTTTTCAAATAGTATGTGCATGACACTGCCAATAGACCAAAGTTCTTCTACTTCAAAAGAATTAGGAACATCATCGGGCATGCCAAATGGACAGGGTGAGGAAAGCAATGTAAGGAACGAGCGGCGAGCACGGTCACATTCCAAGGGCTCATCTAAAGCATCTGTCGATCCTGCCTTGCCCGCTATACCACAGGATGAGACCAGTGGAACTATTGCTCAGGCCTCGTCAACTTCAGTCCCTATTCCAATGCCACAATATCAGCCAATCATGACAGCCAGATCAGCCAGTGTTTCAGGCTTGCCTTCCAACACTAACTCATTGCTGTCATCAAGCAGCGGCACTAATATGATGGCGGCCTCATCATTGCCTTCACAGGGATTTGTTGGCGCTAGTTCGCCCTATTCGCATATGCCGCCTACACCTGGTATCTATCCCTCGACCTCGTCTTCACTTCTTTTCGGTACAGGAGGTGTTGTGAACTTGTCTACTTCTCATCCTTGGCGAGAGATGAAGGATTGTTTGCTACAAATGACAGAGATTATTAAGCGGCTTGATCTGGATCTTACAATGATTCGTACAGATGACCATTCTCAGTACAGCCATCAACAACATCACCATACGTATCAGCAACATGTACATCAAGGATCATTCCCACCTCATGCACAGCCATATCATCAAAACCAAGGACCTCATCCTTATCAGCAAATCCAGGGATCTGGTTATCAACACGGTTTTGTACATATAGGGTCCAACTCTGATGAAATCAATATCCTTCGCAGACGGTTCGGCATGGGCATTAGCGATTTTGTGACATCTGTGGTGGCGATATCTACACTGGTCCGACAGCTCTCGACCTCCAACAGCAATAGCGGCAGCAGTGTTAACTCTTCAAGGATAGTTGCAGTCACATCGACATCAGCATCAGCCTCATCTTCATCAAATATTGTCTCTACTTCCCCTTCATCCACCAGAATGAGATCCGGCTCTTCATCAGTCGATGGGGGTACAATTGGGGCGAACGCCAACATGTCAGTTTCTGCAGTTTCTGCAGTTCCTGCAGCCTCAGCCTTAGCTTCTGTGAACATGGGTGTCTCAGATGGGTCATCAACCGCTGTCCCTTTAGTTTCTTCTGCGAATGCCTCCACATCGTCCAATCTGATTTCTGCCTCCTCCTTCTCTGCATCTGGATCGAACATATTGACCTATCCAGATAAATCTGTACAACAGCAACAGCAACAGCAACAGAATTACCGTCACCCTTCGAGATACCCGCAGCAGACGTCAAATCAACAACAACAGCAACAACAGCAACAGCAGCAACAGCAGCAACAACAGCAGCCTGAAATCTTTTCACGACTTGTCATGACTAACGTTTCCAATTTGACAAAGATTACGAAAGAGCTCATAGTTCGAACGCCACGATCTTCATACCGTGAATACGTAGTTCCATCTTCCTCTGCTGGCGGAGGAGTGGTTGTGACAGGAACAGTGAACAGCAACAACAATGGTAGTTCTTATGGAGTTGCCTATATCCCTTCTGCACCGATCGTTACTACACGTAAAGGAAGTTTGATATAAAGATATTATTATTATTATAATTGGTATTTTTTTTGTCTGGCGATTGAATTTTAAATAAATGAAAGTGTCCCCAAAGTACTTTGAAATTTTGAAAGGCAGTCCTTAAGAAATGGACCATCCATTCTTTAGTTCATTCTGGTATGCATTCATTCATTCATTCGTTCATTCACACATCTTTTTGACATTGTTTCATTGTTTCATATAGGGGTTTTTAATATTCTTATTTTTATTTTTTGTTTATTAAGAAATATTTATAATGCCAATATGTGTTGAGTGTGGGGCAGCAGTGTCTTCACTGTATACAGAATACAGTAAAGGCAACATCCGACTTACATACTGCGTAAGGAGTATAAAGAAGAACTGTCACCTATATGACTATCAATGTATTTAATGTTATTCATTTCAATCTGATTCTTTATTATTTTTATTATTTTTTTTATTTATTATTTTTAAAAAAGGAGCATTGCAAGAAACTAGCGGATAAATATGTGGAGCATGACTTTGTAATCATTTTTGTCGACATGGTCCTGCACAAGAAGCCTGTATATCGACACTTGTTATTCAATCGGTTACCATATCGCGATCTGGGAATCGATGTAAGAAATAAAAAAAAAAAATGCAATTTTTTTTTATTTTTTTGCTTGCGGAGCAAATTCCACGAGATATCAAGTTCAGAAAAAAAAATAAAAATAAAAATAAAAAAGTAAAGAAAAGAAAAGAAAACTAACTAAAGGGCTTCTTTTATCATTATTATTTTTATTTCCATTTTCATTTTTCTGTGCGTATGTGTGGGGTTTGTATATCTTTTTAATAGCCAAATGTGTTCAAACTGGGAGTATTATTGATCTTATTCGATGTTTGTAAGTTACTAACAGTGAATCGGATATCCATTTTTTTTTTTTTTTTTTTTTTAAAAAAAAAAATGTCTCTTAAGAAGAAAGGAAGAAAGAAAAAAGGAATACTAACTCTTATATATATATATAAAGATATCAAGTGGTTTAGACTGGAGCAAGAAGCGGTTGTAGTAGATGCCGACTTTGCACAGCACGCTTTAGTGTTTCAATATCTATATATCTTATTCCTTTGTATCATAGGTAAAGGTGAAAATGTGAAAAAAGAAAAAAAAAACAAACAACAACAGCCAACGCATTTTCATTCAGAGTTCGAATGAGTGCATTTGGATATAATGCTTTGATGGGGGTTTGTTTAACAAAAATTATGTTGGTTACATTGTTTAGAGTTCCTTTCATTTCACTTTGGTGTACGCTTAATTGTCAGTCTATGCTATGGTGGACGTTATGCTATCCTCAAGTAAGCCAGCTAATCATACCTTCTCTCTTAGAGCATCAAAGTGCCTGTCATTCAAACATCCTTGATACATGTATGGAATGCATATTTATGTTGTTTTGTCTTATTTCCTTATCTTCTTCCTGCTATCACTATCCATTAGATACAACTACATCACTACAGCACTTATCATCTCGAGCTTTGGCAAGATGCTGTTAATCCTAATGGTCATTTGGGACTACACAGAATTGGAGCATTCTTGGCATCTAGTCAACTTTATCGTCTTTACATCGAACATCGAGGCTCTCTCAGGTATTGTTTATCAACTCCTTCATCTCTCGACTTTATCGATCTATCTATTTATCTATCTATCTATCTGTCTATCTATAACAAAAGAAAAAAAAAAAAAAAAAAAAAAAAGTCGCAAAAGCATTTAAAAGGATTTTATTTTTATTAATCCTTGTTATTTTTTAACCGATATAAACTAGTTTTCCTAGATACAGGGTACTTGCAGACAACACTAGTAATTGTCTTTGGGATCGCTTGCAGAATCTTGATGCAGATAGTCTTTACAAACATTACTGGCGATTCTGATCTCGTTGCCATAGCAAGCATGTAATCTCTAACTTTTTTATTTTATTATTATTATTATTATTATTATTATTATTTTTCGTCTTTACAGAATGTTGAATCATCTTTTATATTAAACTCATGACAGACAATGACATATTACGAAGAGCTGCTCTAACCCTTTATTCTTTTATGGAGAGTATGTATTTCCTGCCGTCTTTACACAAAAGTATCCCTTTTCTTTTTGTGATTCGATACTTGAAAATGATGTGAATATAAAGGATACTACCTTTTTTTTTTTTTTTTTTTTTTTTTTAAAAAAAAAAAAAGATTTATGCAATCGTACACAATAGGCAAGTCGTCTAAGCAAGGACTTGAGCCATCAAGCAACATGTATAATAGAAGCGAAAGCAACGCATGGAATGAAAATTACGTGGCAAAAAAAAAAGAACAAAAATTGTAAAATCGGAGATAAAAATGGAAAGGAAAGGAATAGCAAGGAAAGAAAATGGAAGGAAAGGTAGAGAAGGAAAGGTAGAGAAGGAAAGGGAATGGAGAAAGAAGTAGTGTAGCAAACATGAGGCTAAGATAGATAGTTAATTTGAACATGGCAAAAAAAAAAAAAAAATTAAAGAAATAGTTGTTCTAAGGATAAAGCTTGCAATAGCTCAAAGGTGTTGGATTAGGATGCTTAAGATGTTCTGATCCCCGGCTTTCCTTTCTTTCTTTCTTGTTTTTGTTATTGTAAAGGACAAGTTAAAGCTACCAAATGTTTTTTGTAATTTTAAAGCATTACTCGAGCTTTTTTTCGCAAAATTGCCAGAGCTAGCAAAGAATGCGGATCAAATAGTTTCGTTCGGTTATTCATTTACACTCATAGTCAATACGAATAGCAACCCTCTTAGTTCTCCCCCTTAATTACTGACTATACCATACCTCTGTCAATAGCTCGTTTCCAAGTGTCCGAAGATCAATATGAAATTCACCTGCTATTCGTCATAGTAAATGAGTCCAACATGGTTAGGCCCCATTGGATTCTGAAACAGAATCTTTGTTTCCCCTTGTATCCGTATCAAAATAATACCTCGACCCCCAGCTTTAATTCATTTACCTTCTCCATCTTCTTTGACATACATATCTGCAGTCTGGTTTGCTTTTATGATCTGAACAAGTTCAACCAAGTCCTCGGGTTGTAGCAGCTGAAAATTTTTCACCAGTTGATGCACATTAACCTAAAGAATCATAAGACAAATGGCCGAAAACAGCAACAGCAACAAATAATAATAATAATAATAAAAAGAAAAGAAAAGAAAAGAAAAAGCGAAACATTAGTCAACAACTGCAAGGAGTAAAGAACACTTATGCATGAGAACTCCTTTTCGTTCCTCTTACTTTTTCATTCCACTCATCTCCTGATCCAGCAACACTACTATCAGCTATGCTTTCGTCATCCGAACTCCGGTCATCCTTAATTCTCTTTGATTTCTCCTTCATAAGCACGTCTCTACGACGTTTCTGTGTCACACTTTCACCCACACTATCGTTGCTCGATTCCCGGTCAGAGACAGTGCTAGAAGGAAGGTTTAACAGCTTCAAAAAGCCTGCTTTTAAATCTGATTTAAATATCTAAGGAGCCAAGGGAATAAAATAAAATTAAAAAATAGAATGGCCATTAGTTAAAAACTTGATGAAATAGAAGATCTGGGATCAGAAAATAATTCTCTGATGGGTCGTCATTGCTATATATAAATTTCTTTTTATAAAAAAAAAAAAAAAAAAAAAAAAAAAAAAAAGACATTTTGCCTACTATTGTCTGTGGAACCTCATAATGTGGTGATTGAAAGTGGAGATCATGATCCAGCACGAATGGTGGCACTGACTTGTCAACAAAATGAAGCATAATCTTCATATCAAACTCGCCCCATCCTTTTTCCTGCAATGAGAACGGATACTCTGTCACCTCTATTCAAATTCATGAAGTAAATATTATCAAGAGTAATTGCTTTCTCCATTAATTAGAAAATGAGAATAATATAATAATAATATTATAGCAGCCAATAAAGCCATGACGAAAGTGGTCATACTTCTAACAGGCGGTTCGAAACTCTGATGGAGAATATATTCCACATGGTCAACATAAGGCATTTGTTCTTCCTCGCCGTTTGCATTCACACCGCACAGCGAAATCTTCCACTTGCGAATTGGGAACCCCATCTGTTTTTGGCCCTTGACAATATTTTGATCTGTAACAACCTAGGTAGAGTGAAGAAAGATAAGACCGGGGAATTTTTTTTTTTTTTTTTTTTTTTTTTTGAGCAGCGAAATGGTTTTTAGAAAGCCCTGCAAAAGCTTTATCCGATGGCATGCAGGCACGTGTGAAATATAGACTTGCGAATAGGGATATACCTTGATCTCCTTACGAATGCTCTTGTGCTGTACGATTAATAAATCATGTATCACAACAACAGAACAACAGGGAGTTAGTTAAAAGTAAAGATGCCTTGAAGAAAAGAAAAGAAAGGAAAAAAAAAAAAAAAAAAAAGAAATAAGAAAGCAAAAGAAAAAAGAAAGTTGCAGTTAACGTGCTATCTTTTTGGATATCAATCTTGTCTGTATTATTGACATTTACCTGTGGCATGTTTGGTGCTTGTTCTTATTGGTCAGGATTGAGTTGTGTATGTACAAGGAGGTGTGTGGCGCGTAATCCTCGACAGGTCAATGTTCCTGAAAAAGGGAGGAGGAGACTTAAAGAAAGTAGAACAAGTCGAGTTATTGAATGAAGAATGGTAGACAAAGGGTGTGTCACTAGTCTGGTTACAATGGGATGAACAAAAACAAGATTAGTTTGCAACGACAATGTTGCCAAAGAGAGCAGTCAAATGAGAGTGAATGTGTTTATAAACCACGCAGCGTGCACGGGCGATGAAAATAAGGAACAAGTTTTAATACTGAGGGGACGAGTTCTCAATTAAACTTTCTTCAACACACAGTAGAAAGTGGAAAGAAAGTAAAAAGCCAAGTAAAGTCAAGTTTTAGGAATAGAGAATGTGCGTTTAATCGAAAAAGGGAAGGGAGAAGTGTGATCGATACTGTCCAGCTGAGAATGGCTATTGGACGATGAGAAGAGAAAAAGAAAAGAGAGAAAGGAAAGAAAGGATAGAAAGGGGGACAAAGACAATCTTCTTTTTAAAGGGCCAATGAAGAAGCATCGAAATGTGACTGCATGCTCTCAGCTCTGGCTTGCTGTGGTTCATTTTTATTGGAATGTTTATTCATTTTGGGCGAAATATTTTGATCCATCACTATGCACTTTTCAGCTTGTATTGACTTTTCTCGAGTCGTAAAAAGTCCTCATCAGGGTCTCTCATGATCCACAAGCTTGCGAGGTCCACGGCCTGAAGTAACAACGGCATTGACCACCACATCAACTCAAACGAAAACTCTGTCGATCCCATCATCAGCACTAGAGGCACAGATGACACAAAAGTCCAACCTACCACAACAGTGCGACTGATATTGCACATGTCCCAGATAATGAATATACCAATGAAAAATGAGATCAATGAAAAAATAGTGGCAAATCCTGGAGAAATGGACTGGTCAGCATTGTCCGGCAATGGAAGCCCAGACATAGATTTGTTCCTTGACCATGCATATGCAGTAAACCCGAGATGTCTATTATCAAATTAAAAAAAAAAAAAAAAAAAAAAAAAAAGTCGACAACAAAATAGAAACAGATTGTCATTTAAGCTCTCCTTTCTCCATTAGTGAAGAAAAGCCTACAAATCATGCCGTGATCCCTTACATAAAGATCTCCATGATTGAAAATAAGAGCAAGACAAACTAGAGCGGACAAATGACGTTGTGAGTTTGCTCGTCCACCTGTGGACACAAGTTCAACAGTTGATAGATTGACAGAAACTTGCCTTGAATGCATCATTGGCTTTCTCGTTTGATTTCCTTAGCGACTCAATGAGCTGCTCTTGTTCTAACAAAGAAAATTGTCAGGCGGTAATAAAAAGCGGTAACATGAAGAAAATAATAATGTCCACAGTAATACAGGCAGATCGGATCCGGTACTGTGTTCATTAGCCAAGATGGTTATAGACTTACCATCCTCAGCCATGAACTGTGATTCATCCGACAATGGTTGACCACGAAAGAGAGCCTTTGTGTTGTTGCTTCGGTGTTTTAACTGATCCATATTCAGATAGAGCAAAAGCGATTGGAGGAATTAAGTAAAGCCTAAGGTGAATGCTAGAATGCAATGAAGGCGATGACAGAGAAGGAATGCGATGAATGTGAAGAAGCAGAATGAAAGAGGAAGAAAGAAGGAATAACGAAGTGGAGGAGGAGCGGAGGGAGAAGAGAAGGAGGAAGAGTAAGAGTCAGTCAATCATCACACGTTAAACTTTTTTTTATATTGAAATGTCACGCGTAATGGCATGGGGGCGTTGAATGTAATTTACTGTGGCTAGACCCCGTGTAAGTAAATACTTCACTCTTTGCATTCTAACTTCGCCATTGTTCTCTACCCATTGCCCATTACACCAACCCTAACCACAGAACCCACGGAACTTGTTAGTTCGCTTCCATCCTCATTCCTTTGCTTTATTTTATTTTTATTTTTATTTTTATTTTTTTTTTTTACTCCTTGGCTTTCCTTCTTTTTGTCCAACACGCGTTCCTGTCTACACCTTCTTTTTCTTTTTCTTTTTTTTTAGTTAATAGACAAAGGATATCTACAGCTTGCTTTTTTTTTTTTTTGAATCACATCTCGCTCCAACAAAACCTGCTCATTTTTCTACTCAGGACTTGACTTGATGCCTCCTCAACCAGACAAAGGAAAAACACCAGCTACTGCATCGTCCTCTACATCAGCAACACAAGCTCCATATAATCCCATTGCAAGGGTCATCTGGGATGGATCCATACCCATCCAATTTTCTTGGGACAAGGCTGAGGCCGCAGCAGTAGGGTCCAATGCTGTCGAATCATTCTTTGTATGTTCCTCGGATTGCAGCTAAGCAGAGGATTCGACCAAACAGCTTGAAACTTGTCAATGAAGTATCAGTCAACTCAAAACTTTCGTAACTGACTATCAATATATATTTTTCTATTTTTTTTAGTATGAAGCACCAAGATGTTCCTATTTTTCACTCCTCACCACCCATGTCAGAAAGCATTTTGTGGATATGGCATTACATTTTATTGGGGATGATGCTGAAGTCTGGTACGACTACGAAGGCATTCCATTGAAGTGGTAAGAAAGCTACATCGAAATCATTAACTTTTTTTTTACGCCGTCTTTTTTTTTTTATTTTATTTTTTTTATGGCTCTTCGCCTTTTCAGAAGCAGATGTTTTTTTTTTGTATCATGGCCTGAGCCACGCTCTCAAGCGACAAAACAATCTTTTTAAGCTTTTTTTTATTTTTTATTTTTTATTATTTTTTTTTTCATGTTCACGCTTAATTTATTTTATCGGGACCGGTTCGGTTATTATTTTCTTGGATCATTTTAAATGATAGGCATTATCCAATTGGACTTTTGTACGACATTCATGGACTTCAGGCATCTGGAGGCAATGCTACAAAAGGATCATTGTTGCCATGGAAGATCACAGTGCATTTTCAGAACTTTCCTGCAGATAAATTAATCAAGAGCCAGGCTATTGACAGCTGTCAGGATTACTTTATGTCCATGATCAAGGAAGTATGTGATGACTGCTATAATACGCAAGACTTATAGTATAAGCTGTCTATTAAACTTTTTTTTTTTTCTTCTTTCTTTTTTAACTGTAGGCCGATTATCTACGTAATGGATCCACCAAAAAAGTCATGAATATGTCAAAATCGGATCAAACGCAGCTGTGGGATGGATTGTGGTCAAGTAAGGGTGAATAGGATGTCTATGATTCATACACGGATGTCAAGGAACCTTTACTAATGCCTGTTTAACAATGTTATCGTGCCTTATGTTACAATAGACAACTATGATCGGTTTTGGGGTATGAATCATAAACTTGTGATGAACGATGGTGTAATGCCCAGGAATCTTCCTATTAGGATATACTTGCCAGAAAACTGTCCCGTTATTCAGGAACCAATCTCGCCTGTAGATGAAAACAGTAATGAGCATCCAAAAAAAAAAAAAAAAAAAAAAAAAGCACCCATGAAAGAAACGACCAGAGTCCAAAACGTAAAAGTATGAATGTTAATGTTACATTACTATCTACACTAGATCAACCAAAGTCACTGCGAAGGATCCTTTATCAATCATTGCCAGATCTTTTTCCTTTGGTGGAAACAGGACCGCCAGTAGCGACGGCAATGATTCACGGTATCACCCCTAGTTTAGAGACGAGCGCACTCTGGGCAGCACAAAATATGTCATACCCCGACAACTTTCTGCACCTGGTTATTATTATCAAATAAGAAAATACACACTTTGCGTATTTGTTATGAAATGGAGAGACGCTATCGTCTTCATTAAATAATAAAAATCGCGCTTTAATAAGCCTCAGGTCGCTTATAGTTCGCTTCATTTTTATTTTTATTTTTTTTATTTTATTTTTTTTAACGTAATAACAACCGAACAAACAACGTGCAAAAGGCATTGTTGGAAGCTTTAGTTTGATAAGCTTGAACCTTGAATGATTTGGTTTTAACAAGCAAACTCAAATTCCATTAGACAACTAAATTTGTCGTAGTACAAAGATGAATCTCTTGCTTTAAATCCTTGTTAGGATACACAGATACACTCTATTGAATTGTATCTTGTACTACCTTAGGCAAAGCTCGTATGATTACTACAAAATCAGCTCCAAGTCCTCATCTTCCTCGTCTGTAACCGAAAGTAGCCTTGATTCATCATCAACCTCGTAGTCAGGCGCCTTCTCTCCAACAGTAAAGATGCTTGATCCCATACCAGGCCGTGCATTTAATTCCTTAACGCGTTCACAGAGCGCATCAAACTCTGAACGATCTCTGCAGTAGAATGCCAAAAGCATGGATGGGTCAATTGCACTGATGTCAATCTTGCGGATTGTCTCACAATGGTATGTTGCAAAATCCTAGAAGCACATGCTATAAATAAGTACATTCGTTCAAGTCGTGGTATTCGGAAACAAAACTAGATATCCATCTTTCTTAAATACCTCCGCGGTGTATGCACTCAGATCTTTGGTTTCCACGATGTTTCGTGAATGATGAGGATCAAGATAGAACAAATCATCTCCTTGATACCCAACAAAATAATAGGACGACGATGGTCGACCGCTATAATCAAATATCAAGAGAAAAAAAAAAGACTTTAGAAATGTATGTTGAACATATGGATGCATGATCAATGGGCTATCGCATTAAAACCATTGTTCTTTACCCTGCAATACCGAGAGACTGTGGAAATTCAAAGGTTGCCTTGATAGCATCTTTGTAAATGGCGTTGAGTTTATCAATACCCAACCGTATAGTGACCAAAATCAAGAGATGGCCAAAGCTCGCTGTTTTCTTTTTTGTGGCTATTTCTTCAACCTGGTCTTTATAAATGACACCGTCCGTAGTGACATACACACTGAGTCCGCTCTGTGGAAAGTTGTGAACAAGGGCTCTAAGAAGGTAGCAGTACAGTAAAGGTGATGTCAGCAATATGAAAATACTACTATCGATCACATTTCTTTTCCCAATTTCTTTTTTTTTTTTTTTTTTTTTTAAAAAAAAAAAAAAAAAAAAAAAAAGCTTACTGCGTGACTTGACTCGTTGTGGATGGACCAAACCATTCTCCAATGTTTTTACCAAGCTGTTTCCCTAAAAGTGCTATACGGTGCACTGAAAAAGGAGATTTTGCGTTCATATCATCCAAGAACCACGACAATATCTTAACAAGGAAGGAGAGTTAGTATTAGAGGCAGAAGAAATAACATTTATAACTGGTCGACTAGATGGACGAGCTTGGCATAAGACCAGACGCTGCCTACCTTAACGTAGATGTCCCACATGGGGTCACCTGGAACAGGACGATTCCAGCCTAAGTTTGTATTTTTTTTATTTTTATTTTTATTTTTATTTTTTTTTTTAGTAACAATGATATATGAATATATGAAATACATGAACATAAAAAAAAGAATAGATGAACTTACCTCGACCCATAAACTGAACTGCTAAAGCATTTGCCAACAATCCTTGTCCTGATCGGAGCATACATCCCCATCCAACATCTGTAGTAAAAGTACTTGGTCTGATAGGGGCGTAATTATGTCGATAAGTGCACCAGATCAATCCTGAAGTAAAGTCTCTTTGAAAATCTGCCCATTGAGTTGGTGAAGGAGGATAGAGCTTGCCCATCAAATAGATAGGGCTATTATTGTTATTTGATGATGGAGGCGCACATGTTGACGAGCGATTGGCCACAGGATCGTTGGGTTCATGAACTATTTGTGTTGCCTCATTTTCTAATGTCTGTGCTTTTATAGGTATCGCCTTCTGGTTTGAGCCTCGCTCATATGCATCAAGCGATGCCCTATTCGATGAAGGTGAGTCGACTTCTCCAAGAGTGTTTGGCTCCTTGCTTGCAATAGTTGATCCCAAAGTATAAGAGTTCGTACGCAAGGCTTTGGCAGGTCGTGCTTGGCCTGGGTGATGAGTCAAAGACTGAGTTCCAGAGAGAGGCCGCGACGAGTCCTGTGTCACATTAGTCGATGTTGACGTTGATGGTACTGCAGGTGTTGTAGGAGTAGGAAACCAGGCATTCCATATGTTCACTACATTTTTTTTCAAATCCTGAGCCATGTCCGCAGCACGCTCGCTGTTAGCTTGTGTCAAACCCAAGTTTGATGCCATTGCTGGCAGTCCTACACCTGAGAGATTGACACTGAAGCGCGACCCAATTTTGGACGACGGTGCCTGCTCTTCCGTTTGTGACATTTTGTGTGGAGTTTCTAGTTGTAATGGTAATGTCTGCTGCTGTGTCTGCTGCAGTACGGCTTCTGGTTGCCCCTCCGATATTTTCGTTGCTTGGTCATTATGCTCTTGTGTAGACATTTTCAAATTGCTTGTGCTTTCAAGACAAGGTTGAGACACGTCTGTGTCGTCAGCTTGGGCAGGGCCCGTGCTCCTGGTAGATGTCGCTGAATTGCCATTATTGGGGATAGTAGACTCGTCAGATAGACCAACTGAAAAACCAGACCCTGCCGCAGCGACCTGATAATGTGAGGTTGTCACTTCAGGACTTGGCATGGTTTGAAAGCCAATTTGATTGGAAGTGAATTCTGTAGCGGGCACAGTTACGACTGGCTGGTCTTTGGGAGACGCAGGGGCAGAGGATCCACTGGATTGGATAGTGTGGACCATGGCCGTGAAAAAGTAGATAGAATAGCCACAGGGCTCTGTCAATACTGTGGGGCAAGAAAGAGGGCAAGAGGTGTCTTGGCAGTGTATGTGGAAAGGAATGTGAAGGGAGAAAAAAAAAAGAGAGAGAGAGAGAGAGAGGAAAAGAGAGAATTGAGAAAGAGCTTCTTTTTGTTTGCATGTAAATAGCTTTATTTGAGGAGCGTGTTGAATGTCACCATATGCTAATGGCAGCGCTACGACATTTCTACGACAACCTTTTTGTTTTAGACCATGATTTTTTAAAAAAAAGGTGGTATCAAGGGCTTCCAGACAGGAAGCATATTACAGTCTTACAGTCAGGTGTCCAGGTCCTAAGTATGAGAGGGAAGACACCTCAGTTGGGTCCAGTTCAACAAGTGCTTGATCACGCGGCATGGACGTTCTGTATCTGCACACATTCTCTTTCTCTTACTGCATTCATGAGCTCAGACTGAGGAAAGGAGACTTTTTTTAACCCCTTCTTTTCTTCTCTCTTTTCTGATCATACCATCCACATCGTCAGCTCCCCTTTCTTTTTCATCTCAAATATCTTGCCTTACATTCAAAACAAAAAGTATTTTTTGCTTCTTTTATTATCCTTATCTCCCTTTCGCTCAATCATTCAGACCATGGCGGAAACCACTGAGCAAATTGAAGCTACAACGACACTTACTACTGTTGATCCTGCTACTGCTTCTTCATCAAACCCTACCGAAGACACGTCCATTGTCGATCATCCAATGACTGACAAACAATCATCTGCACCAACAGATGATGAAAAGCATCATACTTCACCCCCAGTAGATGCTACGTCAGAGATCGAGCAAGAACATGCTTCTGATTCGGCCATTTCTTTAAGCATACCTGGTGAGATTGGCAAGGAAAAGTCTAGCAGACCTGAATCAGCTGCAGAGATCACTCAATCTGAAGTGCATATTGCACAAGATGAAAACAAGCAACCAAATGATCCGTCAATGGAAACTGATGAGGCCGCCCCTGTCCCAGAGGCTGAATCGACTGCGACTGAAGGACAAGATGATGCGCCTGTAAACGATTCAAATGATCCAGCCGATCCCTATACTGAGCAGGATGGTACCTATAGAGATACAGAACTTGTATCGGACGTACCTGTACCCGAAGGTGCCGATGTAGAATCCGGCGCGAATCAAAGTCACCCTGAAGAAGATAGCTCAACGACCCAGACAAATGATAACGCCGCCAAGCCAGTGACTTCAGCGGCACCTCCATCCGGCAAGACGCATCACACAAATCACCAGAGCAGACATCATCAGCGTGGTGGTCGGGGTGGTTTTCATAACCGCAACAATAACCATAACTTCCAGAATAACCGGCCTTTCAACCAGCGCTTCAACAGCAACAATAACAATAGCAACCACCATCACAACCATGGCAACCATAACCATCACGGCAACAACTTCAACAATCGCAACAATCATAATAACCATAGCAATTATAACAATCATAACCACAACAATAGCAACAATAGCAACAATTTCAATAACTTCAATAGCTCGAACAACAGCGGTCCCAATAGCAACAATAGCTATCATGGAGGACCAGGACCTATGCGTCGAGGCGGATACCGAGGTAATAATTTGATCATAATACCATACTCTGTAAAAAAATTCGATGTACGACAGAATTTTATCATTGATATAATTTCGAAAAGCGAATGCCTATCCTCTGTTCTGATTGAGTCGTATGTACACCTAAAATCTGAATGAGCTCACAGAACCATAACGCGTCATCACCTCTCCGTAAATGCTTCAGGTCCAGCTAACTGGACCTTGTTTATCCATGAAGTAAATGCTAACACCATTTTCTATCCTATAATTGTATAATACCACCATAGGTACGCAAGATCAGCGGCCTTACCGCCGTGAGGATTTTCGCGGACGACAGCAAGATCATTACCAGCAACGTCAACGAGATAACTTCGGCAACAATCAGAACAGCTACAATAACAATCATAACAACAATAGCAACTTCAATGGCACTTATAATGGACCTAATCAATATCAGCAGCCTGCTCATCAACAACAGCAACAGCCATCGCACTTCCAACAACGCCATTCTCAACAACAATCTTCACAGCAGCAGTTCCAGAATGGTCCACCCCATCACAACCAAAATCGATTCCAGGGACCTGACCATAATGAACGTCAGCGTCCACAACGAATGCCTCGTGGCCCGCCTCAAGAACCAAACATGCAGCCACCCATGCAAAACCTCACACCTCCAGCTCAAGGCAGGGCACAAAAGCCTGGATCGATCAAGTCCATTTTTGACTATGCTAAGGGAATGCAATGGGATCGGGTATGTTCGTTGTCTTAGTCAATTGCGCTTTTAAATTTATGAGCAGATTTCTTATTTTACACTCTTTGCTTTCGGTCTCAATTAAATAGGGCAATCAGCCTCCTGCCGGGTCACCAGCTGCCAATGGTGTTCAAGATATGTCGTACTACGGCAACGCCAATGCAACACCACAAGCCGCCGGAGCCGCTTATAGCGCTCCTTATGGACAGGCTGCAGCTCCTAATGTAGCGCCTTTTGGTCAACAGGCTCCTGCCGCTCAAACATATGGTCAGCAAGCTCCAGCACAGCAATACGATGCTTATGCAGCCCAGGCTCCCGCCGCGACACCTGCCCCTTATCAGCAAGATTGGTATGGTACTGCTGCTCCAGCGAATGCGGTACAGCCTGCAGCCGGCACTGCAGGGCCTGGTCCTGCTCGTGGGCCTAATGGACGCGATTGGCAAAACTCTGCTGAACAGAGCACGCCGTACAAACGCCCACCTAATGCGGGTCGTGGCGGACGAGGCGGTGGACGAGGTGGGTTTGCTGGAGCAGGTAATAGAGGAGGGCAACATAATGCTGGATATAACAATCACGCGGCCCTCGCAAATAACAATAACAGCGCTACTCCTAGCAACACTAGTAGCGTTAATAGTATCCCTCTCAATCAAAACAATGCTGCTACCGCTGGCTACAGTAACGCCAATGGGTACAACGCTCGTCAGCCACCCTTGCCTGCTCAACCACCACCACCAGCAGTGCAGCAACAACACCAACAACAGCAACAGCAACAGCAACAGCAACAGCAACAGCAACAGCAACAGCAGCAGCAGCAACAAGCGTACTCCCAAGCATATGCTCAAGCATACGGCTATCCAGCTGCAGCTGCGGGTTACCAGCCCACTGCAGCTGGTGCTGCCACATATCCAGCACAGCCTCAAGCGACCGCATATCCTTCCCAGGCAGCAGGCTACCAAGCTGCAGCTACAGCGTATCCTGCTGGTGCTTCTACTGGATATCCTACTGCTACAGCTGTTACAGGTTATCAAGCGGGTAATACTTACCCTACCGCAGCCACCGGCTATCCCGCTCCAGCTACAGGATACCAAAACACAGGTACTGCTACTGCATATCCAACAGCGGCAGGTTATCCAACTGCTGCCACAGGGTATCAAGCAGCAGCAACTGCATATCCCGCGGCAGCAGGAGCCTACCCTGCAGCAGCAGCAACTGGCTACCAAGCTGCAGCTACTGCCTATCAAACCCCGGCCGCAGGATACCAAGCTCCTGCTACAGGCTACCAAGCCGCAGCAACGGCGTATCCTCCATACCGGTAAACAGGAGAAGTTGTTGCTTTATCTCATTTTTGCTATTTTTTTCTTTTCTCTTCTTTTTTTTCTTTTTTCTCTTCATTCTTTCAAAAAGGCACGCTTTTGGTTCAACGGCCCTTTTGGTTTTTGTTTTTTTCTGCTTTTTTTCCCCCTTATTATTATTGTTTTTATTATTATTATTACTACCTTTTTTTTTTTTTTTTTTGTACTTCCACTTTGCTTTCTCTCACTTTTCTGCATCTCCCACGAATGCACATAAAATGCATTCAATGATTCGTCAGGAGCTTGTTGCCTAGAAGTCACGATAACATCTTGAATCCCTCCATCCCTTCCTAAAACCAGCAATACTTTTTTACATCAAGTTGGATACTGAGTGGCAGGCCATGATGGCACGAAGGCAGTTTTGGAAGGACACTAGATCGGCGTACCGGCTGGGCAACCATGAAACGTATGGACTGATACATATTCATGAAGGGCTTTATTTCATGAGAGATTGGTACTTTGTGCAAAGCAGCACTGTTTTTTAACAAGGGACTCTTCTTTTTGATATCTGTCTATTCATCCACCCATCTTCATGTATGCACGGCAGCGAATGATCAATACTCTTTTTTTTATTTTTGTTCTGCACCATTATCAACCATATTGGTATTTTCCTTCCTACCACTTCTATCTCTTGCTGATGGCACAATATTTCCGATCATGCTCTTGCTAAAACGAGAATGCGCTATCCGACCCCGCTTATTCTCTTTGTTATCCTGCATCTGCATCATTCAAATGCCGCTTGTGTCCCACTACGAACTCGGATAAACAGACTATGCGACTTTGCAAACAGAATTGCCTCTTCAAATATCTCTGCTCTTCTCTTCACCACTATATCACTCTTTCCCTTCCCACCTCTTGCAAGTTGTGCGTTGTATTATAAAGAAAAAAAAAATTCATGAAGACAGATGTCCAAAATTGTGGAGAGAAAAATCGTTTGTGTGGAGTCTATATTTGATGATGCTGTGAGATCCACATAGTCCAAGCATTCTTGTTTTCATACTTTCATTACTATTTGTCGCAAACATCTTTATTACAATCAATATGTCCTCGATTCGTATATATGAAAACTAAAGGATAAAAACATGTTTTCAACATGGTATATGTGGCATTTTTTTTCCCTGTTAATTTTATGCCTTGAAAATAATAATCATCGTTGATTCCCTATCCTTCTTTTGACTTTTACAAGTTCGGACAGCTTAGCTCCATGATATCTAGAATTGCACTTAAAAAATGGCATTTCCCATTGTTATTACTCTTATTATAATTACTATTACTATTATTATTATTATTATTATTATTATTATTATTATTATTATTATTATTATTATTATTATTATTATTATTATTATTATTATTATTATTATTATTATTATTATTACTATTATTATTATTACTATTATTATTATTACTATTATTATTACTATTATTATTATTATTGTTATTATTATTGTCATTATCTCATTTTCCAGTTTATCCATGTTTGATATTTGGAACCTGTACCCCACGTAAAAAAAGTTTTGTTTCAATAAATCACAGCTTGGACCATTTGTAAATTGGGCAGAAAATCAATATATATCCATAAATGTATACATTGGAGCAATCAATTCTGCATACAAGGGGCTGGCAGAGGAGGCAAAAGCTCTGAAAATCACACAAGGATGAGTGTGCCGATAAGATTGTGGTAGTGCTAATGTGTATGTTTTAATCCAAAGCTGGATTATTAGCAGAGTACAATCTAGTGTACCTTGGATCATTTGTAACTTTGGAAGCAGGACTGATCTTAAAAGAGACAACGGCGATTTTATCGAAAGGACGGATTTCTTTAATAGATAAAAGTCTCCGGATAGATGAGCGGATTTAAGGAATAGCATGGATTGCCATGCATGCGCAGGGATCAAAGCTAGAAGTTCAATGGGCATATGCAGATCGTAAAGGATCTGCCAAGACACAGCACTATGCAAAGCTGTTAGTCAAAGAGCTAGAGAGATAACGTACTGGGTGGGAATTGGATTTTCAGGGGAGGGGTATGATCCATCATGTTACAAGAGAACCATCAATTGAAGCGATCTAGAGAACGGTCAAGGCCTTTAGTGAAGGCAGCGAAAGCGGGAATGGACACTATGGAGATTCGTGCAACGCATGAAATTTAATCTATCGGCTCTTTTACCAAAATGATCAGTATGGGGGTTTTTTTATTAAAATTTGTTAGCAGGTAAAATTCGATTTCTTAAAAAAAAATTGTCGTCAGTACCAGGTAATGTAGGGTATTTGGATGTACCATCATGGGAGGTTGAGCAAACAGCTTTGTCTCTTCAAATTGGAATACAGTGAAGTAGATGTGGAATGCAGGGAGCTTAAATATCAAGTGCCATTTGCAGGATTTGAGAAAAGCAAGTTTCAGGATTCCATGTAATAATATGGAAGTGATCTTGAGGAATGTTACCAAGTATTCACAAAGTGAGGAGGAGGGACCTAACGAAAATTGCTTAATAAATACATGAAGGAAGGCTCTACTTAAAAGCGTATGGATTCTGTGTTGAAAATGCCATGAACGATAAAAAAAACAAAAAACAAAAAAGAATGAAAAGAAAAAGCGAATAAAAAGAACAAAAGAAACGGCAACCACTAAAGAGGAGGAGGTTGAGACTCAAAGAGCAATTGGCGTTCAACAGCGATTCTTTTTGTAGTACTTTTTTGCCTTATTGGGAACACTCAGCAATTCTGTTTCTGCATGAGTTTAAATGAGAGACCATCGACCATGCGTTTTTTGGGTGTTGGTGAAACGAAGGTCAAGGTCAGGTCAGCCAGGTCATCCATTTCTTTTTTCTACTTCTTTTTCTTTTCTTTTTTTTTTTCATCTTTCTTTCTTTTCTTTCTTTCTATCTTTCCCATCTTTCCATCAATCTTCTTATCTTTCTATCTTTAACTTTCTATTGCTTTTTATTTATTACACTTCCTTCGCTCGTTCTCACACAACTATTTCCCTTCATCTGATACTAAAGGCCTTTTTAAACTTTTTTTTTTTTTTTTTTTTTTTTTAAAACACTGTCGTCACAGTTCGGTCATATCTTTAAACGATTCAAGCTAGCCTATCATAGCTGTTCCCCCATTCTTCTTTCCCCTTCACATTAAAACTACCCTGGACAATGGACACAGATCAAGCAAACAGACAACCGCCATTGCCCGCAAAGCTGCGTTGGAGACCTTATGCTAATGGCAGTAACAAGAAAAACAACACCAAAATAAAAAAGGATGACCAATCACGAGGGACTCGAGGTCATGCCAAAGCAATGGCTCACAAAATGCGAGGCCAGCAGTATTACACCGGTAAAACTCAAAACGCGCCTGCGGGTATCCAACTACAATGGGACGAGCCTGAGACTATCGAATCGATGAGTCATGGGGGGCACCAGTACCACCATCCTTTCCATAACGGTGACCGGTCGCGTGATACCTCACCCAGTTCTTCAAGCTCGGGTTCGAGTTCAGCGTTTTCAGCACCAGCTACAGCAACAGCGAAACAGGGCATCCGCCCTACGACAACGAACAGCATCTTCGTTGGCAATGTAGACAACATCAGCGCCGGTACTATGCAAAATCCTGTATCTTCCTTGCCATCACCTGCTTCTCCTAACTCGAAGTTGCCGAATACTAGGCTGGATCTGGTTGGTGGGCAGTCGGATCTTACAAAGTACATGGCTACCATTCCAGACTTGACAAGAAACACCCTTGTACAGAAGGATGCTCAATCTCTAAACTCCATGACATCTGATACTGCCTACCAGATTGCCTTGAACGCCCTGTTTCAAAATCAGAATACGAGGCCACCGTCTAACCCCTTTCACACACCTGCAGGCTATGGACCAAACGGTATCACTAACGCCACTACAACAGCAACAACGAACAATGCTAATGCTCCCATCATCAACAACGGTATTACTCCTACCACTAACATTTCTGTTGCTCCAATCGCCCCTTCTATCCCAACTTCCAATATTTTTAATCCTCCAAGCCTCAATAATGTTTTCCTTTCTGATCCAAATCGAGCATTAACAAATCAAGAGCTGCTTGGTGTCTCAAATATCGACGAATTACTACTCTCATGTGGTCTCGCACAAAATAACGTCAACAACAACGCCCACGCCAGCGCTTTTTTGAGTAATCCACAGACACTCGCTTCGCCTGCAGACACAGATCAATCATATAGCTCATCACCTATGCCTCCGTTACTCGACTTCCGCAGTAATAGAAACAATGTATCGCGCGCTACTTCACCGTCGTCAGGAGCATTTTCCCCAATGGCTCTTACAAGCACAGCCTTTGAGACGCTTCTGTCACAACCGGTTGTTCCACAACAGAGTTACCAACAGCAAGGGCAGCAACCAACGCCGCAAGCGATGAGTATGAATACTGATTGTAATTCAATCAAGGATGCCACATATAACTCCTTACTTAAGGAGTTATCATCTCCATTCGAATACATTTCAAAGAGTGGAGACTCTACAGTAAGTAATGTGCCAACTGCATGGCCTTCACTGTTCCCCAATACCCTTTCAGAGCCAGATGCACCCCTGGTCAAGGCAACTCCTCAACCAATAACACAGCGAAGCGAGATTGGGACTCAGACTGATGGACTATACCAGCCACCGCTTACACCATTGTCCACAGAAACACCAACGTCATTCAACGGATCACCTTTATCTGCTTTGGGTCTCTCAGAGGAAGGGCTTGATCCTGACTGGTTGAGCTTCTTGGATGAGGCATCACCACTATTTAATGACATTGAGACGCCACAGCCATCGCTTTCTGACATCGAGATGAAGACATCGAGTCAAAATGTCAATAGAAATCCAAATAGGACACAGTATGATAGGACCTTCTGGAATTGGGCCGAGCAATTGCTCAAACCAGGGGCCATGACTCCTACAGTTAGTCGCAATGGGTTCCCGGGCACGGCGCCAACGATGACAAATGTGATCCCCAATGGCAGCATTAACAATGGCGGTCTCGTTAGGACCTTGCACGGGTCCAATCAACAGAAAAATAAAAAATCTTTTGGTTCTTCTGGGAATGTACCTGGAGATCTCACCGAGAGTCAAGGAGCTAAGACAAAGCTTGAGAGCATCCAGGCAGAGAGTCAAAATGGGGAGCTTGATGACATCAACGGGGGAGGTAACAAGGATGACAAGGGCGTCAAATCCAACGAATCGGACAAGGAGAAAGCGTCTGCATTTGAGCGCTCAGTCGTTAAGGACAAGGAAGAGGACGCCAATCTGGTTGAGAAGAGGTTTGATGGGTTCAAGGGACTTATATCCCTCATCAGGTCGCTCTGGATCAGTGATGACGATGACAAGTGAAGAAAGAAGTAATTTTGACTTGGGTACTTGGCGTAATCGATTTCTTTTTTTTTTTTTTTTTTTTTCCACATTTAGTCCACATAGAATGTTTAACTTATTGTTATTGTTGCTGTGCTTGTTGTTATTAATGCTGATGCTCGTTATTATTGTTTTAGTTTTGCTCCTTCTTTTTTGACTGTCCTTTCATTGTCTTCACACTCCACTCTTCATTCCTTCTTTTCCTGTATATCTGTGTATATTCTCCCGCAAACTTTTTCACAATGAATTATAAATTCATAATTTATAACAATTTATTCCTTATGATAATAAGAATCCCCTATATATTGCGCGATGATGATGTGTTTGAATATTGCTCTTGCTGTTGATGCTGTTGTTGGTGCTGAAAGTCTCGCTCTTTGTCCTTCTGATACTGAGCAAGAAGATCATTGTTCTTTGTGACAGGTCCGCGAGGATTTTCCTCTAGTACCACTAAATACAGTATAACATTTATATGACATACGAGGGTTAGTAATGTTAATTGCTAAAAAGAATGGAGCTTTTGTTTTGTTAGAGTGTTGTATAACCTACAGCGCTTGTAAAGAACATAAGAGGAGGAGACAAAGATAGGCAAAGACAGGATAATAGTTAAAAGCCTTTTTTTTGTGACAGGAAAAAAAAAAAAAAAAAAAAAAAAAACAGAGGAATTATTAATCTGAGTTTGTCAAGAATGAGTAACTTGACTTCATATGCAGCGAAAATAAATTCACTCAAAGATCTATTACTTTTGACCCTGAGGATTCAATTTGTTTGGGAGAAAGAACGACATTGGGAGAAAAAGAATGGAAGGCACAAAAAAAAAATGTTCAAGGAAAAAAAAGTCGATTCAAGGGGCCATGTGATAATTCAATTGGGAATTAAGGAATTAAGGGCAAATAACCACAGCAATTAAAGATTGAAGAAATCATTTTCTAATTGACGATGCTGTTGGGCTGTGCTCGATTTTCCATTAGGTACTGCGCATGACCCATCTTGTATGGTGAGAAAAGATATAAAAGGGAGAGAAAGTTCTCTCTCTTTTTCTATTCTTTCTTTCTCCCTTCACTCCCTCCCTCCTCTGCTTATTCGCGCTTCTTAGTAATAACTATATTCACTCAGTTAAATTAAAAAAGGAAAAAAAAAAGGCAAGAAGAGTACGGAGGTACATCCATGTTGTTCTCGTACAATCGAAAGGGCTTAAGTACCTGGGATCCTAATCCAGACCTCGAATTCCAATACTTGGAAGAATATGCTCTTAACCCTGATGCGCGTCAGGATCTCCTTAAGTCCTGCACAGCCGGGACAAAAGAATATCATCTTATGAAACTTCGTCTCATTTCTCAAGAGCTCCAGCAAACATTGCCTGAAGAGATCACGACTGCCATGATCGAAGAGGCCCGAACGGTATTACACAATGCAGAAGCGAGCTTTGGGGATCAAAACAGGGAGATCATGGAACAGTTCCGAGCACAATTCGCGATTTTGGGCTATGAAGTGGATCGAGAGTCATTGATGAAACAAGTGGAGCTCGGTCCAGTCTCGGTAACTCGACTAAACATCGACAACGCCACCAACAGCCTCTTGCCTGAGGCGACGGTAGACTTGCTAGAGCAATGGCTTGAAAGCAGTATTTTAGCACAAGTACCCACCAAGCTGCATGATGAATTGATTGAGACCAACTATCTCATTAGTTCATTAATACAGAAGTTGATCCAAAAAAATGTTCCAACTGACATCCCTGCTGTTGTATGGAAGCATCTATTGGAACAACCGCAGATGTCAGACCTTTTGTTGCGTACAACCACGCCTAGCGAGCTATTATCCCTATTCAAAAAGATGAATATACCTCTTTCCTCAAACAACGTGGTGGTACAGTCAAAACCTGGCGAGCAACAAGGAATCAGTGGACAGGGTAATGCGGCAGCCATGAGTGAGATCGATACCATCGATATCTTGATTGCTAAAGTGGTTATTAGGCTTCACGGTGCGAATATGCTGTCCTTCAGGGACGATATCAAGCAGCTAAAGCATTTGACGGTTAAACAATTAAAATATATCCAGCACAATGTATCAGGGAGCATGCAAGATGAAGGGTTTGTAGGTTTACTGGAGAAGCGGATCGTACCAGACATTTTTTCAGAGCCACTATCACCACTGTCGCCACCGCAGCAGGGGCAGCGGGATCCGAGCAAGACAATCCTTGGTGAATGGCTGATCCGTATGCTTTCGTTCGTGGACCAATTGCCATCAAAGTTCAATCGTCACAAGCTTGCGGTTTATTTGATGAGCTTGGAGTATGACTTAGCCAACGGTGTTATGGATAAGACCAAGTTCCTGAAGTATGCCATCTGCCTATAACAATAGGGGCCTACTGGCATTTTTATATAAATGAATGAACTTGCATTTGTTTCTAATTATATCTATTTCTCTAAGCTGAATCTTTTTTTTTTTTTTTTTTGGTATATATTACTAGGTTTATTGCCATTCCTCGATACCATCGCTTCTATAACAGGAGTCAGCTCGCTACCTACGGAGGCCCTAATTATATTGTGGGCTTTGCTACCCCCAACGCCGACCGTCCTTTGGAGTATTGGTCCTCGGTATCTTTATTTTATTTTACTTTTTATCGTGATACCATGAATGAATGTCTCGCACTTGCAATGGCGCCAACTTTTTCATTTTCATTTCTATATTTACACAACAGAGAGTCCGAGTCGCTACGCAAGTACGCGACGAGAATATTGTTGTGGAATACCTCACATATTTCCTACGACTTAAGGAACCCGTGTCTACATTTGAGCCTTACTTCGATCTCCACTCCTTCCTTCATCCACTTCTCGCCCGTGTGATGTTAACATCCCCAACGGAGAAGCACACGCCATCAGACATTGAGAAATGGTCTTCGTTGCTTCCTCTTTCCGACGGAGGGTTGTTAAAGCTGACAGAGGAAACAATTATCAAGTTTACGCATGATAATCCCCAGACATTCATGCCCTCCGATCCTGTGGTCCTCAAACTGAAGATCAAGAATGCAAACCGGATCCTCGTCCGTGTATTTGAAATCCAGACTCTTGATTACTTACAGCAGTACCCCAAAGATGGTCCTTTGGGACTCGATCTGGATTTGGATGGACTAACTCCTAACTGGGAGCACCAATTGACAGTGGAGCATCCGGCATTGGAGATTCACGATTTGCTAGTAACGTTACCAGAGTTAGCGGATTGTAGGGGCTCATTTGTAGTGGATGTGGTCTGTAACGGCGAAAACAGTAGCGCGTATTTCACCAAGGTAATTAGAAGGAAAAGCAAATGTAGTGGACATTTGTTAAATCGACGCAGCCTATTAATCAGTAATTTTACACTGTAGGGCTACCTCGATTTTGTAGAAAGGCAGACTGTGGCAGGTCATTTGCTTACTATAATCGACGAAAAGAAACAAAAAATCACTGAGAACGTTGGAGTTTGGTTCAACAGCCACTACTATAAGGTAAGAAAAAAGCGAAAGGTGCTGTGGGGTTAATTTTTCAAGTTGATTGCAAAAGTACGAGACCCTAAAATGACGCAAAATAAAAAAAATGTGAAACACTAGACAAATCGCGACGGCGATATTACCATTCCTTATCGCAAGTCGTCTTCAAATTCTCAGGAAAGCCTTTTCATCACACATAACGGCTTTACAAGCCGCCGTAGCTTCCGGCACCGCCTCGAATCATATGAGGTGTTGATATCATCCTATATTGATCACGAGTCGCTGCTAGCAGACATGGATGTGAAGGTGTTGCTCAAGGGCACCTTACGCCTTGTTGACGCAGATGTAACCTGCCCTGTGGATCTACTAGAGCAAGTTGTTCTGGAAGTAACATCCTATAGCAATGATGGCTCCGAGACCATGATCTCTGTCCAAGATTTCAAGCTGCATGACCTGGACTGGACAGAGTACATCTACCAGGTCCCAGAGGATTTGGTTCGTGTTAGATTTTTGCTTAGAGCGAAAATCAAATCGTTGTCAACAGGCACGCTTCAAGAGCTTTCTGACACTTCGGAGTTTTATTTTAAAAAGTAAGTTAGGTAAAGTGCACAATCAAATCTATTTTATGATAAGTGCAGACACTAAACTATGCCTTTTTTTATATTTTTTTTTATACCTTCCGGATACTGGTGGACGCAATTGATAGAAGCAGCGCCGATGAGATGGTTACGCTGCATGCGGCATCTCAAAGGAATAAAGTTCAAGTGCATGGGGAAATCATTACTGTTCTCCGGGCTATTCCTGTCATAGGTCAGGTTCATCCTGAATATCAGATCCTCGTCATGGGTAAAAACGGTATGTGAATAGCGGAAAAGGATCTATGCTATAATTCTTCGCAACATCCTGTGGGAATAGACTATTTTTCTCCAAATGTTCAAACATTCAAACATATGTTTCAATTTCGTACAGGTGAAAGAAGACCAGGCGTGCCTCTCAAGATCAATATAGAGCATTTAGTTTCACTGGACACAATTGAAATTGACCTCCTATCGGATGCGGATGGTATTGTCCATTTAGGCTCGCTTTTGGGGATTATAAAGCTATCCTGTATACCTGGTCATTCTACTTGGGAATTTGCGGTTAAAAAACAACAAAGATATCCTGAAGTCATTCATGGCTCCGCAGACGCGCCTATTCACTTGCCTTTTAGCTTCCAGAACCACCTCGAGACTCGAGCAGTGGTATTGTTTAGATGTGCGTCTGACCTTGGAAGTGATAGGTAAAAAAAAAAAAAAAAAAAAAAAAAAAAAACACTTTACGCGCTTTTGGATGTAGTAATGCTCGCTAAAATTCTTTTTACATCTCTAAACGCCAAAATAGCTGTTGTATTGAAGACGCCACTGAGAATATTAGATTGGAAGAAGATTTACTCATAATTGGGCACTTGGATCCAGGCTGTTATAATTTACACTTGGATGATGAAACGCTTATACATCTCCTCATTTCGAGCCCGAGGAACGCATCTTTAATACAAAGCGACGCTATCAAAGGTTTGGAAGGCTTTCATCTCCGCACAAATCCTATGCTCGAAATTCGGAACAGTATGAGGCATCCGCTCTATATCTCTTCAGTTACGGATGATCTGGTACAACAGAAGATCCATATTCAACTCCAGAATTGGACACCTGCGACACGAGTCTGTGTTGTATCCTCAAAGTTCAAGCCATACAGGTCTATGCTTGATGATATGGCGCCATTCAAGGATGGGAGGCCTTGGTTTAAAAAGCAGACTAACCAGCAAACAACATTATTTAAGGAAGGAAGAGTCCTAGGGGAAGAATATCAATATATTCTGAATCGCAGAGCCCAATCAAAGCATTGGGCTGGTAACCTGTTGACAAAGCCCAGTGTCCTACTTAATCCACGGGTAATAAGAGCATTATACATCATAAAGGAGGCGCCACAAGGGAGACTGTTTTTATATTGAACTTTTTTTTCTCTACTCCTTCAGAGCATAGGAGGAACCAGTGTGTCTCGGCAAGAGATGACAAGACATAACCCTAATAACGCTTCATCGCGTTCTAATACCTTTAGGGGCCCCGGTGGGGATAGGACTATGGTTTCAAGTAATCCAGGCTATGATCTTGGACGTGGTGGCGCTATGCGTCATCGCAAGATTCTACCACCTGGTGCGCCTCCCTTATTCACCTTTATAGCCAACCCTAGCGTGATATTTGCAAATATGCTTCCAAGCCAAAGTGGAGTATTGGAGTTGAACCATGCAGATCTGAAAGAGGGCAATTATTTGCAAATCTTCGCTATAGATGGTTCACAGGCAATCCAACGCTGCTTTACGGCGTCCAATCGCGGTTTAAGGGTGTTTGGAGAGCCTATTGAATGGGAATACCAAAAACGCGACTTGAGGTTTAAGAGCCCATTAAGCTATGATAAGCACTATACCGGTGAAAAAACTGGGGCAATCTTGGATCCTAGAGCCCGTATGCATCAATCTCTATCAAGCGATGAACGCGCTGCTTTGGAAGCTAAACCGCATACAATAACGCTTACCTCAACTGGAAGTTCAGCCTCTGCAGTTCAAGTCATAAACTCTGTGAGTCAGGTGTACGATTTAATGATGACGCTGCTAGAGGGCGAAGCACACAAGCAGAATCTACGCAAGTTTAGGTTCATTGTGGACTGGCATAAATTTTCCCTCATAACCAAGAACGAAATGTTCTCGAAATGGAATTGCCATGAGCTCAACTTGTTTCTTTATAGGAAGGACCGGCCTTATTTCGATGCAGTCGTGAAGCCGTTCGTCAAGGTACTTGACTCAAAAAAAAAAAAAAAAAAAAAAAAAAAAAAGTACGACCAGCTTGGTTACTATATCAATTAATGTATCTCAAATCCGAACGCAAATAGAACAAATTGGTCAAATCGTTCATGGATAACTACTTGATTGGCGCATCTTTGGAGAAGTACACAACTCTAAATGAATTCAGTTTGTTGACTTGCATGGAAAAATGTCTTCTCGCACAACGAATTCCAAGCTTGCGAGCTTCTGTTGCCCAGTGGATAAAAAGCAGAGTCCATAAAGCTAAGATTTCCACCAATTCCAAATTATTCAAGGCCGTCATGAAATCAGGCGCCTTAAAAGATGTCACTGACGATGGAATAACCCCTTCTTCTCCATCCACAACCCCTGGAAACATTGGAAGGTAAGCTTGTAATTTTTTATTTATTTCACCTCACTTCCACAGCTCTTACGTTGCTTCTAGCCATTGTGAGCCCATCGATTCATTTGATTGATCTTTTTTTTTTATCGCTGGATAATAGTCAGACGGGATCGGAAGGGCGAAAAAGTGACAATGATGATTTCGAAATGGTTGACAAGCCTTTGATTGGTGCTATACAGTTAAGCGATCCAGCTCTAGCCATGCAGAGCACCTTTGGAGGAACTTCACTGTTCGGGACCGGAGCCTCTGGAGCTCCACCCGCTGCTGAGGGGCTCGAGTCAAATGCTTCTAGAACAGCTTTTGGCTCCAGCAGCTATGCGGCGCCTCGGAGCGCAGCGCCAGCGACCGATATGCCTGGACAGCCTACTCCTACATTTGGAGCAGCACCCTCAAGCTTGTTTGGATCTCCCGGAGGAGCGGCAACATCAAGTGCTTTATTTGGAACAGCTACAGCAAAGGCAGCGCCTGGAGGCTTATTTGGGTCTTCTTCGGCACCGTCAGCAACGGGCGGGTTATTCGGATCATCTGTGGTGCCGGCAACAACTACTGGTTTGTTTGGGTCGTCTGGAACGCCAACGACACCTGCTGCAAACATGTTTGGTCAATTTATGCCTAGCACCACGCCGTCAGGAACATTTGGGAGCACAGTGGCAGCTACAAACGTGCCTAATCAGCCTGCACCTGCGCCTGCTGAAGGGATGTCTATATCATTTGGGGAAGTGGCATCAGGGTCCTTTGGAGGAGCTTCAGTGTCAACTCCAACACAACAAGGCTTACTGCCAGCACAGCGACAATGGCAACAGCAACGGCAGCTGCAATTGCAACAATTAGCACTGCAGCAGCAAGCGCAACAGGTGCAACAACAGGTGCAACAACAGGTGCAACAACAGCCAACGCAGCAAGCACAGCAGCTGCAATTGCAACAATTAGCACTGCGGCAGCAACTGCAGCGGCAAGCGCAACAGATGCAGCAACAGATGCAACAACAGGTGCAACAGCAAGTGCAACAGCAGCAGCAGCTACCGCCGTCAAACCATCACGAGGCGCGGCGGTTAGCAGCCCAAATCCTACAGCAGCAGTACAAGCCTATCGATTTTACAAAAGAGATGATTGAGACATTTTACTGGGGCAGGCAGGATCAGACTATTGAACACAGCCGTGGGGATGTCAATGCCTTCTGGTTAGATTATATGGAGTACGATGAATCTAAGCGAGGATCATTTTTGTCAGAGGTAGCAGGCATTCCTATTGATGGACTTAAATGTTCTCACTTGTTTGTTTCAAATTCAATTTATAGTAACCAGATACATAATTTTAATTTTTTTTTCTTAACAGAACTTCGTAGCAAATGCTGGAACGTTCACGACCGTTATGGCAACTATCGCGCTGCTCGATCTGATGTTTAATCCTAAAGAGGCAACCATCAGGCGCTCTATCGATGGCAATCTACTTGCTTCGTCGCTTTCTCCCGCAATGGTGTTTCACTCTTCGACTAAGGTACTTGAAAACATCACCGCTAGATTTCGAATCGTTGATTCATATTAACTTTGGAACGCGTGAATGGATTTTAGGAACACACCGAGGCACCGGCTATTGGATCAGTTCTGATTATGCAGCAATACTTTGCACAACTAGACCGGACGGAGTACAACGCCAAGTTGATGGCTGACGTACGCAAATACATTCGGCCAGGAACTACGTTCAACTCTTTAGAGACTTATGGAGCACATGTGGTTTTGATAAGTAAGTATCTGGTTAGAGTCAATATAGTAGCAACAGTGCATCAATCATCTAAATTGGCTTATCTGCCCTCTTTACGCTAGATGCGACCCCGAATCCTATGAAAGTTCATTTGGAGGTACAACTCCCACAGGGCACAATCCCAGTCTATGACCCTCTCGAAGCCTCCCAGGATGTCGATTTAAGTGCGCATGGAACCTTTCAATACGAATATCGCTTTTATTTCCCAGAAGAAGGCGATTTTTCACATTACCCAGCTCATGTCTCCGACTATGAAAATATCGTCGCATTCGCAAACCCAGCAACCCTCAAAGTCCGAAAACTGGGATCTAGCCGTGACCATGATGTAGCTGAAATCAATTCTTGGTCTTACATACTCTCCTGCGGGACACAAGGAGATATTCTTCAGAAGCTAAGGTCTGATCCATTGGATGGCATGAATGTAGAACTCTTGATCCCCAGATTATACTGTGATATTGCTTTTTTCAAAGCCGTCACCAAAGTTCTCCGAGATCGATACGAATACATCGACCAAGTCTGGAGCGTAAGTATGGTGCTGCATGCTACACAAGAGGACGACAGAAAAGAGTTGCGGAAAATAGCAAGTGAATACATCGGAAAAAAGCAGATAGCTCGGTTGGTTGGAGACTGGTTTACGTCAGGGCTTGTGGTTCGTAGGCCTCAGGATCGATGCCAACCACCTTCCTTATACAAGGAGGCATTTCAGTACGTCGAGTACTTTCCTCTTATTAACGCACGTGGTAAAGAGCTTCTTCCCCCTTTAGCTTGCAACTACTAAAAAAAAAAAAAAAAAAAAAAAAAAAAAAAAAAGAAAGATGAGCTATGAAAGTAACGAATGTTCATATTTCCCTCCTTTCTTTCCCACTAATAGCTCACAAGGCTACCAAGCACGTAAGGGTCTTGAATACCAAGTTCAAGAACCAGTATGAACGGTTCTTGACCTTGCTCAGCGAGAAGCCGTATCACGATATTAATGATCTGCTCGTTCTGATAATCTATTTGTTGGCTCAAGACAGAATCCTTGAAGCCAAAAAGCATTTTGTCAGGCTGACGGCTCTTGTTGAAGAGAGGCAGCTTGATCAGGCGATGAATAGTGAGGACGAAGAGCAAACAGATGGTGCACATCATTTCCAGCATATCCAATATGACTACCTTCGCGCATACCTTAGCCTTTGTGTTGAAATTCAGACAAATGAAGATGATGAAAGCGGTAGTGGGGATGATGTCAGCGGACTAGACCTTGACTTTACAGGTATCTTGGAGATTGTGGACAAGTATCACAACTACCCAGTGCAGCGATGGAACAAATTATTCAAGGATATGAAAGCTTATGTCAATGATATTCAGCAATCCTGTGCTTCGGCGCTTAAATCTGGATCAGAAGTGGATTCAGGCGAGGTTGATGCCGTTGCGCCCGAAGCTTCTATGGGCTCGACTGAAGAATCCCTAACTGTCAATTCTGGCAAAGCTCTTTCAGGGCTTAACAAAAAACGTCCTGCATCAGTCTATTTCGGAATCGAGCCGGATAGCCATATTACAATACATCATTCCGGAATTAAGGAAGTCATTGTAGAATACTATGCTATTGACGCTGAAGCAATGTTCTCTGCCTCTCCGCTCGCGTTCGTTGAGCAGGGTGACGACGAGACGACAGCTACCGCCGCTAGCACTGGTAGTGGCACCATTCCCAAGCCTCTCTTTGGACCACCAGCATTTGGATCGTTCAGTCCATTTACTCCAGCATATACCATACCTTCATCTGTACCTTCTACAAGCGCTTCAGTAAGCTATCGTCTGATTAAACCTAACGGTATTGACAAGCATGTTGTATCGTTTGTATCTAAGGCTTCTGAGGATGGAATTGGGGTGCTCAAGGTTCCAATCTTGGAGCACTATCGGAATACAAACGTGGTGGTGTCAGTGGCTACGGTCCCGCCAGCGGCGACAAAGACTTGGAAGGCATATCACTCTCAAAATATCACAGTACAATGCCAGGAGCTGTCAGGAATGATCAAGGTGACGACAAAACTTGAGCAGTTGGACAGTAGTGCTAGTGGCAATAGCTCACGCTGTCGGCCTCGGCCTCAGCCTAAGAATCGTCCCCTTCGTGGTGGATATGTCAAGGTTTATGCAGAGCTGAAGAGTAGTCAGAATGGTCAAAATGACACGGTGTTCTGGAAGGATGGCTATACAGATCTGATGGGCCGGTTTAATTACTCAAAAGTATCGGCCAATTCTGCGATACCACCACCACCAACGATGATGTTCGGTGGCGCTTTTTGCTCGGGGCCGCCTGACAGCGCAGCTAACGGGGTTAAAGGACTGGCGGACGTGAAGAGGTTCATGGTATTTGTAGATGGTGGCAAGGCAGGCTGCGTCGTTAAGTCTGTTCCCGCACCATCACTGTAACACGCCGACATGCGTTGGCCCTTTTATTGAAATAAACAACTAAGGAAATGATTGAGGAGAAGAGGGATCTTTGCTTGACGAATAGATGACAAATTCTAAGCGCGAACATGACTGATTGGCCCACATTAGTTTCTATTGTATAGAGCCGCCACTTCACGAGATTCCATGCCATCAAGGTAACAACACCACGACCCAAATAATAAATCTGAATCCGACATCAATGATAGCCTGTCACTAAGGAAAGTCTAATGAAGCAGCTCATTAAATATGGAGTAGAGGACAAGACTTCGACTTTGTATTCGCCCCTGTGTTCCGAAAAAAAAAAAAAAAAAAAAAAGACTATTTTTTATCAACAAACGCCTAATATTTTCATTTGTTTCGTGGCTACGGATTACTTAATATCGCGACTCCAATACCAATTAGTTCCAATTGCCCAGTAGTTAAAAACCAGAATTATATATTTCATCCTTTACTAGTCTACCCGGCGCTGGATGTGTCCGTGTGCTCCACATTTTAAAAATTCATAAAAATCTATGTCCTTCAGTCTCAATCTCCCTTCAACAATTAACATCTTATATCATTTTCCCCTTTCGCTTTCCCAGCCTTCACACTCCCCTTACCTTAAACCACCACCATAGAAGGAGTTCGTGATGTAAGCCAGATCACATTGAAGCAATAGTTCAGACTAAAAAATCCATTGATGATGGATCGAGCTTAGAATGGGAAACAAAATCCCTCTCGTTTTCTGTCCCTTCTTCATTTCATATCATTTCCAGCCAAAAGTCACAAGAATGCAGGTAATCAAAGTGAACACCTCCGCCTCCATAAAGAAATCCAGGCAAGAAAAGGATGAGATCACTGTCCCGTTCCGTGTTTCTCCTCTCCTCCCCCACTTATAACCAGGAGTGGTAGAGAAAAGGAGGCAACCAATACTCGGCATGTGACGCGAAACTACTCCAAGCAGCTAATTCGAAATCTTATGTGGTACTGTCAGATCTTCCACAAGGCCTATATGTGCAGCAATGGGTGCAACACTTCGGTTACCACTGGCTGATGCCAATATTAACATCACTATTTAATCGTTATCTACAACATTACCAACTTATCAACAGTGGTACATAAAATTATAGCCTTGAGAAGCTAACGGCGCAAAGGCTTAATAAGATGGACACCAGATATGACATTTAGGCACCTACGATGCGACGGACGAATAACTTGGCGTGTCGTTTGCTAAAGTAGACCATTTATATGAGTGTTCCTTAATTACTCTTTAAGCTAAATATCACTACGCTTAAAGGCTTTATTTATTAAGGTTGAATTGGGAAATATATGTATAAGCGTGCTGTCGGTGTTTTGCTAAACAATATCCATCTAGAATACAGTGGTGATAGGTTATATACATGGATACGATGACAAGATAGATGCTTCAGAAAAAAAAAAATAAAAAAAAAATAAAAAGAAACTACAGGCCATCTGAACGCTTGATATCCACTGGGAAAGAGTTGGAAGGCCCGGGTTGGTTTCCTGTGGGGTCTACCATAGTAGCAGCAGTAGAATCCTCTTTACTATCCAAAGCGCTATGATCGACTAAAGAGTCTAAAACCGTGTTCCGAGAATGCTGGCCTTCCTTGGCATTTCCCTCCAATGGAATGTGGGCGGCTGTACTGGTGAAGGCATGAGAATTTTGATATTGATCAGATTCTACCATATCCTTTTCTTGTGCTGCAGCAGGACGTGCTGGTAATGGTGGGAGAGGCCTTTCTTGTGAAGCTTTATCATCATACATGCAGGCTTTGGCGTGTGCAAGCCCATACTGGCACATCTCCAAGGCATTATCTGTAGATAGCGTGGTAGAGTGGTCAGGGATGGTAAGCACATGAGCATTGCCCATCTCGGCTTGATCATAGACCTCGCTCCTTCTTTTCACCATGGAGTCGATACTTTTCTTCTGCTTGCCCCACATCTTATTAGCTATATCATCGTTGGGGTTGTAAAGTCCTTTGAATGTTGCTCGAGTACGGTTCTCGACAATGACGGCGGCTATGCCTTCAGCAACAGCCAACAGACCTGCTAGTGAATAAAACCCTAAGGCGACTTGATCGAACACGCAGAGGTAGGACAGAAGATTGGAGCGCACAATATGAGGACAGTTGTAGAGGTCGCGAGGGTTGTAGATGCCGTAGCGTCCATCGTAGATATCTGCGCGATCTTGAGTATCCCGTTGGAAGGGCAGTGTAAAGATTTGGCGCTCATGTCGTTGATAAGCTTGGATAGAGATATTGAGAAGACCAGCACTGATGAGCCAGACAGCTAAGAAGCGAATGATGGACCAAGCAGTGACGCAGGAAGAACGGCGTTCAATTGGTGTAACAATTCCATATCGAGGGTAAAGATGATATGCATCATCGGGCGCCGTCAAGAGATTGACGATATTGCCATGGATATTATTGTTATCACTATTCTTATAGTTATTGTTGACCCCACCCTCAGGCTCACTTGATCCCGGGACAACAGTTGTAGCAGCAGCAGCAAAAGGCGGTGAGGCAACGACAGGGTGTACCAAGCTAGGGGTATGAAGAGACGAGAAGGATACATACTGTTGGGAACTATAATTGTATTGTCGTTCATATCGTCGTCGTTGAGCGTTTTTGATACGGTATCCAATCTCTGAAAAGACCAATATCAAGAAGAGAAAGCCGACCAGAGCTGTGCCAGCGTAATATCGCCAGAACATAACCACTTCCGGATAATGGATATAGACATAGAGGAAAAACATGTCAAATCCGAACGCTGTTAACGCTACTAGCATCAAGGAGTAACGAATGACTGATTGGAATGTGGCGAGACCCATGGTTGATGTAATATGATGGTTAACGAAGATTTTTTTTATCTGAAATTAAGGAATAGAATGTGAATCGTTGTATGATCCCACACTAGAATAAGCAACGTAAAAGAGAGATATGGAAAGAAAATAGATGAGATCAGAAGCCTTTTTATACTTACTTAGTCCATCAAAAAGTAATAACACCAGTGCTTGGTGAGAGCTTACCGCTCTTTGCTTGTATCCTTAAGCATAGAATGAGTACAGGAAAAAAAAAAAAAAAAAAAAAAAAAAAAAAAGCCAAAGTTCTTTTCTACTACAACGCGGCATCATTGAAGTCAAGGATTTTGCGTATTTTCTTGGCAGTGATTTCTTGGCTCTAAAATTTTCAGGGTTGCACAGGGTTTGAAAAGATATTTTTGCCTGGGCTTTTTGTTGTTAAAAAAAGCTCCTCACATACACCCAAGGTTCCTGGGCTTCAATATTTTCCTTTTTTTCTTTTTTTCTTGGCATTTTTTTTTTTGTGGACCACTTTCTAACTTGGAATAGGGTTTTGAAAAGGTTGCGCAGTAGAGAACCACAAATTTATGACTGTGAAACAGCCATAAACTCATCGGATATATATTCCTTGATCTCTATGCAAAATCCTTGTCTGGAGTTGAAAACCTAAATGATCCTCTTCCTATCCGTTATGTGAGACAACCACATCTATCTCTTTCCTGTATATTTCCAATGTCATATGGATATTATAGGCGGGTTCATCCTTTAGAGACTATTTGATGGGGGATTTTGAAACATGGTACAATCTCAAGTGCCCTTTGTAGGACCAGGGTCGTGGTTTGCATATATATTAAGGCCTTCTTCTAAGAACTGCGTCAAATCGCGATCGCCCATAATCATTCTCTGTAATCCGATTCTAGAAGACCGACTACATTTAATCCCAGGTCACGAACCATATCGCGTATATGGATCTCATTATTGTACTTGTTATTATCAGCCGCAAAGTGAATGGCCTAGATGGCCGCTGTGGTAAGCCTATGTTCTATATGATACGGCTTTTGCACACTTCTAGATGAGCGTCATAGGCATATAAAAAGGATAATAAAACCAAGTCGACTAATATCAGCTTTGCATACAATCGCACGCTTGAGAATACAAAGTGTTTGTGTGTCTCTGAGGTAAAAGGCCCATGTGGCCGCATGGGCATTGAGGATGTCAAGAAAAAGACAGCCCTGCATAGCAACAAGACATAATCCATGTGCTCCCTCATGATTCCGCCCCCAGGAGCAAATGCATAGGCAGCAACACAGACATGCGCTAGCGCCAAAGTATTATAGGTTATCATTGCCACCAAAAGTGCTCGGCCCGGAGACTGGTGGCATAGCGACCTGATGATGGTAGGGAGGAGAGAAAGGATAGAAAATAATAAAGATAGTACTCCTATGAATTTAATGTTGTCTTCAACAAAATGTAAAAGCGCTAATCCTGTAGAACCGATACAAAACCAAGGCATAGGTGTTAGGAATTGACACCTCGAAGATAGATAAAGGCCTGTTGCCATGGCAATAATCACCATCAATCTGCCGGTGGTCGGGTGGGCCTATATTAAGATAGCCATCTAGCGACTAGCGGCAAATCGTGGATGCCTCAGCATGGATAGAGTGCAAACAAATCAAGCATCTCCCTCCTCCTCCTGCTGCCTTAGTTGAGTTATCGTCTTCTTTTGAGCTATCAATTGCTTTTGCCTCGTGCTTATAAGGTTCCTTGAGTAGCATGGTTCGCATACTTGCCAATAGGCCCAACATGTTGTTGTGCTCACCGTTACTCAAGCTCATAATCGGCCAAATCGGGTTACTAGTCTACCATACTTGTATGATTGCATTATGCAGAATAAGGCCTAAAGCCAGCGCCATAGCGCCACATTCTGCTCTGCCGTTCCAAAAGCTTTGTCTACAAAGCGTTGCACCCCATGTCACTAGTGGGGGGTAACGCCAATCGCGACTGTCATGAGACGATAGGCAGGGCCATGGCTAGTTACGAGAGAATACTGACGAAGAATAGTAGGTGAAAAAGCTCTTTGGGTCGTTCAGCTCTCTTGGGAAGGCTATTGATCCCTAAAAGTCCGGATATGGTATTGCAGAATAGAAATAGATTGTATCCGGATAGCCCCATATGTCACAATGGAAAATACCATACCATCAGAGGAAGTGACATTAACATTGACCAGAAGATGAGGCCTATATAATAGGGATTTCTTTTCATCTATGGTTAATGCCTGTATCTTCTCCATGTCAAGCGCAGGTCAATGGCAAATACAATTGTTTCAGCAAGCTTGATCTGGCTATAAATTGACCGAGCTTTGCTGTAAGCAAAATATCTGCTTCTTTCGCTAGTATTGGCTACTTTCCTCTCTGCTGGAGCCTCTAAGGTCATCTCCAGGTCTCCTGAGTTCATTGTGAGCTCCACAGGCGCCATAATGTCCTTTTATTCCAACATTTACTACATGAACGAAGTCAATTTTTGAGACTGTACCAAATGCTAGATCAGAAAAAATGAGCGACCACTCAAAGAAACCATAGTAGTATATGTTAAATAAAAGAGCGAGGAGTAGAAAGAAGCAGGTGAGTTGATACACTAAATAGCCAACGCAATCCTCATACATTGTATTCTGGTAAGTAACAGATTTAACCCCCTTCCTTGGGCGCGATGGACTATTGTGCAGAGTGCAGAATGAAAAAATAAATCATGGGGACGAGCGCTCCAAAGAATGTAAATGCACCGATCCGTCTTTTTTTCCGAGTTCGAATATGGTGGAGGGCACTTTTGGTGGTCCCGAGAATATATGGGACGGTGCAAAGAAAGTAAACAACCATGGCAAAGTTGTGAACTGTATGGTCATCCGAGGATGTAACATAAACCCAATCACCACATGCCGCTGTTCTAATAACACCGTTTATGGATAAAAGTTGAGCGAACCTGGCGAACCTGGCGAACCTTTTGGGACAAAATGAACTTAACAAAGCGTCCATGCAGTAAGTGCAATGGAAGTTTAGCAGATGTTTCTTTCAAGGTACACTCTGGTCTCGCTTTTTTGCACATCGTGTCAAAAAGTGGATTTTATATTTGTTCTGGAGAGGAGGGAGACAAGCAAAATAATTAGCCAATAGACCGCGTCATTTAGCTCTTTTAAAATAATATTTTAAATTGAATTGAATCTAGCCAATGAGCATCGCGGAATATAAAACCCACTTTTTTGACATGATGTGCAAAGAGTGAGACTGTGAGGGTATTAAGGACGGCTTCTGAGGACTTACCCGCAACGTTATTTTTGACTTATAAATTCCTATTGACAGTTTCGATGACTACCAGTTTGGTAGCTTCTTCAATAGTACGCGCCTTATCTGTAACTCTCTTTGCAGCCTTTTGCTCTGCGCTAACATGGACGATCTTTTCTTCAGCTTTATGCAACTCCTGGCTATGAGATGGAGGCGAGAGCGTGGCCTCAACCGTTTGGTTTCATCCCTAACGAACATTTAGTGCCGTCCGGTCTCACTCTCGTTCCTCACTTTAGGCTAGGTTGCTAGCAAGGACGCAGAGAGAAGCTGACTGAGATAGTAAGCAAGCTGACCGGCATCACCCAACTATGCATTTGGAACTAGTAGGCTACAACTGATGACCAAATGTGCTTTACAATGAATTGTTTCGCAGGAAGTTGTAGTTGTGGTACTTCTAGCAGCCTATTCATCAAAATGTAAATAATAGCGTTAAAGACTCTCCTTTTGAGGCAATCGCTGCTGTTCTTTGAGCAGCTGAGTAGTGTTGAGCCGAAAGCCATTGCTTTACTTCATAGATATACCCCTATTCTTCAGTCACTTTGACACCTCTTTGAGCATCATTTGAGCACCTGCTTGTTAAAACTGCCAAGTAATTTTTTTTTTTATTTTTTTACCTAGCAGTGCTTAAAGAAATATGCGAGAGAGATGAGCTCAATATTACTGTCCACTGAAGACTACATTCTGGTTTAATTAAATGCAACAAATACTCTATGTAGTTTCAATATGATAAATTAAACGACAATATACCAATGCCGATAATGATGACTATAACAAGAATGATAGTAGCGACAATAGCAATAGTGTACGCCGCTCAGTGTGTGCTTGAGGTTGGTATATTATGAGGCAGTAAAGCCCTCATTGACGCAGATGGTGAGTTGTAAATATCCGCAAACATTGCTCCAGCTCCTCTTTACGCAGAGGTTTACTGATGTAGTCATTCATGCCTGCTGCAATACACTTTTCTCGATCACCCGGCATCACACATGCTGTCATCGCAATGATGTAAGGTCGATCCGATGTACCACCAGATAAATGCTTGCGGATGTATACTGAAGCATCCAAGCCATTCATCTTGGGCATCCATATATCCATGAATATGAGATCATAGGGGACGAAATGCTTCTGACCATCATTACTGTCAGCAACAGGATTATCACCTGTCGCCCCGGAAGCCTCGGAGCCGGGATTAGCGCTGATGTCCAAGTGTGATAATGGCATTGCTGGTGATGGAATTGTCGTTGTTGCTTGTATGGCTGTTTGTTCTGTATCTGCAGGAGCCAAAGATAAAGACCTGTCTTCTGCGTCACCATCTGATAAGCCACTAATACCAGAATCCATGTTAGTTGTATCAGATTGGTCCCCTCTTCTTTCCAGAAAGCGCATCTGAGCTGACTTCTTTTCGATCAGCTCAACGGCCTCTTGTCCATTGTTGGCCTCATCTGGCTTTACGCCCAGCCGCGCGAGCATCTTGGAGACTACCTTTAGGTTTACGGGGTTATCGTCCACTACCAGCACCCGAACCTTAGCCATCTTGCGCGCTGTCGAAGACAAGGCGGCTGCCGCAGCCGCCAACGATGGCGATGCGTATCCCGTAGAGCTAGGTGTATCTATTGAGGACCTGCCGCCAGCATTTCGTTTAGATGCGGCTCTGGCTTTTTGCAGTGACAATCTCTTAGCCATGGGAACCTCTATTCCTTCACCGAGACGAGACTGAGGTTCGGGCCGTGGCTGCTGGTACGGAAGCTTCATATCCGATCCCATCCCTGAGCCAGCTCTGGGCCTTACTTCTCGAAAGTTGGGTACACTCTGTTCTTTAGGTGGCATAATCGATATCATGGATTTCTCCGTTCCCATCATCGACTTGACCAGCTTCTCCTCTGGCGGTACTTGTACCATATCTACAGTAGCAGGAGTAGGAACCAAACCAGACACAAATGCATTCTCATTTGCCGGCTCTTTTGTAATAGGAACAGGAGAAAGAGGTGATATGGACACTGGCACTGGTTGAATGGCGCTATTGAACAACGTCAATACAGAAGTAGAGTCGTCCATCGGAGCCAGCTCTTCTACATCCAGCTCCATATTCATTGGATCTTCTGTGAGCGCCTGCAGGACTTTAGAGTGTCGGATTGGCTTTGTAAAGTAAATTGGAGCAGCAAAAACGCCTTTCAGCCGAGCAGGACCTTGGACAGCAGAAATGTCTTGTGTTGGCGTAGTGGACTCGTTGTCGCTACTACTGAAATAACAAGCCTTGTTCAGAGATGCAGCAGGCGATGGAACAGCTGCGGAGAGATGGTCAATGCTGCTAATGCTCTGCTCGTAAAAAGTAGTCTGAGTACCGGGCGTCAACAAATTACCGGCTCCAGCAGTGGTGGTAAATGTTGGTCTGATACCCAGTTGGTTCGAAGTCGAAGGCGGAGCCCTGTCCAGTGTTAGGGACGACGTTGATGAGCCAGAATGATCTCTGTACTCTGGTGCATACGGGTTAGAGAAACAACCCTGGCTGTCATGCTGGGGACGACAAATAACTCCAGGCTCTTCATTTGTATCGCTATTCGAGATTCGTTCGCCACTCCACCGAGATGCATCTCGACGAGCATGGCCATGATATGAGGTTGATGCCGACGCAGCAGCCTTGATGTCTCTCATATCTTTGAAGATAATTACAGGGACAATAGAAGGTGGAGCAAGACTCTCTTCAATGTCAAGATATTGGGATGATCCTCTGGCTGCAGTTGCTCGGATGGCATCCAAAAGATTCTCGGGTTTCTTGTAGAGGAATCCATTAAGATCTGTTTCTAGAATCAAAGCCTCCATCTTATCTTGGATCCTCTCCTGGACACCAGATTCAGAGCTCTTTTCCAAGAACGGCATGATTTCATTACTCCTTAATATTTTGACACTGTGCATGTTCCAAGCATCTGTTCGCTTTTTCCAGGCCTTGCGACCCATATCAGAATCATCTACCACCACGAGTTTCATATCTGTTAACTTTGAGAGCTTAAACTGCTCTTCGTACGTCTGACATCCAACGGGACTATCAAGGATAATGTTAAAGTAGAAGGTGGAGCCGACATTGGGAACGCTGTCGACCCACATACTGCCGCCCATCATCTCGCTGAGCCGTTTACTAATTGCGAGACCCAGACCTGTGCCACCGTATTCTCGTGTTGTACTCTCATCGACTTGCGAAAAACTTGTGAATAGCTTATCAAATCGATCCGATGGGATGCCGACACCTGTATCCTTCACAGAAAAAAGCAATTTGACAGGCTTGGTTTGAAGGGGAGTAAGTGAGCCCGAGCCGGTACGACCTATTACTGGTGTGCCATCCGACAGGACCACACCATCAGCTCTATTGGCTGCTGGGAGCTCTGTAGATAATGGGGATACCGAGTCGCCATTAACAGCTTGATCGGTTTGATTGATGGATCCCTGAGAAGACAGTAATTGGCTCATTGTAGGATTTGCGAGCGTATTGACTCTCGGCACTTTTAGAGAATCGGATGTCAGAGTCGGTCTACTGATATCCCCAAGACGGGTAGGCCGAGGAGGCTCCGTCTTGACGTCTTGTTCATCTTCAAACCTGACTTCAGGCAGGTTCTCAACCGTGACAGTGACATGGATCGACCCCTCCTTTGTGAACTTGACTGCATTGCTCATCAGGTTCAACAGAATTTGGCGGATACGTGTGACATCGCCCATAATCTCCACAGGGCACTTTCTGTCAATCTCGTACACCAGGCTCAGTTTCTTTGCTATAGCTTGCGAGCTTATCAGGTTCACAGCAGATTCCATGACGAAGCTCAAGTCCAAGAGTCGCCTTTCCAGCTTCAATTTACCGGACTCGATCTTTGAAAAATCCAGGATATCGTCAATAACCGTCATCAGTTGGTTCCCGGAGGACTCTATCGTTTCTGCACATTCTGCCAATTCGGGATTTAACTTGGAGTCCAACAATATCCTAGACATGCCAATGACGGCGTTCATCGGGGTGCTGTTTCACCATATAAAAACAATGGTATACAAGAGATTAGAGGACTAAGGTACTCGATCTCCACCAAAAGGTATAAAAAAGAAGGGAAGTGACATACCGAATTTCATGTGACATGTTGGCCAAAAAGTTTGACTTCGCGGTTGCTGCTGCTTCAGCGCCTTCTTTGGCTTTTTGAAGATCATCCAATAGCCGATGCGTCCTGGCACGCTCCTCCTCTAACTCCATGGTCCTCATTTGAAGGTTCCTAGTCCTGTCATGTACGAGTTCCTCCATGTCGTTACCATACTTCTCGAGCATTGCTGCCATACTACTGATAAAGTCACTGGATTTATGGGGGTTGATATCATTGATTCTGGCGAGGATTGCGGTAAAATGGGGCCGACTCGTGGGTTCCTTTGATATACACAAGCGAATCAACGCATTGATTTGCTCAATATTTTCACGATCTTCCGCAGAATATATTGAATTCTCAGTGTTGATCAGAGTGGGTCGAAGATCGTGCCCCTTTACAAGCTTGATTATGCCAAGGATGTCCGCCTGTTCTTGATCATGGTAAGGCAGGCGGCGTGTTAAAATTTCGTTGAATATGATTCCAGCACTGGGGGATGAAAAAAAAAAAAAAAAAAAAAAAAAAAAAAATTAGCTGCAACTACTTATTAATAATAACCAAGGTAAAAGCGTGAGATTAGAGCTTCGAAATACAACTTGCCTGTAAATATCACCCCTCTGACTGCCGATGACTTCATAGTCACCATTCTTTCCCAAATTAAGACATTCAGGAGCAGTCCACAATAAAGGGATCATATCAACTGTATTTTCGAAACCGCTATGCTCGGGACCATCTGAGATACCACTGGCGTAGGAGGCGCTAGCATGTGGAGTACTAGAGCTATAATAACTACCGCTGGTATGCCTAGGCCTGCTTCCTAAAGACAACGAGGCTCCAGAGGCTCCAGCCGCCTCTTCCTCTCCAACTAATCTATTTCCGTTGAAGTCTCCGTTCTCCACATAATTACGCATATTCTTACTTCTCCGAAAGGGCTCGTGGTTGAGGTCAAAGATCCCCTGCTGCTGGGGGTTTGAATGATCAGACTGCGATGGATGAGATACATCAGATGGCCACACACGGCCAGCGCTTTTCTGCTTTAGCATCTTTTCACTCAGAAGGCTGGGCTGTGGAGTAGGCGTGTCCAATTGCGACCTGTAGAGTCCATCCAACCCATAGCCTGCGATCTTAAGCTCCCAGCGAGATGAGATCAAACAGTTCATGCTTGTTAAACGCCCATGAAACATAATCTTGGACATATGAAGGAACTCCATACCCCGACACAGATCCTGCATGAATGAAAACTTGAAGAGCCAAGTGAATTTATGGTCCATATTTGCCAATACAGCTGCCAATGTACCTTTTGGAACAAGTTCTGTTGTCGTGGAAAATTTTGAAAAACATTTTCAATTTCCAAGTAAAATAAAAATAAAGCGTATTACGCCTAATAATTTACAGAAGTGCACAATGAAGCTGCCATACCTGTGACAATGCAGATGTTGGGTTGTGCAAGGCAGACGCCAATAAACTCGACAAGCTTAGGATGACGAAGTTCTCGCATATTGAAGATCTCTTTACGAAGCTCTGAGGTCACTGTGACTTTCTTGGATCCAATCTTCTTGATATAAACAGGCATACTGCGCCAGGTACCAACTGCAGATGACCCACGGCTCATGACTAAGGAAAATTGGCTGGGGTTGTTTCCTTGAAGAGACTTTGTATTCCTACTGGAAAAATTGAGGAACCATTCCAATACGGTTAGATTGTGCTTTTTTTCTTTTTCTTTCTATGGTTATGACTTCCCCGTAGCCCGAACTTACGATGAGCCAGAGGGTGCGCTAAAGCTAGCAACTTGGTCAGAACTAATATGGCTCCCTGCACTATCATTCCCCAGATCATTACTTAGTCGCGGACCAAACTCAGCGGATGACCGTCTTTTGAGATAAGCTGCAAGCGTAGACGCATTACCAACTGTGACGCCAGGAAGGATAATACCATTCATATTATTAGGGCCACTCATGCGTGGAAGGCCATAAGTTCTATCTGTCTCACCTCCGATGCCACTATAAAGCAACTTTGCCAGATCCAGTTGCCAAGAGTCATCATTAAGTTTCTTCCCGTTGATGTATTTTTTCCTTTTATACCAGCAGAAGACCAGCAACGCCGCTAGTACCAAGCCCGACAAGAGAGGAATAAGGATAGCCATCAAAAGTTTAGACAGACTCACTATTGCAAGATTGTTGTGATCAAAGAGGTCGATTAAAAAAAAAAAAAAAAAAAAAAAAAAGTCAGAACAACTAATCTTTAACAAGAGACATCAATACTCTATACTCTGAAATCCATATCTGATAGCCTTACTCCCTGAACTGCTTCCACAGTTGCCATCGCTGCAGTCAACACAGCTTACTTGACCAACACCTGTAGTGGTCAGACCAGAAGGGCAAGAGGAGCATTTGAGTGCATCCGAATAGTTGCTATATGTTCCGGCAGAACAGCGTGTACACATGGACCGAACTTTTACATGACCATCAGGATCCACGCAGAGCACTGTATCTGTATCCTCACTTGAAAAGTCTGTGCTCGTATATGGTGACAAATTCATGGGGATCCCTTGAAAAGCACCCGCAGACCCTTCCATGCTCTCCGGAATGCTTCGACCGGACGAGTAATATGTACCGGGCTCACAAACGTAGTTTATGGGCACAGGTCCGGTAGCAAGGAACTGGTTAAAGACCTTGGCTCGATTAGGATACATCATTCTGATTGAAAGACTGAGAACTGAATGAAACCCCTGGATGTATTGCTGTGGATTCAGGATGCCAGTGATATACTGATTATTTGCCAAAGAATGGATTGCCTTCGTAGATGTCCCCATCACGAATACTCCAGGAGAACTTGAATCCGGTGCTGCCTTGGAAAGCAAAGGTAACCCCTCCCTCAATGTAGCGCTCTCCGTCAGAGGTGATAAGCCAATAGAGGCCGCCGAACCACGAATCTTCTTAAGATTAGGGTAGATCTTGGCTACCACTTCATAAAGTGGTATGGATGTGCAGAGGATCGAGTCAAATGGTAGCGTGGCTTGTTCCGAAAAAGCATTGATAATGCGTTGCTCGTCCGGCGATAACGTAGACTCGTTATCCTGTCTTTTGTACCAGTGCTCATTATGAAATGCGGCGCGCTCCTGAATTTCGCTGCTGTTAAACACCAAGTCGCTGGCTTTCGCATCAATTTTCATCATCATGTCTTCCAACCTGCCAACTCTCGCCTCGCCGTATATTGTGGCTAGGAACTTGTGTAGCTGGATACAATGTCCTTCTTGCCACCATGGCCCATTTAACTCTATGAGACACAAAGGTATGCCAAAGCCGTTTTTCAGGATCTGAGATGAGAATGTCGAGCCAATGGCGGTATCGCTAGGCCCGTGGAAAACAACTCTACTCGGTAAAGGCACCCAATTGTCCACTGTGCCTATACCCATGATAGGCATGTTCGGTCCCATCACGGTGTTGTTCAATAGCTCACTGTATTGCTCCTTATCAGCTAAGGACATGATGACGCCTTGAATGCCTTTATATGGGCCATACCGCGATTCAGCTAAATTACCAGTCGTCCCAGAACCAGCAGATAGTAGGGTATTCTGGACCCCTTCCAATTCCGGTACTGAAGTCGCTGAGATCGTGTTCCACCCAAACAATGTCGTCGCTTCGATAATACCGCCCAAGGCCTCCTTCCAGCGTGTTTTCTCTAGTGAAATATTGCGGTTAAACACTACAGCTGTCTTGTTCTGCGCAATGAAGTCGAAGAGGTCTCCTGAATGATCTTGTGCATACTCAGCTTCGACATTGCTAGCGTCCAGCAGCGTTGGTCCCGTCCAAATTGTGTCTACCTGTAATCTTTGTTTCGATGAAACCATAAGGAAAATTTCTAGAACAGGAATCGCTCCTTGAAGATACGGCGATTGGGAAGTGGCCGCAACAATGGTTCCTGATTTAACGTACTCTATCATATTCTCATTCAATTCGAATGTGCCTACCCATAACCCACCTGGCCTCCCAGGCACAGGATTGCCTGTTTTATTCAGCGAAATCTCCACAGCCAAGTCAACTGTGAGTGTTGACAGAGCGATAATTGAGTCAACGTTCGGATACTTTCCGAGATGACTCTTCACGGTTCGGAAGACTTGTTGACTATCGTTAGTGCGATTGACCATTATAGTTCTATTAGAGAAAGAGTCGGTAAGATTCAATCCCCGAGCCCTAAAAGCCTTGAGGACTCCTGAACAGCGGTCGGCGAACGTTTGCACAAAAGGCACAGCGCCAAGACAAACAAAACTTCGCGCTCCTACGGCATGTTCAAAACAAGTGGTCAGTCAGCAACCACAATAGATTGTACTTCTTTTGTAAAGGAGTCAAGCCTATAAATCTAATAGGAATACCTTTGTCAAGTAGTGCGTTTCCGATCAATTCTCCAGCAGCGACATTGTTCTGTAAGACGGAGAGGAATCCTTGCTGTCTGGCAGATTCCAGGCCTATATTCATGACTACAATTGGAAGTCCTGGACGCTGTCTCTGGACATCAATGACCGCGGCTGCAATGTCGGAGTTGGGGATAGTGACAATTAACCCATCAATAGGCTCCTCGGAGGCTTTTCTGATTCGACTAGCCATAGTGTCAGTGTCGAAGACGCCATTCAGTGTCGTCCGCTGCCAATCCAGCTGAATATCGGTGATTTTCGCTGCATCCCAAGCACCTGCATGAACTCTGTCCCAAAACGGAGTAATACCTAGTTAAAAATAATGGTCAAGGGTATGATATAAAATGGTCCCTGAGCATGCAGTTATTGACAGGAGGCTTACAAGGATTGATAAAAGGATTGGAGTACAAACCATGATCGATTCCCAGCACTCGAATAGGCCCATCTTTATATGATTCTGACTTCCGACCATTGAATCCAGTCATAGTTTTGGGATCGCAAAGAGGGAGATTGGAGATATTCATGGCTTTTGAATTGGACGTCAAGGCATTGTACTGGTACCCAGATGGAGAATCCATAGACCGCCGCCCAAGGCCATGATGTTGAAAAAATGGACGTATCCCTAATCCCGGTGGCTCCTGAACAGGGATCGAAGCGACAGCATGGAGCATTGAAAGTGGCAATAAAAACACCAGTAGCCAAGTGAGTATGGATAACAATGAAGAAGACTGAGAAGGTCTTTTCGAGCTTTTCCGAGTGAATTTAGGCGATCTGGAGAATGTGAGATATAACCTTTTCAAATACATAGCGCTATTAGCTCCTAAAAGCTTTCTATGGCTACTCTTTGGGTACTGCCGGCTTTGGCGAGTCTGGATCGAGTCCTTTGTATTGTTGATCTGGGATCTAAGATGGGGATGACACTGTTCAGACCGAGGTGTGCGAACCATAGCTACTGATTTCCGAGTTAAGGAGGATCTGAAGAATAAGTGCCGACTCCTTATTCGTATATGACTACTCTTGTACTTTGAGTGGGCTATTCTGTCGGGGGTTGGCATCTGACTGAGACTGGTAGAGAAAACAGATACCAGCACAGAGTATAAAGATGGAGGATTGTGATGCCACTGACTGACGTTCACAGACGACAGTGGTACTGCAATTTGGAAGGAGACACAGTGTCTGAACTGGGACTCACGTGGCCCCAGGTTATGAGTGATAGCTGTTGTGTGATGGACAAGGGATTCCATATGAATGATTGTTGTGAATCTGAAAATTAGGAGGCATGCAGGTGGTTAGTTGGACGATCAATGTTAATCCAAAAGTAGTTTCATTTTTGCGTTTGTGGCACGGTGAGATGTAAATGTGAATTCAAGCATATGCAGGATATGTCATCATAAAAAAAGGGGGAGTTTGAGCAGAAGAATCTTTTTAATATTACATCGCATCGTTTCGACTACGGTGCGGACTGACGTTTTTTTTAAAAAAAAAAGTTCATTGAGCAACTGAACTAAAATGCTCCTTCCATGTGCGATATCTCCACAATAGTCTAGTCTACGACATAGTTCATACTGTACTACATTTGTCGTGTACAGCATGCCAAGAGAATGAAAGAAAAAAAAAAGACAGGTACCATTTCATAAACATGGCCCCTGCAGCATGCTTAGCCTGCTTTCCACCAAATCGACAATCAGAAAAAAAAAATGCTGTGTTCCAAATACATCCTAAGCACACACCCAACTAGATCTCAGCGAGGAAGAGAAGACAAAGTGGAGTTGTTGAACGAGCAGGAAACCGCCTTCAAGAGCAGGATTTCCTCCATATTAACTTTTTCAACAAGTCTTTCTATACCCCTTTCAGGGAACTTTCAACTTTTTCATTAAAAGATTCCGAATTTAATCAAGCTCCGTCTCTGCCAGGTTAATTACATTCATAACCAATCTCACGACAACATCGATAGAGGAAGGATTATACAAGCGAGAAAAAAAAAAAAAAAAAAAAAAAAAGCGCAAGTCGGTAAAATTGTGTTTTTTAGAAGCGACAGGATATTGCTGTTGGTGATGTGCATACGAAAAGAGGGAGGGGAATGACGATGTCCATGGTGCATGGATAGGGACAGGCGATGCTGTTCATGATAATGAGGTAGGGGCAACAAAATTGATAGATAAACGCGGCCTTACCAGCAGTGCTGATCGGGTTATCAAGAAACGCTATTTTCAAGGTTTATCGTAACCTGCCAATAGTTTGTTGTAGAACTTGAGCAGGATAGGTGTGTTACGCTGGCTCCAGAATTATAACCACATGAGAATGAGTTTTAATGAATGTGTTAATGAATGAATGAATTAATGAATGAATAAATGAGTGAATGAATGAGTGAATGAATGAGTGAATGAATGAGTGAATGAATGAGTGAATGAATGAATGAATGAATGAATGAATGAATGTTTTAATGTGTTTTAATGAAGGTATGAAGGTATAAAGATATGAAGGTATGAAGGTGTGTGCATGTAATGCGGAAATACAGGCTGAATGGAACAAAGTACAAGACAAAGTGAAAAAAAAAGAAATGGATACGCCACTCTACAGAGATGGCAGGAAGAAGACGATGATTGGCGGCGAAGTCAGAGACAACGGTGAAAGTGGAGATAGCAGGCAGACCACACGAAGGGTGCAACGAAGAAAAGTTGTCTTGGAAATATCTCCACTACTCAAAGCAAAAGATTGGTCCTCCGATCACTTTAATCTTGCATTTCCATGTATCATTTATAAATGTCTCTATACCTTGTATGGTATTGTTGGTCAAAAATGGTTGATGTCATTTTGATAAAATTCTTATAAACCTTATTGAAATCTGTTTCCTCTTCCTTTTCTTTTCTTCCAAACGCATCCTTTCTCAAGTAATCTGGATATTACCAAGAATTAAAATAATTGGTCTCATCCGCATTCGTAAAAATAAAAGCTCTGTTTGTGTTCGAATGGAAACAATCTTTCGCGGTTGTTACCCTTTTAAAATTCATCTAGGCCTTTGAAGACCCTGGAAAAATGATTCTTAATGCATTGGACGATTCTTGTACGTCATGAGAACTTATAACCTTTGCTGTGCCATTCTTTGAATGGAATGCTTTCGCACTAGCGCGATTTATACAAAGAATACAACGACACTCTACCCCCCTGACAGTCAATCAAAGATTCTATTCAGTTTAGTATTCTCATCAGTCATTAGAGCCCATCCAAGTGAAAGGAGTAAAGGAGTAACCGGTTGACTACTGATATACGAAAAATACTCCTTCTTCAACCCTCTCTTGCTTTCAACTTTGTATGGAATGAATTCACTAAAAAAAAAAAAATACGCAATCCGAAAATGAAATTATTGTAGCACGGCTCTCCAGCAATTTACATGTACATCCTTTGGAAGAGAAAAAAATCAATGGAGCTGTTGTCAGCAAAGCTGTTGTGTTTCCAAAAAAAAAAAAAAAAAAAAAAAAAAAAACGTGACTTAGCGCCACCAATTTGACATATGATAGTTGTTTGTTGGGGTGATCAACCTCTGAAAATCTTTTCCAACGGCTGATTGCACGCGAAACACTGTATACAGTGACATTTTTAGGTTGGAGTGGATCTCTTGGCAGCACGCGATTACTCGAGTAAAATCTTTAAAGATGGCGACAGAATAAGCATTGGCATAATGTTGTGCTATTAGAAGCAAATTAATCATCTTTTCCCATAAGCATGGCAAACATGTTTTACTTTGAAGTTTCTTCATGATTCAAAGTAGAAAATTCGTTCCATTTGTTTCCTTGTGTACCAGCTCTTGACCCGAAGAGCAACATAAACACGAGCTCAGGTACAATACAGAAACAGACACGAGCACGAGCTTAAGCACGGGTAGACCAGATTGGACCCCAACCAACTTTCTTGAGTCTACAGACACGCACGCTCTCGCCTTCTCTCTCTCTCTCCTCGCTTCTTCCTTCCTTCTTCCCTCTACTTTTCTCATCCCTACACTCTCTCACCTTCTACTCTTTGTTCTTGTCGCTCCCCACATTCCTCATCTCTCCGTTTTGGGCGCTCTTTAAGACAATAGAAATTAAATATTAGAAGAGTGAGACTCTACAATCATGGATTCTGAGCTCCGTAACAGGAAGGTCTCAACAACCCAGCTGGAGGTCAATGGCGTGTCCTCATCCAACAAGGTGCACGCTACCGCAGCAGTCCGATCAGGAACTCCTTCCATGACTGAATCACCCGATCTCCATAATTCGCATGGCAGAGATTCGACCGATTCAGCTACTTCGGGTCAATCTCTATCAGAGTCCCAGAAGTTGAGCCTAGCCAGGGAACAGGAAGAGACTGCGTTTGGCAAAACTCCCAATGGCACAAGTATGAATCTCCAGTTGATCGACAATTTACTGTTGTTTACACCCACATTCAAAGATTGTTGTTCATTGTTGCTGATCCTCTCCTTTTTACAAATGCTATCGAACTACAGTTTTTCGCGTGCCTGTTACAAAGGACATGCTGAGCGAGATCTTTGATATGAGCAAGAAAAAGTCTGCTTTTGATCTCATCACCCTTGCCGTTATGGGTGTTCAGATTCTCATGTTCTTCACTCTACCCACATACATTAAACGTTGGCTGTTCCTGGCCCTCTTCTTATTCTGGAGAGCAGGATACAATGCGGGTTTGGGCTACTTGTTGAAACTTCAGAGCGAACGTAGAGCGTTGGTTGCTTGGGCTAAGGAACAAGGCATTTTTGACAAAAAGCGTGGTGGTGGCTGGTATGAATGGCTCAAGCAAGAGCTCAGCTGCAAGATGGACTCGGACTACGATTTTGATGTAAATAAATCTTCATGGTTGCTTGATCATTTGATCATTTATTCGAGGATGCATTCTCTTGAACTGATTTTTTTCACTCCATTTTGAACCCAATAGGCCGTACCTATCGAATTCAACACATGGCTATTATACCGACAGCTTGTAGACCTAATCCTCATGAATGATTTCACTACCTATGTCTGCTTCGCTCTATCTTGGCTCACCTTCCCTGCCGGATCTGGCTTTTTTGGCCACGTATTGCGCTGGACCGCTGGGTTCATTCTTGTGTTCTTCAATATTTGGGTCAAGTTGGACGCACATCGTGTAGTCAAGGACTTTGCTTGGTGTAAGTTTACACCCTCTCCCTTCAATTTGCGGCCACGACAGTAACAGTAACGACAGTAGCATATGAAGCATCATGTATAACCTTCTTCCTACGCTAATTGTGTATGGCTTTTTTTTTTTTTTTTTTTTTTTTTTTTAGATTGGGGTGACTTTTTCTTTCTGATTGAACAATCATTAACGTTTGATGGAGTCTTTGAGATGGCACCCCACCCAATGTACTCGGTTGGATATGCTGGTTACTACGGTATCTCCCTCATGATGGCCTCATACATGGTGCTCTTTGTTTCACTCTTTGCCCATGCCGCCCAATTTGCGTTCCTCACTTTGGTCGAGAACCCTCGTAAGTGTTTATTTTATGCTACCCTGTCTGATTAGCTTGGCAATTTTGCAAAAAAAAAAAAAAAAAAAAAAAAAGTGCTCATATTTACTCTTGTCCTCACTTAGACATTGATAAGACCTACAATCCTCCTCAGATCCCTAAAAAGCGTGTCCCCACTACCACTGAGGCGTCATTGGGACTATCTACTGGTCAGAGCTCTGTTGTTGCCTCCCCTTCCGACCATGTTGCACCCATTGATCAAGCAGCAACACTTGTCCCTTGCGGATCGAAGGACATGTACAACACCTACTTTAGACGGGATCTCATTGTTTTCAAGAACTTTGATATTTTCCGTTCAAACGATATTTTCGTGGCGCTTATTATCTTTTATGCTACCATTGTGCCGCTGCTGATTTCCAACACAGGACCTCGCTTCTTGACATTCATGATGGTTATTCAGGCCTTGATGTGGCGTGTTTTCCATTCCTATGTACTTGGTGCTGTCTTGAAGAGGCAGAGTGACAGCAAATTTTATACGAAGCATTTTATCAAGCACGGAGGCACAGTACAGGATGCATTCCAAAGCTGGAAAAGCATTTTCAACTTGTCCAACTCGATGACATACGCTACCTTTTTCTTGGCTGCTTTCAAAATGTATTCAATCCCGGACGATTGGACCTATGGTACCGTCCTACTTCGTCATGTCCTTGGGCTTGCATTGATTGCTCTCCATATTTGGGCCTCAGTCTCTGTCTTTGAGGTACTGGGTGACTTTGGTTGGTTTTATGGTGATTTCTTTCTGGAAGACTCGTCCAGCGGTCTGTTCTACACTGGGATCTATAGGTAATGTTTTGTCCCTATTTAATGTTACGAAGCAACAGGCATGTGCACTCACAATATTACGTTAAAACTCAGCATCCATCCTACATCTGATCTATATAATCAACTATGAATAGATTTGTCAACAACCCTGAGAAAGTCATGGGCCATGCTGCATTCTGGGGTATGACCTTGATTTGCAATAGCTGGTCTATTTTTATCTTGGCCATGTTCTCCCAGGTCTCTAACTTCTTGTTCTTACACTATGTTGAGTCCCCTCACATGCGTAAGATTTACGGAAATAAGATTCGTAAAGATGCTGGTGTTGTCAAGACTGTAAAAGCTGCTAAAATCTTCCCCAAGAAAATGAAGGATGAAGTCAGCAAGATCCGCGAGAAGCTGGAGGAGACACCCGAAATTAAGGATGTACTTCAGAAGACACGGGTTGTCTCTGAGAAGGCACAAGAGATTGTCGAAGGTACACGTGATGACTTGAACGGCTTGGTCCAAAGTGTTGCTCCTCGTATACAAGAGATGGTCTCCAATTCCAAGGCTCTACTTGAGAGCTCCAGAGAAAAATTAATTGTAGCGTAAGTCTTCAAACACGGCACCGAACTGAGGTTTAAATATGAATGATCAGCCGCTATTCTTTATTAACGCTAACTTTTATAATAGTCGAACTTGGGATGACATTGGAGTGTATGACAAGTCACAATATTCAGTAAAGATCATCAATGACGTTGCTCCGGCCGTCAATGCAGAGGGCATTCCCACCTACAGCCTTGGCCAAAAACTGACTGTAGAGTGGACAGCGCCTTTGAACCATGGTACTAAGGATTGGATCGGTATTTACAAGGTCTCAAGCAACAACTCCAAGGAAGTGACGTCTGTGGCTTCCAAGGGCCGCTATCTGTATGTTAACCGTGATTTGGGACTTGGAGAGGCCGAAGAAGGCGTGAATGATCATGCTGGCAAAGGCGATGGTGAGATTATTGAAGAGGAGGTTGTTTGGATTGAAGAAAAGGAGCTGTGTCGTGGCCGTGTTGTTTTCCTGGGCGACAAACTTCCATGGTTCCAAGGCACTTTCGAATTCAGATACCATCACCATGGACGATACAACGTTATGGCTTACACAACACCATTTGCCATTGCATGTAAGCAGGGTTAACTTCATATCCTTATGCTCATCCAAAAAAAAAAAAAAAAAAAAAAAAAAAACTTACAATTCGTTTTTTTATATCTTCTTAATATTGCAGTGGAAAACTACCAGGACGAGAAGGAGCACACTGTGGCCTCGATTAGCCATGCGCTCTTGCCATATGTCCAACGTTGTTTCAATTCTGATGAAGAAACAATGCCAACCTCCGTGGATGAGCGCTTCATCATGATTAACGAATCAATCGCACAAAGGATTGTCAGGGGTATTCAGCTCATGTATGGAATCGAATTTACTTGGGAAGTAGTCGCAGTCGATATGAGCTGTCTTCATCTTGCTCTCCGTATCTTCACAGCTCGTCGAGCTCTGGCACCTTTCTCCTCTATTGATTCGCATATTTCACTGTCGGATGAGTCTTAGTTCATCTCAGTCCATCAAGAACAGCAATCTAAGGCATAGTTAAATATGTATAACGCATGGATATGAAGAATACTTTACCTTGGTTTCTTTTTTTCTTTTTCTAAAAAAATGCATTAGTGTATGTAGATATGAAGTATATATATGTAACAAATAAAATAAAAAAACACGAAACCATCATGCCTTTCATGCTAATTTTATCACCTAACGGCTTCTTGCTATCGCCGATACTTTCGACATCCACTGAATTTGGTCATCTTCCTTTGAAATGCGCAAGAAAATCCCAGCCCATTGATTACAGCGATCTTCAACAAATGAGAGATGATACTATCAGTCATTAATCAAGGGTAATGGGAACTATTATACCGGATATGGACAAACGCAAGCAAGAAGTCGCAGTGAATCATGGTTATAATCTCTAGATATTGAACGCCATTGTCGGCTAACTGAATTTGATTTTAAACGCAGCTAATGCAGCAGTTACTCAAATCTGGGTCTCTTGAAGTATTTTTGGGCACAATGTATGCTTCAATCCAGGAGCTAGAGATAAAGGCTAATAGGGAGAAAACTATCGACAGTGCTAACAACAGTGTTGACAAGCTCAATGCTGATCACCTCCAATGTCCCTGATTCCACTTTCCAGAGTTTATTGAATTTGCAACTGTATAGGCTTTGCCAAAACAGACCTTTTCTGCTCTCAATGGTGGCCGCACACCATAGTAAGAAAATATAGCCGAACATCTTTCTAAAGTTGTTCGAATGTTTGAGGATAAGGCAGTCAAGGGATAATGCGCCCCAACAGGCGAAATATAGACCTGAAGGTTGTGCATATCGCGGTTTATGCCTTAGTTGTTTGCAATGGTACCAAATGTCTACTCCACGCACAGTTGAGGCTGTCTCATGCCTTGGTTTCCTGTTTCTTATCCCTCATCGATTGCAGTGCTTCGATGCAGCGCTCAATCTGGAGCCATATCAGGTATCCTTCATCGCTATATACATATTACCAAATATCGTCTCCGAATACTGCGGTAATTCTCGACCTTAGACTGTGAATGTTGTGATGAAATTTGATCTGTGAAATATGAATTTTTGTGTTGATGCCTTGGGTGGTGGCAACACGTCTACATGTCATGTTGGACAAGCATGTTTGTGATCGTATTTATTGGATTTTGGAGTACAAAATATAAAGGGGGCCCACTGAACAGTCTCCATGTCTACAAAGATTGCTAAAATTCTTTTACATGTACTTTATTTTTAACTGTTAACAATAAAAAAATAAAACAAAATAAAATAAAGGCCTAAACGGGCTCAGCTGGAGCCAGGGGAGCATTAGGCACACACCAAAATCGGACACGATTATCATTACCACCACTAACGATAGCGTTCTCAGCCGGAGAGGCTGAAATGGAGCGAATGACACCCTCTTGACCAAAATAGCGCTTCAACAAGGTGCCTGTGCGAGAGTCCCAGCAGACGATCGTGTTATTGGACTCATCCGAGCTAAAAACAAAATCCTCATTGTAGGAGAAGACAGTAGATTGTTTAACTGCCTTTTGAGCGGCGCCTTGGAATCCATGGATAAGTTTACCGGAGCCTAAATCCCATAATTTGCTTACAGAATCCCAACCGCCTGATAAAATGTATTTGCCATTCTTGGAGATCGTGGCTGTGGTGACACCTTTACCTGAATGTGCATTTTCGATCGTCCGTACAACTTTTCCTGCAATAGCATCCCAAACTTTAATGGAACCGTCTTGGGATGCAGTGATGAATACAGACCCCGTAGACGCATATTCGATATGATTGATACCTCCACGATGTGGACCCTGCTGTTGCTGTTGAGCCGCAATGTCGACAGAAGATGTTGAGGCTGAGGATGGTGTATGTTGTGGAGGGCCTGTGAAGGCTCGGGGAGTGAAGCATTGAAGGGTTTTGACATCAAAAATCCGGACAGTCTCGGCTTCCGAACCAACCAATAGAAAATCGCCAGACGGGTGGAATGAGATTGAGTTGATGGGATGCGAGTCCTATGCGTTATTAGAAAGAAAAGAGGAGTGAGGATGCTATAAGAGGAAGGAAATATTTAAGCTTGGTCGCTTTTAACCTATGAAAGGTAGTATGTGAAGTAAGTTTGCCTTGGTTTCATGAAAATTCTTACCTGAAGGTATCGAAAGGATCGCTTCACAGAAGGTTTTGAAATATCATACAGCTTAACAACGGTGTCTGAGCTTGCTGCAAGCACCAAGCCATTAGGGTGAAAATCAACATCTGTCACAGGCTAATAAAAGGAAGAAAAAAAAAAAAAAAAAAAAAAAGGCGTCGTTATTTTTAAGATGATCATAAAGATCTACGAGGAAATGTAGAAAGTATTTGATTAGAAGCCTAGTAATCTTACAGTCTCATGATCATAAAGTGTGCGGATGACCGGATGTACATCATCACTAGCTTGTTTCATTTTATTCACATCCACAATTTTGAGTGAGGAATCTGCAGAACCTGAGGCTGCGTATCGTCCGTCTCGGGTGAACGCTGTACAAGTCACTGCCTCCTTGTGTGTTGTTGTATGAACCATATTGAGCGTGGGCGGATAAAGTGGCGATGATTTCGGATCGGTATCCAAGTTTAACCGTGTAAGGTTTGATCCTACTTCAAGGTCGTCATCTTCATCCATAAATTGAGATGCCTCCACTTTGAAGTAGTCTGTGGGCTCAATTTCGACAGATTCCTCTAGATCAATTAAAGTCCCCAAAAAAAAATATATATATATATATAAATATAAACATGCACTTTATTGCCACTGATAATTCAAAGATACTGGATCAATCTCTAACGAAAGATCTTACCGCGGGCAATGTACAGCATTTCACTGAGCTGAGAACTAGGCTTGATAGATGCTGATGTATGTGTTTGTTCAGCTACCATGAGTGCCAACTAAATAGAACAAAGGCCGTTCACCCATATGCGTTAGGATAAGGTGATTATTTTCGGTCAATCCAAACATGCCTTTGAATACTCTATTATCCGTTTCTTAGAGTGTAATTCCTTTCCCCGTACCTGTGCATAGCCATATTCAGCAAGTTGGCTATAAGTCAAAAATATGAACATAACAGTCGTATAGAATGCATTGATTAATACACAATTGAAACACCAGGATCAAAGTTTGAATCCAGTGTTTATTTACACATACGTCTTTTTCTTCCACCAGGCCATGAGCATGGGCAACCAAGACACAACATGAACATGTTACAAATGTTACCTCACGATCAGAGGAATGACCTCCTCTTGCCGCATCTGATTAGGTTCTGAAGGCATAATACTTGTTTCAAGTTAGAAGTTATCCTGGCTTTATTTTTCTTCCTACTACGCTCCTGCTCCTGTTTCTGTCCTGGAAATTTCGTAAAAGAGTTGTCCCATGGTGGAACGGGAGATGCCTTGAATCAGTGTGGCTTTGGAAAGATAAGTAATGTTGGTTTTAGTTTTAGTCACGTGTAGAGGGTTCGCCACCAACTATTTAACGAGCAACAGCTCAGGAAAATCTGGCTCCTTGTTCCTTATTTTTACACAAGAGCCATTTGAGTACTGACTGTTCTCGTCCAGGTAAAGAGCCCTCACAACGTTCGTCGTTAGTAGCCATAGATCATTAAAGGTTCCTTATTTTTACACAAGAGCCATTTGAGTACTGACTGTTCTCGTCCAGTCTTCGAGTAGTGTGTGTGTGTTCTTTTATTGTGTTAGAATTATTTATCTATCAGCTGGAAGTGACCGGCTTCATAATCCACCAAAACGACCTAAATCTCCTACCACATCTGCCCCTAAATTTTGCAACAATATTTCTGGTGATCTACGCAGGGGGTGGCAGCTACAATGTCTTCCAATTTATCGATTCTTCTTACCATGATCCCGAAGTGGCCGTCGGCAGAGGCTGAGGGTCTAACCGCCGCGACATGGATCAGCGATTTTGGAGGTGTTATCGAAGGAGAAACCCTGAGCAACAAGTTGATGTTCGTCGAGAGGCAGGCGACAGGCAAGATCCAACGCTGGATCAGGCGCTGGAGGATGACAAACAAGACGAATGGTGCCTGGAGCCAGTTCGTCAGCGATTTCATCATGGAGGCCTCTACCCCTAGAAGCCAGGATGTCACCCTGGACGAGTTGCATTCTATTAAGCAAGGAGAAGATGAGACGACAGCCAACTATGTACAACGAATGAAACTTACCATGGAACTCCTCGACCCAGAGTCTGGTTGCGACGCACAGCCGTACAAGATCCCAACAGCCACCGAGCGTCTACTGGCGTACAGATTTTGCAAGGGTTTGAGGCAAGACCATCCTTTCAAGGTCAAGAACAAAGAAGCGCCTGCGACCTTGAAGGAAACCTTCGAATCAGTGACACAATTGGTTGAAGGAAATCGTTGGGGCATTGACACCACTGAGAGCCGTGTCATAGCTCGCAGCAACGCTGAGCATGCTGCACCAATCGAGACGAATGTTCTGCTTGGATCGACCCTAGTGCCGAGGACGCACTACTCTGGCTTCCTAGCGGACTTCAAAGACGACAAAGAGAAAGTTAATCAATTAAGCGTAGACGAATTAACAGACATGTTCGGAGCCTGGACCCTTGCTGCCGAGGAGCGAACTCCGGAGGCGCGAATCGCTCAGACTATCTCAAGAATGAGCCCGGCTGTAGCGAGGCGAGTGTTTGGTTCCTCTGAATTGGCCAAGCATATTAGAGTGGAGGCTAGACCTAATGCCGTGCTCCAACCCGCCGAAGTTCGAAGTCAGCAGGCTATCCCTATGGCCCGTAGAACCTGCCATAAATGTAATCAAGAGGGGCACCTCTTGTCGTTCTGCCCATTGGTGGAATGCTTCCGATGTGGCGAGCGAGGCCATACTTCGAAGGTTTGCACTAAGGAACAAGGAAGCCCCGCCACAGGCGCCAATAGCGTCCCATTGGCCACTCAAACTAACTCCTCGCTAAGAGTGCAAAGTTTAGAAATCTCCGCCACTAATGTCGCCCAATCATTTATCACGACTAAGCCACAGCGATTAAATTCGACAGGTGCCCAGCGACGTCGCAGTGAGAGGACAGGCACTCCTGCAGGTCCATCGTCTCAACGAAGAGAGGAAACGAGAGGCACTACTCCACCTGTCCGAGGAATGCAGTGGGAGGCTGAGGCATCCACTAGTAGTGCGCAACCTTCTGGGGACCCCCACTTCCAGACAGTGACTTTTGATGACAGAGCGGTCGACGGGCGAGAGAATAATGTTGCAGAAGCTCCAAATGCGACGCCAAAGCGTACCAGGAAGCGCGTCATTCCTGATCCAGTGTTCGTTGATGCGGTCGAAGGATTGAATTTTGATTTGGCCACTCACTCCAAGTACCGTGGAAAGATGGCAGTGCAACTCAAGGCAGCTGTTACCGAGGCCTGGGCCCGCCATGCCCCTCCAAGAAGAAGCAAGCCTAAGAGGAGTCAGTCAGCAATAGCTATGGCCAGGAACGTTCAAGGTGGCAAGGGTGATGTCACGACCGTCACCGCCTTGGGACGAGACTTCAACAACGCCGTTATTGATCCAGGCAATGACCATACTATGATGGGCCTACATGTGGCAAACGCACTCGGACTGAAGTTAGAGCCTGCTACTCGTGCGGTGCTATTAGCCCATGGGTCCTTCCAGAAGCTTGCGGGCCGCACAAGACCTATCGATATTTATGTGTCCGGGATCCCCTTGAGAATGTCGATGGGAGTGATCGACTGTAAGGGCACATATGACTTCCTCCTTGGCGATGACTGGCTCAAGGCGCTGAAAGCCAAGGCTGATTGGAGCAACGGTATCGTGTACTACGTGGAGAGTGAGGGAAGGACTATCACCCTTGGTGGCGGTCTAAATGTTCGCGCCTCAACCCCTCAGCCTACGACATCAACGTACTTGTCTGATGAGAGCGATGAGTATGATGATGAGTACGACGACTATGAGGATGACGAATCAATCTACGAGACGGAAGAATCCGATGCTGATGCAGGGTACAGAGCCTTGAGAGTGAAGACAATAGAGGTTGGTGACCCGGATCTGCAGGCGATGACCGCAAGAGTGTTCTCTAGCAAGATACAGTGCGAGAATGACGATGCTCGCGTAAAAAGGCAGCCGTTCGCGGTTGACGGAGTCAACGTGGACATCAACCCAAATTTGTCCAATGAGCAATACGGACAGATTGTGGAGTTACTTGAAAAGAATAAGGACAGGCTGACTACCAACCTTGAGGACCTCGAAGTGACGTCTATTTTAGAACATGAGATCAACATTCAACCAGGCGCCAAGCCAGTGTACGTAGGATGGTGCAAACGGTACTCGCCGAAGGAGCTTGACTTCCTTAAGAAGAGTGTTGATGATGAGCTTAAGGCAGGAAAAATCATAGAGATGGAGAGCGAGTGGTGCGCGCCGCTGAGTCTTGCTCCTAAGAAAGACGGATCCTTGCGCAAGTGCGTCGCATACATAGGCCTAAATAAGGTTACCGAAAGGGAGAGCTGGCCACTGCCAAACATCGAGGAAATACTTGACAACTTAGGCGGATTCGAGTACTACAGTAGCCTGGACGGATTTCAAGGTTATTACGTGATTGGCATCAAAAAAGAGCATGTCAAGTATCTTGGCTTCCGTACGCCTTTTGGGACGTTTGCATACAAGGTAATGCCATTTGGGCTCAAGAACGCGCCACATACCTTCAGTCGCTTCGTTAGAAAAGTGTACTCAGACCTTATCGGAAGAGTGCTTGAGGCGTACATGGACGATGTGTGCGTGCGCACGATGACCTGGGGAGAGCATTTGAGAGCCCTCGATCATACGTTTGCGGCAGCTCGCGCAGGAGGAGTCAAGTACAAGACTAGTAAGCTCCATTTCGGGTATGACAAGGTGAAGTTTACTGGCCACGTGGTCGGCAAAGATGGAATTGAGGTCATGCCAGACAAAGTTGACAAGGTCAAGAATTTCACCCCATTACGTAGCAAGGAAGATGTACGTGCATTCTTGGGCTTGACGGGCTACTATCGAAGGTTCGTCGAAAGCTACGCTCAGATTGCAGAGCCGCTGACGAGGCTCCTCAAGAAAGGTGCAAGCTTCACCATGGGTCCTGAACAGGTGGCCGCAGTAAAGGGTCTCAAAGCCAAGTTAATTCAAGCTCCGGTACTTAAGGCTCCAGATTTCGAGAAGGATTGGGTGGTCTCGTGTGACGCCTGCAAATACGCTATGGGCGCAGTGCTAGAACAAGAAGATGAGGAGGGTAAGTTGAGACCGGTCTACTTTTACTCGAAGACCTTTCAAGGAGCCGAACGCAACTACTCTACCTTTGAGCAAGAGTGCCTCGCCGTTGTCATAGCCGTCAAGAAGTTTCGGCCTTACATCCTGGGTAGGTCCGTTGTCGTTTACACAGACCATGCGCCACTCAAATGGTTGTTTTCCAAGACTGATCTGACTGGTCGACCTGCGCGGTGGCAGATGATTCTGTCGGAATTCGAGCTGGTCATTAAGACCAAACCAGGTACGAAGAACGGCAATGCAGACGGGATGAGTCGCATTATGTCGGAAGGAATAGCCACGGATGACATCGATGACGAGGTGCCAGAGTGTCTGAGCCGAAGGGCAGAATCCACAGGAGAAAAGTGGCTGGCGAGCCAATGGTACGCGAACTTCTACATGTACCTAGCCGAGATGAGACTGGAGTTAGAAGACAAAGTTGAAATGAGGAGGATCAAGAGACAGGCATACAGGTTTCGACTGACGAAGGAAGGTGACCTACTGTATAGAGATGCCGACAACAGAGAGAAGAGGTGCGTAGTTGAGGATGAAGTCGAAGGTGTGCTGAAGGAGGCACACGACAAGGGCGGTCACTATGGAGCAGAGTCTACCCTAGCAACAGTTCGTGACGTGTGTTGGTGGCCAACGATGAGACGGGATGTATTCCACTGGGTCAAGTCTTGCGGCCGTTGCCAGCAATTTGGAAGTCGAGTGAAACATAACAGGTTGCATCCTACGGTCTCCGAGTTCCCATTTGAAGTTCTCTTCGTTGACTTGATTGAGAACTTAGTCGAAACGCCTAGGGGGATGACCACCATAGTCGTCTTCACAGATTCCTTCACCAAGTGGACTGAAGCACATGCAGTGGCCAACAAAGGCGCGCAAGGCGTCCTAGCTGTTCTATTTATGAAGATTATCTGTCGGTTCGGGCTCCCTGTTATGATTAGATCGGATGGAGGCCCCGCATTTCGTAACGAATTCAAGACTTTCTGTGACCTCTGGGGGATCAAGCACGTCACTGGTTCGACAAGGCATCCGCAAAGTCAGGGACAGGTCGAGGCGACAAATAAGCTTATCGAGGAGCGACTGAGGAGAG